GTGGGTTGGCGATCAAACTTTTCTGCATTGCGCAAATTCGCAGATTTCCGTCAATCACCACAAATTTTTTGGGTGATTCACGGTTTAAGAGCATCATACTGCAAAATTCGAATTCATCATTGTAATTTTGAAAAAAAAAACGAAAACAATTAAAAAAAAAACTCACAGTGGACTTGACTGCATAATAGACAGTTTTTCAGAGGTGTCACTATCATTGTAAAAAGCCGTAAAAGCATCGAGGCGCTCTTTCGTGATGGTTCTTGTTATTTGTCCGCGACATTCCGATTTTTCGGCCAGTAGTTGAAGTTGAACGCCGATGAATCTCCATTTTCCTTTAATCTGTAAAGAATAAGTAGTGTGGTGGTGGTAGTGGTGGTGTTGTGTGTGTTTTTTTTGTCGCTAGTAAGCCACTCACTTCGTCGAACTCCTTGAGTTCGTCAGTTGTTCCGATGTCGTTCTTCGATCTTTTCCGTGGTGCACTGGTTTCCTCATTGTCGTTTTCCTGTTGTTCCATTGTTCTTTTCGTTGTTTTTCGGCGACGTTGTTCCTCCTCCACCACCTGAAAATGTTCATTTTGACTGATGTCGTTAGTTTCTTTCGGCTTGTTTGTTGTTGGTTTTTTCGTCTTCGACGACTCCTTCGATTTCTTCGATTTCTTCGACATTTTCGTTCTATGTCCATCATCATTATCGATCTGAAAAAAAAAGAAATAAATCAAATTGACTCATAAAAATTGTATCATGATTTTTTATTCTTTGACTCATGATTTTTGACTAGTGATTTTTGACTAATTTTTTTTTTGACTAACAATTTTTGACTAATGATTTTCTGAATTTTTTTAGTTGAGATTCCTGCAGTTTTTTCAGTATTCGATTCTGTTTTTTTGGCCAATATTGATGGGTAAGAAGCTAAAGGGTGGGAGGAATTGGAAGAAATGTTATTACTGAATGGGGGAAAGATTATTACTGAAAGGAAAAAAGTTCTTCTAACTTCTGTAAGCTTAAAAAATTGTTTTTTTTTGGCATTTCATCGCTTATCGATTTCAATGAGAAGCGTAATCCCAGCTAAGCGGATCCACCGAAGGAATCGACTGTAACATTAAACGAATATCCGTAGTAGGCCAAATGATATGTATGATTTGATATTTTTTAGTAGTCTCCGTTATTTTAATGAAAACAACTAAACACAGTTTTTATTCGATATCATTCATTATTGAGCGTGAATAAAAGAGGGAAATGGATGGAATAACGCGATAAGTGATTTTTTATTAATTTATTTTGCAAATTATTTTAGCTTATACGGTCAGGCCTGTTTTAAAACGACATAATTTTCGATTTCTCATCAAAATTCAGGAAAAACGGTATATTCAAAAAATAAGACATTGTTATACTTTGAGAAGTTTTTTGAAGGCTGTTTTGTTAGAAGTACCATTTTGATAAAGTTTTAACGGTATAATGATCTATCGAAAATTTCAATGATTGATTAATTTTAAAAGTTTTTAATAAATATGTTATCGAATAAAAACTGTGTTAACATTTCTCCCAATTCCTCCCACCCTTCAGCTTCTTACCCATCAATATTGGCCAAAAAAACAGAATTGAATACTGAAAAAACTGCAGGAATCTCAACTAAAAAAATTCAGAAAATCATTAGTCAAATATTGTTAGTCAAAAAAAAATTAGTCAAAAATCACTAGTCAAAAATCATGAGTCAAAGAATAAAAAATCATGATACAATTTTTATGAGTCAAAAATCATGAGTCAAGTCAAAAAGTATGAGTCAATGAACATTGGCTCCCGAAAATAGATGTAACGATCATTAGCTTCTGATTTTAAAATATCGAGATAAAAATAAATTGACCATAATCTCGTATAGAGAGCACAATTGGGAATAGAAATGGTGATAGTTCCATCACTCCGTGGTGGTTGTGCCAATCAGTTAAAGTCCAAGAGCCAATACAAATCCTATTCGAATAAATGCGATGTTTTCATATTTTTTGGTGATTTTTCTAATCTTGTGTTTGCATGTTTAATCCTGTTTTGGTGCAAGAAAACTGCAATCTCAGAAATCAGTAGATTTATCAAAACCGTCGCTTCAAAAAAAAATCTGTGATGTTTGTCGCCCGTTTTCGACATCCATAACAATTATTTATTATTGTCGTAATAAAATTTGAATTTGATGTGTTGAAAATATAAAGTTTTATGTTGGACATGAACGATTTGATGCCACAGTTACTCAAATGTCGCGTGAAAAAATTTTTATATTGGCTTGTCGAAAATTTATTGATTATTCGAACATAACAATTTTTTTCAATTGGGTTAATTAATTTTTGATTTTTTAATTGTAGTGGTTTCTCGATTTTTGTTGGAATTTATTTATCACGCGTTTGAAGAAATAATTTCGATACGTATAAAATATTGAAAATATCCATCAAGATATATTTTTAAGCAGCATCAAATAAAACCACATGATCGTAAATTCATTCAGAATTTGATAGATTCACTCGATCACCAAAAGGACAATAATTATCTATTCAATATTTCATGGGAACCATTTTCTGGCGATATTTTCTCGATATTTCTGCCGTTTGAATTTAATCAAACGCATATTCGATTATATGTGGTGGATTATTGCTCTAATACGGCTTCTCATCCACTTTTTATTTATGCCCTGACATTCGTCGAAAACTTCTAGAACATCTTGCTTGAATACAAATTGCAGTTATTCATCCACCCGTACTCTTGCTTCTCATCATATCACACCTCTCAACTAATCCCTTCAATGATTTGTTTCGCTTCTTCATCACTATTCTTTGTGCCTAATACGTATTACATTCATATATGTATATATATATATATATATATATATATATATATATATATTATAATATTGCACAAAATGTGTTTATTATATGCGAGTGTGCGAGAAAATAAAAACGAGTGAACAGAAAAGAAGGAAAAAAAATCGATTCGATTTTTTCCGCTTTCCTTCAATGCTTTTTGGCGACCCCGTTTTTATTATCGCAATTTTTCTGGGAAATTTTCGTGTCATATTTTTTTATATTTTATATTCTTTCTATCTTCTTCCTTGTTTTAACTCAGCATTTTTTTTTTCAAAAAAAAAGATTGGTTAAAAATTTAATAATAAGATATTACAAATAATTGAAAAAGATACACTTTTAGTCAATATAGCTATTATAAAAATAATAGAAGCAATAGAAGAATAGATAATAAAAGTGGATGCCATGGGGGTTTCGCATTGCCCTTATATGTCTATCAAAAGGTCTTCGAGTAGGCGGAGCTTCATCCCACCTAATTAGAGGTTTCCCCACATGTATTTAGTACTTTTTGATGTCATTTTATTTTCATATCTGTTTGCTTCATTAATATCTCCTACCTGAGATCTCACGCGAAAACCGAATTTCTCATGTTTCGCTCATAAGCCGATTTGAGTCGAGATCATTCTTAATCTCGTCGACATTCTAATGCATATGTGCCGAATAATTTGAAAACATCCAACGGAAATGAGAATTCCTCTCATCTTATGCATTTTTTTTTAACTAAAAATAGTTTAGTTTGCTTCGATTTTCAGGTTCAATTTTCTCTATCAAACATAAATCATTTTTTCCCTGCAATTTGAAACCAACAATTAGCGAAATTTTAAAACTAAACTTTTTTTTCCAAAATTTTTTTGCGATATCATTTTATTAATTTGAATTGGGTCCCGTTTGGAAAACCTCGCAAAAACGAAATGTTGATCAGATCTTGGAATCCGATTGATTATAAGGTTTCGAAATTGGCGGTCATCTGGAATATTTCCTGAAAAACAAAAGTCAAAAATGTTGGAAATTTGAGAAAATTCACGTTCCAGAATTGAAAGTGTTCATGAAATTGTTGAAAATCGCTTATTTCCTTCCTTATTGCATTTGCTTCATCGATTATTTTGCGGCACAAAGTTGAGGGCAAACAGCATCACGTTTAATTAAGGCAAACATGTTGCGCACATCCTGATTCAATTCAATTCCTCCTCAATCCCATTCATTTTCCCTTATTTGGGAGCACACATTCATATATGTATTTGCGTGTTTTTTTTTTGAAGAATGACATCTTGGACCGCCGTGAATGAATCGCTCAAATGTCTAAGTCTCGATGAGCAGAAGATGATCGAATCAGTGCTGAAGAAGGATCTCGAGTTTCAGGAAAGCGAGCAACAACGCATTCGGTAGATTACTCTAGATAGTGGGGTGTCCTAATTTATGGGCGAGTTTCAAGGTCGCTGTCGAATACGGTTCAAATCAAGAAGACGAGCATCGCCGAGAAGCGTCGAGCAAGCAGCGTGGCAGCTTCAGAATCGTCGGAGAGCAATCTGTCGAGTCCCGGCAATGTCTCGCAAGGGTGACTACTTATTTCGGTGTGCTTTTCTCGAAACCTACAATTGTTCCAGTAGAAGCTCGCCCCTTCCGAAATGGAATAATCGGGTGTGCTCAATTTGTCAGATATCGCTCGGCTACATTCTCAACAGCGGTACGAAATGCAAGAAATGCTCGGTGGTGAGTGGCTCGATTGATCGCGCTTCATCTCAATTCAAGCGTTTCAGCTTCTATGCGAGAAATGCGCGGTCGCTATAACAACGAGCGGCTCGGCGAAACAACAGCAGCACCTCTGCCAGATCTGCTACGACGAGCGCGAGTTGTCGGCGGCGAAGAATGAGTGGTGCAAGGGCGCCGTCGACGAAACGCCGACCTCGCAGGTGCTGCTCAACGCGATTCGCACCACCGTCAATGGCAACACCGCCAAGAGGAATAGCATGCAAATCGCGACGCCAGCGCCTAAAGGTGGCCCGAATAGACGATTCGGAAACGTTTGAGTTAGTTCAGGTCGGGCGCCCTATAAAAGGAATTTAACACTTCCCGCAATCCAAACCAACTATTTGAATGTTCCTGATGAAGCTCCCGGAACAAAGTCCGCAACTGGATCACCAAAGTTCTGGGGAGGATCGCCGTCTCCAAGAAGTCCACGATCAATCATTTCGGCAAACTCCTGTGAGTCACAATTGTAACAATTGAAGTATTGTCGACGCAAAAAAAAAAACGTCAGCGGTGGTTTTGGCTCAAAGCTATAAATGTAGAGGGAAGAATAGGTTAAAGGCGCACACCGCGCACCGGGACCTTTTTTTATTTGTTGGCAATTAGTCAATTTTCTAATTGTTTTGCCTCGGGCCAAAATTCAACAAAAAATGACAACAAGCTTTGAATCGGGGTTGTTACGATGGGGACCCAGTCCTGCTCCCAATTGAGCCGAGATATAGTCGGCGCCGGGTGACTGCTGTAATTTTGATAATTTTTCAATCAAATGACGTTCGAAATTCAAGAAAATGCGAAACTCATCAAGAAAAATGAAGCAGTTCCCATGAAAACAGCAAAATAAGCATTCACGCGTAGCGAGACCTTTTCAAGGCGCATGCTCGTAAATCTACCCCCGTACATTATTCGCCGGACGCGGACTATACCTGTTTCGATTTAAATTCTAAAGAAAAAAGAAACTTTCATTGTGAACATCTGCGGACATATTCCGGGATGCGCCACAATCGCCTTTTTGTTGGCGGCAATTCAAACACGGGACCGACGCGACCATACTCAGGGCAGTTTCGGGCCCTGTTTCAACATTTTCATAACCTTTTCCAGCAATGTTTGGATTTTGTAAATTTCCAGCAATGAACAGTGTATTCGAAGAAAGCGGCAGTACAAATACGCTACAAGCAATGCATCCAAGGTAACGTATTGCACTCTGCACTATGTGCTTCTTCATGTGTGTCCTTATTTCGGGAATTCGGTTCTGTCGAGTCTATCTGATCACTTTCAGAGAGCCCATCGGAAGTCCGGCGCCTCGTCCAATGTCGAGCACCCCATTAACCGGCGTCCCGGAAGACGAACGACTCGAAGTCGTAATCATTATTTGTCGGGGGTGGTCTTAATTGCTGAACAGCGGTGTTTCAGGTTTCTGTGCCATCTGTCGAACGCCGTCGAAGCGCGTTCGAAGGATCGCGAAGGTCTGAAAAACTTCGACGCCAAAGCGAGGCTCCCGTACCGACATTCCAGCTTAGCATGTGCTGATTTTCTTCTCTGCTTAAGCGTCTCCCCCCGTAATTTATGTCATCGATTAATTCATAAATATTTTTGGCCGCATTTGGTGTCTGCTTTCTGGGGGGCTTTTCCAATTGTGCCATTCGAAAATGTCAGGTTGTCGAATGTTCAGAGAGCCGCGAAAATTCGTCGAGACAATTCTGCAATACGATCGAAGGCGATCGATATTGTCAATTCATTTGGTTACAATTCGTTCTGAGAACACACTCCAAATAAGGAGCCCGAACGAATTCATGCATATGGAGGTAATAATGAGAATCGAAGGCGATCGCAGCAAATCGATTGATGTGCCACATTTTGCGCACTCATTTCAGATCGAGGTTCGACGAAAAAACGCGAAAACTTCAATGCGGCACAAGGGTCAAAAGCAGGCGGCGCGACGCGACGATTGCGAAAAACTCAACGAGCTCTTCCGGGTACCGAAAATCAAAAATAACACAATTCGTGTGATTCAAGTTCCCACGGTTTCCCGAATCAGCGCTCGTCGACGCCACATGCCGAATCTCGTGCATTCTCTCATGTCCGAATAACAATTTGCCCAACTCGATATTCGAAGGGAGCATTCCATTGAAGGAGTTATTAGCGGTTCGAAATGTCAAATTGTTCAAGTTTATCGAATTGTCAAATATCGAATTATGTATTATTTCGCAATTCAATTTCAGTGCCAAAACGAAAGTTGAGCATTTTCAGATTCGATTAAAGAAGAGGAAGATGAGTGCGAACAGTACGATTGGATTATCAATGTTTGAGCTGCATATACATTGCTATGCCATAAATATCGACAAATTCTTATTGTTGTTGTTTTTTTTGTGTCGGACTTCCTCATCGAGCCACCCCCTGAGGCCCCCCGATTAGAGCGACGAGAGAGCATGTCAGGTGCGAGAGGGTGCAGGACATTCTAAATAGGCCATAGTGTCTGCGCATCACCGGATCGTGTGCTCTTTTCGCGACACACAAATACGCATACTTCAACCGACCCCCCCCCCGCTTCCAATTTTCTCTCCATCTCTCGGTATCCAACTTGTAGTTTTTGCACCTGTGAGCCGCCCCGAATTTACCCAATGACAAAACTGTTTGTGCGCGAAATTTCGACGACTACAATCAATTTATATTCTACCGATTTCTCAATTGATTTTTTGTTTAAAACGAAAAGACGGATAGTAGAAGATTCTTACTGTAGGTGACTAAGGGAGTCGGCTCATCTGGAAATCAAACAATGAGCACAAACAATTGGCTTTGTGGAGGTGTTCGTCGTTTTGACGCTAACCCCCCAAGATTTTCGAACCCCCCATTTTAGGAAGTTCCCTTCCCTGTTCAGAGTTCGTTTTTTTTTTGTAACGCAACCCATATCAATGACACTATCATAACATTCAAAATATCGTCTTTTTTGTTTTTCCGGGTTCACTTTCTAATTCGGTTCGAAGCGAAACAAATTTTGCACATTTTCCAATCCACCCCCTCCCCCCTGATTTTTTCGAATTTCGCTATTTTTTATATTTTGCCACAAACAAGTTTTCTCTTCAAAATTGAAAAAAAAAATGTTTGACGAAGAACGTACGCATTGTCAACTGCATCTTCATTGGTCTATTCATTAAAAAAAGTAATGTCTCAAAATTATTGTCGCGTCTCTGAACCCCGACGTTTTGACGACGGTGCTTTCGTTCGTTGATAATATCTGTGCGAGACCACAAAACGATCATTCATTTACTCCGAACAAAAATTCAATTATTCGTATATTCCAACTGGACTCGTATTGGATTCAATCTAGAAGACAATATTTTCAATTTTCTATTTCTATTTTTTTTATTTCCAATTTTCGTTCGCAAAAAAATGGGCATCTTGAATTTGCTTCTGGGCTATTAATTTTTCGGCTTTCATAATACGAATGACCTGCAAACTCATCGGAAATCGGCCAACGCTTCTCGTTTTTTTTTCAACCAAAAATTCTTCATTTCATTATCCGAATTTGGTATAACAAAATGAATGAATGCATTATTGCCAGTTTGTTGAAGAAACTGTCAGAATCTGTCAGTCGCCTCAAGACACAGCTCAGCATCCGCGATATGCGCCTTTAATCACTTATTCAAATGCCGATTAAAATAATTAAAAATTGGACACAAAGTGGTTTTCACAAAGAAATGTTTTAGATACGGTAATTGAAAAGGCGTGAATTTATTGTCTCGTGACTTTATTCCAAAAGGTCTTATTGCGCCGTGATGCGCCTTTAACCTATCGTAATGCCTAGGCTCGTAAATCTACACCACTGCCATTGTTTCTTTTTTTTTGGGTATTCGCCAATTTTCCACGACGTCAACAATGTAGTTGCGTAAAATTTGAAAAAGTTGTGTGACTAATCAATTCGATAAAAACCGTCAGAATCAATCCGTTTGGTTTTCCCTCGAAATCGAGAAAACTCGCGAGAAGACAACCCAGTTCATATGCAAACCAAACCGATGAACATGTCGATACAAATGTACTGTCATCATGGAGAAGAAGCTAATCCTGACAGAGGCACTCGGGGGGTTGGCAAGACCCTCGTCAAATACCCGTTTGCGCAATTATCGAAGGTTCTTTTTTTCGGGCAGGAAATGGCTTCTTTTCGTTGCCATTAGAAACCAAAACACTCATTTTTCTTCTTTTGCCTTTTTTTTCGCAGCCATTGTGTCCGTCGAATGTTTCGTACAAATCCACGATCTATAATTTTGCGATATAGTAGTTATTATTATTATTATTGTTATTAGTAGAATCCGTTTTTTTATTAACAAGAACGAAACCAGTCACACCGTTTTGTCGTGTTTTCTTTTTGTGTTCGTCGGTTCGGCCGCCGTGATTCGCCTTCTTCTCAATTTATAATTGCGTCCGTTTCTAGGCGCCGCTGAAAAAAAAGAAAAGAAAAGAAGAACGCACTCATACTCCAAGTGTCAAAATGACAACCTTTTGTGAGCCATACTATACATTTTTCTTCTTTCCTACTTTCTTCCAAAACCATTTTAATGATCTTCCAAAGTTTGATCATTTCCAAATAAAACAAAATGGTTCTCAAAACGAAAATAAAAAAATAATTGAATAAGCGGCTTGTTTTTTGTTTTGATCTACTTCTACTATCCGCTTCATCAATTCCGATAGTGTGGAAATTCTTTGGCGAACTGGGTCAATATTATTGCAACACACCGTCTGCCTTGTTGTGTTTCGCTCGTCAAAGTTTACACAAACTTTTAACGATGCTATTGTCAATGATAACAACCACTATTACAGTGTCCGAAGATGGTCATAAATCTAGAAGAAGCCGAAGACGATCACGCGGCTTCTTCTTCTTCTTCTTTCGCAACAACTAGTGAAACCATCGGAAAATCTCCGCCGAAAATCTACATTTCATTCACTTCATAGCCCCCCTCATTTTTTTTTCTGTGTGTGTGTGTGTCACCATTTTTTTTTATTCTGGTCGATCTGTGTTGCCATTGCGATATCTATATTTCGAACTGCCTCGAAAAATATGTGTCAGTCAGCGGCTTATCAAACTTTTATCAATTCGTGCGCCACGATCACTCCTTTCCGCCCGCTCGTCCCCCCGCAATTGTTCGAAAACTCGAATCGAATCGATTTTTATTTCCCGTTTTGCAAATTTCGGTACCGTAATCCAGTTTGATTAGACATTCGCGAAAATTTGACCCAAATTGATTGATGCGATTCAATCTCGTCGAGTTCAATATCATCGAAATGAATTATTTCGAATTATCATACAAAAAAAAACACACGCAAATTCAATCTATGCGCATAATTCAATTGAAAATCACCATTTCATATTTTCATTTTTTTTCTGTTGAAACCTCAACGCCAACTTTTTTCAGGAGTCCTAATCTTATCAAAAATTATATTAAGCGGATTAAAATGTAAATGCGGTATATTAGAATTTCTATTTATATTTTCATCGACGTTGATTCAAATATGGGCAATCAAATCGAAAATTAGTCTCATTTTTTTTGCACATTTTCCATGAAAATTTAATTTGAGTGTTGCTCGTTTTTGAACAACCAGTCGTCATCAATTTTCAAAAGTTTCTGTCACCCGCCGAAATCTGATTTTCTTCAAACTTTTCCAACAAAGAAATGAAGTGTTTCGTCAATTGCTAAAATAGTTTTTTTTTGCGACTCAAAGAAATATTTGTTTGTGGATTTCTTCACTTCTCAACTGGTTATTGTATTCTATGTTGAAAACTCAAATCTAAAAAAATGTTGTAGCCTTTTTTTGTTTGCTTTGAAAAATAATAGTGCCCCTTCCTAGTTTCCCTCAAAGCAATCAGAAAAAGAAAACATGAAGCGGTGTTGATTTGATTTGTGCGACGGCGGTGTTCGGCCATTCGTCCGCTCGAGATGCTGACCATCACGGGCATTGGCGACGCGCTTACGCGGCGGCGCATTTCCGCGGGGCGCGATTTCCAAATCCGGGCGGTCTGTGTCAATAATGCGACGCGGTCGGTGCGCGCTATATGTTTGAGGGTTGATCGAGAGAGAGAGAGAGAGAGAGAAATAATAGACATCGCCGCGCACTTCGGCACGCGGTGTCGTTTCGGTGTTGAAGCTTCTGGTTGGTTGGTTGTAGGCGGTACGGTTGCGCGAAAGCAAGCGCCACCGACGACTCTATCGATAAACATTTCGCATGTCCTTTTACTGAATTCGCCTCGTGCCGTCCGTCGCACGCGTGCCTTCGTGACGTGTGTTTGTGTGCGCTGAACGCGTGTTCAAGAGTAGATCAAATAAGTCGAAACCACATTTTGCAACCAGCAGCATCCTCGCTGACTCATTGATATGATTGTGGTGTTGCCGGCTCGTCGCAGTCGCCCTCACAGTTGGGATCGATTTCATCTCAATTTCTCTGCTCTCTTGTTTGCATTGTTATCAGTCAGGTCCCTTTGATCATCATCATTATTATTATTATTATTATTATTTTGTTCAGATTGCTCTTCTAGTAAACGTTTCCAAAAAAACTGCATCGAACAATTGTCGCATTCCCCTTTGCTGTTTTTTTTGTCCGCTGATGATTCTTCTCTCTGCAATTTTTTTTCGACGGGCTGCAACAAAAAAAAAACAACTCAATCAATTCATTTCTCCTCGTCTGTTTTTGATTTTCTCAACTTTGATTTTTGCCAATACGAAATTAGTCAAGAATATTTTTAAATGCAGCTGGTAATTAATGAGATGTTTGCCGCAAAATACGTTTATTTAAAAAACGATCTGCGGACATATTCCGGGTTTTTCAAGAGCTTCTAAAAATCACCGAAATTTTCAAAATTGCACAAAAACGACCGAATTCGTTTGCAAACGCTTTTTCAAACTTCAGCTTTTGGCGACAAAAGTTCAAAATGCAAATTTTCGCGAAAAAAAATTGGTGTTTTCAGAATAACGCCTTTCAAATATTAAAATGTTCACCTGTAGCTGTTTTGTCTGGCATTTGTTGAGCGTAAAAACCTCGAATATTGACGAGTTTTCTCCCTTAATCTCTGAGCCTCTCAATAATTATTCAACGAATCAAAAAAGCAAAAGTTTCGAGAAAAACCCTTTGCTTACAATATTTTATATTAATGAGTGCGAAAAAAAAGAAAATCGCTGATACTCATAGATCAAACATCACTATTATTGTGTGCATTTCTACAACTGTGAGCTCTTCGAGCAACTCAAATTTCAAACTGATCTCCTCGATTATTTTGTACACTACATATGTTGATCTGAGAAGTGTCGATGACATAAGATATTAGGCTCATATTGAATGGATATGAAGAGGAAGTTATGGTGTGAAAATGAGGAATATCATTTTCCTTTCCGATTTTAATAACTCGAAAAAAAAGAACACTCAAATATAAGATTTCTTTAAAAATCGAAATCAATGTGAATTCAAGTAGCTCCCAATTTTTTTTCGCCAACTTCAACATTGATCCATTTGGAGTAAAAAAAAAAGAATTCCAACTTTTTTTGGTTGTTTTCTTGTGCTGAATTCATGCCACGGTCAGTCACACACTCATTTATGAATGTCCTCGTCAAATCTAGGTGCGCCGTCAGCCTGTGTGTGTGCGTTCGTTCGTCAAAACCGCGAAAAAGTTGGTGGCGGCTGGCCAATTGTTGGCCACCGTCTCGTTCCTCCTCATTCCTCGGTATTCCTCCACACCCTTTTCTTCATCTTGTCTCGTTTTAAAGAAAATGACAAAGTGGCGGACGTGAGGCGAAGGGAGGAGGAGGAGGAGGGGCGGCCACCCTTCAAATTTCCCATCCAAGTCATTTCGACAACTTATTCAATTCGCCTCATTCATTCATTCATTCATTATGAACTTCCTCTTGATTTTTGATCTACCTACTTCCTTTGTTTCATTTTCTTTCGTCGTTTTTTTTGCAACCAAAAAACTCGGTTTCGATTTGCAGATAGATGTGAGTGATGACAGATGATGTTGCTGTCGATTCCATTCAATTTGATAATACCCCATTCGAAGACGTTTTTGATGTCGAAACCGAACTTGGAAGGTGAGGACAAAAAGTGACACCGCTTCTTTATTTAGCGAATATGTAGTCCCATTTTTGGGCAAAAAATAGCCAACGAAAATATGTGTCAATTAAAGACGATTATAGTGAGAACAATTTTCGTTTTCGGGGGCTCGATAAACCAAAAACAATACATGTTCAGAAACGTTTATATAAAATCCATCCATCTGGAGACAATTAATGCGTTGTCCGCGTAAAACATATTTCCATAATGGACCTCGTTAGAAATGAAAAATTGGCCGAACCATATGAAATCGCATATTCTTCCAATTACTAATATATAATATATCATAATTGGTTTTCACAAAATCAATGTTTAAATATTAATTATTTTGAAAATTTAGTTTTTTTATGAAGATAACTCAATTTCTTAACCATCGTGACCTGTTCATAAAACCCGTTTTAATTTTACCAGTTTTGTGGAATTCATGGTAGAATTAGCTAAAGATGCGAATCAAAACCAATTATATACCTTTAAGCAATTGAAAGAAAGAAATTCGAGAAAAAATCTTCATATTTTTAAAGATTGGGTGTCAAATCTACCCAGCGTTTTTTTTTTTCAAGTCGCATCCGTTTTTTGTATTTATTCTTTTCACCATTTGGGATCATTTTTAAATAAAATTCTGTCAGAAATTTACAGAAAATCAGTTGCAATCAGAAATTATATGTATAGTAAATATATAATGATTGGATTGAGATATTCGCGGAAATTATCTTAATAAATTGGTCGTGCTGAGTAGGGTGTTGTAATTGAATAATTGATGTTCTTAAACAAATTAATTAATAAAATTTCCTTCTTGTGAGTCCTAAATTGGTTAATTTCAATTTTCTAAATTCGGGTTCAACATTCATGTGTCCCACTATACTAGGAAGTTGGTTCCGTTCCGTTCCTTCTCTCTCTCTCTCTCTCTCTCTTTTCTTTCTTTTTCAACCCTCTATATAGATACGCTAATTGAGTCAAACAATGAGTGCAATGAAGCGTAGAACATATGATGGGAGATTCTGGGGTGTTTTTTTCTCTCTTGCCGCCGCTGACGTTCTCATTTTTTCATTGCAGCGGCCAATTTGCGGTAGTTCGACGGGTGCGCGACAAGAAAACCGGCGAGAAATATGCGGCGAAATTCATCAAAAAACGACGATATGCCACGTCACGTCGCGGGGTGACACGTCAGAACATCGAACGCGAGGTGAGAGAGTCAGTCATCATGACTCAAATGGTCCCAACGGCGCACAAAGTGTTACGGTAGAGACTATTGTAGGTGCGTGTGCTGCAGAAAATTCGAGGGCACTCAAATGTCGTCGAACTGCACGCCGTTTATGAAACACAAAGTGATGTCATCATCGTTCTGGAGCTGTTCGTTTTTTTTGTGAGAATTTCATCTTGAAATTATTCTTGAAATTTAGGGTTTCCGGAGGCGAGCTTTTCGATCATGTATGCGCCAAAGAATGCCTTGATGAAGCTGAAGCTGCCGCTTTCATCAAACAGATTTTGCTAGCAGTTCGACATTTGCACTCGCTTCACGTCGTTCATCTAGATATTAAGGTATCGATTTAAAATAATGTGTGCAAACAAAATGTGTTCAAACACCGTGATGCGAATTCTACAAAAAAAAGCACATACAATTAAATCCAAACCGCAGTTTTGGGAGTGGTGCATTTTTGCGTCAGATGTATGCACAGTTTACTGAGCATTTCTAGGCAAGAGATATAATTAATTTCACTTTTGTATGAAAATGAAATAGCGACCTTTTTTTGGAGAAGTTCTATACACAAATCGTTCTTTCCTACGTCGCATATGCAAGTTTCTTATCGATATTCGAAATAAATTGCGTAAAACTCCAGAGGAGAAACGTTTGTAAAATCTGAATTTATAAAACTTTGCGTGATTGTCAAAGATTGATTTTAAATGTTGTCTTCCAGTTTTCACAATATTTGTTTAATTTATGTATTTCCAGCTTTTTACGGAATACTCTGAAATAAACTTGAATTACTGCCACACAATTTTTTGTCAATTCTTAAATGCATACATATTAGCATCAATCTAATGTAATATAGAGTTGAAAAGCAAATGAATTTCAAAAAAAGTGTTTTCCGATAAATCTTCGATATGGAAAAATTGTTTCCTCATACGCTTTTGTCTTCGCTTCTTGACAAACTCATCGGGCGAAACAGTGGTTTTTCTCAGGTTTTGTCGAAACAAACACGTGGCACTATTTCGCCTCTTTGAGCAAAACAGTCAATTTGTTTTATTTTTAGAACTGTTTCTACAAAAATGTGTCATTGTTTCGACGAACACGAAAAAAGTCTTATCTTTCCCAATGAGCCTTCCGAAAATTTGAAAGTTGGACATACTCTGTGCGCACCGATTCTTCGCAGCCAAGTCGAAATTGAAAAAAATTTTTTAAATTAGTTTCACGCTACTATTGGAAACATAATTAATCCCATTTTTAGTCGGCGTCCGGCGATTAAATTTAGACTTACGAGTTGGCTTTTCGAAATGGTCTCGTCACAACTGAAAGCTTAATTTTAAATTTTTACCGGAACTGTTAAATTTATCTTCTTGAGTATATCATTTTCTTGAATACCACATTCAAAATAGCAGGTTAGTCCGTGCGAGACCACAGCGAAGCGGGTACCCCTTTAAACAGTTTCAACGGCCCATCAAGTTTGGAGGGGATTTCTAGTTGTTTCAAAAAAGTTTCTGAAAAACTCACTAATAATTTCAGCCAGAAAATGTGATGCTGAAGCAACGCGGCGAATCTCAAATCAAAATCATCGATTTCGGTTTGTCGCGAGAAATCGAACCCGGTGCACACGTGAAAGACATGGTCGGAACTCCCGAATTCGTCGGTATCCATCTTTAAACAAACCATTGCTCTGTTTCAACTGTTTCTTCGAATTTCAGCTCCCGAGGTTGTCAATTACGAGCCGTTATCTGGTGCAACCGATATGTGGGCGGTTGGAGTTGTCACCTATATTTTGTAAGTCACCAAGTGCTGTTGAATCGAATCCAACGAACGCTTTCAGATTATCGGGCGGCAGTCCGTTTTTGGGAGACTCTCGCGATGAGACCTTCTCAAATATCACCAGGGTACGCTATCATTTTAGCGATCGATATTTCAAGAACACATCGAAACACGCGAAACACTTCATTAGTCGATTGTTCGTGAAAGATGTCGACCAGCGAGCAACGGTAGAAGAGTGTTTGCAGCATCCTTGGATTCGAGGGGTATTCAATCATTTTTGGCATTTTTCTAATACATTTTTTATAGCCGGAAGGCAATGCTGTTGATATTCGAAAAGCTTCTTGTATCACGATTTCTCACATTCAATCGTTCAAGACAAGACAACGATGGAAGGTAATTCAAGAAAGCAACCAGAATACATATGTGTTGAACATGATTTTGTGTCATTCAGCGTCTCGTCGAGCTGGTTACAGTAATCAACAGAGCGACCAAAAGCGCGCGCTCGTTGAATGACGGCAGATTTGACAAGGAAGACCCTCTGCTGAGTTGCACATTAATATGCGCCGAAGAAGGCAATTTGCGAGCGCTGCATAAACTGTCAGCACTCCATCGACTACATCCGAATTCGTCTCCGAGATTCGCGCAACCCCCTGGATTTACTGCAATGCATGCTGCTGCCAAATATGGCCAAGCTGAAGTGTTCAATTATTTGCACATGAAAGGCGGAAACATCTGTCATCGAGAGGATGGTGGTACGTTTTTCTTTTATTTATTTATTGCTTTTTTTTTAGTCAATGACATGATTTTTTGAAATTTCCGTTCTTCAACTTCGATTAGTCAAATAATTTTCAGGCGACACTCCACTTCATGTCGCGTGCCGATTCGCTCAGCATTCGGTCGCTTCGTACCTGGCGAACGAGAAAATTGATGTCGATGCGATGAACAAACGCGGCGAGACCGCCCTTCATTGCGCCGTCGAATCGGCCGACACCCGAATCGTGCGGCTGCTGATTGCGTTGCGACCTCGTCTCGACATCCCGAACGCCGTCGGCGACACTGTGCTCCATCTCGCTGCCGACAGCATCAACGCCCGACTTCTTCCGCTTCTCGTGAGCCTCAATCCGCCGCTGTATCTTCGCAATATTGTGAGTTGTCGAGAAGAAAGAACAATTTTGTTGATTTATGACACCTCATTCATCCATTTCGTAGAAGGACCCGTCGCGTTCATTTTTTGTTTTGTTGGGTTTCCCATTCGCGTTGAGAGAAGCCGGCCGAAAAACCAATTTTGGAGAATTTCTATGAATATTAAATGAGGGTTTCTGGGGGAGGGGGGGGGGCGAGTGAGAGCGGATTCAATTTGACAGACGTGCTCAATTTTTGAATTATTTATAAGGAGTGGTGTCCAATAACAGATGGACAGGAACATTTAGCAAAATTTTGTAGTTTTCCAAAAATTTCCTTCAAAATTGAAACTTGATATTGAAAATAGCATCTTCGGATGTTTGACTGCCAGCAAGCCTATTGGCTACGGTACCACTGTTCTCATGTTTACCATTATTATATTGACGGCGTCAAACGACTGAAGGGAGGCGGGGCCTTCAAATTCGCGAAATCAGTGTAGATTTAAATTTTACGTTGACTGAATATTAAATGCGCGTACGTTATAATGCAATGTACGCAATCTCGCGTCCTTCTCGCTGCCTCGAGACCAGGGTTGGTAAATTGAAGCCGAGGCCGAAAGCCGGGCCGGGCCCAAAATTTAACAACCCTGCTCGAGACGCATTGGCACATAGCCAATCATTTTCAAAATTTCGTCAAGTCGTTTGACTTCGACAATAAACATCTAGGGTGTGAACATTTTTTTCGTACACTCTCAACAAAGGATTCAACCAAAATTTGAGTTTCGCTACACAAAATCGAAATTGAACTCGGAGCAATTTCCTCGTTTTCCCCTTTTCTTTCAAGCACCAATCCAACAAACCAACCAATAAAACTTTGAATTGCAAGAAAAAAAAGAACTAGGGGGGTGCAATTAGGCGTCCATCAAATATTTTGCGGTCAACTGAATAGGCGTACATGTCGAAATCCATAGAGACCGCGCTCTCGCCGCTTCACACTCGCTTCCACCGCCGACGAGTAGTAGTAGTACAAGCTCGAAATTGCGTGTCTCCGCCCTCTCGAAATGCCTTCGTCGTCTGTCGCTCTCTCTCTCGCTATATATCCGATCTCGTGGCCACACACAGACACATTCAGAAGAGCGCGGACGCTTGACAACCAGGTGTCGCTCGAATCGATATTACTACTCTCATTATTAATAGTATTATTATTGTTGTTGTGACTGGTATTGGTCCCACTCAACGCCTTCCATCATTTATCGTCAAATGAGTCGAGATGAGACGTCGATGGCGACACCATCGCCGTCGACGTCAGAACCGGCTTCTGAATCCGAATCCGACTCGACGATGGTTGTGCCGGGAAGTGTGATGGCCACCTATCTAGCGGATCCTGTCGCCAATCCGGCCGCCGCTTGTTGGATGGAGAGTCCGAGGCCAAGGGCTGCGGATTTCGTCACCAAAAAATTTTCAAAATTGGGAAAAGTTGAAGCTTACGCGTCGACGACGACAGCATTTATTCAGCTTCTGAATGATATGTCGACTGATTATTCGAGATGCGATTGTTTGGTAGGAGAATTTGCAAATTGACTTGGTTTTATTGACATTCCGGGCAGAAATTGGCACAACAAATATCATTTTAAATAGTATTTTTGAGTTGTTAAGAAAACTCTGAGCTTTTGGTAAATCGATACTTCCCCCTTGACGATCATTTCTTTCCGAGAGTTCTTTTTTTTAACTCGCTTCAATCATATCTCAAATTTCACACCAAATTGTGTGTGTGATCCGTCGCAAAGCCGGATCAACACCTTTTTTGCGAAAACGAAATATCATTGATGATGCGTTTTGCAGCGAGAAGAGACACCTCTACACGTGGCATGCGCTCGCGGCCACATCGATTGTGTTCAGTCGCTGCTCGACAACAATGTTCCGATCGATGCCGCCGATCAGGAGGGTCGAACGGCGCTCAGTGTGGCGCTTGAGAACGCGCACGTAGACATCGCGATCACACTCATCACCAACGGATGCGATATTAACCATGCGGATTCGGTAATGACCGAATGCAACATTTTATTCATATACACACTAAACCCGTTTCAGCAAGGCAATACTGCCCTTCATATCGCCGCTAGAATGGGACTGCTGAACGCTGTTCAGACACTCTGCCACTGTGCGGTCAGGGTAGATTCGGTGAACAAATCCGGAATGACGCCGCTTCATCTGGCTGCCCATCAAGGACATGTCGATATTATCCGAATTCTTTGTTTGGCTCGTGCTGACGTCATGAAGAAGACAAATGAAGGATTGACGCCGGAATTGATCGCTTTGGCGCAAGAGCACACGGCGGCGGCTGCATTACTAGCCAAAGTGAAGTCGGCCGAAGCACGAGAGGAGTATGTGAGCCAGCTTTATCCTCTGGATACATCTCTGAAGAGGATCAAGCTCAAACTATTTGGACACTCGATGAGCGGAAAAACGCGTCTGGTGCAGACGCTAAACTCAACTAGAGGAATATCGTCGTTCTTTGAATCCATGTCTCGACGGATATCAGATCATTACAGTCCTAGCAATAGCATGGGCAAAGGTGAGAACATCTGCTCTAGTGCAAATCATTTTCAATTTTCTAGATGACGGTGTTCACTCAACGAATGGATCCTTCGTTTCGGAATCTAACAACAACGTCGATTTCGTTCCACCGCATTCGTTCTATACCAGGGGAATCGATGTGCAAACTGTGAATATTGTTGGCTGCGGAGAATTTTCGGTGTGGGAGTTCGGCGGCTACGACGTGATGCATACGTGCTACGATCATTTCGTCGGAAACACCGATTGTGTTCATCTCGTCCTCTTCCGAGCTTCCGATCCCACCGAAGTCCAATATAAACAAATTCTGTACTGGATGAATTTTCTGAAAGGACGAGTAACACCAGCTGAGCCCATTGGACATTGCGGAATTATCTCGCGGAGATCAAAAGTCATCATCGTTGGAACCCATGCGACGCCAACGTTGTTCCCCCACAAAAATAGCGACGGAGAGTATGTCTCATCGGATATCGAGGCGATGCTGAACACGGTGCGACTCCGTTTCGAGACCCATTTCGATATGGACCACAAGCCAATTCTCCTCGATGAAACAAATCCGTCGTGCGTTGGATTGAAGACGTTGAAGCAGGAATTGGCGAAATCGCGAGCCAACATCCTCTCGGTTTGCTCTCTCTCTCTCTCATTCATAGATCTTTTCGAATTGCAGAAGCTTCTCAAGCCGTTGGCGATTCTTGATGCGGTCATCGCCAATCTAAACGTTGCCCGCAAACAGCACTCCAATTTCCCGGTGATTACTTGGCCGCAATTCATCAATCTGGTTCGGAATGAGATCAATCCACTTACTGGCGACACCCATTGCCGACAAATCGTACAGCAATTGCAGCTTATTGGCGAGGTTGAACTATTCGACTTGATCGACATTGATTGCCTTCGTTTACAGGTTGTTTATTTGCGCAACGAGCAAACACAGCTGGATTATGTTGTCTTGAATGCCGAATGGCTTGGAACTCACGTCATCGGACAATTGCTCAGCGCAGAGTTCTTGTCGAAAGCCCGACGCAGTGGGCTGTACAGCATCGCAAACCTGGCGCCAATATTCCCGGAGATCCCAGAGCCTGCCGATCTGATGCACATCCTCGACACTTTGCAGCTGTGTGCTCCCGTCGATATCGGCGAGACGTTTGAGTTTCCCGTGTTCATTCAAACCGAGCCGCCGCCGAACATCTGGGCTAATGACAAGCCGTCTTATGTCTACGGAGGTGTTCGAATCTTGCCAATGCGTGGAATGGAACGATCGCTTTTGAGCACATTCCCAAGGATTCAAGTAGCATTACGAAGAAGTATGAACGAGTTCCAGGATCCCATAGACGCTGAGCTCATGCAGTGGTCCGAGTGCTCGAAAATGTGCTCGGGATTGAAGGAAGCCCAAATTCGTCTAGTCGGCGACGCAGTGGAAATTCGAGTACGCGGTCCAGCCGATCGTGCCACTTCGTGCTTCTACTTGATGGAAGATCTTATTAATCTAGTCGAACAGACAGCTTGCGAAGTTGCTCCTGGAATCGCTCTCGAGCGACACTTCATTAGTCCGAAACATTTGAAGATGCACAAGGAGAATCCGGCGTTGTTCCTGCCAGAAGCGATGATGGAGATGCAACAGAAGGAGTCGCTCTCTGTGCAAGGAACCCAAGAAGAGGAAGAGCTTTTCACCGACGTCGTGTGCTTTGGATCGCGCGACGTCGCTCGACTTCTAACTCTTGGAATCGACGTCGGCGTCGCTGAGCTCCAAATGACGAGTCGTTGCGAGCTCGCGTGTCTCCTCGATCCGCCTCATAATATGGGCCGCGATTGGTCGATCCTCGCCGTCAAACTTCAACTGACCGATCAGGTTCCCGATGTATGTCAATCATTCGAGGTCTCGCTTGTCAAATATTGAAATTGCAGGTGGATTCAACTGGTCAGAGCCTATCAAGAACGGATCAATTGCTCAATGAATGGGCAATTCATCATCCCGAACAGGCGACGGTCGGCAATCTGTGCAAGGTGCTCGTCGAGCTCGGACGCACCGATGCACGCGACGCGCTCTACCGAACGGTTCCATTGTACCTGTTCGCCCCTTTAGAAGACCAATACCAGATCGAGACGACTGACAGCGGCGTCGTCTCGTCGTGCCACTCCTCGTCCGAACAGCCGCACATTACTTAATCGTTTCATTTCATTGCGTTTTTTTTTCCTCATTCATTCTTTTCGTGTTCATTGTGATTGTAGAAATCTACGGGTTCCCGACAACCGATTTTGCTGAAAAAGAAACCTATACTTTTTTGTCTGTCTATTCGCACAACATACCGGTCAATTTCCCTTGTTAGCTCGTTGTTTCCTGTTCATAATCGAAAAACGCCTTCCAATCTAGTGACACATTTCCAAACTGTCGATTTTGCCTTTTTCTTGTTTCACTCGAAATAAATGCTCTTTTTAGGTTTCGGTGTTTAATTTGTATTTTGTTCGAAAAAAAAAGAGAAAACCTCTTGATTTATTATTGTGCATTTTCCAATCTCGCTCTCTCCATATATCACTTTAATAGTAGTATAGAAGAGAGAAAGGTAAAGCGAAAAAAATAGAAGAAGTTTTGAAGGCATCTACCCGTAATAATGCCTCAAGACGACGTGTTGTCCCGGCAACTCCATTCATCTTTATTCGCTTTTTTTTCGAGCTGCTCGAGCCGAGTCGCCGCTTGTCAGCAACGCGCAACACCAAACTTGTCGCGTTTATCCCAATTAAGTGTGTAACCTGACAAGCCCGCGGCGGCGAGTTTTTGGATACAACATCATGTGATTCGTTCGAATCGCGCACTTTATTGTTTGCTTTCGTCGGGCTCTCCTCGTCGATGTTGCTCTTGCTCGGCCGCGTTTTACCTGGAGCCGAGCCTCCCCTTCCCTGAAACGAAATGAGCTCTTACATAAGATGCTCTTCATTTTTTTTTTTGCGCTACCATGGTTTCACTTTCGAGACACACACACACTTATCCCCCCCTGATTTTTAAGCTGCTTGTGTTTACACACGTTTCTACAAAAAAAATTTGCTGCTGCCTTAATTTTTGGGATAATCTTATAATAGAAAACATGAAGTATCGCTTTGTTTTATTTTAGAAAATCAATTGTGCGCCTTTAATAATTTGAACACTGTTGATCGTGAGACTCATTTTGACGTAATAAATGCACTTCGAATAATCACCTTCATAGACCCCGTTGTTTATTTGAAACATTATTTAATTACAGCCTTTATAAAGAAAATTTATGTGAATTATATTTATTTTATTGTCAGCTCGAAAACTCGCTTTTTTTTAATTCACTGGCGAGTTTTGATTTTTATTATTTTGTTGTGTTTCAAGATTTCCTATTCGTAATTCAAAACAAAATTGATTTGTCAATAAAGTTTTGACACTTCTTTTTTAGCATGACGTTGAAAGAGTGTCAATAAAAAACATTTCCGCATTTCTTGAACAACTTTCCCAGACTGCTTTATGAAGAAAAAAAACGGCTTGCATTTCTTTTGTGCCGCCCAAATTGCAGACTATTTCATAAATTTATACGAGTGCAGAATGTTGCGATTCGTCATCGCACGACGACGGCGAAATCGATGGCGCGCGTCGCCATTGATTGTTGCGTCGTTTTTCGTTTCGTTTCGCATACACAAAACCGTCGCCATATTTATATGTACATTTTAGTATTTCGAAGACCGCCATCGCCGAATTAATCGCATTGCTCTCTGTTGTTGGCTGTCTCGTTGTCTCATTCTCGTCTTTCTTTTCCACCTTATCACTTCGATTTTTGGCATTTTGCCCGCTGAATTTTATATTGATTTCATTAGTATTATTCATATTAATATTGCATTCGCAAGGCGCGCGTTTTTTTGGTAATATTAATAATCATATTGCACCTGCGAATTGAAAAAGAAATGCATAAATTTGGAGATTAAGCGGAACATGATTAAATTACACCGGAAACGACGTTTTTTTCCACCAAATTGCAATCTATTAGGTTAATGTGAATATTTGATATTGAAAATGTGTTGTGCTCAACCCGAAGTGATTTCGAATTTTCTTCTCCTTCTTTTTTTATTAGTTTTGTTTTAATTAGTCGAGTAATTAAATTCATTACGATATAGTTGATACGTACGAGTATTCAATAGAAAACTGAGCTAAATTGAAAAATGTTTTCAAAAGAATCTGAATCAGAAGTCAGTTTTGTACCAACAAAATTCATTTTCTAAACTTGCTTTGTATAGAAAAAATTAATTTTATTTAATGAATCTTATGTAGAAACGTAATGGAAGAAATTCAGTGTGTTCCTTGTATGGAATATGTTCATCAGACAAATTTCTTTAAAAATTAGCAAACTATTTTTTTTCATTTACTTTCAGCGTATATCAGTATTTATTTTAAGCTTGTCATTAAATTGCAGCGGTTGGGGGCGACGGTGTCGACGATGCGCGGCAGCAGCTCGTACGCGACGCCGCCGCATGGCCAGATGATCATCAACATGAAGACGACGGTGACGACAAGCGGCGGCGCTCACAACGGGCTTGTCGTGCACAGCGCCATTCAGTCGTCGTCGTCGTCGTCGTCGGCAAACCCGTCGACAAGTGGCGGACCATCCGATTGGCGAACATCGCCATACGTCGAATCGCCAGCGCCGATTAGAAAAATTGAAGATCGCATCGAAATGATTCGATCAAACTCTTCGCTTCATGTGAATCGCGTTTGTTGACTCTCGGATTCAATCGAATATTTCAGAGAGAGCGCTCGTCAAGCCCGCTGCCTATTCAAATGGTACCCAGTACGAGTCGAGAAACCGTTTATTCAGGAAAACGTGACAGCTCGCCGAATGTTCCGGCAGCTCCACCATCGCCACCCGCATCACCAATATATTCATTCAAGGTTAAAAAATGCGAAAAAAATATGCATTACCAGAAATGGTACGTTTTAGGGACGAAATTCGCCGCCAGACGAATTCATTCAACCAACCAAGTTAATGCTAAATGTATTCAATCCGGTAAGACATTTTAGAAATTGAAAAAAAAATTTCTTGTGCAACAATTTTGTTAAAAATTCTAAAGAAACTCGAAAATTTCTCTGAGGAATTGCCGCCAAAGTATCAGTGTTTGCGGACTACAGTTTTTTAAATGAATTTTCTCGCAAATATATTTCAATTTTTTAATGTTAATTTATTAAGGATGGGTTAAAGACGCACACGGCGCACCGAGACCTTTTTTTTATTTTTTGGCATTTGACAATATTCCGAAATCGTGCAACGCAAATGTCACACAAAAAATCCAAAAAACATCCGTCTCGTTTGATTTTTTTTTCCCCTGCAAAGTAGGTTCTCTAGTTTCTCCCAACTATTGGATTCTATCTTAATGCCATATAAGTAGTTTAAACGGCTCATCGAGTTTGGGAAGTTTCTTGAAAATTCTGAACAAAATCCCCCGTTTCTCTCTCTCTCTCTCTCAAAATATTCGTTTCTTTGATGGAAAAGCCAGTATGTCATTCTTCGATGCTTTTAAAAAGAAATAACTAACATTTTCAAGAAGACATTTTTCGGCTAATCCTAATCATTCCAAAAATTCACACGTTTTGCGTCGCCAATTGCGAATTCGATATTGCGATTCCGCACCGATTCAATTCTCGTGATTTTCGGATGATGCGACAAGCAACACGAAAACCAACGACGTATTTGTCGAATGCTGATGATTCGCTTGAAACGCGCGAAAATAGCGTCTCGTTGTTTGCCATTGTGTGTAGTATTTATGAATTGTGTTTGCGCACATGTGTATCATTGACTCGACTATTCGGGAGGAAGGAGCTCGAAAACTAAAAGTAAACACGAATGGCGGCAAATGGTAATTCGATACGCAGTTTGTACCCTCCAAAAAAAAACATAGACACACATTCACATACCCGAAAATTGCTTGGCGCTCGTGCCCGCCGCAATGATCAGTTCTGAGCGCTACTACCATAAGATCATTGAAACGGTTTCTACTTTTTCCTAATTGGACCATATTCGAGTTGTTCAGACTCATAGGGAAGCCCCGGCATGGCAGACATCAATTCCGCGGAATCAGGTGACGACGACGACACATGACGGCGGAATTCAATTGTCGAGAAGGGAAGCGTTACTCAACGACGCTGTCACCACAACAACCACCGTCGAGGTGTTCCGAGCACCGGTAACACCCAACGCAACTCCTTGATTTTCAAAGAATATGAATTTCAGCTTGACGAGACTCCGATCGTCTCACTTCCTCCACCCCCCTATGGTGGCCAGCCATTGCTCATTCGAACACATGGGCCGTCGTATGAGCGTTGGGGAAACACTAGAACTCAGACCACATTAGCTGATGAGCCTCTTCATAGCAACTCGACATCAAAAGGTGTGCAATGGAAGGAAACGCTGGTCGAGAATCGGCGCTATTTGTAAGCAATCGTGTCGAGCAATCCATGCAATCCCCGTACTTCTCTAGGAACGGCGACAATGACTACGATGAAATCTTGCCGCCGCCACCACCGCCAATGCCGAATCCGCATACTTACTACCATCACCCACAATCGCAATATTCGCCGATCTCGCATCCGATCATTACACACAACTCAAGAGAAGATCTGTCGAAGCCGATGAGTCGCGCTTCGGCATATCAAGCGCCGACATCGCAACCGCCGCGCACCCTTAGTCCATTATACATTGTGCCGGATCGGAAGCAACAACAGATGCAGCAACCGCAGAATCACCAAATGACATCTCCAAGTTATAGGAGCAATTATGGATCGAGAGAGTCGTTGAATAGTGGATATTATGACATAGATAGGAGTAGAGATAGTGGAAGGTGAATATTTTCGGCGAGAAATCAAGTCTATTCGAAATATTGAAAAAAAATTGTTTTTCCTCTGAACACTTTTTGTCCTCCAAAAATATTCAGCATCAATTATTTTGAAAATTCAGAAACCCATTGTTCTTGAAAGCTGTTTAGAATAGAACGTCGTGTTGAAAACAAAAACTTGCAGGCATTCGAGTCATCGTCGCTCCGACGATCGTCATCCTCGACGCTCGAAGAGTAATACTCGCGACGAGGCATCGAGCATGACGCCGCAAGGCGGCCGCCGCTACAAACGAAGCAGTCGGCATCGGAGCATGAGCCCGATGGCGGGACGCGCAAGCAACTACGGCGGTTCGCAAGAGTTCGTAATTCCCGCTCATTCACCCATCGGTAGCACCCTAATGCTGGCGAGTCCTGATCCGAACGAGTTGCCCGGTCGACCGGCGAGCGCCAAAAGCGCCGAGATTTTCGCGCTGTATCAGACACGCGACGCGCTCAATCGGGTCGTTGACCAACTGTGAACTCAGCGCCAGCCTACCCGGAATGCTCGTCCGAATAACATTTAGAATCGCATGTTTAGTTATCTCATGATGTTGTATATAATATTCAATTTTCATTATTTTCATCCAATTCTTTCAATCGTATTTGTTCTACACTCATTGTGTCATTTTCGTGAATGTAGGCACTAATTTTTTTTTTCTGATTGATAAAGCATGAGTAATATTGTTGTGATTGTGATTATGGCGAATATTGCGATATTCTAACACGGCGATATCATTTATTGGCAAAATTGGCAAGATTTACAGAGATCGACTAATGGAGAGTGTAATTGATGAGCTCGAAATGATCACATCGCCGTTGGCTGAGTCGGAAGACTCGGTGATCTCCGAAGCTTCACATAGACATGATTGTGTGAGGTCGTGTGTTTTGGAAGCAAGACGACCAATGAGAAATTCGATGGAAATTGACGATGATGGTGGAAATGATAAGGAAATTGACGAGATTTATGATCGGCCTCCGCCATTGCCGGAAAAGGACTATGCAAGGTGAGAAGCACAAAAAAATTGGGGGGGGGGGGGGGAGAGGGAAGGCAATTTGCGAAATTATTCGGGAAAACCTATTCGTAATTTTATTTTGTTAATTAAAAAAATCTAAAAATATGATGGAAAGCCCATCACAGCCAATTTAAATTGAAACAGAATACCAAAAATCTGAAAAAATATTATCCAAAATTTTTAAAATTATTTTGTCGCTTAATATTCCCTCATGAAATCTAACATTCTCGACACATTTCTGAAATGTGCAGAACGATAAAAAAGAAAATAAAAATCGAAGGAAATTTCAGGATTAGTCAGTTTTACCGAAAACGCACTGATGAGTTCAACATGCGTCGTTCTCGAAGTTTTGACAAATCCAGGAATGCTCCGCCTCGTCCGCGAACACCGTCTCGAAACGCTCGCCATTTTGTGGATCGCAAAAAGGAAACACTTTACGCGACACCGAAAAAAATTGTCGAAATCCCAAAAATTGAGGAATTTAAAGAACTGCCAAAATATGTGAAAAATGACGATGTGACAGCGACGACTTCAACCTCGACGGCCACAATCGATATGAGCACAGAGCAAGAGTTCAATTCGTCATCGGATAAAGTTAAGAAGGTCGAACAGCAGTTGACAACTTTGCGATTGGCAAGAGAAGATTCATTGACGAATCTGCTGAAGCGACACTTGAGTCAAAAGGCGAAAACTGCTGAGAGCACTGAAGAGACTGTTGAAGAGGAATTGACGCCGAAGTTACCCGAGTATGTGGAGCCGAAAGATCCGATAGTGAAAGAACTTCAAGAGTTCTTAAATATCGCACCAAAAACGGAAAGTAAGGAGGTTCGCCACTTCGTGTTTCTTCGAAAATTCACTGAAATTTCAGAATGAGAAATATGAAAAGGCTTCATCATCGCCTACAATCTCAACATCTTCAACAATTGTTTAGTTGTTTTTTTTTTCGAAATTTTAGAATGAAATTGGTTAAAAAAATTATTTTTTGAAGACAATAACAAAACACTTCCGATTTTTTGTCAAAATCATAATGAAGCAAAATTCGCTTTTAAAATCGTAAAAACAGGCAATATATGCGTATTCCATAATTATTTAATTAATATTAATTAAATAATTATTATAATTAATCCATCAAGTGCGGCCGTGGTCGAACATAATATTTTAAACGTTTTTTCTAGGCCACGCGTATGTTGCAGGGAGAGTAACGGGAATTTTTTATTTTTCAAAAAAAAAATTTAGCGAACAGTAATGATATCATAAAATGATTATAATGAAAGTATTTTATAGAAACCCGAACCAATTAAATCGAAAATGAATGCGACACGAAGAAAAACGCATTTTTTTTTTTGGAAAAACGCTGTATTTTTTTCGAAAATAATCGAAGCGCGGCTAAAATTTGAAATAATCAGTGATTCCGTGCAAGACAATTGTGAAAGATGTTCATTTGTCCGTGAAACTAACTCGTTGTCGACGAATTCCACACAGCAGACGAGCCTCGTTTCTGTGTTTTCAGCTCTTTTCCAAAAATAATTCTTAAATCCAGCTTTGGAAGTTCTCCGCAAAACTCTTGAATGTTGATGGGTGGATTCTTTAATTGTTGCCGAATAACGGCGCGAACTTGTTTAAAATCAGCCCAAACAGGGATCTTCTTCCTCGGCTCATCCTCATTGTCGGTCTCATCATTACTATTCAGATCATGAATACCATAGTCATCATCCGGGTTTGTCGAGTAAATGCGATGCGGGCGATTTGGCAACTTTCCCTTCAAAAAATAATGATTATTATCAGAAATGCATTCTCCAGCCAAACATTTTTATAGTTTTCTTTATTCCGCGAAATATCTTTTTCATTGTTCGCATGCAATTCAACTTCTTCATTTATTTTGTTTTCATTTGACGCTATATCTAGATTTGCCTGAAAAGTTCAAAATGTAATTTAGTTTAATAAGCCGAAATTACAGGTGTTCCTTTGGTTTCGGTTTCAACAACGAGATTATTTATCGGAGGTATTCTATCACAATTCAATTTTATCAATTGTTCTTCCAATTCTCTTATTTCTCGTTTTTCGCGTTCTTCGCGCTCCATGGCCTCGTTTTTTTCTCGAGCCTATCATTTTCATCTATTAATTATTTTATTTGAAATCAAACGAGACAAACCGCTCTCTCCCGTTCTTCTCTTTGCTGTTTGAGTCGAAGCTTCTTCTGCATTTTCTGGATTTCGCGTAAATGCTCGGCATGCTGCAAACAATTAACTAATTTATTTTGGTGAAATTACCTTTTTCGCCGTGTTTGGTGTCATATTGGCTTCCATGTCCATTTCTTTCATTTTTCTTGATGTCATTTGTATTTTCAATTTCTCAATATTCTCGTCGTTTTGAGGTGAACGAGCAGTTGGAGTAGCAAACTGAGCATTAACTATAGCAAATATTATTAATTAAAAACCGAACATTTTTATTATTATTTTCTGCTACATATTCGACATTATCGATCCGACTATTATCAATAAATAACTGTTCTCCACGAGACATTTGATGTAGAAAAATTTTAAAGAATAATATTATATAATGATTAAAAATCAACCTCATATCATCAAGTCACGCCAAAATTCGCCAATATTATCAAAAATTTGTTTCCAAAACAATTTTTTATAGCTTCCTATTATCGGCGTTAAACGACTCAAGGAAGGCGGGACTTTCAAATTCGCAAAATTAGTGTAGATTTAAATTTGTCGTTGACTGGATATTAAATGCACGTACGCTATAATGAAATAATCCGCTTGTATGATTCCGAAGCGTGGGGATCAAAGTGAACAGTGATGTAGAGTTGGATAGCTTTATTATATCCTTAGATGAACACTACATTGTATGAAGGCCGGGTATTTATACTAGTGGGGATGTGCTTCTAGAATGTTCTACAATGCGCGTGTGGGGATATTTACGTGAGGCTTCTAGAATGTTCTACAATGTGCGTGTGGGGATATTTACGTGAGGGACTGGGTTCTAGAATATTCCATAACCTACGTCAATTTCGGGCGGTTCAGCTTTACCCAATCGGCGATGTTGAGAATCGTGACTTCTGCTCCTGTGTCAAGCATCATTTTGATGTTGACTGTTCGGTAGATACGATTGGAGCGTCTCGTGGAAGTCACTGCAATGGTTATAGCGTTTGCACGCCTGTGCTTCTTGGACTTTCCGGATTTTTGACGGCAGCATTCAGCTATGTGCCCCTTCTTATGGCACTTTCGGCATTCTGCGTCTTTGAAGCAACAGGCCCAGTGAGTTCCTCCGCATCTGAAGCATGGCGACGGTGGGTCCCTTGCGTCCTTCTTCGTCTTAACGACATTCACTTCTAACCCTTCCTGTTTTGCGAGTGGTCGTTGAGCGTTCTCCCGGACTTCCATCATCTGATCTTGTCCTTGTGCAGTGACAACATCTTCGTAGCGTGTGTACCACTCATCGAATGTTTTCCCAGCATCCCGATCATAGGAGAAAATCGGGATTTGACTCGATAAAGCATTGAAGAGTTTGCTTTTATCAAGTCCCGAGACTGGGGAAGAGCATTGACGTTGGGCTAGGACAGGTCCTACCAACTCACGAACCGCTGCCATTAACGATTCGCGCTGCTCCGCTAGAATTCGACTGAGGGTTTCGGCATCCATAGTAGTCGGTTAATCCTGATCGCCGGTTGTTGTGTCCTTGAGTTCCGCGTGTATGATGCCGAAGCGTGGGGATCGAAGTGAACAGTGATGTAGAGTTGGATAGCTTTATTATATCCTTAGATGAACGACTACAATGTATGGTGGCCGGGTATTTATACTAGTGGGGATGTGCTTCTAGATTGTTCTACAATGTGCGTGTGGGAATATTTACGTGAGGCTTCTAGAATGTTCTACAATGTGCGTGTGGGGATATTTACGTGAGGGACTGGGTTCTAGAATATTCCATAACCTACGAGATTACAATAGCTTACATGAGTGTGCTCACAACATCGTCAAATCGTTTGACTCCGACAGTACTTCAAATTTGTTTTTTCATATATTGTCGACGTCGCGCGATTGCGGAAAATTGGCATAATGCTAACAAAAAAATTGAAAAAGACGGCTCAGTGCGCTTGGGTATTTTCGGATTAGATTGGTAGTTTGCTGAAACCGATTTTAATTGAAAAATCAAAACAAAACGTTTTCGAATAATAGCCAATCGGATCCGACAAATACCCAAAAAAAAACAATCGGTTTCAACAATTTTATAATCGCATCCGTAGAATTACCAATCGGACAAGGTTGATTCCGGAGCCGATGCGGGTCGACCCGCCCCTCCTCCCTCCCATTATCGGATCCGACAAATAACCAATCAGATCCGATAATTTTACTTTTTTTTAAATTAGTTTTCATTCGCGATGGTTTCTATTACATGAGACAGTAGAAACCTTGTTTTTAGCGAAAAGTAAAGTGAGAGGCGCATACAATTTTCTTTGCTCTGTTTTTACCGCAATACGAATCAATTGATCATTCTGGTTCTGCCTATTGTAGTACTTTTATAATTCTTCGAAATGGCCACCGATGAATATTCATCTCTTTCAAAAATAGCAAATTTCCAAGATTGGAGTACTGTAACTATCATAATCTAACATTCGCTTAGATATTTCTACAGTAAACATTTTTCATCCAAGACATTACACCGAAAAGTAAAAACATTTTTAGTTGTTCGGTAGGACCATATGCCTACAGTAATTCGGCCCGACAACATTTGAATTGAAAAAAAAACGAGAGCCTTAATTGTGGACCACCGCACTTTTTCGAGGTGGTTTTTAATTCAAATTAGAATTTAAACAGTAAAATTCGAATACCGTACTTTGGATAAAACCAAACTTACCGTAAATCGGCGCAGGATACTCGTTTTTTTTGCGAATGTAATATATAGAAGAAATATTGTAGAAAATTGTAATAAATATTTATTGTTAGATATATGAACAAATCAAACCTTAAAACAATACTCAATGCGTTAACAGCATCAAAAGCGCAATAATTGCATCATTCAGTGATTTCTTCCGTTTTTTCTCGTTTCGCCGGGGGTTCTTCCGCAGGATTTCCATTACCGCGATCGATAACAAAATCTTCTTCTCCAAATTCAACTTCATCCTGATCTAGTTTAATCTCGTTCTCATCCTGCATCATGTAAAAGGGGGTTCCGACGTTTTCCGGATCCAAGTCAACGAGCATTTTGTTGAGATCGCGAATACCTAACCATTGACAAAACTCGGCAGTCTGCGGATTCCTGAAATTCACGTTTCTTAAAAAAAATACTAAATGCCAAATAACCTATAGTATGAGCTGCTTGGAGCGTTTTTACTCTCCTCAGTTATTTCAACGAGCGGCGGCGCTGTGTGTCGGAATGAGTTCGGATCAATTCTCAAGTTTCCGAGCTTGAGCACCTCTTCGATTTCTTCTTTCGTCGGTCGGAAATCTTTGCGCTCATCTCCTGGTGTACCAGGTTCTGGAACAAGAATAGCCTGCCTCGTAGCTAAAGTGAATTCATCGGTATTCCTCAAAATCGCCAGCCATTCTGGATCATGAGATAATTCGAGCTCAGCATCGTCTTCGATCTCAATTTCGAGGCTCTAAAATAACAGGAATCAATTTTGAAAATAAATTTGTTTAACAAGATACTTGTAAAAATTGTCTCCTTTCCAACGGTTTGTCGAGCGATAAAAACCGTGTTGGTTTCGGGCGTTCTTCTCCTTTTCCTTTATGCGGAACAAGTGCTGCATAGGCAACATGCAAGTGAGCCGAAAGCCAATATTTCGGACGAATATCCTCAAAAGGCGATTTTGTAATAATTGAATTAATAAGAAGCACATACATAAAGAAGTTTCATTGCAGCAGGATTGCCAAGTTTTCCAGATTCATGATCTTTCCGAAAATATTCTTTTATACGGAACAACCAATTGATGTCTCCAAAATCTGCAATTCCGCCAGGCCAGTCATGACTGATCATTATATCGATTGGGTTCTGAATTTTATAATTTTTACATTCAGAATGCTGAATTACCGATGATTTGTCATCATTCGACGGTCGCAATTGCTTCAGTCGGAACATGTCGACGTTCCTCACGTGATAAACTCCCACTTTCTCATCTGGATTCTTAAACGGCGGCCGTTCAAAATGGGCCAATCGAAATTCTCTTGGATTGTAAATACCTGAAAGTCCCGCAATTCTGAGTCCGGCAAATCTAAAACGGAAAATTGTTTTTTTTTTTAATAAAGAATCAGAAATACACACCTAACGACACTAGCGAATCCCATATAGTATATCTTCGGCGCAACCCAGCCACCATTCGGCAGTTCACACAGAAATCCGGACGCTTCGTGATTTCCGCCTATGAACAACGTGAGAACTGGAGCTTCAGCTTCACCGGAATAATACTTGTAAAACGTCTGAAGCTCTTTGTACTTGTCCTTTACGTGCATGTGATGAAGGTCGCCATAGTTTCGAACTGCTTGATAATCACCACAGCAAATTAAGAGATCAAATTTATAGCCTTGTCGCTGTTCGATTAGGGCCATTACCTGTAGATGAACCATTATATATTTTTTCTAAATTGTATTGATGCCAACTTCATAGATTTTATCCATTTCTCCATGCGAACAACCGGCCACTGCAATTCGCAACTTTCTTTTTTCATTTTTTCCCGCTGAATCATCAATATTTTCTTCCTTTAGGGCTTCAGCTCTTATCGACGATTCTGCGACAACTTCAATGCTTGTCGATGTGTCATCGGTGGCCTCAGCTTCTGACATTTACTAAAAAAAATATCCCCCATAAGCAAAGCTTTCATTTTTTACAGGTATTTAATCTTGAATTTAACACTTCATCGTGAATTATTGAAAGTAATAAATTTAAGACATATTTATTTACAGAAAGGGATCTCTCTCTCATGATGGATTTGGATTCGGTTGGGCCGCCGGCTGAACTGAACCAGTTGAACAGTATTTTTTCCAGTAATCAATTTTCTCCATGTAAATCAAAGGCATGAACTGGTCGGCAAAGTCACGTAATTGTTTGGCAGCATGCATGTATTCAGCAGATTCTGGGAGATTGATACTCATTTCAACGAGCACTGAGTTCGATATCTTCTTTATGCTCGCTTGATCGTAATGTCCAGGGCGATCCGAGCGATAAAGGCAACTTGTCACTATTTTTATTTTTCCGGTCGTCCAAATCGTGCCTTTTGTTATAAATTCATAATCCATTCGAAGTCCTTAAAAATCATTTTTCAATGTTATTTTAAATAAGAACAAAACGATATACCCAACGTTTTTGCGAATGTCATCATATCATGAGAATAACTGCAAGAATCAATGACTTTCCGTACAATAACTGGACATTTTTGATCTGGTTCAGGCACTGCAATTTTCAAAACTTGATAATGAAATGATTATAATTTCCCACCGCCAATATATCTAAACATCCAACAATTTAAAAAGCCTTGATCTTGTTTAAATCTTCTTCTCAGCCTGAAACATAACTTTCGATTTTTCGTTATTTTAAATATATACTTTATTGTAACATCAGGCGTCATCGACATTCCTGTCCGTAAACTGAATGACATCTCGTGCTCATGGAAGTCTTCACTTCCAGGATCGCATAAGCCCGCTAATCTTCTTTCAAGATCCTGCATTCAGTTTTTTTCAAATTATCATTAGTTTTAATTTTTACCGGAAGATAAGTTTCATAAATTGTTCCATAAAGTATGCATTCTTGTGTTTGATATGGAATAGACGTGAACGATTGCTAAAAACCACATTATTGTTTATGCGAGTAGATAAGAGAAACTCACAGCGTTTAATTGATCGTCATCGTCAACGTTCACAGTTTGATCCATATTTACTTCGATCTGAAATTATATAGGTATTTTTGGAAATAAAAATATTAAATACACAACAACGAAAAGCGAATTCAAAAATAGCCGTGCATTATATCGTCAGATATTGCGCAAGTCCGCAATAGACTCGCAAGGTCGCAGTGGCGGGAGGAACACATGTTTGAATTTATCGTTTCTGCCGCCCGCTAATTCCAATTTTCCGGATTTTCTGACGTTTTTCCTTTTTCCCCAAACCGCTGCGAATAATTAATTATTTAGCAAAAAGGTACAAAAACAGAAGTGCATACTTGAAAATATCTTGAAAGTTCGCAAAATAATTACTATTGTAGTTTTAGTTTTCTTGCATTGCTATTCATATATTTTCAGTGTGCGAATGCCTCCGAAAAAGCAAGCTGCGTCGAAGTCTCGCAATCAGCTCGACTCCATCGAGTACATTCCGATATTCAGAAATGTTAGTTTTAAGTTTAACCGTGTTTCGTTTTGATTATAAGCTTTCAGGTATTGAACACTATACAACTAAATGCTTTGTCTAGCGCAAAGGATTTGTTCCGGGATTTTATTAAGGAAATTAATGAAAACAATGACAGACCACTTGTGCAAAACGTTTTTGAGGAACATATGCAACAAATTTCCAAAGATTTAGAATCTGTAAGATTAGTGCAAATTATACAAAATTTATATCTTTAATTATAGAACTGCGAATACGGTTATCCATCTATTTCGGCAAATGTGAAAGAAGAAGTCATGGACACAATTGATGAGAATAGATATGAGCAAGAAACAGCTGAATCGTGTTCGTCGAAAACACCGCGAACTGTTCGTACGAGAACACCTCAAAATCTCGAAGAAGCCACCGACGAAGAAATGGAAGATCTAGTTATTCCAATGACGGCTAAAAAAATGCAACAGATGAGTATTACGAGGACTACAGCATATAAAAGCCCAATGAAAACTCCTCGAAAAAATGTACACATGCCGAAACACTCAACGCCGAAAATTTCCGCGAAATCGGCACCGAAAATGGATTTCCATGATAAGTTGCAACACGCTGACGATCTTCGAAAAATTCAACAGGAACAGAAGACACTTCGGCTTAAACAACAACGGGAGGAACGTGAACGAGCGGTTTGTATTTCGAAATTATAGAAAATATTGCAGATGACAGATGAATTCCGTTACGCAAAGCTTTAAAATTTAAACGAGGCGATTTGATCTTTTAATAATTTACTATGTAATTGGCTGTGTATCAAACATATTTGAGTACACATCAAAGGCGCATGCAATAAATTCAGGCTTGTTGTTTTGAAGACGGCTCAAGGCGGATAGTTCGTTGAAAAGTAACTGATTAACATGATTAAACTTCCGTTAAAAAAACCGGTCGAAACGACAAGCCTGAGTAATTTTATATATTGCACGAACCAGCAGAACTGTTGTTGGGCTAAATTCTTTGAAATGGCGCAGTTGCCTTTTTTGACAATATGAAGAAATGATGATTATAGGCTCGGGAAAGAAGAGAAGCCATGGAACGCGAGGAACGCGAAAAGCACGAAATGAGAAGGAAAAAGGAACTGTTGGCGCAGCAAGTTAATGCTGCGAACATGCGGACGCCTCCGCGATCACCGAGTCGCAAAATTTTGCCGCGTCTTGCGAAGACACCCTCGGCAAGCAGTAAGGACGCGACACCCGGAAGAAGACCGGCTAAGTTTGGAAAACTCGAAGTTTTCGGAAATGAATCAAAACCAACACCAACTGTCAGTATTTCGGTAGCTTATATTAAATTGAAACTTTTCAAATTCTTATTTTTTAGCCGTCCAGAGATAGAAAAAGAAGCATTAAACGGGAGAAATTAACTATGGTTCGACCGCCGACGCCTGATGAGACGAAACGGTTGAGAGCCGAACAGGAAGCGTACTTGTTGAACCTCCAAAATCATGTACAGGATAATCAAGAGTATTAATTCGTTAAAATGATTAATTTAAATTTCATTATTTAATTTAAAGGGAGAAGCAGGAGAAAGAGCGAAAAGAACTAGAGAAAGAACGAAAAGAACGAGAAAAAGAGAAAGAAGTAAAACGATTACTCGAGGAACAAAAAAGGATTGCCCGTGAAGAGAATGAAAGACAAATTCGAGAAGAAGAGAATAGAAAGTTGCGCCAGAAGAAGGCTGAAGAATTGGAAAGGAAGAAGCAAGAGGAGCTTCAAAGAATTGAACTGCAAGCTCAGAAAGAAAAAGAGGCTTTGCAGGCTGAAATGGCCAAAAAGGTTTGTTTAATTGGAAACATAGTTAGTTATGAATCATTGCATTGTCCTACAGGCAAAAAATCTGCCCGCGTCATATGAGATGACACCTCCTCGGGTATACACGACCAATTCGGCTGATGATTATGGCCTTCATGATCTGAATAGTGATGATGAGACCGACAATGAAGATGAGCCCAGAAAGAAGATTCCAGCTTGGGCTGATTTCGGAAAAGTCCGCGCCGCCGTTCGAGAGCACTTCTTAAATCCTCCGTTCGACGTCAACGAGTTCTTCGGAGAAATTCCGATATCGGAATTAAAGATCATTTTTGGCGAGACCGTTCGATTGAAGAAAAGAGGATCGTCAGCTGTGTGGAAGACTCCGCCCACGACTCCATGTCAATAACGCACTACTCAAACTTTTCTTATTTGTAATTATTGTGTTTCTCACAAGTCTTTGAAAAAACCAACCAGAAACCTGGTAAATTTTCAAACGAATTTTTTCGAATATTATAAAAGGGCAAATATCTATTTACTATAAAATGGTTAGCCTATAAACGCTTGGTTTCAATTTTTTTTTTCTTGAATTCGTGTCTTTTTAGGTCACATCAATACTTTTTATTGTTTTTTTTTTCTTTTAACATAACTATTATTATTTAGAATGAACAAAATTAAGACAGTCGAAGAATTTAACGAAGAGTTTTTCAAGGGTATTGCGGTCCCGCTTACCCGCGATTATTCGAGATTGTCTAGCTCGCCGAGTCGCGATTGTGAGCACGACGACGATTACTTTAAGAGATTTAATCGTAAGATTTAATTACAATTTTATATGCCCAAGAAGTTTTATTCGCTTAATTGCAAAATCGGTGTTTTTCAGCCCCGGTTGAATGTGACACTCCAATGAAAATGAAGCTGTATCCGGTAAAACCAGAAGAAAACGAGTCGCTCACAAACACAAACGAGGTATTTAAAATTCCTCCGAGAAATGCAACTTTCATTTTTAATTAGAATCTTGCGGGTTCGGCATCCTCAAGCATCCACAATTCCGATGAAATCATCACTGAGAAACCAGCACCGGTTCCGGTTGCGCCTCCAAGAGCACCATTGAAGGTTGTGCCAGCAGCTACGAATGTTGAGGACGAGCTTATCGGTATTGAATTTTTTTGATGATTTTCGTCTAAATCATGATTACAGAAGATTTGTCACGTCTTGCTATGTTTGTTCCGAAAAAACCCGAGGAGCGTCTTTCACAACGGCGTCGTTCGGAACAAAAGAAGAAAGCTGAGGAGGAGACCAAGCGGAGATCGGCGATTGTCGCGAGGAGTGCCACCGAGAATTCGACTGCACGCGCTCGTTCGAACAGTGTCAACGTAATTTTGAATATCAATTAAGAATTCTTTTTATTAGTTTATTTTAGCGGAACTCTCGAGAACCTTCTGTTACGCGACCTGCAACTGGATCTCGCGCGAGCTCAATGACGCGCAAGGCTCCGGTTCGTGTTGAAGGTACAGGAGTGATTACCAGATCAATGGCCAAGGCTATTAGTGGAAATACGCCAACTGCACCAGCGCCGAAACCTCCAATTCGTAGAAGCTATATGGTGAGTAAAATATAACTTGTTTTTGAAGTCTTTTATATGGTATTAGGCTCCGATTGCGTCCAAAACGCCAACTTCCGTTTCTGGCGCAACTGCAGCTTCAAGATCGCGAGATCGCACCCGTCGATCGAACATTACGGCGCAGTCGGCGGACAGACCGAAGGTTCAATCAAAGGTGGGAGCTTCAACACCAGTCGCACCGCCAAGAAGAAGCTCTTCAACGAGCAAGGCTGCCCCCGCTAGTGGTATGCGATACTATTTAATTGATCAATGTTGAACGTAAACGCTCTCAGGTGCTCGACCGATCGCTATGGCGAATAGATCGATGACGCTGCGCATGAATGCGCTTCAAACTCACAAATCCATCTTGGAATCGAATAAAGCAAAAGCTGATCCGAAACCTTCAATTACAAAACCAGCCCCCGCACCACTTGCGACACGTAGAGCTCCGTTGAGAGTTAAGCCGTCAACACCCGCGAAAACCACAACTAGCAAGCCGATTGGTGGATCAGCTCAACGAGCAACAAAAGCTGGTCCAACGCCACTGAGGTCAAGCTCTGTGACTGGACGATCTGAAAATACGGTCACTTCTGTATGTTTGCAATTCCTCCAGAATCTCTAAATAAAATAAAAATTTTAGCAGAAGCACTTGTCTCGTCAGGAAGCTAACAACCTCTTCAGTCGACTTTCGACGCCAAAATCAGTTGCCCCTCCTGTTCGCGCTGCGACGAAGCCAGCTAACACCTCCGCATCCTTGCATCCAAGGCCGGTGCCATCTTTCATTTACAATGTTCAGAGCAATGGTCTTCCAACCACCGGAGGTCTTCATGGAATCCGCGCTCCATCGAGAGAACGCTCGCAATCTGCAGCCAGAAAACAATAAATTTGCTGTTTCATGTGTATAATTTTTAATCGTTTATTTATTCTTTTTGTTCAACTGTAGCCGAACAGCTCCGGCTCGTTCTCCGGTTAATGACTTCATTTGTTTCAAGTATTCATAATTGTACAATAGACATAAAGATTAACTTGTAGAGATCAGTGTTCACATGAAGATCGGCGATCTGCGGTCATTGCTGATAAGAGATAGTGGTGTGTAAATGAGGGAGGGTGCGAAGAAAGAGGCGGAGATTGGTTTTGGATATGCTTATCCTTGAACACGTGGATGCAACATTGATTCGACAAAAGTGTTAGCTATAAACATTATATTGATATATCGAGCTTTCGCAGTTATTGTCAGGAATTGAAGTACTGATTCTCGAATTTGGAATATGAAAACTCAAAGCTCCTTTAAATACATTCTATAAATTAAGGAAATGGAAATTGTTTTATTTAAAACTATAAATCTCGCTATTGAAAATAAACTTACTTTTTTTCTATTTTTTCGTCCGGGATTTTAAATTGAAAACGACTAGTAGTTTCCAAAATATCAAAAATAAAATTTTATCAAAATAATGAAATTATTTAAATGTTTCTAAGGGTTCTCCTTTTTCCAAAAATGAATATTTGAGTTTAATTCGATAAAAAAAACCTAAATATATATTAAAAAGCTAAATGTCAAGCATTTTTGAAATTTAATTAAAACGTGATCATTGAGGAATGGCATGCGCTAATACCAAATTCGAATTCACTAACTCACAGCTCGAATCTCGTCTTCATCGCATTGTAAGTATCGTCGATCAGTCGGACCCACCTTCCCGTCGCATTTTCTCATAATGATCACAACTTGATCTGTGATGTGTTTTCGGGAGAACATATAAAAGGGTCTCTAATCAATACATCTCTTATGTTCATTATTCAGTCGTGCTCACAAATGTCGTCGTCAGCGTCTTCGCGAATTTTCTCAAGAATCGTCTCGGTGCGGACCATCCGCTCACGATTTGCATCGACCAAGGCACGAGAATCCGCTGATGGAATTCCACCACCGCCAATCAATCAATTATCTGAAAACGAGGCCTCAATTGTCGATACTGGTCGGAACATTCATTGCTTTTCTTTGTCGTTATATGACATTCGCAATTTTCATTTTAGTTCGGCGATTTTCGAACAATGTCGTGAAGCCGTTGGTTCGCGAAATGGACAAATATTCGAAAATGGATCCAACCGTAATCAGCGGGGCATTTGAGAATGGGGTTTGATTGATTTGCATTTCATTAATACGCTTTTCGTTTTCCAGCTGATGGGAATCCAGGTTCCTGAAGAATATGGTGGGCCAGGAAGCAGTTTCTTTGACGCGATGCTCGTTATCGAAGAACTCGCCAAAATGGACCCGGCCGTTTCGGCTCTCGTTGCGATTCACAACACTCTTCCCGTCTCGATGATTCTTGATCATGGCAATGAAGAGCAGAAGCAAAAGTATCTGCCACTTTTGTGCTCAGACACTGTCGGCTCGTTTTGCATTTCGGAGACTGGCTCAGGAAGCGACGCGTTCTCGTTGAAAACCACCGCCACTCGCGATGGTGATCATTATGTGATCAATGGTATCATTTTAGAATCTCTCGAAATTGATATCAGGATTTTAGGATCAAAAATGTGGATTACCAACTCATCTGAAGCCAAAGTCTTCGTGGTGTTTGCCAACATTGACATTTCGAAAAAATATAAAGGAATCAGCTGTTTTATTGTCGAACGAGACGCTGAAGGATTGAGTGTGGCGAAAGAAGTGATTCAGAATCGCAATTTGAATATGGACGCTTTGATTTAGGAAGATAAACTGGGAATTCGGGCATCTTCTACTTGTCAAGTTCACTTCGACAACGTTCGAGTACATAAATCTGCCGTTCTCGGAGAGCTAGGAAAAGGTTGAATGATATTTCTCGGATGGGGTGGGACGACTTTCAGCACACTCTTAATAGAAACTGTGTAGAGTCTGCTGAAAGTCCGATTTGTTTTATTGATTATGATAGATGCAAATTTTAGGATATAAATATGCAATTGAGTGTTTGAATGCTGGCCGAATTGCGATTGGCGCTCAAATGATTGGTCTCGCTCAAGGATGCTTCGAACAAACCGTTCCATATTTGCAGCAGAGAACTCAATTCGGATCGCGTTTAATCGATTTCCAAGTACGCGTTTAATATTTGTTCAACGTTGTCTTTTTTTAATTTAAAGGGTATGCAACATCAAATTGGACAAGTCGCCACGGAAATCGAGGCGGCACGTTTGATGGTTTACAACGCAGCGCGTCTGAAGGAAAATGGAATGGAGTTTGTGAAGGAAGCGGCGATGGCCAAACTTTTTGCGTCGCAAGTCGCAACCGCGACGACGGCCCAATGTGTGAAATGGCTTGGAGGCGTCGGATTCACGAAAGAGTTCCCCGCGGAAAAGTTCTATCGAGATGCGATGATTGGTAAAATCTATTATGAAATTCTTGCACGAAACAAATGTTTAGGAGAAATTTACGAAGGAACTTCGAATATTCAATTGAACACGATTGCCAAAATTGTTGATGCTGAATTCAAAAACAAAGCTTGAACAGAATGCGTTTGTACAAAAATAAAATCTTTTATCTATCGATATGGTTCACACGTTGATAGCACATTTTCACTTTTTTTTAATTCGTAATTTGATTCTCAGGTTATCTTGAGTTCGGTAATTCCCACTGTTTGAATCGAAATTTGAATTTCCACCCTGGTAAAAGTGCGATGGTCCACAATTTCGCAAGGATACGGTAATGAAAGGCGCACGCAGTTTTTTCCGTTGAGTCTCGCAGCGGCCAATTCTGATTGCCACATTTTTCCGAAGACAGGCCATATAGTGCCAAGTAGTCTCGAGGCAACGATAATCGTGCGAGACTTTGCATTTTAGCAACACTCATTCAATGTTCAGTCAAAGAAATAATTAAATCAATGCCGATTTCGCAAAACTGAAAGCCCTGCATCCCTTCAGTCGTTTGACGATGTGCTTGTTGATTGATGATTTCCGTAAGCCTAATTTGATCGGTACGGTTTATAAATTAGCCTTGCAATAACTTACGCTTTGGCTGCGTATCAAAAATATGTAGAAATACAATCAAAGGCCCATTCAATTAATTAGTTAACTGCGCGGGAAGCAACAATTTGCTTAAATTTCCGGCAATATTCTGTATTCAAAAATATATAAACTTATTCGGTAAATATCTAGAAAATAAAGTTATTCGTACAAATTTACATATCTAAGGATGATGAAATTCGTGGAACGGAAGCATCCTTTACTTCTGTGAAAGAAATATGGTGGTCGAATTCGGAAGTGGTGAATATGGAACGGCGTTTCATTTATTCTCCTAACCAGTTAATCATTTTCATGATACCGTATTTCTCATTCGGACCATTTAGTTTTCAGAAGCAGACTACTCAAGAGAGTTATGTGAAAATTTTTAACTGAAAGGAGAGAAAAAAAGCATGGTAGTTAATATTCTGGAATCACTACATATTGTTTACTTAGTAATCAGAGATTGAAGGTCATTTCAAAAATGATTTGTTTACCTCTAGGTAAAGTGATCTAGTGTATTTAGAATGATGGGGGTTCTATAAAAGACCTCCCCCATCCCATCACTCGAGATAATCTACCTCCAATGCGTCTACTTTTCAATTCCGTCTGTATTTCGTGATATTTCCCATTTCGCTTTAACTGGAAACACCATCGGTCATATTGCACGCAAAACTCTGCTTCGTTTCAATGTATTTATAAATAAACAAAAGAGTTCAATTTATCATTAACAATGATGCAAATTTGGGCCAGCATATTTTAGATAACATTCAATACTTTACGTTTTATCATTGATAGAGGCCGGTGGATTCATTCGGTACTGTTAGCAGAACGATGGAGATGAAGACGACAATGAAGCATATGCCGATGGGGAAGCGTCGACATATGTGGATGTGGTATCATACAGTCGCCGATGATACTGTTCTATTCAAGAATTGGTTCATTACCGATGCAGGAAGTGAGAATTTTCATTTTTGAAATTGCATCATCGACCGTTTTTTTTCAGCAATGGTTTGGGCGTGTGTTCTTGTGATTTTGGCAGCGATTCTCCTCGAGTTCATAAAATATTTGCGATGGGCATTGAAGAGAAAATCCGACGAATCGACGAATTCATCAGTATCCAAGTACGGCGGAATTGAGATGCCTGCGAGAGCAGCTCAGTGAGCCCTGAAATTGTTGAAGCGAAATTATGTGGTTTACAGAAGCGGCCGAGTTTGGTCGCATTTGTCGCAAACCGTCTTCTATTTTATGCAATTATTATGGGGTTATGTGCTCATGAATATTTATATGACATTTTCGGTAACTTTCAATTTTTCAACATTTATCAAAATGTTACATATTTTAGGTGTGGATTTGTCTTTCATTATGTCTTGGTCTCGCTATAGGACACTTCATTTTCGCTTCGAGAACCTCAACGCCCTAAATCACAACAATTCTTTTTTTATAAATGCGATCTTATCTATACAAATGATTTTTTGAGTGCATATTTGGAATTTCCATCATTGGGCGTTCAATTCCCTCGGAATGTCTGTGTCTCTTGTATTTCGTTATCAGTCGGGTTCTGATTTAGATACCCGACATCGAGATTGATAGTCCCGATAAGTAGTGCATGCTCAATTTGCATCATTTTGAATCAAATAGAAATTTGAACAAATTTCAGTTTGACGATGGATGATGAACTGATTGGAATGAAAATGGACATGACGACAGCGAAAGGAAAAACGACCGAGCATTACATGTGGATGTGGTTTCACACGAAACTACAGGATACGGTGTTGTTCAGTGGATGGAATGTCACTGATGTTGGAAGTAAGCTTCTGTTATTTTCTAGAAATGAGCAAACTAGATGCTTACTAGACACAAAAAATATTAAGTATATCATTCGCAAAAAAAACGAGCACCTTGCGCTGATTTACGGTGAGTTTGGTTTCGCAGGTTATCCAAAGTATGGTCTCCGAATTTGAACTATTTAAATTCTAATTTGAATTACCGCTTTGAAAAATTGCGATGGTCCACAATTATGCAAGGCGCTCGTTTTTTTTTATGATGGTAATGAATTGTTTTACTTTTCCCTGTCTGACCATTATCTGTTATCGGCGGCGGCCACAGCTGACAACATTGATTTGTCAATCTTTTTATTATGTTCGCCGACTTCAAACAAAAGTCGGCAGTGTTTTATTTTGCGGGCTAAATATTGAAAATTTCACCCAAACTCGATGAGCCGTTGAAATTGAATATAGTCGGTGTCCGGCGATTGCTGTACGCGGGTAGATTTACGCGCATGCGCCTTGAAAAGGTTTCGCCACGCGTGAATGCTTATTTTGCTGTTTTCACGTGAACTGCTTCATTTTTCTTGGCGAGTTTCGTATTTCCTTGAATTTCCAACGTCATTCGATTAAAAATTTATCAAACTGATCGATAAAATTTGAAATAACCGCAAGACCAATTGAAAGAAGCATCTACCCGCGCAAAGCAGTCGTCGGACGCCGACTATATATGAAATTAATTATGAATCCAAAAGTAGTTGGAAACTAAATGAAAAAATGTTTTTTTAAATTTCGATTTTGCTGCGAAAAAAAAAACCAAATTTTAAAAATGTTCAAATGAGATGGGTGTATTTTGGGTTTTTTATGTAACATTTGCGTTGCGGTGTTTGCACACATTTTCGCACAATTCAATTTATTTATATTACCATCGCAAAAAACGAGTGCCTTGAATAATTGTGGACCATTGCACTTTTTCGAGGCGGTAATTCAAACTTGCATTTAAACAGTGGGAATTCGGATACCGTACTACAGGTAACCTGCGAATCAAACTCACTCGTAAATTGGCACAGGCCGCTCGTTTTTTGGCGAATGTAATATTCTAAAATTATCAAAACCTCAACACTCAAACGATTTTAACAATTTAAAATTCAAATTTTAATAAGTTAAAATCAAAGACTAAAATCTGAAATATTCTTGCGAGAAAATCCCAAAAGAAACTGTAGTCTGCAAACACTGATCTTTCGGCGGTAATTCAAACGCCTTCTCAAGGCAATTCTCGAATTTTGGTGATAATTTCGAGACACCATGGCAAACGGTCAATTTTTTAAATTTCGATCAATCGTTTGAAACTGGCAATATTTAAAGAGAAAGAAACTCAATATTCAAATCAGGCAATCGGAATTTTCTGGAAAAGATTTTTCAATTTTTTTTTCGCCAAAAAATTGGCGGAAAAGAAATTCACCAATTTGGCAATTTAAAAAATCGACAATTCCGGCAATCGGCAATCGACTTGTTGTATTTAGGCTTGTTGTGGACATGTGCGATCATCATCGTTGCTGGAATCCTTGTTGAATCAATTAAATATCTGCGATTTATTATTCAAAAGAAGCAGAAAAAATCAAGAGACCCAAAGTATTAAAATAAATTTAAAAAAAACTAATTGGAATCTTATTTTAGGTATATTAACCGACTATTTTCTGGTGCACATTTTGCGCAGACTTTGCTCTTTTTGCTTCAACTTGGGCTCGGATACATGCTTATGCTTATTTTCATGACATTCTCGGTGAAAAAAATCTTACTAAAAATGGAAATAATTTTTTTTGTGAATTTAGATTTGGTTGGGACTGGCAGTTTGTATTGGATTAACAGCTGGCTACCTCATATTTGGATATCATATGCATTAATAAATAAATTGATTTTTTAAATGATCAATCCTTGTTTATTTATCGTTCTATCGATTTATACGTATTCTCAGAGCGAATTGATTTAGTTTTTAATCAGTTTTAGGCAATTCAAAATGATGGGCATGAAGATGATGATGGAAATGTACTTTCACTTTCGAGTCGGAGAACCAATTCTGTTTCGAGAATGGACCCCTAAAGACAATACCGGTTTATAATAGAACATTTTAGGACAAATTAGATGCAATCATTTTCAGGCTATGTGTTCTCGTGCATCGGAATTGCAGCAATAGCCATTGTCCTTGAAATACTGAAATTCGGCAGGACGAAACTAATCACGTCCAAACCATTGAAAACTGTACTTCGCCTGTGTTAAAACTATCTCACCCATCGACATTTTCAGACAAACGTTTGTAATTGCTCGGCGACAGACGAATCATGGGAAATTCCTGAGATTCGCCGGCCACTCACTGTTGGCAGCAATTCGCAGTCGATTGTCCCGTACGATAATTAGCGAAAAAATTTTCAAATTTTAATTTATTTAAGCTTTACGAAGAAATCGATTTCTGATTGGAAACATATCATCTCATCGGCACTATTTTTTGCCCAAAATCTTATCGATTATTCATTAATGCTTGTCGCAATGACTTACAATGTTCCAATTTTTCTTTCTTTGTTAGCCGGCAAGTTCACCGAATTCACTTTTTTGATGTCGAATTTCTGCTTTCAGGGCATACAATTGGATATTTCTTCGTGGGCCCAATGATGACATTTGAAGAAACTCAAAATGTATCGGGATGTTGCTCATAAATTTGTTTAAAGATATTATAGTTTTTATTGGATTTAGAAAAATAAAATTTGAATTCCCGCCATAATCTCAATATTGTCGTCAATTATGGCACATTGTACGTAACTTGGCACGTCCGTGAACATAACTAATCGATATTACCGCGTGAGGAAATTTCGAAAAAGGAGCAGCGTTGTTGGGTGCGACACTGGTCTCGGAAAGAATTATACGGGCGTCACGCACCTGCAGAATTAATTTATCGATTGGCCTAAAATTGTGTTTCGAAAACACTGGAAGTGGCGTCCTTCTCGCGCTGCGTCTGTTTCTCTAACCCTTATCATGCGCGTTGCGTCTCTTATTCCTTTCGCGTATTGCTCTTCATTTAAATCAGAGTTCCTTACGAATGTTCGGGCTTACGTTGCAATTTGTCTTTCTAATATTCGCATGGAAACGTTCTTTCGCATATCCATTATGGACATATTCATGAACCCTTCATGGATTTTTTACAAAATTTTTTTAAATTACATCAAATGTGAATTTTTTATTGCATGAATAAGTCATTACTTCTTTAGTGTTTCACACAATCGGTCGTTTTTTTTTTTGTTTCGATTGTTTTTTTTTTAAATTTTATATTTTATAGATCATTATGGCTGACGATGCTGCTGCTCAAGCTGGCGGACAAGCAAATGACAATGCCGAGTACATCAAGATCAAGGTTGTCGGACAGGTAAATTAAATAGATGAAATATTTTCTATTATTACAATTATTTTCACAGGACAGTAACGAAGTTCACTTCCGCGTGAAGTTCGGAACGTCGATGGCAAAGCTCAAAAAGTCCTACGCCGATAGAACCGGCGTCTCGGTGGCGAGTTTGCGGTTCTTGTTCGATGGGCGTCGCATTAACGACGACGACACCCCAAAATCACTAGAAATGGAGGATGACGATGTCATCGAGGTATATTTTCTTTATTTTTTTCCATGTAATTTTATGGTTCTTCAGGTCTATCAGGAGCAGTTGGGTGGTGGTTTCTAATAACTCACACATGTTCCAATGGCCACCGGTAACTTCTGGAATCTCGATTTGTTTTACTATTTATTTCAAGCAATTCTGTATCTTATTTTTCTTTGATTGTTGTATTTCGTACCGCTGAAAATGCACTTTTAACTCCTTTTATTTGTTTAGTTACGTTACAACACGAAAGAAATAACTTATTTATCCATATATTTTGATAAACACGCTAATTATTTCAAGTATTCGCTGATTCTGGATTCAATTGTTTTCTCATTCCATTCACCGCTCGCCATGAAGTTTTCGATTTCTTCCACAGTTCTTGGTAAATCGCTTAGATTTTCATTTCCAGCAGCTCGAATAACCACGTCGTCTTCAATACGAACCTTAATTTATTGATTGAAAAGGTTCAGGTTTTGATGTGGGGAACAAAACAGTAATTATATTCTCGGATTTGGATGTATCATAGTGCAAAGTATTTGTAACTCGATGGAACAAGTAAATATTGACTTACGCCGCCGAGACCGCGATATTTATCAATTTCCGCTTTCACGAGGAATTTCGATTTAACCGGGTCCGCTAACGCCTCATCCAAAAGGAAATCGATGAAGTAGCATCCCGGTTCGATTGTTATAACCATGTTCTCCTTCAATGTTCTCGTCGTGCGGAGGCTCTTCAGTCCTGGTTCAGTAGATCGCGGCAGAGCATCACCGAGATAACCACCACAGTCATGAACATCAAGGCCGATGAAATGACCAAGTCCATGAGGCATGAATACCGCACCAATACGAGCCTTTACAGCTTCATCGATGTCTCCAGTAACTAATCCAGCCTTCTTCAAATGCTCCAGAATCACTTTCTCAGAGAGAATATGCATATCTGTCCATCTAACACCAGGTTTCGCTTGTTTCAGAACCGCAAGATTCGCGTCAAGAACCGCATTGTAAACAACTTTTTGTTTGTCGTTGAATTTTCCGTTAGCTGGGAAGCTTGTTGTGATGTCCGATGCATAACAATTGTATTCTGGTCCCATATCGAAAAGACACATATCTCCGTCTTTTATAAATCGATCGTTTGGAGCATTAGCGTGTCCATAATGAAGGATTGATCCGTTGCATCCACTAAATTCATCAAATTTTCTCAGTCGCGTGACGTCATCTACCTAGCAGCGATGCAAGTGTACGCCAAATGTCGACATCCGCCGTGGTAATACGATGTATGTCTGAAGAGACTTTCCAGTTGGTATTCATAAAGTCCCGGTCGCATGTGCTTCATCGCCGCGCGATGAGCTTCTGAAGCAATTTTGCTCGCATACCGCATCACCTGAATATCACATTAAGTTAAACAATCGACGTATTTTTATATGTATTACTTGAATCTCTTTTTCTGTTTTAATAACACGGAGTTCTGCTATAACGCCGTACAAAACGCTAACGTCTTGAGTAAATCTGAAAGAAAATATTAAATTTAAATTTTCAGAATTTTTTAAATCATACTGCTCAATTCCGCTGAATTTTGCGGGCTCTAGAACATTTTGACTGTCAGTGTTTTCAGCACGCTGAAATTAAACGAAACCAAATATATAAAACTACCAAAAATAAAACCAAAAGATGAAGCTTTTTGGTTCCAATTGTCTTTAGATAATTTGCGATTACACCATCATCATTAAAATGAACTTCATCAACCGAATACTTGTCCTTGAAGAATGTTTCGTCGTTGATCCTAGAATACTTTTATTTGAAAATAAAACGAATCCTTCTTACTTTCCATCCCAGATCGCATAACTTGGATGAAGTCGTGGTGGAAACAGCACACTTTTTCCTGTCGAGACATCAATCAAACCGTAAAACTCGCTCTCATGCACTCCAAAAGTCCAGAAAAAGTACGATTCCTTCAACATAATTATATTAAATGTTTAGTATTTCAATAGAGAAACTTGTCGGAATGGCAAATCAGCTGCATCGGTGTTATAGCGATTCTGTTCACGACCGCCCTCAAGAAGAACAACGTTTCCAGTCGAATCCCCAAACTTTGCTTTAAGTGCTTCGACGAGTCGCTGACGATTTTCGATGAAAAGTTCGACGGGCACCTTGTACGTTTTCTCGCTCAATTGGTAAGCCATTCCTGAAAAAGAGATTCATTAATTCATTTAAAATATTTTTAAATAGACAGTGTAAAAGAGTTTAATATAATCAGTAGTTTCATATCATTCGCTTCTTCTTCTTCTTCTTAGTCTTCTCTCCGATTAACGATAATTTATTGATTGATTGAGGTGGTTAAACACGAGGCGCAACTCGACATTTATAAACAAATGCGAATTTCAACGCGTATTTATACTCGTCCAAATATTAACAAAAACGAATGGGCGGCCGAATTCAATTTTTATTCAATTCAATTTCCGAGAATCGAACGAGGCAAGTAAATGTGTGGAATGCGACATGCAAAATGTTCAAAAACATCGCTGAACTGGATTTTACATAAATTTTGATAAATTTTTTTTGAAGTAAATGATCAAATGCACGTGAAAAATTATTTTGAAAAACCAATGGCGAAGGGTGGTTTTTTTTAAAGGGAACTTCCTCGTTGTCGTATCGAGAAAAGATATTTTGTTTTTAATCGATTGTTAGAAATAAAATGGTTAAAAATAAAATGTATCCATCAAGTTTTTATCTATCCCATTAATCACAAAAATTGAAAAATTTCGAGTGTTTCTAAATAGAATTTCGCAATTATTTCAAAAGATTGAAATCAGCAGATTGATCGATCTTCCTGTTTGTCAAACATTTTCATCCAAACTTCTTTCCTCATTCTTATTAATCAATATCCAACGTTACTTACAATACTTATAGAATATTTTATTTTAAAAAAAATTCTGGAAATGTTTATTTTCAATAATATTTAAAACGACCGGCACAAAAAATACATACGTTGTTAAATGCAAACGATATGGGAATAAATCAATACATCGGCGGCACAGATATCACCTGTTTGTCTTGCATAAAAACGAAATGGAGCAATTGAAATATCATAATTGTAATCAGGAAGATGTAAAAAATACTATATTAGAAAGAAGAAGAATTCAAATGAGGAAGTTACAAAAAAATGATTTATAGACAATTAATTTTGATGAAGAAAACACAAATAATCCCCGTTTGTTCAATAATTTCGAATACCCTGCTGCGAATTGAATTTTTCTCGTCCGTGTGGACTACCTCGATAATATTGCTTCGATCATTGGACGATGGGACTGTTTAACCTTCTCAGCGCCCTCATCAAGACTCATCCAAATCCGCTGTCGTCCGAAGTCATTCTGTAAATCATTGCATTTTTCTACACCACAAATTAGTTGCTATTCAAAATGAGTGTGTAGATTTTTGCAAAATATTGCGTAAATATTTGTCATGAAAAATAAATAATACCTCTTCCCAGGTCTGCAGCTCTTCGGCTACTGTCATCAAATAAACTTTGGTGCGGTGTTTGCGGACATCATCCTGAAAAAAATGCTGTAAATTAAAAAAAAAAAACTTTTTTAAGTTCCTAATTCTCTGTTATAGTTATCAGTGATTACTGTGGGAAATTTGGCTTGGGGTCTTAGCGCAAACCTAAATTGAAGATTTACGAGCTTACAAGGGGCGGGCTAGGCGTAAAGGGATTGGTTATGGACTTATTCTTGACATGTATTTCTTTTACAAAAATATATGTACCTTTCCGCATTCCTGGATTAGAAACATTTGTGAATTTGCGAAGTTTTATAGCATAATTAATTCCATTAATGGCACACACTGCGCGCCGAAACCGTTGCCATAGTTTATTTGTTGAAATTTAGCCAATTTTTCGCAGTCGCGCAACGCCGTTAATAAGATTTTCGAAATTTGATTGCTATTGCACACAAATTCATTTATTTATCAAAGCCGAATCAAGGTGGAAACCTGTTAGATCTTGAAAAAAAATAATTTTTTAATTTAAGGAACTATAATCCGAATATTTATCTACAATTTATAGAATTTTGAGAAACACAAATTCTTTGCAGCGCTAAATTTAATCTTCTAGAAGGATATTCTATAGACTTCATATAGAACATGTAAACATTTCAACCCTAATAATCGGACAGATCATTATTATTAATTGACGAATGTTTACTTTAGTAGGTTAAAGTAATGTATAAATTAGCTTATTATTAGAAACTTTTTCTTCTTTGCCGAACTATTCATACATTACACTTTGAACTTTGATTTGGCAAACGCATATCTATCGGCAATATTAATAGAAACTGAACGAATATACGGCCATCTTCATCTTTTCAGGCGACGTTGCCGGATATTTCTAGAATATGCGTTGGATAGCCTACTTGGAAAGTTCCGAGCAGTTTGACGGTCTTGGCACGAACGCCGGCCTCCTCAAGCAACTCGCGATGAGCTGCTTCTTCAGCACACTCGTCTTTCTCGACGCCACCGCCCGGAATCACCCATTTATCGCCGTCTTTTCCGCCGCTCACCAACAGCACCAGCGCCTCTTTGCCGGTTCCTGCAACAGAAAAACAATACTGTCATTTCTCGCCCGGTGATGATGATGAAGATGATGAAGATGATGAAGATGATGATGGTGGTGATTTGATGGATACGATGCTGCGCGCAAATAATTAAAAACGCACACTACAAATTGTTTGGGGGTTCTGTCTTGGAAACACTCGCGAATGTCGCTGCCGCAACCCTATCATTTCATCGCCAATTTTTTGTTGAGTGTTTTTGCTTGATAAAATTATCATCAAGAAGGAACGAAAGAACTACTACAAATAATGTAGATCTATCCGATCTTAGAATTGCTGAGATATGGACATTTGAACTTCGGCGAACCGCGGTACATTTTTTTCATACAAGATCAGAATCTCGTTCTTTGACATATAAGGCTCGATCATCTTAACAGGCGAAATCAGAGCGCATTTCGCCCTTTTTGATTCCGGTGCACAAAAATTTTGCGCAAAAATAAATAGACACCCACTCGGGCCGCTCTTTGTGCTCGCTTCATCACGAGAAGGCGACGCAAGGAAGAAATTGAAAAAAAAAACAACAGGCAGATGATGGCGAAAAACTTAAAAATACAAACCTTTGACAACGACAGCAGCGGCGCGAATGCGGAATCCATCGCAGTCGCGCAGGCGCACCTTGCTGTCGCCGGATTTCCAGCGAGAGATCATGCGCGGCTCTTCCGCACCGGAACTCTGCCTGGTGTCCGCCGAAATTGTGGGCAATTTACGCGCAATTGTGATTTCTGAAATATGCAATTTTAATTCGAAAATGAAGAGTACGGTAGGTTGATTGGAATCAATTCGTTAAAAAAAACAAAAGAAAATTTGAGTGCCACGTTTTTATTTTCGAATAACGTATTCAGAATGTTACGTGATTGTCTTAAAATTAAAAAAAAAAAAAAAAAAACAAATTGAAGCCTAAATTGGCATGATGCAAACCGGGTGGAGAAAAGTGCAAAAATGCGCGCTAATTCTGGCGTGTAATACAAAATATTATTTTGAGCGAATTCAGCGATAAGCGAGACAAGTTGTAGTACGCTTGTCACATGCCACCGATAACGCAATTTGTGTACGATAACACATCTATTTTAAGAATGAATTCATGGTGAAGCAATACTAGGCTTGGGAAAAAAATGGAACGAATCAAACAGCAAAAATATCATTAAGTATATTTTGTAACACATGATTCTTTGGTTGGCCGTCAATCGCGTTCTAATTGCATTTCGAATCATGGGTTTATTGAGAGCGCGGGGAAATATTTGGGAAGCGAAAAGGAGAAAAAAAAATGAAAATAAGTAAATAGAACAAAGATTGAAATGATCAAACAGTTACAAAATTTAAGACTAAGCAAACATGACATTTTATTGAAGAATCTTCATTAAATATTTCAAAAAAAAAACAGAAAGGTTTCTTGCTTAAATTGAGCATATTCAAGAATTAAAAATCTTCAATTCAAAAATGAGTACGAGGAAAGGGTTAAAACGCTACGTTATTTTATGTTTTTCTGATCCCTTCGCAATTCGTGCGAACTACAAAAAAAAACTCGCTAAAGAGCAATTAAAGAAAAAAGATGAAGAAAAAGAAGAAGAGTGCAAAAATCAAAGAAGCTCGAATCACACGACGAGGCTCAGGATTATGACGGAAAGAACACAAAAGACACAAGCAAGCAAGCAGCCGAAAATTTGCGACAAAATGAAGTAGTAGAAATGGATTAGAAGGGGAAAGGGCGACGGCGAAAAAACTGGACGAGGCGATTGCCGAGAGATGAGAACGAGGCGGTCGTGAGGCGGGCAATAGGGCAGAGACGCAGAGTATCTCGACGCGAGCTTCTTTATTCGCGTGTGACCACTCAATTTCGAATTGGGGGGAAAAGACGAACAATTGAAAAAAAAAAACCCGTATTGGAATGAATCTAGAATTTCGCAAAACGAAAAAAATAATTAAGAAAAAAAACAAAAAGAAATACCGTAGCTCCTTAAATAAGATAGATAGAGAGTTCTTGTCTTATTTCGGCTTACCGTTGAATTATTTCTATTAGAAATCTTTAAACAAACAGAGTAAATTGAGATCTTGGAAATCAATATTTTCGGGAAAACGCTGTTAACCAAAGCATATGTTCGTTCAGTGAGAAGAAAACATGAAAGCCAATTTTTATTTCAAAGAAAAAAAAAACAAAACAGAAACAAAGAAAAATAACCGAGAAAAAAATCAACAGAAAAATAATGATGAATAACAACTAACAAGATTATACTGTATAAATATATTAATAGCAAATTTTTAGAATTGAGTTGCGCTGAGCATGAGCATTAATTCATATTCTCAAACTTCCGGTCTACATTTGTTGATGTTTGAATCCATGAGAATGATCGAAAATCGAAAAAATACGCAAAAATGGCCATCCAAACAAACAAAATCGCAAATATTATAGCAATTTTCCATTGATTCGATGTTTTTGTGGAGTTTCCAGCTGGTTTGGCAAGCATACTAAATTTGGTGACACCGGTGATTTCCACTCGAATCCATTCGCCCATTTTACAATCGTCCAAAGGGACCAAGATCTGCTCATAACTCTTGTTGTGTCCAACGCCGCTCACTTTATCAGCGGCGATTTCAGTGACCAATACGTCATGAATCTCGCCAATTCGACTCTCTGGATATCGTGTGTACGAGCGGAAAAGCTCAGACATCAAAGCGGTTCGCCGACGCGCTTCAACTGTATCAATCTGAACAATCGTGTTCAATTCTTGTTTGCAGAACTTCCTTTATACCTTTCTCATTCTAGCTGCAGGCGTCCCGGATCTCGGATAATATTGATTGATGAACAACGAAGGAAATTTGTATTTCCTGACAAGATCCATGCTTTCTTCAAAATCGTCCTCGTTTTCGGTTGGAAATGCCAAAATCATATCGGTCGCGATGTAAATGTTTGGAACACTTCAAAAAAATACATTCGATTGTTTTAGGTCGGAAGAAGTGATAATAAAAAATGCATTTGGAAATGAGGTTTTTCTGTAATAGACGAAAAAAAGTGTTTTTTCCCTACATTTTTCTATTTGAACCGTTTTTGGTTCCATAAAATTTTCAGAAATTTCCCTACATTTCTTGCAAATCTAACTGGTAATTTCTAAATCAGAAATGAACGGAAAATTTTCCGATTTTCCCAGGGGTCGGATCTAAACTTTCCGAGGGGAAAAATTTTCAAGCAAAGATGACTGTAGATTTTAAATGTTCATGAGGAAAACCATAAAATTTTAAAGCAGCGAACATAATTTTTTTTAGATAGAGTTTCGTTCGTTCTTTTTCTGTATTATGTTCCAATAACATCGGTTTCTGTTCGCAAACGAGCTTTTGTTATATTTTCCTACAAAAAATAAGAGGCACTGCTAAAAATCAAACAAAACAAAGTTTCCTCGAATTTTTGAACCGACAAAAACACTTTCCGAATGATCTTTCTCGAACATTTTTGAACAGTACATGCTTTATGGCTTTGTTAGGAAAATACTCAAAAAATAACATTATTATAATCCCCCCGAATCAAACATTTAATCTGATTAATCTTTTAATGTCGGTAATGAGACAACGTCTCGTTTTTTTTTTCTGGAAAACGAGAATTTCCTTCAAACATACTTCTCAATCATATAATCGGCAATTTTCTCAAAATGCCTCCTCGAGTATTCGCGCTTCATATCATTGAGAACAGCGTCGCTGGCGCTTTGCACCGGAATATGCAAGAACGAATAGACACGAGGATGGTTGAGAATTCGCGCGATTTCCTGCAATTATTCGAATTCGTTTCCGCCGGGCCAAAAACTAAAAATAAACCTCCAAATGGTCAAGAATATATGGCGGATTCGTCATCCCCAATCGCATCATACATCCGTCAGGTATCACTTTGACGAGTTCGTCGAGAAGATCAGGCAGAACATGGTTGATGTCTCTTCCCCAAGCACCGAGGTCTTCTGACGTTAACCACACTTCTTTAACACCTTCGTCCAAGTATGATTTACGCGCCTTTAAATAATTATAAAAGTAACTTTGACAATACATTTTCACAAATTCAAAATTAACCTGCTCCACCAACTGATTAAGCGGATAACTAACAAGGTCGCCTCTTGCCATTTTCGTTTTACAATATGTGCAATTATTTAAGCATCCTGTTGAGATCGAAAGAACTTCAATGAGTTCATTTTTACGCATTTTTGGAAGATCAAGAGGGGCATCTGGTCGATTTCGCGTGAGAAGGCGTACTAAAAAGTGGACAATGCAGGAAAACAAATTATGAAAAGAAAAAAAGAAAAACCTTTATTTCCTTTCAAAGTCTCTTCAACAACTTCAACGATTCGATCGATTTGTTTGACGCCAACAATCGAAACATCTTGAAGCCATGGTTCGGAAGGCGCAGCTTGTGATACGCACCCAGCCATAACAATCTTCTTTTTGGTTTCTTGTCCTTGAACAACTAAATTGTTCGCCTAAATAATCTCCATGTAAACCGAATGTTCCTCATATTCCAACCTACCTGCTGCTCAGAAGGAGTTTTAACAGTGCACGAGTTGAGAACCCACAAATCAGCATCTTTCTCATCTTTCACAATTTTATATCCCGCCTGATATAAAATTATTCCACGACATTAAAAAAATAGCAATAATATTCAAACCTTTTGCAATAATCCGCTCATATATTCGCTGTCTGAGGTGTTATGTGAACATCCCCAGGTTCGTACCCAAACTTTTTGTTGGGTCCCTGGTACGAAAGAATCCACATTGGCCGGCTCTGTTTCGTCTTTCAATTTTCGCGTTCTGATTTTTTATGAGAAATTTTCAATTTCGAACAACAATTACCTAATTTTGATCTCAGAAAACTCGCTTTTCTTTCGATTCACCGCACCAATCCCACTAATATCCTCGATATCCATAATGCTGAAAATTCCAAAAAAAAACTACATACTTAGAATAATTGTCAAACAGTAAGCAATATGATAAAAACTCAAATGTCAACACGAATAATTTTAATTTTCAATTAAAAAAAAAAAACAAATTTATGAGGTTGAAAATTACAAGTTTAAATACATACAGGTTAAGGGTACATAAATGAAAGGCTTTTTGAACAGGACAACAGAATATGCAGAGTGAGGCAGAATCATGTTTCAGATATATTAGTTGAGCGGAAAATAAAATTTTGGTTAAAAAATTATACACAAGTGATTATGAAAAACTGAAAAAAACGAGAAAAACACAAACTGACTAGTCGAATCAAAAACAAATATCCAAAAATGGATGTTTTGATTCGAGAATTGAGATCGTCGTGAAATAATGAAAACAACGGTAAAACACGGAACAATTAAAGAACATTCTGGATAAATGTTGAATCATAATGTAATATCAAAGTTTTCATAAAGCTCATTTCTCGTCGCGTATTTTCAAATATCACTCTCGGATCTTCGCTTTCACATCTAAAAATTAAAAATTACAGAAGCAAAAAAAATTGAGAAACCTTAAAATATTTGGAGCAATGACCATTGCCAGATTAGAAGTATCCATTTTTGTACGCGCCACAACCTCTTCTCGACTCAAATCCTGTAAAAACAAAGTTCGAAGTCGTACAAGTAAAATACATACTTGAAGTAATGCGATAACTTTAACTAAGACCAATCGGTTTATTTCCGGAAGTAAATCTACAATTCGAACGGCTTCTGCTGGGTTATCAGCTGCTGCCAATGCTCGTTGATACATATTCGGTGGTATCAGAGGAACTGGTAACTGCCGAAGCCAAAATTTCAACAGACCGGCAGGCACATTTGCATCGTGCATTTTCGGAGCCAACCAGCCATCAAGTTGACCGCGTGCAGTCGCAAGTTGTTCCGGGTCGCCAGCAACTCTGCAATAAAGAAAATCTTATTTTTGATTTTCAAATTTGTAGCTGACCGGAACAATCCTTCCGTTCTCCGGCCTCCAGCTTGATAGAGAAGCTCTATTAATGTGGTCAACAGCCACGGAAGCTTCAGATTCGGAAATTTCTCGTGCTGCATCTGCATTAATTCGTCAAGAGAAGCCGAAAAAAGTGGAGGACGGAAAATGTGTACTTTCGTCTCTTGTATTGTCCCTAATGATGGTTTTAATCGAGCAATAACTTTACTCAATCTTTTTACGCATTGTTGAGAAAAGTATGAGATTGGAACCTGAATAATATTTTATAGCGTAATTTAGTTTTTTTTAATTTCTAATACCTCCGGTAGGTCAAAAATTGGATCAGAATTTCTATTCAAAAATTCAACAAGTTTTTCATGGATAGCTTCTGAAGGAAACACGAATGCTAACAGAATTGTTAACAATTCCCATCCTTTTCGTAAACTATCCGGACGATCGTTGTCCGAAAGTTGTTGAATGAGCAACGCAATTCCCTCATCAGCAATTTCAGCTCGTTTCGTACACAATTCACAAAAAGAGAGTGCAATCTAAAAAGCGGTTAAGATGTTTAAAAAGACATTCTCTTACGGCTTACCTGATCTGGACTTGTTTTACTTTTACGATCGCCCATATACGATTGAATTAACTTGAAAAGCGCTGAAGTGTCTTTTCGCAATTGCTTATTATCGGGCTGTGTAAGAGCACATTTTGGAGAATCTTTCGACCACCCTAAAACAATCCAATTTGCGACTAAAATTCGAATCAACTAACCATTTTTGTTTTTACTCTTAGTTGACGTAACGGAAGAAAATAAGGAGCGCTTTACACTATTCGGCGGAGAGACCGATCTTGAAGATCTCGCTGGAATCGATTCAGAAGATTGCGCATGTGAAAGAGTACTGGAAGCACTGGGAGCTGTGGGAAAAGCATAGGCTGCTGGTTTCGTTGGCGGAACACAATAGTCACTTCTTTCGCTCAAAATGTTATCTTCATCAAGAGACATCCACTAAAAATGTTTGATAAGTAATAAATGCTATCGAGAAAGGCTTACATCAAAAGAGCTTTGCATTCCGTTCAATGTATTCTGCGAATTTTGACTATTACTTCGAAATGACACAATTCCAGTTTCTGGTGATATATTTTGAGCAAAAACATGCTGATTTTGATGTTTATGAATTCTTCGTACAGACGGGCTCGTCTGTGTTTCACACGTTCGTCGCACCTAAAAAAATCAACATTGAATATTGTGGCTGACAGAATTTGTTTTAACATTTAAATTGCCGCTTAAAGTGTCGGAAATATCTTTTAAGCAGTTACCTGTTCAAAAATCAAATTTGAAAGGGTGTAATTTTTTTAATTTTACGTTTTTCTCATTAAAAAATTTTGTTTCTATTAAGATGCCAGTCCGGATGATGAAACAATTAGAATTCGTCTGTCCACGACAATACATTTTCTAATAATCAGGGTTGTTAAATTGAAGCCGGGGCCGAAAGCCGGCCGGCCGGCCCGGCTTTCGGCCGGCTTTCGGCTTTTTTTTGAATTCCCGCTTCGGCCGTGCGGCCGTAAACAACGGAGTGACGTTGTTTCGGCCGGAGTGTCGTTGTTTTATTTTTGTTTTCAAAAATATTTATCCTGTTTTTCGTTGTTTTTTCTCTCGTTGTTAAGCATTTTCATTGTTTTTTTTCTTTGATTTAACATTAATAAATATTTTTTAGAAAAATGGACGATTCTCGCAAAAATGAAGCCATAAAGGACGAAATTGCGAATATTTCGAAGGCCGAAAAAGAATTTTCGAAAGGTGAACTAAAGGCACTGGTGGGATCACCGAATATGATTTTGGTATGCTCCTTATTTTAATTTCTAGTCCAAAATGCGTTACGTTACAGAGCCCGTATCGGTTGCATTCATCTGATATGAATGGTGTTCTAGACACAATTTCAATAAACGATGCTGGAAAATGTGTAAGAACGAAGTTCCTGCTCTGCAAATTATGTAAAAAGGTATTATCATGCAACGGAGGGCATTTAATGTGAGTAATTTTTTTAAAAAATAATCTGAAGCAAGTTTTCAGACGTCATGTAAATATTTGTCGGCGAAAATCAGTTTCGAATAATGCAAATGATGGGCAAAAACGAAGTCAGGTAATTTTCAATTATTGCAATAGCTGTAAAAAATTTTCGTATTTCAGAGGGATCAAATTGGAATTCATTATTCACTTCCATATTATATAGCAATTCTAATAAAATACAAAGAGATATATAGTGATACGGCAAATCCGGAAGTATATTTTCAATGTTATAATTCAACTATGTACATTTCATTTCAGGAGCTAAGAACAATTGCGCGAAGTGCATTCGTATCTTGCTACAAGAACAGTTCAAATTATAGTGCGCTACACTTTGCGGCCACGTTTTTATCGCCAATCAGCAATAATATGGATATTTTACAACAAAATGTGGATGATCTTAATGTATTTTTCATATTTTAAATAATGCTAATGGAAAAAAATTTCAGCTGCCTTGGTCGTTAGAGCAGGAAGCTAGGAATTACATTATATCCATGCACAAGACATGTTTCGCATCAAATAATGATGATATTTGTCGAACTCCTATGGAGAAAATTCCTTCATTTTTGTCGTCTGTTTTAGGACATCCAAAAAATCGAGAAAAGTCAAGAATAGAAGAGGAAATCAGCAGATATCAATGTTGTAAGAGCGCATTACCTGCGGCGATTTTCTGGCCAACGCATAAGACTAATTTTCCGTTGTTGTATCCGATAGCTCGAAAAATTTTCGGAGTAGCTACATCAGAAGCTTCGATTGAGCGCCAATTTTCCCTCATAAAAAACATTTACCGGCCTAATAGATATCGTCTTAATTTCGATTTTGCCGAAAAATTATTTTTAGCTTACGAAATCGAAAAAATCCCAACATTATCTTAATTTGTTATGGAATAAATGGTTTTTTTTTCTGGGTATAAATATCATATTTTTAATGGGGCTTTTCTCAAAACTTTTTTTTATTGTCAAAAGGTATGATTTTCACACTTCGGCCGAATCGCGGGCCGAAAATTTGACAGCAAAAAAAGCCGGCCGAAAGCCGGCCTGGGGCCGGCTTTCGGCCGGCCGGGCCCAAAATTTAACAACCCTGCTAATAATGAAATCAAAAACATACCCTTGGAGATGCGCCTTCGGTATTTTCTTTCAATGTTTGAAGTTTCGCTAATGGAATGATATCAATTTCCGTTCCTAATGGTTTTTGCCATTTTGTACAACTGCTCGCCGCATTATAATAGTAGTATCTACCCGTTTTCGAATCGAATAGCTCCCACCATTGATTAGGATGCGTTAATTTTCTGAATAATACGAATTTGTAATGAATAATTTTTAGAAAATATAAATAAAAACTTACACTTGCGCTCCTGGAGGAGGTTCCCAAGCACACTGTCCCGTTACTAAATTGGCGTACATCGTTTGCTTTGATTGGGGTTCGACAATCTCAACCCATTCAACATTGGCGCCTCTTGCACTCGTTGTACCATTCTCATAAAACTCGACGCTCGACGCCGAAGCGGCACTGGAATTCGACATCTTATCGAGCACCGCAGCGGTGTCTTTTGTCGTCATTTTTAGTACATTGAGACCGATCTGGAACGAACAAATGTTTGCATTCCGAATTTTAATGCATTTCTTATTAAAACACTACACGAATGAGTGTGATTTATTGCGAATTAATAGGCATCGACATTTCTAAAAATAATTTGAAACAGGAAACGGAAAATTTGCAAAATTCACAAAAATTTGAGAAATTTACAGTGACAGCTGCAGAAACAATCGATTAATATTTAGCTGGCTAAATCGAGGGCACTCGTAAACGCGCAACATTGTTGCATCCTCGTTTTCGACATTTAATTTTCTTGGAGTTTTTTGTTTCGAAGGGTTTCTAACAAAATTCAACGTGAGAAACAAATAATTATATTATCAATCTACGTGATAGCAATGTTAACACGAAATGAAAATTGAGTTCAATTAACACGGAATTTTCCATCTCTCAATTTTAAATATTATTTTCTTTACTTATTAAAATATGATTTTTGATTGTTTAACATAAAACCCAATATTTTAGTTTTTAGCATTTAATTATCAAAAAGGCTTTAATAAATAAATTAAACATTAAAAGTAGGAAATTACGATACAAAAGCATTTTAAGCGATACTAATTCAGAGGTAATAATAATTTTAAATATTTGAAAAGGTTGGAAGCATTGTGTGAATATGCCAAATAGAAGAACGATACACGCCGACGTGGTGCTCGGAAGAGTTATAGATCATTATCTATGAATTTATGGTCCACTCAATTTGCACAATGCGAAGAGCGCGTTGCGCCGCTACGAAAGTCATTTTCTTGGGGGAGCGTCGTGAATATTTAATATATGGAAATAATGTGGACGCCCATAAGTAGGAAATTGAACAGGCGACGTTTTATTTCCACAAAAAAAAGATGGGCTATTAATCAGCGTAAGGAACTCTTAAAAAATATATAAAAGCATAAACTTTATTACCAAGTTCGTTTTTGGGCGTCTGTTATGGAAATTTAGCCCATACATTGATTTAATGTGTTCGTTCGTAAAACTTGTACTCAATTAGGCGCTTTTATACGTTTTCACCTTCATAAGAACGAGCTACGAAAATAGTTCACACTATGTATATCATTCAATTGTAATCTTTCGCAAGTCCTGGGAAAAGAACAAAAAAAATGATAAAAAATTAGTAAAAATGGTTCTATCTATATGAAAGTATCTATTTTCATTCATTTTTTGAAACCTTTTTCTTTTTCCAGTTTCAGTGTTTGTGATTTTAAATTTGATTCGCTTATTTTTCTCATTACAGATTTTATGTCCTTTACGGGTTGGAACTTTCCTGTTCCACAAACATGGCGAAATCCAAATTTCGATCCATCTAGTTGGCGGCCGTATGGAAACGTTCATCATCAAGGCCCGATTCGAATCGATCGTCATCAGCCGCCGCCATCACAAAGAAATTACAACAGTGGCTGGAATAATTATAATCCGGATCCTTATTTTTCGAATTCAAATCATTCCCAGGTTCATGCAATGAACTACGAAAGGTTTCAATTTTATTTGAATTAAGTGCTGGGTGGGAAATGGAGCATTATAATAGCAATAAGATTGTATCGATAATATATGTATTAGAATAACTTCATAGGAATAGAATGCACTTATTCCATCAATCTCAAACTCCATATCATCCGCCTGCCCACATTCCAAGTACGTCAACTGCCGGAATACCGATGGTTGGTGATCGGAGAATGACAGATTTTGCGAAACAAGAGCTTCTTAAAAGTAATCTAAATTATAGAATTAATTAAAATTTAAGCGATAAATGTTAAGATGCACATGTGCCCGGTTTGAAAACTGGACAGAAATTGCGTGATGCGATGCGAGAGCGACAGAAAGCCCGAACGGTCTTACCCAATCTTGTAAGAGAATACAATATGCAAAAACTCGAAGTTACAACTAATGTGTCTTCTGAACGCATCGAAATACGATGGAAACCAGCTGATATCAAAAGTAAAAATAAATATTTTAAGCTTTTAAGGTAACATCTTATTTTAGGAAACGTTAAATATGAAATCTCATATTCAAATATCAAAACGGATAAGAAGAAATATATCGAAAAACCCTCGACAATTCGGTTTTGTGAGTTGCGAGTGGTTGCAGGAGAAGTATATCGGTTAATTTTCAAATCATCTTTCAAATAATACCGTCGATATATTAATAGAATTGAGATCAAGTGCATAGCTCTCAGCAACATGGAAATTATAGCGCATTGGTGGCAGGAGATCAGAGCAGGTCTATTTTTTCATTTAGTGTTTCAATTAGGGGGGGGGGAGATTTACGGAAGCGTCTTTCGTCATGGTCTCGCTACATGAAAATTGTTATTTTCACGTGCATTGCTTTTTTTTTCATGGTCGATTTGTAAATTCGATGTATTTCTAAGGTTTTTAAAAAAATTATCAGCCATTTTTTGCGAAAGTTAGTCGGAGCGAAACCACATCGCCCGTAAATCTACCCTCATACATTAGTCGCCGGACGACGATCCTCAAATGATACCACAACGGCAAAATTAATTACAGAATTCAGTTATGAAGAACTAAAACAATTGTATAATAAATCGATTGCTTTTGTAACAACCAGCGATAATCCAGAAGGATGTATGCACGAATTTTGGATGGTTTATAGGTTTCAACTGGTCGCGCGAAATCAAACTTCAGCTTTTATTTTTTTAGATGTAAGCCTAACATCTATTGGGAGGAAATTCATGAATATAATAATGATATTATGGCGAAATACGTGAAGGATGAGAATGGGCAACCCGGAAATCTTATTAATGGCAAATTACATGGGTTGTTCTTCTCGGCTCGTCTTTTGAAAAATCTTACTTTGCCACCGTCGTCGCCTTTTGGTAATGTTCGGATGTGCATTGACGCGTTTTTTCTTCTAAATCCGAAACAACACAACTTCTATTTTGCCGATTTCTATTGCAATCGGGATACTCATTATGCAACAATTGTGATTTGTATTATCAATTCGAAAACAGACAGGTTTCTAGTTTAAAAAAAAATGTATTTTTGTATATTTTTTTTAGATATTGCCGAGAAAAGCTTATAAAGCTCAACCCTTTTCGTAATTCGTTTGTTAAGGTAAATGTTTTTTTTTTTTTTTGAAAATTATTAACAAAATGTTAAGCTTATTCCGCCTACAATTCAACAGCCGAATTGGAGATATTTTATTAATTATGCCATATGGGTCGAATTGTACTATACGGAAGATATTGAGATTAATATCGGCCAGTTTACGGCAATTCTCGCCACAGGAGCTGGAACTTCGAAAATTGGGGGATTGCCAAATAATAAGCAATGCACTGCATGCAACTTATATCCGAAGAAGAAGTTGACGGGAATCGAAGCTGAAGAGATCACTGAAGAAACTAAGGAAGAAGAATTTGATGGCATCGAAGATGCACCGTATACCGCCGAATCCACGTTGAAAGCAATCCTTAGGCTTGTTAGTTTAAAGATTGATCGAAGTATTGCTTTTATAATAATAAAAATTCAGGAACCTGATTGCGATAACGGTGTTGTGGAGACAGTTTGTGGTTTGGTTGACAAGACCGAAGAGCTTTGTATGACAGCAGAAGAACTTGTGAAGAAGCTTGATCCGAAATTGCTGTTATCGGTTGAAAAACTGAACACAGAAATTAGTCGCTTCAAACTGCCGCCATCAGTAATCGGTTTAGCTAAAAGTGTAATGGACTTTACCAAGGATTTCTCAAAGTACGTAATTATTCCAATATAGTCGGCGTTCTGCGACTAATGAATGCGGGCAGATTTACGAGTGCCTCTTTCGAAATGGTATTGCCACATGTGAATGCTTAGTTTTTTTAATGTTCACGTGAACAGTTTTTCTCGATATGTATATGATTTTCTTAAATACTTGTTAATATCATTGAATTTAATAAATTTAGAAGTCAATGAAATGACTTCTAAAGTGCAAAATAACCAGTTTTTCCGCACGAGTCGATAGCGAAGGCTCATTGCACGTAAATCTACCCGCGTACAGCAGTCGCCAGACGCCGACCCTAATTTTGTATGTTCACAATTTTTTACAGGCGACGAGATAACTTGATAGAAACGCTGAAAGATTTCAAAAAGAACAAAGAGCATCCAGTGTAGATCAGCAGATAAAACCAGAATGTATTTTTTTTTTTCAATTGCCATACTTTTTCATTTACGTGTCTTTATTTCCGGTTATGGTTTCTCACAGGGAGATTACAATAAGCTAAGTCTTTGCATATAAATGAATACTTTACGAGTTCAAGTTTATTTTTTTTGCGGTGTTATTTACCGGTTTTGATTCTCTTCAAAAATTCAAAATAGAACAGACAAACGATTTTTAAGAAGAAATGGACGAGTTTGTGAAATGGTGCGAAGGACGAGGTTATAGTTTCGATGGGCTTGAAATTACATCTCCTCCGGGGGTGAGATTCAATTTCTAATTCGAATTCGATAGTAAATAATTGAATATAGAATTGTGGAAATGGAATCTACACGACACGGTCATTTCGTGCTGAAGATGTTCTAATTGCAATTCCTGAATATGACATGATTACTGCTGGTCTTGTTGTTGATCTTCCTTTCTATAGGAAACTATTGACCCCATTCGAGTATCCTTCCATTTTACTTATTTTGTTTAATATATTGTTTTTCAGGGAGAAGTTGAAGCCAATGGAGATTCTTACAACATTCTTCTGTTTTGAAGATGAAGAATCCTCAGCATGGTCGCCTTATTTGAAAGTTTTGCCAAAGAGTTTCGATACTCCGGCGTTTAAAGGAATCGACTTCGATGTTCATCAACTCCCGTTATCCATTCGCCAATATTGGGTGGATCAAAAGAAGGAAATTAAAGAAATCAGTGAAAAATTGATGAGATTATTTCCGGAATTGACATATAATAAAATACTCTGGGCATGGCATGTGGTAAACACGAGATGCATTTTCGTTGAAAATGAGGAACATGATAATGTCGACAATTCGGATGGAGGTACCCATCGAAAATCATGTAGAAGGCGAACACCCCGATTATTTCAGATACGATAGCTGTAATACCATATGTAGATATGCTCAATCATGATCCAACAGAATTTCAAGTAAAAAAAACTATCACACAGATTAAACGTTTTTTTTTTCAACATTCAGGGAGTAGCGCTTCACGAAAAAGTAAACGGACGGTACGTAGTTCGAGCAAAAAAATCGATTCCTGCGGGACATCAAGTATTTGTTTGCTACGGACCACACGACAATTCGCGTTTGTTAGTTGAATATGGATTCACTCTTCCGGAAAATCCGAACGGGAAGGTTCTGATTCCCCTAGGTCGATATCTTCTTTATTCAGATGAATTCAACATTTTTATTTAGAAGTCCTTGTTACTCTTGCAAAAATTGCCGGAATCAACATTACGAGAGAACATGAAATGGTCCTTGAAGAAGTTGGCTTACCAAGGTTTTCAAACATTCAGTTATATATTTTTTCATTTATTTAGTCACCTTTATGCAACCGATGAAGGTCCTAGTTGGTCTCTGCGAACAAACATTCGAATTATGTTGTTTGAACACGAACAGATGTATTACTCTCCTCTACATACTTTATTTTTTGTAAATAATGTTTGCAGGATGAATGGACGCTGGAAGAAAATCATTTATTCGCACGAACCCATTGAAGAGGATATCGATAAAGTTATTAGAGAGAAGTTGGAAATAATGTTGAAAGAATTGAGAAATGGAATTTCAGAAAAAGCTAAAAAAGTTCTAAGCGCAGTTTTTACAAAGAACAATCAATTAATTCTTGCAGATGAGCAAGGATATTATGTGGATGTGGGACGAGCAGATTAGAATATGTGATACTGCAATCGCCTCGTTTTCCAAAGAAGAATAGTTTAATAATTTATGCTTAATACAAAAATTAGATAAATTAATTAAAAATCCATTCTAATAGGAGTGTGTTTAGATCGTTTCATATACTCATCAAGCTCTCTGTCGAGCTGCTCAACAGTTTTCTTCGAGATCGGAGCCTTCGCTTGCTGATTAGGCTTTTTGAATCGCGGATTCCTAGTGAAAACTTGCGGCTGTCTTTTGTTAAATGGCTTCTGATTATGCGGACCATAATTTCTGAAATATTATAAATAAAATTAATTAATAAAATTAAAAATATGCAAACCTATAATGGGTTTTGTTACTTGGATGGAATCGATTGACAAAATGTCTCTGTGGCACTGTCTTAAGAGGTCTTACGATCGAAAGGCGATTCTCTGAAAAAGAAACAATAGTTATCAATTGTAAAATTGAGAAACGACTATAACGTACCAATCGGAACGTGCCGGAATTGTTGTGGTTGTCTGAATCTGCGAATTGGTTTCTGCACATATTGAATTGGAATTTCTTCCTCGTAAATTTCCTGAATAATCTTTTGTGCCGGGCGCTGAATAGTTCTCGGACGTTTCTTCACAACAATCGGCTTCGGAAGACTTCCGAATCTAAAAATAAACGGTGTTTTGAACATCTCGACAAATAAATCGGGCGAAACACGGGAATTTCGCGGTTTTGGTGAAAGTAAGTTACATTGTTTAGTCGTTTTTAAGAAAACGACTACTGTGATCTATTTTTATTCCTCACCCGTTGAATTCACCCGAGATTTTTCGATTATTTTTTCGAATTTCAAACCTTTCATTCAGAGACATTTTCGAATTGCCGAGAATGACAATTTTCGAAGGAACTCCTGATGTCGATTGCATTCTAGCAATTCGCTAAAATATAATTAGTAAGAATGATGACAGAGAAATAAACGCAGACTACCGAAAAAAATTTTAATTTAAAGTGCTGTGATGCGGTGAAGTAAACACGCTCTATTGTAATTTGTTGCGGCCGTGACCGATGTTTCGACTTCGTAATTTTTCGTCCATGCAGGGCAATCGTCGTAGACTCAGACGTCAGCCGGCGAATCCATGGATTTCGTACGCCTTTGCAAATCTTAACCTTGCGATTTGTTTTCATTACATTCATTATGTTTGTACAGCCCATGTGAATCTATTAGATACGTCTATATATAACATTCGAAGAAAAATTGTTGTATTTTAAAGTAACGACTCTTCAACGTTCTGAACATATCCGAATCATCATCAAATATTGAGAATTTGAGAGAAACTATGAGTCGTTCACCTTTTGCATTTAAAATACGATATCTAACTATTTTTCCCATTCCACTTAATTATGGCAGTTTCCTCATTCTCAACAGTGTTCAGAATACACTTTATCCTGTTCATATGAAGCATTTTCTTATGAATCCTCAGTCTTCATAACCCTTCAAACATTGCGAAATGGACGCCTGTTGTTTTTATTTTGGCCAGGTCATGAGTGAATCATATGTTTGAAAACTCAATGCTTAGAAATTCACAATTCTGACCTACTAAACTTTTTACGAAATAATGCTTCCATTATTGTTGGAATGTTTATATTAACGGTCAAAATTTATATTTGACCATCGTCGTCATCGTTATGATAAACTTGGTTTATGTAAACATTTTGTGAATCGATTGACAACACGTTTTATAAATTATTCTCAATATTCAGGTAGGATGAAGCTTCTGCTTCTTCTTTTTCTGTGCTCATTTCACTGTATCGGTGCGCAGGATCTGAAGTCGTTGATAGACTTCTGTGCAAAAGCTCCGGCAACTCCACCAAAATCACTTAGTGATAAAATCAAACTTCCCGATGTTTATAAGGTAATTCTATTATTTTTGCTGAACTAATATTTATGGAATCGTTTCAAGGTGACTGGATCATTCACAGATTTTATCAAGGCCACAACATCGCTTCTTGTTGAAAGTTCATCTCCTCAGTTCCGTGTGCTTCAGTCACACACGCGCAATCAATTGCCTAACAAATGGATTGAAGAACTTACTGGAGAAAAAGCCAGCATGTTTGTGAACATGACAAGTAGTTACATATTAGAAAATCGAACGAGCATTTAAATTTGTAGGCGGCGAATGCACGGGAATGTCACCGAAACCAAAGTTGATTAATTACCCATCGCTCAATAAAGTCATCGGAGACGACTCGTCATCCTTCGCCAGTATGATTAATGGCCTTTTGGAATTCAATAAAGCACAAAGCGGCTATGTGGTAAAATATGCAATCTCGAAGAAAATTTAGATTTATATTTCAGGTTGACAATGAATCAGAGATTGTTGCCGGCGTCAACACGGTAAAATGGATTTCCTGCGTAAACGGAACCGCTGTGAATGATACAAAGCTGATTGTCGAGGTGCGATATGCCGATGATCTTACGCCCGCTGCTGAGGATCCATTCGGAAGCCCGCTGCTCGTTTCGATTCGTATTGCGGAATTGCCAACATTCAACAGTAAACAATTCTTTGTTTTCGTATGATTCATGTTCTGATTTCTTTCAGGCACCACGCCAATCAATCATGTTTCTCTCGAACTTGACCGCTATGAATTGCCTTCCGGAAACGAAGCTTCGGTATGATTCAAATCAAGCATTAAAAAAAAAACTCTTTTTAAAGCTTCCTCATGGAATTTATTGCTCAAAGAGAAACAGCACTAATATTCCATTGAAAAACATGGATGAATATGCGGCATTCCTTGATTATTACGATCATTCGACGAACACTTCAGAAGTTATTGAAGTAATTTCATATTCCTTTTTTTTTATTATATTAATTCCTTTTCCAGATTCTTTATTCGAAATCTCGCCAAATCTTGATAATCAGTGGAAATTCTTTGCAAAATGGTGTACAACTTATTAGAGCTTCAAATGAGCTTTTCAAGAACGGAACTGATTATTTGGTTCACGATTTCAAATATGGTAAGATTTTGAATAAATGTTTAATAAGTATTCTCAAATTTGATTTTCCATTTCAGGATATCAATTCGCGATGAGCCGCGATGCATGCCTTGATTTTGGCACCCTTTTCCCGAGTACTTATGATGTCATCAAAGAAATCAACGAAACCATCGCAATGCGAAAATTGGAAGAAATGTTGATTGATCCGTTGCTCCGCTTTGATCCATACGAAAATGTGAGATTTTAGCCATTTTCATTGAAATTTATAGAATTTGTTAGGATATCGATATTGTTGGACTCCCATTGAGAACATTTCGTGCGTATGATGTTCGTGATGATACGATTTACGAGGCACACTTGACAACTGATAACGAGCTTCTCTCATTAGCAAAATTCCATACGGTAATTAATAGGGTTTAATATAGGCTTCATTCGGACAGCAAAAACGCCCGCTCGTTTTTACGCACGTTTTTTACCACGCGGTCAATGCATCACTTAAAAACGTTGCGTAAAAATCTCCGCGCGTAAATCGACACTTGTATAGACCCAAATCTACAGTAGGCCGCGCCATCCGCAGCCACGCGATTTTGACAATAATGTGTTCATAAAAGAAATCGGCGAAATATTCTTCTAAACAAATCTCTTAAAAATTTAAATAATGAATAAAAACATTTCGGAATACTGGCGGCGTGAAATGTGCCATAATGGCCGAATAATTCACTTCCACCACCCGCGATTTCGCCCGCTCGAATTGAAGCACTACATAGATTCATTTAAAACATTACACCAATTTTAGGGGTCGAAAAAACTGGGAACTACGCTGACCATTACGCCAATCCCTGTGGAATCGTCAAGATTGAATATGAAACTTGTGCAATTGTCGGATTGTTACGATTCTGGAAAATTTGCCAATAATACGTGGATTATGAACATCAAAAACAGTATATTTGTTTTAAAATTTTGCAATTTAACTAAAATTTATATAGAAAATGTGACGGATATTGAAAAGGTTGGATTGAATGCATTGAACGAGGCGCTAACAACTTCAATTACCAATAATGTCTATCCAGTTATTCCATATCGTATTCTCACCTTCTGGGTTGAAGATCGTAATGGCGGATTGTCGATTATGCTTCGTGTTAGTGAGAAATCGCAGATTCAACCAGCAAATGTTGCCGGATACAACTATACGGTTCGAAATGACACTAATTTTTAAAAAATCTATATTCAATTTACAGGCTGAATTGGGATCGTTTGAGCTTTTCAAGTTGATTAATGAAACTATTTATGCTGATAAGCTGCCAATTCAAATAGTCAAGGTTGATGGAACAAAAGAGGTATTTTAAACGTCACGCGATTGTAGAAAATTGGATAAATACCAAAAAACAATGGCGGTTTTGGGAGAGGTCTTGGCGCGTGTGCGCCTTTAACGTATCCTTGATTTGAATTTACCCTTTTAGAATTGCGCCCCCCCCCCTTAATGACGTAAGTGCGTAAGCGTAAGTCACGTAAGCGTAATTATCCGCAACACGGGCCCCCACGTATCGCTCAAAACACGCTACTTCTCCCCATGCTTGCCCGGGGAAGGTTCCTGAAGACCAGATCTGATAAGAGAAGCAGCAGCCTCACCTGTCTATCCCTTATATGGAAAAGCTGAAGGATTAAAACGTGGCCGAATGGTCTAGTGGTATGATTCTCGCTTTGGGTGCGAGAGGTCCCGGGTTCAATCCCCGGTTCGGCCCACTTTTTTTATCATTAACTTTGTTCCCATGATTGTTATTTTGAAGGAATGGTCAACCGACGCGAATAGTATGAAATTGTTCCCACCTGAGACTGACAATGGATTTATCGGCTACACTGGAGGAGCTATGTTCGTTCTCGCCGTCTTCTGCCTTCTGATCGGAGTCTCGATAGGTAGTTCTTCATTAAAATTTAAGAATGAAGAGTACTGTGTGTTACAGGTGCAGTTGGCGTATTTGTCGCTACGCGTCGTCAACGCATTTCAACACTTGCTTACCAAGTGTTCGAATAATTTGTGATGTATTTTATTTTGTTATAACTCTCATTCCAAATTTCAAACCAGTTGTTTTCTAGTTAATCCCGAAAATTCCTTTCAACCATGGACTAGGGTAAATTGATTATGGGCGGTGTATAATCGAATATCGGTGCCGAATATTTATTTTTAAAATTACGCGTTTTCGTAATGCTTATATAGTTTCCTCATTCTGCAATTCATGTTCCATTTCTTTAAAACATTTCTGATGTTTTACTAAGGGAAAAAGGTTAACATCGAATTATTACTTAAAACGTCACCTGTTAAACCTTTTTTACCCTGAAACAATGATGACTATGCTACAATTTGTATCCATTTTATGTATTTTTTCTCACTTGTATTTATACAAACAATTGATTCTAAATTTATTTTTTCTGTTTTATATCTAATGGTTTTCCGCCGAAGTTTACTTTTACTTTGTTTTTTTTTTCTTGACTTTATTAAATGCTTAATTTAGATGGCTCAGGTTGCGCGATCAGCCAAAGAACGAGCCCTTCAGATTGTTGAGCAAGCAACGCGAATTCGTTTGCAAGACGCCAGAGATAATATTGGGGCGAGAACCACTGGTAGACTGGTCAAGAAGGCACATAATCAGGTAATTTTCATTTTTTTAATGGGCCAAAACCATTGAGAATGCTACCACTAATCGATTCGGCAACATTTTTATCCATCAGCTTGGCCATATATGCGATAAGAATCCTAGAAGAAACAAAATATTTTCGAAATCGTGCAGAAATTGTCGAAATGCCAAAAAAAACAACGGCCGAGGTATAGCCGCCAAACTAAAAGTGTAGATTTACTTGGCTAAGTATGAGAGACACCTTTGCCTAGTTTTTTTTGGAATTTAGCCAATTTTCCGCACTCGCGCGACGCCAACAATTTCTCCACCGCAAAAAAAGAGATGCGCGAAAACCTGATCTGATAAGCCGCAGCCTCACCAGTCTATCCCTTATATGGAAAAGCTGAAGGATTAAAACGTGGCCGAATGGTCTAGTGGTATGATTCTCGCTTTGGGTGCGAGAGGTCCCGGGTTCAATCCCCGGTTCGGCCCATTCTTTTGCGTTTTTAATAGTTAAAACCAAAAATTAGACTGGTCACACACAAGGAGCGCTTGAGAGAGCCGCAAAACCACCACTTGGATGGATCTGGGGAGACTTTTTCCGACCATGGCAACGAATGTTTCCTGGTGAGAAGCAATTCAACGCCGACATCAAGTACATTCAATATTTCACGTTGAAATTCATTTCTTCTTGATTTCAGTATTCGTCGCGAGTACATTCCGCTCTCATTGATCGAATTGGCTAGATTAATTGATCTTGGCTGGGTTGACACAAAGCGACCAATTGATGTTTCGACACTGTGCGCAACAAAAAAGTTCAAATTAAACCCAAGAATCAGGCAATATGGCTTTGATTTGACTGGTGAAGGGGCCGACGTTTTTCCTTATGCGGTCGACATTGAGGTTCAATATGCAACGCAATCTGCGATTGCCGCAATTGAAAAAGTTGGAGGAAGAATTCGAACAGCTTATTTTGATGCTCAAGCATTGGAAGCAGCAGTCGATCCGAAATCATGGTTCGAAAAGGGACTTGTGGTCCCGCAACGAAAAGCGCCGCCACCAAGTCTTATAGGGTTTGTTGATTTTGATTAGAGATTTGGTTCGAAATATTTTCATTAAGATATTATGCGGACCCTAAGAATAGAGGATATTTATGCGATGAAGAGACAATTGAAGAAGAACGAAGAAAGTTAGCAGCTGTTCGCGGTTACGAAGTAGCCGAACTCAAAATCAAATCAGAATTGAAACCAATTAATCAAGTCTGCTCTTTCTGTTTATTGAAATTCATTTTTATTAATTATTTGTAGGTATTTCACGGCATTCCTTCTGGCTCCGTCGTCTCTTTGGCTGATAAGAAAGTTTTTGCTCCAACTAGTGAATTGCATCGCGAATATTACAACAAAAAGCGTGCCGATAAATTCTATTCTTAGGTGTTTTCATTAATTTTTGTTGTAGATTAGTGTTTTTTTGTTAATTTTTGTTGATTAAATGTTTATATAGAGCACATTTTAAAACCTAAATTTTGTTTGAGGTTTTTAACCATTTTTTATCTATGTGATTTGATTTAAAGTTTTGAAATATTTGTGAGTCATCCATTTTGACATCGAAAAAGAATGGGCCGAACCGGGGATTGAACCCGGGACCTCTCGCACCCAAAGCGAGAATCATACCACTAGACCATTCGGCCACGCTTTAATCCCTCTGCTTTTCCATATAAGGGATAGACAGAAAGGTGACAATTTCGTAACACATTTTTGAAATTGCTGTTCTTGATCCGGTTTTTTGTCTCGCGTTGGTCGCTTTCTCATTTAAACATGACTCACTATGTACCCTCGGAGATAAAACCGCGAATTCGAATCGAGGTGGAGGCGATTTCGTACTGTTCTCGCCTCCGATCGGCACGAAATCGCGGGCTCTGGTGACTCAAAACTTGTGCGTCCGCGCGATTACCAATCTACCTCCAGAAGTCCCGGATTCAATCTCCAGTTCGATCCATTGCTTTTCGATTTTATTATTGTGTTTTTTGTTTGTTCGGCGATTCCATTGCAAAGAAAATGAAAAAGAACTTATTCAAAGTAAAAGTAGAAAACAAAGAATTTGGCAATCCTTTCGTAAGAAACAGCGGATTTTTTCTACCGTTTAACTTTTAAAAAAATTCCCATCGCTTCTTCCGCACTGCTTTCGAAAATGATTTTGAATTTTTATGCGGCCCGACGCAATTTTGCGGGTGGAGCGTAAAAATTTGAACTGCGCAATTTTGGTTCGACTCGGCAGCGCCCATGTGGGCTCCGTACAGAAAAATACCGTAATTTAAGACGCATATTCTGTATTTGTGCGTCCGGTGTTGGCACGGACTTTATGAAAATCTCTCAGCAAATCGCGCCGTAGAAACGGCGGTGAATAGCGAGTTTCGGTGAAACGGCGGTGGAACGATGGTTTACTAAACGCGCTAAACCGTGGGCTATGTGTAATATTAGTAGTGTCGTACAACCTTCTAAAAAAAAAACGAAAATTAATTTAAATTAATTTTCGATTTTATTTAAATTTCATTTAAAGTTTTAATTAAATTTCAAAATGAAGATTTATTTAAATTAATTTTATGAATTTTTTAATTTGTAATTAATTAATTATAATGTATTGATTAATTTAAAACCTTATATTGGTTTTAAGATTTAATATAATTAATACTACATTCTTTTTAAATTTGAAAGTTTGATTTGATGAGAATGGTTTTTCCAGAACGTTCGTTTCAACAGGAAGAGGAGTAGATTGACGAAAGAAGAGAATGGTATATCTGTGATCAGCATAAAGGAAAAAAAAATTTTGTAGACGCGCGAATTCGGGGCTATGGAGTTCGTCTTTTACCTGTTGAAAACGTCAATGATGTTATTGAAGAAGAAACTGTAGATAATAAAAAACTTGTAATAATCGTCAAAACGCATGAATATCACCATCACATTCAGGTAATGAAAAATTCGCGGCTATATATATAATTGTATGCTTATTTTAGATTAATGCACGAAGTAGAATTTCTTAGAACTTCACCACTGCTTATACAATACGAAGGGGTCAAATATTCCGTCATGGTCGAGCCAGCTGTATCATTTTTGGATCTCAAGGCAAGCTTGTCTTGGTACATAATGAAACATTACGATATAGGGCATGTGTCAGATCTGTGGTCTTCCGAATTGGGCAAGTACACAGGGATGCACACTTTGCACGATCATTGGTTCGAAATCGGGTCGGCAAGCGGTTTCTTTTTTTCCGACATTCAATACCCTTCAAGAACTGCGAATGATGTAATGAATATGATGAGAGCTAGCGGAAAATTAAGTAAGCAATTCCCTTCAAACCTACATCTAAAATATGAATTGTTAGACATTCTGTCAATTCTTGCCAGCCCATCAAATCAACCGTTCGATGAACTTCATTACCTTTCCGAAGGGTTTTTGAAAAATTTATTGGAACAAATTTTTGGGCGCGGTTCAAATTTGCCTCGGTTGAAAATTTCGACTAGGGTGGTTCAGGCACTTTCATGTTCTCTGATTAATACCATAGATCCACCGGAAACGCCCTGCAGGTTTGCTAGCCCAGAAAGATTCTCGCGTGCGACCGGTTCAGAGATAAGAAAAGTGAGCAATTTTAAAGTTGGGACATTTGATTATATTTTTCAGTCAGTTCAGTTTACTCTTGCTGCGTTATCAATGACATTTAAGTTTCCTCGCATCATGGAAACCACGTTTTTGGCTTGCTTGTTCATATTTAACAACTTGCTATATATGACAAGGACCGAAGCTCATCTCTACGCAATCCAACAACTTTCGAATTTCATAAAAGGATATATTGGACATGAAAATAGCGAATTCTATACGCTTAAAATGCATGTAAGAAAATTGACTTGTTTAAAACAGAAGAATGGTAGCAATTCCAGCTGATTTTTGATCACTGTGTGGAGTTGATTCGTAGATACGGCAATTGTTCAACAACTTCAACTGCAAGTTTTGAAAAAACGCACTGCTACTTATCGTTAATGACTAATCAACTATCGATTGCGGATATGGCGAAAAAGTTTATAGCGGACAGTTATTTCACAACCGAAAAGAGGTAAATTCTTAATGTAAATCTCTTAAACTTGAATTTCTTCAGTTCGGATTCGACTTTACAGTTAAGTAGTGATATTGAATTTTCGAGGAATTATAGAATTACGAATTCGTCTACAATTTCAACGTTATCACAGAAAGTGGCATCACACGGAGGACAAATTTAATTTTTTGCAGCCAAATGACTAAATAATTTTTTTTTGTAATAAATTATTCCAGTTTTTCGCGAGTACTTTCAAAAAAACAATAAACGTGGTGAAATATGACAATAGTTTGAAAGTACTAAAACGAAGGCAGTACGACACTCCGCGCGTACGCGTGCAATTTCGAAGAAACGGCGGTGGAAAGTTGGAGGAACGAAAGTGTCTGTTCTCTTCACCGATCATCTGCCGCCGTTTTACTCGCTATTCACCGCCGTTTCTACGGCGCGATTTGCTGAGATGAAAAATCATCACTCAAATATTTTTTTCTTTCTGTTTTCCAACTCGTTTTTTTCTATTTTCTTCATTTCTTGCAATGAAATAGCCTCAAATGGAGCAAAATAATAAAAATACGAAAAACTGAACACAAAAAACAAAAATGAAAAAATGGTAATTGGAAAATCCCCAAGTTAGATTTTGAATTTTTACGATGCTATTAAACAATAATAAATAATACTTTTAGAATGACTGAGGAGTTCAAACAAGTCGGAGTTTTCCCATCATTGCCGAAAACGACTCGTGGAATGCCCACGGTTTTAGGTGTTTAATATATATTTGAATCGTTTACAAGATTAACATTTGAGGTAGCAGCCCTGCTGGCGAAAAAATTCTCTATTGCAATGGAAATTCGGTGTACACGGTTCCCGTTGATGTAAGTCAATTATATTTTTTAAATTTATCGTCGTCTTTCTGAAGAATTTGACCGGCTCGGAGATTTACACGGAACATTCGGTAGCAACCACGGTTGCCAAAATGAGTCCGAGTGGCTTCTATTGTGCTTCTGGAGATGTCAACGGCAATGTGCGCATCTGGGATACAACCCAGGCGACGCATATTCTCAAGGCGACGTATCAAGTGTTCTCCGGACCTGTTCGTGATATCGCCTGGAACGATGATAGTAAGCGAATTGCTGCGGTTGGAGAAGGAAAAGAAAGGTATTTCGAAATATTTTTTTTTTTTTGAATAAATATATTGTATATTTCTTCATTAAGGTTCGGTCATGTTTTCCTTTTTGACACCGGAACTTCGAATGGAAACCTCTCGGGACAATCCCGTCCAATGAGCAGCGTCGATTTCAAACCGACGAGACCATATCGAATTGTTTCGGGATCCGAAGACAATACTGTCGCCTTGTTCGAAGGACCTCCGTTCAAATTTAAAACTGTAAGCAAGAAGAAGGATAATTGGAAATAGTTAATTGATATGTTTGGTGTATAGACATTCCACGAACATACCCGATTTGTTCATGTGACCCGGTTTAATCCAGACGGATCTCTTTTTGCATCGGCTGGAGCTGACGGAAAAGTCGTCATTTTTCAAGGGGCTGATGGAAATAAGGTTGGCGAGCTTGTTGATGAAAAGGGCGTCGCTCACGGTGGTAGTGTGTTCGGGTTATCTTGGTCGCCGGATGGCGCGAAGATTGCGACGGCTTCTGGCGACAAAAGCGTTAAAATTTGGAATGTTGCTGATCGAAGCTTGGAAAAGTAGCTGAGTTGAATATTTTTCGCGCAAATCATTAATGATTTAGGAAAATCGATTTTGGAACAACCATTGAGGACCAACAACTGAGCATTCTTTGGACTAAAAAGGCTCTCATATCCCTTTCCTTGTCGGGATTCGTTAATTTCTTAAGTCCGGAACTAGGAACTATTGAAGAGGTTCGTCAAGGCCATAATAAACCAATCACTGCGATTCATCTGACCATCGACAAGAAATATTTGTTCAGTTCGGATTTTGAGGGTCATACAAGTAAGAGCTCAGTTCAAGTATTAATATTTGCAAATTTTTTAAATTTCAGCCCGTTGGGAAATTGCGACTGGAAAATCGAATCGAGTGAAGCCAAGCCTTCACAAATCGCAAATTGTTGGACTTTCTTATACTTCAAACGGCGATTTGTTCAGCGTCGGATGGGATGATCAGATTAGAGTTACTCGGCTCGATGAGCAGAACATTGGTTAGTTTTAAGTTATTTAGATGTGTCTTAAACAATTCGTTTGAGATTCTGTGAAGCCTTCATCAATTGCACTTCCTTCTCAGCCTCTTGGACTTGCCGTGGCTCCGGACGGCTCTCTTGCGGTCGTTGCTTGCTACAAGCATATCGCTGTTATTCGTAACGGATCTGACATCAATGCGATTGGAGTGAATTATAGCGCGAGTTGTGTTGCCATTTCGCCAGACAACTTTTGCGTTGCAATTGGAGGGCAAGACGCCAAGGTTCATATCTACAAAGTGTCTGGATCTCAGCTCATCGAAGACAAGACCATTGCGCACACCGCCGCAATTACTTCAGTTGCGTTTTCGCCGTCGGGAGCTCATCTCGCCGTCACTGATGCTGCGCGCAAAGTCATTCCGTACTCAACGAGCGACTTTGTGACCGTTTCCGACAAGGAATGGACATTCCACACTGCAAAGGTGAACTGTGTCGCCTGGTCGCCGGATGACAACCGATTAGCCACCGGAGCTCTCGACACCAACATTATCGTTTGGGATTTGAAGAAGAGTGGCGAGCATCCAATTATTCTCAAAGGTAAGAAAGTAAATCGATAACTTTTGTTAGTCAATTTTTCAAGGTGCTCATGCGATGTCACCGGTCAATGGCCTTGCATGGCTCGACGAAACGAACCTCTTGTCTGCTGGACAAGACGCCAACATTAAACATTGGTCGATTCCCATCTAAATGTTCGGCTTTATCAATATTATCTACCCCTATAATCAACTGGCTAACTTATTAATTTACGTGTTTTATAAGCTTTTTCATGTGCTATGGTCATTATATAAACCGCTTCACTTTTAAGCATTCGTTAATGCATTAAAATAACAGTAAATTGCAGTAAAAAAAATATAAAAAGAAATCATTATTTGACAAGATCGACAATATTAGTATCCAGCGAGCAAAATATCATTCTCTTCATCTTCTTCGTCTTCTTCGGGAATGATATCCATGTCTTCTAAAACACAATGTTCAAAGAATTTTTGCAAAATTGAATGGACCGAAACGGAGACCGAATTTGTTCGCTCAACGCCAGAGATATTATTGCGACGAGGACCACTGGCTGACTGGTCAAGAAGGCATATTAACTGGTAATTTTTGGTTAGAATAGAAATTGACTACATTACAATTGCAAAGAAAAAAAATTTGACTACATTACAATTGCAAAGAAAGGAATTTCGGGACCCGCCAATTTTTAATGAGTTTTTTTTGTTGAACATAGCTTTTAAAAACCCAAAATAATGGGCCGAACCGGGGATTGAACCCGGGACCTCTCGCACCCAAAGCGAGAATCATACCACTAGACCATTCGGCCACGCTTTAATCCCTCAGCTTTTCCATATAAGGGATAGACAGGTGAGGCTGCTGCTTCTCTTATCAGATCAGATCTTCACGAATCTTCCCCGGGCAAGCATGGGGAGAAGTAGCGGGTTTTGAGCGATACTTGAGGGCCCGTGTTGCGGATAATCTTTTGTCAAAATTGATTGTCAAAAATTAGTCAAAATTGATTGTCAAAATTGTTTGTCAAAATTGTTTTTCGGCAATTTGATGACGGAAAAATCGCCGAAAAAATAAGGTTTGTTCATTGAATAATTTAGGATACCGTGAAAATTCAGTATTTATATTTCGAATTATCGTTGAACAAATTTAACAGCCGGAATTTTCATTTTCGGCAAATTGCTGATGTGCCAAAACTTCCAATTGCCGCACAGCCCTAATTCAAACCAAAGGATAAGTTAAAGGCGCACACGCGCCAAGACTGTCATGGTGTTCTGCGGCAGCGCGAGCCGTTCGGGTGGTAAGCGGCCAAAAAAGGAGTATTAGCAACACCTACTTCCGTCTGCGCGGATTCCGATTAAATTTTGGGACCCGCCAATTTTTAATGAGTTTTTTTGTTGAACATATCTTTCAAAAAACCCAAAAGAGTGGGCCGAACCGGGGATTGAACCCGGGACCTCTCGCACCCAAAGCGAGAATCATACCACTAGACCATTCGGCCACGTTTTAATCCTTCAGCATTTCCATATAAGGGATAGACAAATGAGGCTACGGCTTCTCATATCAGATCAGGTTTTCGCGCACCTTTTTTTCGCGGTGTAGATATTTTGTTTCACGGATCTCTTATATGGAAAAGTTGATGGATTAAAACGTGGCCGAATGGTCTAGTGGTATGATTCTCGCTTTGGGTGCGAGAGGTCCCGGGTTCAATCCCCGGTTCGGCCCATCATTTTAGCTTTTTTGGAAAATACTTTTTCAACAAAAGCTGTGAAAATTGGCCGGTCCCGAAATTCAATTGGAATCTGCGCGGACGGGGGTTGGTAATTCCGTTACACCTTTTTTTCTCCGCATCACCCGAACGGCTCTCATGCTCCCACCAAAAAAAATTTTCTCTGGCGTCGAGCAACCGAATTCGAGATATCTGCACATCTGAAGAAACATAGACCGGGATCAATCCCCCCCCCCGTTCGGTCCTTTTTCTTTTTTCTCTCCTCTACTCTTCTTACCGTCGCTATCCTCATTTCTTCTTGCTTTCCGAAGCATTTTCATCACTTTTTCAGCTCCCTGGTCAATCGAAATATCCGCCTTCTTCGTCCTCGATTTGTTTCGTGTCTATAATCGTCAATTCATTTTGAAATTGTTTGATTCGAATTACATCGTTAAGATATGATTTGTTGGCCCTAGAAGAAGGCCGCCCACTCATCGTTGTCAAATTCTGAACATATCGTATTGTCGTTTCCAATTCCTTCATTCTGAAAAAAAAAACCGAACATTGAATTAATTAATTTTTTATAATGAACTTACGCGGCCGCATCATTTCTCGGAGATTTTGAAGCTGATGATCGTCGTCTGAATATTAATTGCAATTGATTTTATAAAAATATTTGAAAACTAACGAGACACAAAGCGGCGAATCCTCAACAGGTTCTGGAACCAATGTTCTGCGTTTTCCACCTTTTCCTCTCTTCTCTTCTATCATCCGAAGCGGTGTGCCAGCGCCGAGCAACGACTCATCTGCAGAGATGTCGCCGGCATCGATGTCATCGAACGCCTCAACAGATCCAGTCAGAAGGTCTTTTCGTAATTCGCCTTCCATCATTTCATCTCGCATTCTCACACTTTCTTTAACCGCCGCCGCTACACCTCGCCGACGTTTTTCCTCTTCCAATTTTTCCTCTTCGATGCGTTTCTTTTCTTCTTTTTCATCTCGTTCGGGCTCTTTCCATTTCAGCCGATTCGTCGCACACTAAATATTAATTTCTTATCGTTATCTTCTTCTTCTTCTTAATCAATAAATCTACCTTTTTGGCCTCTTCGATCGAAATTCCGTCTTTTCCCAAAAGCCGAAGAACTTCATTCCAGTCCTCATCACTACCAGAAGGCTTCTTCATTTCAAGAATTCGTTTCAGCTTATCCACTTCTCTTTTTGCCCATTTGATCACCTTTGGTGGAGCATACGCCGATAAAGGTGTCGCAGTTGCTAAAAGATCAATTATTTTCTATTAAAAAAAAATCATAAATCATACATCGTTTCGGCCGATTCTTAGCCAAACTCTCATTGAGTTCCGGTGTTTCTTCTCGCTTCTTCGCCGATTTCTTTGCGGGTTTCGTCTGAATCTTTGATGGTTTACTTATATTCCTTTTTATTTTCCCTGATCTTAATTTCATTTCGATTTTAATTAGAAATTACCTTTTTCGCGACCTCAGGTTCACGCTTCGCCCGTTTTGGCCGTCTTTCAACTCTTTCATCAATCGAATCATTCATTTCATTTTCTTGCGCCCATTTCTTCGCCAATTCTCGTTCTACGTCGTCTTCGTCATCTGACTCCGAATCAGATCTCGATCGTGCCGATTTTCTCGACTTGTAAGTTCGATTCATCTAAAAGTTGTAAAATTGATATTAAATCTCCAAATTTTTTAAACCGATTTTTCGTGCGCGAAAGTTTTATCCTTTCGTCGAAGTTTCTCTTCGATTTGTCGTTGTCTTCGACGATTCTCCTCTACTTGATCATATTCGTATCGCGAAGTGTAGCGACTTCTCCTATCGAAATCATCCGGTTCATATCTACTCTAAAATTATTTGTCTGAATTCCCAATTAAAAAAATATAACAAACCGAATAAGCAGAACTTCTGGAATAATCCGAGTGCCGGTGATAATCAAAAGGCTTTCTTCTATCATTATAATCGTCATAATATCGACTAGAAGCTCTTGATGAGTTCACTCGATATCTCGTATTCTCGTCTTCTTCATACCTATTTTCGTAGCGCTAAAAACAAACCCAAAATGTCATTTTTTTTCAATTATTTTAATAATTATACCGGTCTCTTCTTCATATATCCTCTATAATCATCATAATCATATTCATCTCTTGAATGCCTCGTTTCGTTTCGTCTTCGATTAAAATATTCGGGAGATTTTTCGCGCATGTCCGGTAGACGTCTTGTTGCAATTTTTGGGGTCTTTTCCTTAAAAATTTTGAAAAAATTGGAAAATTCAAAAAATATTGTTTGAAACGTACCAATTTTCCGAAAAATTCTCCCAATTCATCGACAACATCGTCGGAATCGAATCTTCGCTCTTCCCGCGGCGCCAATGGTGATGGGACCCGTCTTTGCGGCAAATCGGGTATCGCAAACTCAGAAACACGTATTGGTTCACGATTTTTGGGTGTACTCCGTATTGGGGTTGAATCAAAAACATGCAGCTGTCGAACGTGTGTGTCTTCTTTTTTATTTCGAGACCCTTCAAAAATTGCGAATTGAAAATATGAATAGAATTGAAACTTACATGCAACGGGAGTGACAGCACCCATAATAGCTTCCGGTGCCCTCAAAGTACAGTCGGGATCTCGTTGTTTCATGCAATTTCTGCCCTCGTCCTCATCATCTTGCCTGTTATCCGATTGCCGCTTACTAATCGAAGATGAAGCTTCATGATCTTCACGTTCGGTATTATTTCGACTATCCTTTTCTCGCACATCGGAAACATCCTCGGGCATCGTTACAAACGGTTTGTCGCTTTCTTGACGAACTCTTTGTACAGAATTATTTCCTTGATAAACTGTTTGAACAGTAGCCTCGTGTTGAGGGCGTGGACATTTCATTAAAAGATTTTCCCAATTATTGGGAAATCCATTGATAAATTCGTCAATAATTTCTTTTGGCATTCCTAAATTCGCTAATTATCTTATTCGTTTTTTTTTTCCTTTCAATAAGAACGAATTACCATTCTTTGTTTGAAAATTTCTATCAATTTGCCCAATAAGTTCAAAAAATTTTCCTGAAACATCGACCACCATATTATTCGTCATTCGTCGCAAAATGATTTCCGAGGTCACTTTGATCATCATTGTGCCTGTCTCGTTCATTTGGAATCCTTCAACAACAGCTCCATTGCGTAAAATCTTAAACATTCATTTTTATCTAATTTTTCAAAATAATTTAAACAGTCACCTTCACAGACCATAAATTTAATCTTAAAATAGTTGCATCTAGAATGTTTTGTACACTAATAGGAACGACGATCTCATTCATCTGAAAAAAAAGGTGAAATAAAAATTTAGACATGAAAATACGGATAAAAAACATTCAAAATTTGTATTCCTCGTCATTCGCGGTATATTAACTCGTTGAGCGATAGAGCGCGTTTGCTGCATTACATCGTATTCAATGTCACGGGATTCCAATGAATGCTTTAAATAGCCACCCAATGAAATAATTTCCTTTTATTTTTTCAGAAGCAGTATGTGTGAAATTGAAGAATAAAAATATGTTTCAATATACTGAAATTTTCGATAGGGACAACTAGCCAATTTCAGTTTTCTTTCAAATACTATCGCTCTTGAAATAATATTTCCAAAAAATTATTTTTATTTCTATTCGCAAAATTTCATTGTAGATAACCTTTTTTCAAAGTGCTGCTCCATCTATGGGTTTTAATAAAAGCGAAAGGGTTTCACCGCTATTTGCATAGTCATACATCGTCCAGCTCAGCACCCCATAAATAGCTTTGTACTTTCGCTTCCAACCCACAGGCCCATTCGTCGTCTCCGTTTTATCGAGGTCCTTTTTTGTCTATGTTTGTAAGTGTGTATGTGTTTCGGCGTTTTTTTTTTTGCTTTCCCAATCGATTTGTCGTGCACTCGTGTTCTGCCGCTCTGCGTTTCAACTATTTCGCAATTCTGGCGCGGTTTTCGTCGACTGACCCCCTCATCAAATTAAATGTCCACAATACTGGCCCATTTTGACGTAGACAAGAGTTTTCGGCAAGTTTTCGTCCGCGATTTTTGATGACTGACTTGGCATCTCGATTCCTTTTTTTCGCGCTGCCCTTTGGGTTATCAGAGGAAGTTCCATTTCATAACTAATATGGGCAAACATACAACAGATGTGCAACTAGTGTCAGTTTTATTTTGAGAAATGGCACGACGAACGGAAATTGCCTTATTACAGAATTAATTAAGAGCCGCATCCTCCTGAATTGTACTTTTCTCCTTTCTGCTCTTCATACTTACGTTTCGATGAATTTCTCAAAATGTTTTTTTTTTCTATTTTAAGCTTCATCGTTAATCAAAGTGTTTGTTTGTTCCGCAAAAAACGCAAATATAAGAGGAAGCTCCTCACTCGAGGGTGTTTCAAATCGATATTAATCCTTCAGGATGTCTCAATATCAACCAATGAATCATGATTTAACTTTCATAACATTTGGTTTGCGCTCTCAATGTTGATGATGGTGAGCGCCACCATTTTCGCAATATAATCGCATTTCTCTTTCGTTTTTTTTGCCAGAAAAATCGTGACACTGATAAGAACGCAAAGATTGTCAAGTATGTGCCCAATCAAACTTTCAAGTTTATTGATTTGCACCCGTTTTTTATATTAATAGCGCGGTGACCCGTTTGTGTAGACACCTGGCTACCATCTGGTGGCAGAAGACGCCATAAACATACAAGCCAAACCCTTTTCCTTTCTTTGTTCGTTGGGTTTTTTCAAGACTATTTTCGGAGATTGTAATTCTCTTTCTCATGTTACTATTATTCATTCAATTAACCCAGCTTATTCGTGTTCACCATCCCAAGATTTCAAAATCCTCATTGCGAGGTGGCGTATTTGAAGAATGTGTCACCCGCGATAAATATTTCATGTTACTGTGATTTCTCTGCGTCTCTTCCATATTTAGTAGACATTGTGTGTTCGTAATATTTCTGTTCTCTTCTCGTTTGGTGTACTAAACTCGACTTTACCTTCTTCCGAACCATTGACGCAATTCTTTTGTAACGTGATCTTTTTGCACTTTATTCTTATCAATCGACTTTTCAAGCATTTTGCATTTTTCAAAAAGTTTGTGTTTTTATTTTGTAGAGCGTCTATCACCTGATCGCGTTTCTTTTTCTTCTGCTCATTTTCAAGCCAAAAAAAATTGGAAGTTGAACAAGCACTTGAACAAGAGTCTCGCATTTTTCGTTTCTCTTGCTTTCTTACCCCCACTCGAACTCCACTCAATAATATTTATATAGATCATTTTTGCAGAGAGAATGGCGCGAAAACCGTACGATATGCTATTCAAATTGCTTCTCATAGGAGATTCTGGTGTAGGAAAAACGTGCATTTTGTATCGTTTCTCAGATGACGCATTCAACACCACGTTCATATCCACGATTGGTTGGTTTTCTTTTCGAAAATTAAATAAATAATTCTAGACGTTTGCCTGAACGTCCTTAATTATTGCTGAAAAATGACGATCACTTTTCAGGAATTGATTTCAAAATCAAAACGATCGAACTTAAAGGAAAGAAAATCAAGCTCCAAATTTGGTATATCCTTCGAATATTACAACGACTATTAACGAACTGATCATTATTTTAGGGATACTGCTGGTCAGGAAAGATTCCACACTATCACAACCTCTTATTATCGCGGCGCAATGGGAATTATGTTAGTTTATGACATTACAAATGCGAAAAGTTTTGATAATATCGCGAAATGGCTGAGGAATATCGATGAGGTTTTATTCTAATTTGATTTTAAAAAGCAATATTAATATTCCAGCATGCCTCAGAGGATGTTGTTAAAATGCTTCTTGGTAACAAATGTGATATTACTGAAAGAAGAGCAGTAAGCCGTGAGATGGGCGAGAAGATCGCTGCTGATCATAACATCAAGTAGGATTCAATCATTTTTATGAGGCTAATAAAATCGACAAAAAAACGTTTAAGATTCCACGAGACGTCGGCGAAAATGAACGTTCATATCGACACGGCGTTTTATGATTTGGCGGAGGCTATATTGGCAAAAGTAAAAATAGTTTTTTTTTTACTTGTGACATTTAAAATGAAAAACTATTTCTACAAACCATAGGAAACACTTTCATATTCTTAATCTCATTCTTTGCAGATGCCGGAATCCGTCGACGAGCCGAGATCGGAGACAGTGGTTCCAGGTCAGGGACAACGATCGGCGGCAAACGGCGGCTGCTGTTGATTGAATTTTCGACGACAGTCAAAAAATATATAATGCAGACTAAGTAATGTGCATTCTTGTCCCACTGCATCCCAAACAACACGTTCATTTTTTATTTTCAAATTCTTTTGTCTAAAATCCGGGTATGTTTTCATTTAAGAAAATCCGTTTGTTTTGTGTGTATACATCGATTTTCGCGTTTCCGTAGGTAATCACTTCTGTGCAAGTCACACTACAATATTCGCTCCTCACTCCAAAAATGATATTTTCTTTCCTTTTTGTAAACCTTATTTTTTCTTTTCGCTAACACGAATTGCGGCTGATCTTTATACATTCTGAATAATACGTTTAATAACTGAAATATTGATTGAATCGTTCCTGATCATGTGGATTCGTGCGATGGGTGAAATAAGAGAATTTCGCATTTTTCTCATAAAATGAGATGGCCGAATCGGATAGTTCTGGAGGCTCAGTCTGAAAAAAATCAATAATAACAAAACGAAAGAAACAACTTGATCGTACTCGATAGCAATCATCGGCTGTGAACAAAGTTGGACGCCTCGGCTCAAGCTTAACGCTCAGTTTAAGCTCGCTCAGCAAAGTTGGTTTCAACAGCTCCCAATCCTGAAAATCTAGACGGTGATATCTTCAAAACTCGAGCGATTCGAAATACCTTGCGAGCACACTTGAACGCCATTCTCGCGTATTGTTCGTAATGATTTTTCTCGTGCGTTTTCGTGTGCAAAGTATTCAAATTGTACAATTCTTTGGCAAATTGCAATCCAGTTCCGAGAACCGATTTTTTCGATTTTTGCTGTTTATTTGGCGTCGCCGCTGATGACTTTTTTGGTGACGACGGAGATTCGAGGAAACTTCCTGGCCGATTAACCATTTCCATCCACTCTTTTTGCATTTCGACGACGTCTGAGAATTGCGTCGATTCTTCTTCATCGTCTTCATCGTCGTCGTCATATTTCATTGCTGCTTGCTTCTTCGATTTCTCCTCTTTTATCGGTTCCGCACTCGTCTTCCACAATTTCAGGAATTGTGCCGAACTTGTCGGCTCCTGATTGATTCCATCAACATGAATAGCTCGATTCTCAATGCTGAACAATATTCCGATGCGATCATCGAGTGAGGTGAGTTCGTAAGTGCGGTAATAATCACGGAACTCTTCATCAGCTGTGAATTGGATCAGTCGGTAATAGTCGTTTTCACTTTTTGTTCTTTCTTTTTCAGGTTCTGTTTCTTTAAAATCAATTAGTTTATCCGGATGGTTCGGATCGAAATCCAAAAAAACCAAATGCTCAACTTCCTTCTCTGTTAACATCCAAGCTCGATAATCGGTACGAATCTTTGAAAAAGGGAATTTTGAAGATAATGCGGAAAAACAAAAAAACCTTAAGCTTGAATGGGAAATGGAGAAAAGAATCACTAGTGAGCTCCCATAGCTGTTTTTTGCTGGAAACTTTTGGCCGAAAAACTCCAAGAAACAAATTTATAGCGGCCTGTTTATCATAATCTCCAAATGTGTTGCTGTAATAACGAGAAAGAGTCTGCAGTACGTCACGCCGTCGCTCCTGAAATTTAAAGTTTTGATTCAACCCCAAAATCGAGAACATTCACCTGGAACGCGGCAGTTTTCTTATATGTCTTGATGGAATGAACAAGCTGACTTCCAGCATACTGTAGAGCCATTGTGTCCCCGTGCTCATCGAACATATCTTCTAGTAATCTACAAACTTCACCTTGTAGATTGAGGGTTGGCTCGTCGAGCACTCCAAGAGCGCAGAGTTGACAAGCAAGGGCTACTTTAGCTGAAACCTCGAAATTTCAGTTTATCAAATTTTGTTGAAAACTGACAAATGACAAATTGAGCAACGTTCGTTCTATCGAGACAATCAACACAATTTGTACGACAAAGCCCATGTTGAATCATAAATTTTCCTTCATATTTCGGTTCGAGTGACGCGAAAGCCTCACGTTTCAGCAATCTCACAGATTCTGCTATTGGGAACGATTGAAACCATCCAGTTTTGAGAATCGCTTTGAGCGCGAGGTCTTCCATGACATTAAGAACGTTTATCGATGGCATCGAATTGGCTGCTTTATTGCATCGTGCGACGTCAAATGAGACGTAGCAAAGTCGTTCGTCATCGGGAAGAAATTGGTTCAAATATTCAATGTTTTTCAAAAATTGAGTGTGAAGAACACCCTCGTGGCTTCGTTTTTCCTTGCGTTTGATTAAATTCATAATAAACAACGGATTTCCATATTTGTTGCGAAGATCTCTGAAAAAGAAGCAATTTTGAAAAAAAAAAAGAAGAACTCCGAAGGTCGTGATCAGGTGAACCTAAAATGAGAAGCGGCTGTTTGTGCATGAGGCTCGTGATTATCAATGAGGATGAGCGGTTTTCCAACGACGGCCCGCGTCGACGGATCTTGCGACCAACGAAGCGGAACAGATCCGCGAATTTGGACAAAACTCGAGAATCGTCCATGATTGATGTTTCCCGATGACGTCATATCCCAAATGATTTGTTCAGTTTCGACGAAATTCGCAACTTGTCCATGCGGATTCGCTCCTCGTTTCAAGAATCGCGTTCCAGCGTATTGAGTAGATCGACGGCCAATTAAAGTGAATGACAATCGAGCAACAGGAAGGAAAATATACTCCTGGCCTGAAAATTGGAAAAAAATAGTCTGAAAATTAACAGAGATAGTACTTACGAACATAGCCATGGACAACTTCAACGAACCAACGCTCACTGATCAGGTTCTTTCGCAGAGGATCTAGTAGATATTCATTCCACACAAACCTTTATTCATTACTATGATTAATTTAGAAAAATTGCAGTTTCCAAACCGATTTTCAGCTTCCAATTTTCTTGTTCCATTATTTTTCCAATCCGTTCTAAGCGCATTCACTTGAAAAGTTCTACTCAAATCATAGCTATACGAAAAATAGAAATCGGTTGACAAATCGACAGACTATAAAAGGCAAGTGACTGTAATGAAACAAATGTTTTCAACCTGGAATAGTTTAACATATTTCTGCTCTTCGGAGCTACTCGAGACTCCATCCATCGCGATTGGAATCATGGCAACTTCGGCGACTTTGTACACGGGATGATAGCCCAATGTTGCCACGGCATTCGCTTTCGTGATTATCTACAAAATAATGATTATACAGAAAAAAGTATGTAGATATAAGGAAGTTACAATCAAATAATAGCCTTCAAGGAATTTAACAACTCCCAGAATTCCAAACGCATTGCTCACGCGTTCAACCAATCCGCTTTTAGTTCCTTTTTTAGAAGAAGATCGATAAACAACTAAAACAATTCAATAAAATAGTCGATAGTGGCAATTATTTAAAAGAACACCTGAACTTCCTTCGGAGATCGTTGCGAGAAGCTCGAGAATTTCTTCTCTTTTATAATCACATTCTGGTTCACCGGTTAACAAAACTTTATGATCAATTCGATCAATTTTGAGCACATTATAACGAGAGCCTATCAAAATTCGCAATTGCACAAAAATGTCTAAAATCTGTCTAGACCTGTACTGTCACTCCCAACTATATAAAATCGGCCCGCAGTTTCGTAAACTGTGATTTTCCGTAATCGACAAGGCATTCACTGAATCATTTATTTACATTCGAATTATTACAAAATTGCCAGAAACAAACGTTTTGAAGTGGCCGAGATAATTGAGTCATCAATAACCACATCAAGCAAAATTTTATGAGAAATTTGCCAAAATGTTACACATAATGATTAATTCTTGTCGGATCGAGACCGCTTAGAGAAGCAGGATCTGGCTTCCACGTGAGTTTCGACATGTCTACCGTACGACGACGAAGTTGAGAAAGCGGATGTTTAAGGGCGCGTTTCTAAATAAATTTGAATGGGAGAGGAATTGTGTTACCCAAAATTACCCCTGTTTTGACATAATAATTTCCATTTCTGCAAGTTAACAAACGATCCTTTAGCATTTGATTAACAACGTCGACCGGATGAATTCTAGTCGACAAACTAATATCTTTGATTGTAACATGATTAGTATGTCTAAGAGATCGGAGATAGCACAAGATGCTCGATCTCCAATATCCGCGATAAGCCAATATTCCTAAATCCGATAATGGATGCTCTGGTGAACCAATTCTGAGCTCAAGCCGGGATAAAGCATAGCCTGAAGATTATTTAATTAATTTTCATTTCATCAACAGTTACTGACTCATATCAATCAAATATCTCCCATATCCCATTTTTTGTCCAGACGGGAGTGTAAGCAAACAAGAAAGATTGTTATTCTTCGACGGATTCTTTTCTTTTGAGAAATATCCAACCATCACATATCCTTCCGTGGTTATTTCACAAAGAATGTAGAACAAGAATGTTTCAACCTCATAATGCAACGTCTTCGACGAAATGAAAAGTTTCGCCAAAAGACACAAATTTCGGCAGTATGTCTGAAAGAATTTCATTAAAATATTCTTTGAATAGACGGAAAATATAGGGATTTCAACAATTTATGTTTAAATACCTTTTGTTTAGCCCCATCAACTTCAAAAAATGCCAAATTCCCATCGCGATAAATTTCAGTTCCCGGTGGAAATCTCCAATCGCAATTTTCCTGTAAAAAAGAGCCGGTTGGTAATCTGTTGTTGATCATAATCGATTAAATACCCAGTGCATTCGGTACTGATCTTGTCGATGAGTTGAATGCAAACAGAATTTACACACATAAATCATTGAAGCGTTTTGAACATCTTCAGGGTATGCAGATGAGCAAATTGCCTAAAAATTGAATAACTAACCGAATTCCACAATGAATATTAGAATAATACCTTAAAAGCTTTTCCTGTTCCCATATAAACCCATTGGGTATTCGATGGTAAATTTAGCTCTTGTTCACTGTTGTGCGATTGAGCAGCTTGTACTGATTGATGATACCTGAAACCGACTAATTGTAGACAAATTCACATTGGCATAATTACAAATTCAGATCAAATTCGGTTGAAAGGCTGTCTTTTGAAAATCGCGGCGTTCCGTATTCTTGCTTCACCCCCAGATTTTTTCTAACAGAACTATTTTCTTTTCTAGGCGAGACGTAACCGCCATGCCTTGCGTTTGGCGTCTTTTTCATTGGAGACGCCTTTGAAGGCGAGCTTATTCGAACTATATCAACGGCACGATCCCATTTCTTATTTCGTTCTGCCATCAAAGCTATTTCCTCTGGAGTTAACGTGATTTCAATAAAATCATCTTGAAATGTCGGTTCCGGTTTAATATCGATGAGTCCAACCATCTTCCTTTTCCGGTTAACATGAGATCTAAATTTAGCAATTTCAATTCATTCGCTTACATTACTCTAGTATTACTTTGGAAAATCACTAGACTTCTTCTTATGGCAATATTGACAAATGAATTCGCCATCGTATTCCGAAGTCAATCGAACTCCTTTTGGAGCACAATTTCCATGCCATGCTTTACAACACGACCAACATTCGACATTCGATGGATCCGCAATTATATCCTCGCATTTTTTGCATCGAATGCACTAAATTCATCGAGTTATTAAAACAATCAAATTATTCCAAAATTCACCCTAGCACATTTCCAATTTGAACATTGTCTAATAGATTCGGCAAATTTTTGAGGATATTTTAAACAACCCGTAAGATGATCTAGAAAATGTGAGTTTTAAGATTAGGCGCTAAAAATTTCAAAACCACCTACAATGAGCTTTACAATTTGTGCATGCATACAATTCTTCATCACTTCCATTTTTGCATAACGCGCAACGCGGAATACTTTCCTTACTGTAAACATTGTTTTTTTTTAATTTCACAAGATTTCATTACGTTTTCTGAACTCTTCGTGTCTTCACTCCATCATCTTCTTCAGGATTCGGCGCACTTGTCGTTGGCGTTTCCAAACTGAATTTTCGTCCAAGTGAGGATCTTCTAACAGTTTCGATTCCATTACTCTTCGATGAGACAACGGAAATCATCTTCGGACTTGCTTTTGATGGTACATTTCGTGAAGCAGCCGTTTGTGATCGACGAATTCTTGGTTCGGGGAGTTCGTCAGGCTCTTCCAATTTGATCTCTTTGAGTTTTCTTTGAATTTTTTCGTCGTCTTTCGTCTAAAAATGAATTATTCAAAAACTCACTTTTACGAGTTTGAGTTTCTCATGCTACCAACGTAAATATATGGGCATGGTCTTGCGAGGACTAACTGACTATTTGGAGTTCAAAGCACATTCCGATAACTTTCAATTTCAATTACGTCAGAAAATCAAGAAAATTTCACTCATAAGGAAAAGAAATAACGATTGTGCAAATAACAATCAAAGAATTTTCATTTGACGAGATGATTAAAAAATTTAATCTACCCACCCGGTGCACAGCAGACTTTGACACTACGGAAGAAAAAACTTTTTTTTTTAAATAAGGATTGGACATACGTGAGGATTCAAACGAACCTGTTGCATTACTTTCGTATCTTTTCGATTTGCGACTCGCCGCGTTTTCCTAGATGAAACTTCGTTCAACCTGTTATCGATTTTTTTTGTAATATATGCATTCAATTCCGCATATTTACCTTTTGACGTTATCATCTATTTTAGCATTCATATCGTTTTTCGTTCGACGACCAACCATTTTGTCTAAATTTCATTAATAAGATTTTTTCTTTTTTTAATCAATATAATCGAAGAAATAACGACGGAAACAAAATTTAATAGTTATTTGTATTTTATTTTCGTCAAAATATACAAGACAAACCACTGAGAAATTAATTATATTAAAAAATACAAATTATAAAGTCATGGCTAATATTGATGAAAACGCAAATAAATAAAAAAGAGTCGCGATTTTCGAGCTAGAAGTTTCTGGAGAAGCGGTAGGAGGTGGAATGGATGAACAAGCCGTATTGCAAAATGTTGAATTGCAAACTTTAACACTGTATTGAACAGACGCAATGGTTCTAAAAAATCAATAAATGTACGTGTGGCCGTATAGCTATGTGGCCTAGTTTTTTAGATTTCATGCGGCCGCGACAAAATTATTCAACAATTTAGTTTGTCCTAAAATTCGCAATTTCTCACCTGTATTGGCAGTGTCCGAAGTCGGAATATTTCGAATTATCGGGATAATCGACGTATGCCACTGGTGAACATGATTTCTTTACATTCCATTTTGCTGGGTCGATCATTGACCTCTCTCGAACTAGAAAATATCGATTAATTATTTTATTGCGACACTTAGTAGAAAAAAACTTACAAAAAACGCAATAATTTCCCAAACAAGTATCTCCATTGCAGTCATCCTGTCCTGTAGCTGAACACTGTGTGCATGTGACTTGTTGCTGACCCGGAATACTGTTACTGCACACTGCGTTGCAGTTCGGCCCATTATTGCACATTTTCACTTGATACTCTACATCATTAATAAATCTAAAGATTCAAATTAAATTCTTATTTATCAGCCATGCTTTTACTTTTGTTCACACTGATTTACGGTACGCGTGATAGTGTTGTCAGGGTACTCAGCATATGACAATGTTGAACAAGATTTACGATAAAAAGTGTTACCAGTTGATAAACGCCTTTGTTTCTCTTCAACATTGATAAATAATATAACTTTAAAGAAATAAAATACCATAAATGCAATAATTTCCTTGGCACGAGCCAGTAAAACAATCACTGCTGCCGTCACAATCGTAACACGTGACTTGAGCCTCTAAATAAAAAAATTGTTATAAATTAATTTTTCTCTTTTTGAACGTTTTTGAAGTACTGGTGGCGACTGTCCAGGACTGCAGTAATTGTTACAAAAGTTGAGATCGTTGCAGATTTTGACATAATATCGGCTGTTCACAGTATTTCTAAATTGTTCGATACAAAACGCTTTCAAATGATTTAAGCCGCACCTAACTTCGCAAATATCTACATTGCGAACAGCCGTGTCGTCATCTAGGACAATAATCGGTTCTATTAAACAGCTTTTCTTCAGTTCCATTCGATTTCCAATTAATCGACGTTCTTTAAATTCGAAAAATTATTTCAACAGAAGATAAAAAGTGTTACGATATAAGCAATAAGCTCCTTGACAAGTGTTGGTCTGGCAATCGGTACCGTCAGATGTTGAGCAATCATAACAAGTCACTGAACCCAAGGGTACAGGCAGTACTGGATTCGGTGGTAAAGTAGGCTGTGGTGGTTCTGTTCGGCAGTCGACATTACAATAATCTTCATTTGTACAAAGAGCCACATAATATTGTCCTTGTCTTGTAGTTCGCGTAACGCATTGATTCAAATTATTCATTGTTACTCCATCGTCAAATTGATAGCTGTTTGATTTTGTGTAGCATGTTCGTAATGTGTGAACAATTCCATTAGCGGCATTCAATTGCTCTGAAAAACGTATTATAGTTGATTAATGAATACCTTAATACCATAGAGACATATATTGGATTCGCAATCAGGAGCATTTACGCATGCTTGATTGCTATAGCTATAACAATTTTTGCATTTAATTCCAAATATTTGTTGGACTTGAATAAATAGGCAAAATAATAGATAAATTTTTTGCATTGCTAGAAACGCGCGGTAGTTTCAAATGATCGAACTTGGGTGATTCGAAAAAAAAGCTCATAGACTTATATAAATATTTGGAGTTACTCATCGTTTTTGGATACACTTGGGCGAAAGAGTATGCAATTTTCGTATATGGAGTATTTGTGTTTGAGATTTTTCGATGTATATGCACATACACCATGATTTGGAACTATATCGTGTTAAGCTCACAATTGACTTTTTGAAAAGTAAATAGAAAAATCAAATGCGCGTATATGACATCATTAAATTGAACAATCTCTATGGAAAAATTAAACGCAAGAAAAATTTATTAATTTAGCAGTATTATGCAGGTTTCGCAAAACTTTAAAAACCTGTAAAATTCTTCCCAAAATCTGCATTGCACCATAAATTAATAAAGAACAATTGCTCGAGAAACTGAAGAGCTTAAGAAAAAACGGCGAAAAAATCATGAGAGAATTTTAAATCACATACTGTATCTCTAAGGGACAGTACACAACTATTACGTTGGCTCTCAACACGAAATTAATAAATTTCTACAGTAATGCTAATTTTTGTCTGCGTCTGTTTTTTTTTGAATTAATTAATCTGGCCTAAATTTTTTTAAAACTTTTTTTCCAAAGTCCGTAACGTTTTCACATAAATATTCAACCTTATTGATCGACATTTTTTCTTATTTTCATGTAATCGTCAATGTGACAGAACACCGTTTTCTATTTTTCAAGATTTTCATTTTATTTAATTTTGCAGGTAATGGCTCCAGCTAAGAAAGCTGCACCAAAGGGCAAGGTTGCCAAGGCTGTTAGCGCCAAGAAGTCCGTTGTGAAGGGAAACCACAAAGCCCACCACAAGAAGGTCCGCACGTCCGTTCACTTCAGAAGACCAAAAACCTTAAGACAAAAGAGATCACCAAAGTACATTACACATCATATGAATAAAATAATTTTGTGTTGTTCAGGTTCCCTCGCAAGTCTGCTCCTAGCATCTCCAAGCTTGACGACTTTTCTATCATAAAAGCTCCGCACACTACCGAAAGTGCTATGAAAAAGATTGAAGATCACAACACTTTGGTATTCATTGTTGATGAGCGTGCTAATAAGCACCAGATCAGAAAGGCTTTCACCACGATGTACAAAGTGAAGGTTGCTAAGGTAATGTTTATGAATCCTTAAGTTGCAAAAGAGAAAGTTTAAATGTTTAATATGCAAAAATACTTATTTCCCGAGAAACGCGTCGGATGAAATAGAGATATTTTGTGTTCGGGGAAATAGTGACAAGTTTTCTCATATTGTATATTCAGATCAATACTCTCATCACTCCACTTCATCAGAAGAAGGCCTACATCAGACTTGCCCCAGATTACGATGCTTTGGACGTCGCTAATAAGATCGGAGTCATCTAAGCGTTGTTTTCGTTTTTGTTGAAATAAAACTTCATTAATGTTGAGGTGTAGTCGTTATGACCCGATAGTTATACATATAAAACAAAAATCAAAACAATCAATTGAGATTCTGATCAAGAGCTGCTTTTCTCGAATTGTAATAATTGATAAAGGCACGATGCATCATTGCACAATCTTCCGGTGGAAAACTCATGTCTTCAAAAATTCGAACATTCCTTATATAATGGTTCTCCAATTGTCCCATGGTTTCAATTTTTGCACAATGAAAAACCACCTTGTAATGGGTAAGCTTCAAAGCCGATAGCCAGCTAAAAATCAATAAAACTTAGAAATAAATATTAGTCTATATTCTTGGAAACCTTTCAATGCAATCGAGATGAGAAAATTGACCTTGCACACAAATTGGATTAACTGATGAGCTTCCTTGGGCGGCAGCCTAAAATAAAAAAGTTTTTTTTTTTAATTAATAAATTCTCACATCATATCGTTCTTTTCCGGCACGAACAGCTAAATATTCAGCAACTTCAGAAGCGGCTTCTTTCCCATAAACTGGAAACATGAAAACCTTTTGCGGACATTCTCGAACTCTTTTCGTCGTTTGAACATTCTCGTTTGAAAAATCTTGGAAATCCATTGATTGTTCTTCAACTACTTGAGGTTTCTCTAAAACAACAATACAATTAAAAATAAGTCAATACTGCTTACTTCCAAGGAGCAACCTAGTATGGTAATCAACTTTTACTGGTTCTGAAGGTTTTAGGGGCACATATTGAGAAGCTGGTCGTTTTCTTGATGGCATCGTTGAATTCTGAACACTCATGTGGTTTCAAATTTCAAGAAATATGTCAATCTACCGCATTGAGATTTGTGAGATTATACATTTCCGTATTCATGAAATTTGATGATTTCTCTAAAATTTTGATATTTCCTGAAGAAAGAAAAAACAGAGGAAACTAACGAAACGCTCGTTTTTTTATAAAATTATTGTAATCTCTTGACGGATAGCCAACAATTTTCACTTCTTCAATGAAACCAGCCACCAGTTTTTCTCTGAATATTTTGAAAAATTGAGAAACAAGCGATGCATAGGAAATACAAAAGGCGTGCGAAAGAAATAGAGAAAAAGTGAGATGATGAAGAATAGTGAGACACACACACACAAGCACGCACACTTTTTGTGACAATGAGCAATTGGAAGACAAAAATCAAGATTTAAAGATTCGAACCCATTCAAATCTTCCAAAATTGCCGCTAAACATAATCGTTTTTTCTCGTTTTTGATTCGCGGACACATATTTTGGCATGCAAAAATGATAGTGACATCGACCGATTCTTCGTACTCATCAACTTCCCTCACAATGCCTATATTCGTATCTGCATTTTTTTTAAATTTGATATATAAAAACTTTTCATATTCGGAAGAAAACGCCATCGTTTCGATTTCGATTTGTCGACCAACGGATAAATGAAGCTCTCATGTGGGATTTCAACTATAAAAAAATATTATAGATTCAAGAATTATTTGCAACTAAAACCCTCTTTTTCAATATGATCGCGACATTTGGAAACTTCCATTTCTGGGAACTGAATTGCTCGTTCTGGAGGTGTATCATTATCCCAATAAAACATCTTGAGTTTTAAAAGCTTCTTTGCCGGATGAGTTTCGAGAAGCTTCCAAGATATAGTTAAAGGAAGTTGACGTTTGAAGCGAATCCATAATATTTTTTCATTGTTTTCATGTAATGTCTGAATCGTCAAAAATTGTGCAAAATATTCTAAATTAAGGAAAAAGTACCCAATTGAAATCAGATGACAACACAGGAGGGAGAATATCAATCTTCAAGTCTTGCACAACTTCAATACTGTAAAATTATGATTGAAAAATACGAAAAAAAAACTAATACATTTGACTATCATCGAAAATATCCCCAACTTCTGAGTTTACGAAAACTGGATCAAGTTTTGGAATTGACATTTTCTCTTCACAAATTGGTTTGTTCTTCAATTTCTCACTCGGCGTTTTTGGTCTCAAATATGAGAAGGCATATTCACTGTCTACTTTCTTTTGTGATAAGACGAAATCCTGAAACTAAGCGATAAATAAAATAAAAGAATTACAAGAATTACGGATTCAACAGATGCGAATGTGTCTTGTAACGGGTCGGGTTCAATAAACAAATCTATTGAAGAAGGTTGATAATTTTCTGAAATTCAAATAAAAAATGAGTCCGATTAAAAAATTACCATCAAATTCCATTTCATCTTCTTTCTTTGCTAATTCAGGGCAGTTTCCAGTTTCATTTGGAAATCTTAAATTACCGTTATTTGCATCTCAAATAACTCGTGAAATATTACATTTTATCTGTTCTTCGTTTTAATATTGGTGGGTTATTGTTTTTATTATTATTAATATTATTGGCACAATCCATTCGAATAGATGAGTCACCGCTGACTTTTTTCGAAACGTCTGAATTGGTCATTATTTGTCGAACGCTGTAAATTTCAAACAGTATTCTGAAATGTTCTATAAAAATTAACATATCAGCAGTATCCGCAGCTTGTTCTAATTCCGCAAGTGTATTAGGACTAAGCCCATCCATTATATAAGTGCCGTTCTGAAGAACACAAATGTTACAGGCCGTTATTTGAAATAATACCTTAATTTTTTCCTTTGTGTTTTGCGAGAAAACGTCATATGAGGAGCTATCGTTACTTCTTTGGGTCATTATAAACAGGCTATTCAAAATTAATTAGAACAATTTTCAGCTTGGCACACAAATTAATTCAGATACGCAAAATAAAAATTATACAGTGAGTTAAAGGAGCACTATTAATGAATTGTTCGAATCCCGATTGTTAAAACTACTGTAACGTGATTTTATGAATATTCGGCAACAAATCGTGAAATTTCCATTTGTGTTTTATTTTTTTCGACAAACTCCTCGGGCGAAAGCGTGGTTTTTCGTATTCGGCGAAACAAAAAAACAGAAAAAAACGGTTTTTTCGTCGAAACGAACCTACATAAATATTCCGCCAGAACCGAGTAAGTTTGTTTTAAGTAATGTGGATTTTTTTTGAAAACTCAAATTTTCATCATTTTTATTTAAACTTTCCCATTAAAAAATATGTAACTGGAATTGACTATTTGACTTTGCGCGATTGACACGTAGATAAAGGTTCTTATCTTGTCGGAAAACTCATCATGCAGTGGTTTTCTTTGGTTTTGGTGAAACGCGCAGATTGCACATTTTAACCGCGTTTTTAGACGTATACAACTTATTTTCTTATTTTTGCACATCTGTTTCTTTCAAAAATAATAATTAATTCGCTAAATACGAAAAATCCTCTGTTTCACCAGGTGAGTTGTTCGAGATATTTTCGGTTATATTTTATCAAGTTGATGTGGGTACTACATATTATTCTCGTTGTTCATTAGCTCGAATGAACAAATAAGTTGGACAACCACTGGTTGTGGCACATGTTTGAATGCTGGCCGATGAAACTGCGCAAGAATTGACCGGTCATTTTATTCTCACTGTGTCGCAGCGTTCGTCATACATACACACAGATGTGGTATTTTCTTGGTGTCTCTCTCTCATGAAACGTATTGACATTCACATTTGAGCAATTTTATAAAAAAAAGGCACTTTTAATCCATTTTTGAAGTGGGAAACATTTTGTTTCGTGGTAGAGTCAATTTATTATTATTTTTTGAGAACTTTCAATTTCTATTTAATTTCTTTGATGTATGTCGACATTTGTTCTTTGTTTTTTTTTTTTAAATAAATGCCCTTGATAGTGTTTTTTCGTAACGGTTTTTCTTTGAATCTTTGTCACTTTTGGCATCTCTTTCATCATATTGCCATTAAATTTTTACGACCAACGCGTTTCCCAATAGCGTCCATCGATCCAATTGTTCGTTTCTAATGTGCTCCTAATAAAATTAAACTCAACGACGAAGTGCCGGGTCGCGGACTAGCGGACAAAATCCGCTAGCGCCGCCGCGTTCTCTTCTCGCCTCGACCCTCTATTCATCCAAAAATTGCCTGCGTTCTTTGCTGCTTCGTTTCCACGTTCCTCTTTTGTGTGTTTTTCGTTGTCTTGTGCGGTCGATGATTTGTCCGCCGTTGAGTTGATACACTCACAATTTATTGTTTTTTTCCCCAATAAACTTGCGGTTTTTTCCAGAAAAATGGTCGTCAATGTTTTCATCTCTGCGGTTACAACCGATAATTTGAGTCGAAAGGAAGCAATTGCTTGGGTCAATGATACCTTGAAGGTAGACTTTTTTCTTGTTTTTTTAAACGTAACTTTACAATTTAATATTGTTTTATATATTATCATCGCAAAAAACGATCGTCGTGCGCTCATATATAATTATGGACTGTAATTCAAAATTGCATTTAAACAGTGGGAATTCGGATTCCGTACTCTCACCGTAAATCGGCGCGGGATGCTCGTCTTTTGCGATTGTTTTCTAGATATTTCAATTTTATAATTATTTTCTAAAAGCTAAAATAAAAAATGGATATATTTTTAACATAGCCGCTTTTTTTGGATGATCACGTAGGGCCCGCTCTGAGTTGTAATCGATAATTATGCATAAATTAAAATTACTTATAGACTCATCTGACCAAAGTGGAAGAAATGTCAACTGGGGCATGCTATTGTCAATTGACGCACTATCTCTTCCGGGATGGAATCAACCTTAAAAAGGTAATTTCTTCAGCGAGTTACTCATCACTTTGTCGGGCTTTTAGGTTAAATTTAATCCACGAAATGAACCAGAAATTCTCGCAAATTGGAAATTGCTCACAACCTCGTGGAAGACATTAGGAATAGACAAGCCTGTTGATGTCGAGAAATTGAAAAAGGGCAAGTTCCAGGACAACATGGAGTTTCTGCAGTGGTTTTTTAAGGTAAGATTTCGAAAATATATCCTGCTCAATAACTATTTTTTATAGTTCTTCAATGCCAATCTTGGACAGGAGGATCCAAACTATGATCCCGTAGCTGCTCGAGGTGGAGAAGAAATTCCTGCCTTGAAGGGATCAATCGGAGGTCCAGCACGACCTGCTCCAGCTGCTAGGCCAGCTGCTGTTACTCGTATTACTCGTCCAGCTCAAGCCGCTTCTCCCGCAACGCGGATTACCCCGAAAGCACAAAATGTGCTACAGCCTTCTGCGCAGCCAAATAATTCCGCGTTGCTCGCTGAAATCGATGAATTGCGGAAGTTGTTGAAGGAAAAAGAAACTGAGATAGCTGACTGGATGGAGGTAAATCCAAAATAATGTTACTGGCTAAAACGCCGAAGAGGTCATGTGTTTAATAATGGAATTTAGAGCTCGCAAGATATGGAACAAGAACGCGACGCCTATTATGGTATTCTTAGAAAAGTTGAAGATTTGGTGAATGAAACCGAAAAAGTCGGTAGTACATCAATTTCGCTAGACAGTATCAAGGATGTTCTTTTCTCGGTAGGTTATTTTGGTTTTTAGGCGTTTTCGGCGTCGGTCGCGCGTATTCAGAAAATTAGCTCAATGCCGAACAATTTAAAAAGAGGTCTCGGTGCGCAGTGTGCGCTTTTACTCTATCCTTATACTTACGCCAGTAAATCTACAATTTTAATTTGCTCTAAGGCCACTGTCGTTTTAGCCAATTTTCGTGTTGATTTACGTACGAAACATAAAAATAGGTTTAATTAGCATACTGCGCGCCAAAATTTTCCCCTAAATGTTTCGATATTATTGCTTTGACGTTTCACAGCGCGCGACGTTTACAATATTAAAAAATGAAACAATTTTAAAGAGCGATGACAATGCTACGACGGACGCGGTTGCCGAACAGGAACCAGTGGCAGCTGACGTTGACGACACGGAAACTTTTTAAATTAATTGATGATTGGTTCGGTATTGATGGTTGTCTGTGAATAACTAGATTGTGAATGTAAATACACCCAAAAACCCCCAACGTGCGTACTTTTATCTAATACATCAAGTGCCATACTTTTCGCTTGAAGAAAAACGCACTTCATTCTATTTTTATTGTAATCATAATTGTGATGTATTCAAATTCATAAATTTTTGGTCGTGTGAATATTGCGCAATTTCTGTTTCTTTTTCTCTCGATAAATTGCATTTCATTTGATTTTCACACATTACCGTCCAGTGCAGGCTGAAATTCGTGGACACACCCAGAAGACCTTATACTAGTTTGACCTTATACGTGTGCACACCAGGGCTGTGCGGCAATCGGCAATTCGGCAATTAGGCAAGTTGCCAAAAATAAAAATTTCGGCTATTAAATTTTTTCCACGATAATTCGACATATAAATACCGAATTTTCACGGTATCCCAAATTATTCAATGGACATTCCTTTTTGTTTCGCCGATTTTTTTGACACCAAATTGCCGAAAATCAAGATTTCGGCAATCCGGCAATTCGGCAATATGCCGATCGAACGTTCTCTTCGGCAATTTGGCAATTCGGCGATTTGAAAAATCGGCAATTTCGGCAATCGGCAATTTTGATTTTCGGCAATTTGATATAAAAATAAATCGGCGAAACAAAAATCAATGTCCATTGAATAATTTGCGATACCGTGAAAATTCGGTATTTATATTTCGAATTATCGTTGAAAACATTTAATAACCGAAATATTTATTTTCGGCAAATTGCCGAATTGCCGGATCGCCGAAATTTCCGATTGCCGCACAGCCCTGGTGCACACTTACAAAAATTTCCAAAACATGAACATCCCTTGTTCGACCGAAGCATTTCGTGGCTACATGGCGTTTTGTTCGAGATATTCCCTCCTTCGAAGGTGTTTTTTTAAAGATTTAGATCATTTTTTGCCAAACTTAATATATTTGTTTCATGAGATTATTTGAAAGTGAGTTTAATTTTATTAGACATCACACAATGGAGGTAGAAAATCAGGATGGGGATTAAAAAATGAGTATTGATGGCAATGTGCCAATTAAATTTCAATCAATTCAAATGCATAAAATTTGATTGTGCGAATTTTTTGTATTTTTTTCACGACGAATTGCGTTTTGTTTTTATCTCAAAATGTCGAAAAATTGAATTAGCGAGGAGACGAAACGCGTGTGTTTCGTCCGCATTTGCCGTATTTGACGACTATTGTTATTTATCGAGTGCTCGAAATAAAATTATGAACAGCGGAATCCATGAGAGAGGTAAAATATTTTTTGTGAATTAAAAATATAATATTTGGAAACTCAGCTTCTTGTTCAAAATAATCTTTTTAATTTTGTTTCAAAAATATGTGAAGATAGAATTTTTCAAAATTCTACGTGAAAAAGTGTTTTCATTTCTTACAGTACAAACTTTTTATCGCCTATTTCATTAAAAAATTAAATTTTTGTGGAAATTAAATTTAAATTTTTATTTGAATTACAATTTTCATGGGAGGAATTTGATTTTTTCAACATAAAAAAGTTAAATAAGACGAGAATATTTCTCAGGAAAATACTCACCAAGAAAATTGCATAATTGCGAAATTATCAAAACATAACAAAAACGAAGTCTTCAATTTAGCTGATTATTGGTTTAATGTCGAAAAAATTGATATTTTGGTTGATTAAAACAATTTCGTTTGTTTCTGAATTGGTTAAATGACAAAATGTTGTATTATTCAGGTAACCCGTATGTATTTTTCAATCGAGCAACAACTTCAAAAGCTGGTTCAACGTCTTGCTATAATTCCGAAACTTGTCGGATATCTCTGGGAAGGATTGATGACGAAGAAAGTTGTCGAGTTCGTCAAATCATTCATGATTCGGTTTCGGAGGAAACGAAAAGCTCATGGCGAAGTTATCGCGATTTCATAGCACTTAAATCGCGAGAATCGTTTTTTAATGTATCGGACCCTGGACAGCAAACATTTCCCAAAAAGGTCAAATTGTTAGTGGTAGTAGACGACGACACAGCGGAAAATTCCGAGGAAAATAATGGGAGGAATCCGACGTCAGCACCATCACAATATTCAGTTATATTTGGTATCTCTCGCAATTGACATTTTTTTTTTGTTAAAAAATCGAACATTTTAGAGAGCAAATACAAAATCAATCGAAAAGAAGAACCATCTCTGCCGAAATGCGCGACTGCCCCTCAATTGTCAGAATTTGTTGAGACGGGAAATGAAGGAGTTGGAAAACAGTTGAATGCTCGAGAACGACTCGAATTGGTATTGAAGGAAAGGAAACGAAAACCACGGGTTGAGGATGTTTTAGGAGAAACAACAAGTCGCGAGAACACACCCCCGGTGAGATTTTATCGGTTTCTTTATTTATTTCGTAAAAACATCGTTTTGTTGAGTTTTTCTAAAAACTATTTTCAACTGACTTGGTAAAATTAAAAGACTATTAAATGGTTTCGAATGATTTAACAAAAACGTAAAGAGAACATTATTTTTTTGAATTCAAATTCGAAAATGTGCTATTGTTCACAATTATGCAAGCCGCTCGTTTTTTTTTTTGCGATGGTAATAAAAACCTTTTTGGCCATTTTCAATGTTTTTTCGACGAAAATTTGAGGTTTTTGAAATTTCACAAGCCGTGCCTTGAATAAAAAGTAAATTTCTAGGACGAACCTGAAAAACAATACGGTTATGTCAGTAAAACACCGAGTCCGGTGGAAGAGACACAAGCAAAATCTTCTACAAAGCCTGACCAGCAGGAATGTATTTTGAATAAATATGGACATTGCGTGGTAAATTACAAAAAATTAATTTTTTCAATCAAATATTCATTTTTAGTTTCCTCAATTTTGTAAATTTCTGCACAATGGAAAGAAAAACGATTGTAAACCAATGAGGTAGATTACTTTAAAATATTATCTGAAATACGTTTATTCAGCGAATTTGTATTTCCTCGATGGAATCAAGCACCGCCAACATTGCCAATTTGTCCGGTAAAAAATATTGTACAATTGATAAAGTGCGAATTTTTCAGAGATATTTGAATCAAACTTGCTGGAACATGTCATGTAACCTTCGCCATACTCTTTACGCTTCAGATGCCATTAACTAGAGCCATAGAATTTCTTTAGTACTTCTTCTTTGTTTTTCTTTATGTTTATTTCATCGATTATATTTTGTTTTTATTTTCGGCGAACCATTCAGTTTTAAAAACCCGTTCAATATCATAAACTGACTAGAAGACTTTGAGACCAAATACATGACAAATTTACAAGATTATTTAGAGAGGCGGTGCTCTTTGGAGACCTCGCTAACATATCCGCCGTCGGATTGACTCGAACCACTTAATGGACGATGAGATTCCCGTCTGGAATTGTTTTTTAATAGGAAACTGAAGAAACACGCTTACGAGAAAGTGGTACGAGCTTTCTTGATACTTTTGATAAGCTGCTGCTTCAATTGAGGTTGACAACATTCGATGTGATAAACCGTATTCGGATTTGCTGGAAAATTTCAATTTAAAATTCAACTCTCCTATAATACTTCACTAACAATGACTCAGCTGTCCATTGGGACCTTCGAATGCAGCGTGGTACAGTCTGAGATTCATTCCGTCTTGACTCATTTCATCAACGTCAACTTCATTAATTGGGAGAACTCTAGTCCATTTCATCTGAAACAGTTTGTTTCTAAAAATAAAAAAAGACAAATTGGGCTACCTTAATTTCTTTTCGGGCATATGATGGAAGCAATAGGACGACGGTGTGGAACACAAATATTACGTAGTGGTCCGATGGAGCATCTCGCCATTTGATATGTGCAAATATTAGGAGATCTCTTGTGTCGATTCGAACACCCTACCATTCAAAATTAGAATTTATTTCGAAACATTTCATACTCACCTTCTCGATTAACATTGGCTCATGTGCTTTACGCACAGTTTCGATGTATTGCGCATATTCTTCATGAAGCCTCTGCATTTCATTCACATATTCCGCCAATGTTTGCATTTTTTGCAATGCCGTTTCCACCTATTTCGAATCATGAGTTTATTCAACAATTTTCATCTTACATGTACTCGCTCTCTGACATCCTTCGAGCATGCTTCCATGATATTTCTTAGAAGCAGCGGGTATTGCACAATTCTCTGCACCGGCTTGATCATCCTCGACTCCCAAGAACAGTGTTGCTCGCGAGTACTGTTAACAGCTTCAAGCTTTGCCAGCAATTCTTTTTGATGTTTGATCTCATGCTGCAGCCGGAGGTATGCGGCTGCGTACTCGGCATAGATTTTGAAGTCGGCGCATTTGTTCACGAACACAGCACTCACGCGCATCGCTGAATCCTGCAAAATGAGCCAAGTTGACCGCACAGGCAAAATTCAAGCAATTTGCTACGCGAATTTGCGATGCCGAAATATCTTGTCGTGACATGTCCCCGATAGCTTCTTCAATACTATCAACGAATCCGGTTTGTATTTTATAGAGCCGCAGTGCTGAATGCATAATTTCGCGAACTGCCCGAATACACAAAAATACGTCATTCATCTGAAAATATTTCCAATTTTCCTACAATATCAATAATTAAACGCCTTCTCCATTTAGCTTCTTCAATTTTCTCCGTGGGAAGCCATTAAAAACGAGAAAAGCAAAACCAATTAAACATTCTATGCAATTTCTTTACGGAAAATGAATGAAAAAAAGGTCAATGAAGATTGTAATTCATTTTCTACTGCAGAACAATTCGCTTACCTCTCTTAGATCCGCGACATACTTCTTTTCGGTAACCAATAGTTCTTGAAGTGCCATCGAGAGTTTCGCACAGCCTCCTTTTTTATCAATTGTACGAAGTGTCGCTGGGTCAAGTTGGACTGGGGCTTTCGGAATTTGTGTGTTTTTCCTTCGCAGATGTATCACTTTGCCGACACGAAGCAATTTCTCAACGTCCGATGCACACCGAACAGACGAAATGAGTTCACCATCAACGGCAATCACCGCATCTCCGACTTGTGCACACCTCGGTGCAAATGAAGTCACACCGCGAACTTCGGCTCGTATCACTCCGTCTTCGTTGTGCGCATAAATTGTGAGCCCAAGCCTGCCGTTCGTCTTTCGAACATGATAATCTATACCATCGCCGTCGCCGTCAAGCTCTTTTCGCTGCTCAGCCATTTCTCGCTTCCTCATTGCTGAAGCTTCGGCTAAAGAAGTCGTCGGTTTTGGTGGAGGCTGGAAATAAATAATCTCGTATAATTTTCAAAACAAATCTAAACTACTACCGTAGTTGTGTGAAACGTTGTAGTCCCATTAACAGTAGTGATATGTTCTCCAGGAATAATATTAATCGGAATCTGATGAACGACGCCACCAGATGTCGATGGTTGTTGGTCATGAATATCCATCGGTTTGCGCCATCTAGAAACTGCAATATTGGTTTGGCGCCTTTGGATTGTGGTTGAGCACAAAAAGCGCTTCAAAAAGCCCATTAATGTATGAAAACAATAGGCGAATGCTCTCGAATGAATGCAACAAAAATAAAAATAAAAATAAAGAACTCACATTCGAAATGAGTTCATATTGAAGTGGAACAGAAACAGCGACGGTAGGCGACAATTGGCGAGTAGTCGCGTCGAAATATGCGGAGAAATGTCGTGCTCGATGAGCTGTAATACTACGATGTACAAATTACGGACAAACAATACCGGAAGCCGGTTTCTCGCTCGCGCGCGCGGCCTTCTCTCACCACGAGACAAACTTCATAATCCTCTTGTCAGTCTTTTCGCGCGTCTTAGACACTGAGCAAATGCTCAGAAGCGCAGCAACAAAATGCGCATTAATTGAAACCTTCGAAAAGCGAAAAAAAAAATCATTTTAATTCGGGTTACAGTTTAGGGAATAATCTTTTTTTTAATGAATTTTCGATTTCTAATATATGTGAGAATTCATCTAACTCAATTTCAATATGCAGAAATCGAACAACACATTTCAAGCAAACCGAAAAATACTTTCAATTTCAAAACGACAATAGCAATTCGCAAAAAAAAACTTTAGAACAAAGAAAATAATAATAGTAATAACGAGTAATCGGCTGAAATTAAAAAAAAAAACCGAAAATGGCCATTTCGGCCAGAAAAAATGAATAATAAATAATATGAAAAATTGATTTGGTTGAAACTCTTTTTTAAAATAAAATTTAGCATCAAACTACTGGAAACGAGCTCTCAAAAAAAAAGAGTGATTTCCAAGTCATTTTTCACTTTAATCTGAATATTGAAACCAGATGAAAAACTAGGAAAAGCATCGGCGCATTCTCATTTCGTCTCTCTGTCTTATTTACGATAAAATTAATGCCCCAAAAGAGAGAAAAAGTCTTTTGCGAGAAAAAAAACCAAACGGAAAATAGCGATTAGTATGCAAAATATCGGTGGGCGTGGCTTCCAACTAGTAGGGCATCAAGCGCACACGAGCGAACGAGCGAGAAGGGGGCGAAAAAAGTTGTTGAGAAAAATATGTGTCTTCCTTTCTTCAGCTTCATCTACGCCTTCTCCTTTTCCTTCTTTTCATTCCTTCCTTCAGCACGTCGATTCTATTTGCTTCTCGAAAAAAGGAATCGAATGAAATAGAAGTGAAGATGAAGAATCGCAGAGGCGACGAACCAATTTGGAGTAGGAGTAGGGTCCGTACGCGAAGCGAAATATATAACACAACAAATAGATAAACTTTGTAGGTGCTGTAAGTGTACAAAACGGAGAAGAGAGAACAGAACACCTTTTTGTTGATAATATGTATGTAATGCACGTTGCAAAACTAAGCGCACGACGGGGCCCCGCGCGTTTTTCGCAGCCAATTCCTTTCTATTCAGGCATTTTGTTTAGGCGGCCTCGTAACATCGTTTACCCACGCGAATTAATTTGCGGAAATTGGTTGTAATGCCAAAAAAAGCATAAGAAAAAGTGAACACTTTAGCTTAATCGGATTCTTCATGCAAGTTTACAAAATCGATGTGAAAGTGCCAATTACAATGGTTTTTAGTTCGAGTGAGCCTTTTCAATTTTGGTTCGCAGATTCTGGAATCTAATTATGTTGCGAATTGAAATTTAACATTTGAAAAGCTTTGTTAGTTCTTGATTAGTTTGAATTTAGGTATATAAAATTTTATTCATTAAAATTTGCCGATTATTTCCGCAAATACCTGAGCTATGATTTTTTTTTACGTTTAGAAAAATGTGGCAAAAATGTGTAAAAGAATTGGGGTCCATCGTTTCGATTTGATAAGCAAGAAGCAAATAAAGTGAGCTGATTGGTAATATTTAAAAATTTGTTGCACTCTGGTGTAATTGAAGCTGATAAATTCAAAATTTTCCAATTCCTCAAAAAATGTTTGATTGCTTCAAATTTCTTTAGCATGAAGTCAAATTTTTAAAACAACATTTTCGATTCGTACTGATGATGAATGCGCGGAGGTAGGTTTGAAATTCGCTCCTCAAACAGCCCCGTTTTGCATTTAAATGAACTTTTACAACTTGGCAAATAGTCGTTCTACATGAATTATATATTGGAAAAAGCAAACCTCGATTCCGGGTAGTGGTTGTCCTTGCAGCGAATTCAAACGTTGCGTGACGACGACATTTTTCAGTAACAATTGCTCGCGGAGCCCTTCATTGCCATCTGCTGACGATTCCGAGGTTTCCAATAGCTATAAAATAATGATGAAAATAAAAAAATGATTTTTTTTTGAAAAATCGAACCCCAATGAGTTTTTGCTGGATTTTCTCGTTTTGCCTTGTCAAATAGTTGATGGCGACGGCTGTCGATGTGGTGCGAGCGAGAAGAAGCGATGAAATATTCAAAGCCTTTCGAACAAATTTATGAATTTCGCGATTAGTTTCGAAACAAACACACCTGAATGAGGAATAAGTGAGCGTGAGCCGAGATGAGAATTCGAAAAATATTGTTGGCATGAGCGATGTCGACACAATTCTCGACTTCAGAAGGGCTCGCAAAACTCTCAAGCTGAACAACAAATCAATCAACCAAACGGTCTTAAAGGGATATCCGCAATTACCAAATCAATACAAACTGGAGATCCTTTGAAGTTGAATGTCATGCTCAAAGGGCTCAAACCTATCTGAAAATGGTTCGTCGCGTTTCGAAAAAAAGTTCTTAAAGAGTTGTTCTAGCGTAAAATATTATATCTAATATCTGGCGCATACATTGGTAACTTCCGGCGCTTCTTTACACTCGACAATTGTGTCTCCTTCAAATGTGGCAATTCTCGAAATCGAAGCACTAAATGAGTGCTGAAACATGTTGAATGGAGTTGTATTGCACGTCTGAAAACAAAAATCCATCAGAATTTCAGTCAATTTTCGGAAAACCTGCGAAATGAACAATGAAGTATCGCGGGCGCTTAATGTATTGAATCCGATAGTTCGATTTTCAGCACGAAGATAAACAAAGAAATCGCTGACTTTGTGCACTTTTTCACCTAAAAATTGAGCGATTTTGACTATTGGTGGGCGGAAATTTGTTTATGAAAGAAAAATAATGGAATTACTAAAAACGATGCAATCGACTCTTAAATCAATTGATAGATATCAATTGGGATCTATTTGCGAAGCACTTGAACACACACCCACCCAACCGACCAAAAGACACCGCTAGTGACGAGATTTTTAGCGCTAGTCTTCGAACGAAAAGAACGACGAAAAAAAAAACAGACAAAACGAGGTGTCGGCAGGAACACAGAAAAGACCGCCAAAAAAACGAGTCGAATGCTCATGCATTTCTGAGCGTTTTTTTTGCTTGATTTCGTCGTGCTTGCGTCTTTTGGGTGTGGTCTGAAACTCACCGATTGGTACCAGAGTGTCGAGGAGAACCTGACCAGATGACGATGTTGCGATAAGACGTGGTTGCGATTCGTCGAAGTTGTTGAATACTCGCACCTTAAACTTATTATATGGGAATTTTTCTTTTAAAAATGTTACTGTAATGTAATACCTATTGAAAACCTGTGATATATCGTCATTTGATAACAATTTTGAGAAATAAGTCCGAAATAAAATATTCCGTAACCTTATACCACGTTAAGGCATTTATGAAGGATGTTCCGTTAGCTGATTGATTTTATGAAAAATTAAGAACATAATTAACTGCTAAGTGACAGCTGCCCTTAATTATTCGCAAATTGTTTTTGAAATGTTCCATTTCTTATATTGTTGGCGTCAGGCAACTAATATATGGCGTGTAGATTTACGAGCGTTGTCATGGTCTCGCCACGTATTAATGCTTATTTTGTTATTTAACTGTTTGATTTTTCTTGAACAATTTATATTTTTTTGCATTTCTTATGGTTGTAAAAATAAAAATTTCTGAAATTAATCATTAAATGCAAAATAACCAATTTTTCCGTGCGAGACCACGCCCGTAAATCGACCCGCAATACATCTGTTGCCGGACGTCAACTATGAATTTCTATTTTCCATGTGAATTTTTTTGTTCGAACATCTTCCGTTATTCAAAAATGGGAAAATCTCGTTGGGGGAGTAAAAATAGAAAGATTAGCCAGGATTTGCAAATAAAATCGACGAGATAATTAAAGGAAGTTTAACACAATTTGTCAAATGCGAGTCATAGGTAATGGATGCTAATTTTGTTTTTTTTGTTGTTAAAACTGCACGTATAACTCCGCGCACCTTCGCCAATCTTCCATCGAGTTTTTCCCATTTCGATCCATCCGCCGACAACTCGAATAGCTCAGCGTCGATTCTGAAAATCCCCGCGTAATTTGTTTGTTGTCAGGAACAACACAAAACACATCGTGTATTGGCTTGCGGAAGGCACTAGTGTGACGAATATAAATGGGTTTCGCGTCCGGAAAAAAACACACACTCACTCTCGGACTTCTATTAGCTATTCATCAAACTGAATGACAATTCGGACAACAAAAAGTCGAATTTGGCGCCGAAAGGAATCGAACTCTCGACCCCTTTTTGTTTTGTGAATTGCGTTGCAATGCTAATTAATAATAATTATTTTTTTATATTGCTACCTTAAAGAAGATTCATCGGCATTCCAGCATTCCGCCTGCGAGCACGAGCAAGACAGTCGTGTGCCCATTGTTCAGAATTTCGAGAATATTGGCTCTGATTACTCAAATACAATGAATCAAATGCATAGAGCATGGAGGCATGGTTAATTGATGCAGCAGCCTGCAAAAAAAAGATTATAACGGAAACCCTATCAATATATTCTTTCAAGGAAGGCGGCGCGAAAAACAAACAGAAATAATATCGAAATGAAATGAATTGAAGAGTTGGGAGGCGATGAATGCAAAATGAATGAAGGAGAGTCATAGTGAATATGACATCAGTCTTTGTTGAAACTAAACGAAACGTAGTATTGAATTCCCAATGCTGGCAGCATGTGTTCAGTTAGGCGTGAAAAGCTGCCATTGTTTTTATGATTTTTTTGCCAAGCAATTTAGAAAAATTCGCAAAATGACTTTTGTTGGTTGATTAATTATTGTTTCGTTCAAGAAATGCGATGCCTATTAGATACGGTAGCAAGAGAAGTTGTGTAAACACGAGGCGGCAAAAACGCACACCAATTATTCAAATGGGAGATATTCATTGAAGATATTTGCAACCAGTGTGTTGCGTCTCGCGGGATTTTCGATAACTTTCAATCCGACACAAGAAGTTGTGGAAGGAAAGGGCCGCCTTCCGAAAAAAAAGGGCGCCGCAGCCACCCAACGCCGCCGGCCGCGCGCGCACCGCATTTGGTGCATTTTTGATTTAGTGGGTGAAGCGAAACGAAAAACGAAACGAAAAGGGTGCGCGAAATTGGTGGGAAACGCCGTCGGGTGCACATATACACCCAACACCCACCGCCCAAAACAAAAACAATAATAATAATATTTGTGGCGGATTCTGCTCGGGGGCGCAACAAGAGGTCACTGGCTCCCCCAACACACACAAACAAATTCTCCGCCCCCCCATTTTTTTTGACGAGGGTGTCAGAACAAAGCGAGACTAATTTGTGTGTCATTCACGGCTTCCCACCACCAATATTTCGATATATTGGCACCATGTTTCGTGCCCAATTTATGCGTTTTGGCTGGCTGTCAAAAACGTTAATTTCGTTCAATGCATTTTTGATGAGCTCTGTTGGCAGGAAGAAGGGATTAGGTCGTATAAAATTGGGAATATTGGTGGCACACGATGTGCTGTGTGTTGCACCCATTCATTCATTGTAATCGCCTATATATGGAAATTATGGGCAACCGGAAATCTCAAAAACCTTCTTTTTTAGTTTTTTTTTTTCGTCGACACAGAATCCAAACTTCAATCATCATAAAAAAAATGAGCGGGTTGGCATCGCCCGTCGACGCGATGACGACGACGAAATTGGAACAAATTCCCGATCGAATTAGTTAGGCGGGAAAGGCTTGAATACAATTTAATGAAGTGCGAACGCCCTTGAAGAAGTGAACAAGATTGGTGGACGACTTTTTGAAAAGAATAATAATAATAATATGCTTGAGACAGACGGGGCCGGACGTTGGCTTAAAGTGGTAGAAGGAACACTTGATGCGGGAGGATAAAAGCTAGTTTTGTATGTATTGTTGGTAAATTGAAAGTGCCGATTTGGACAACTGAGAGTCGAAAAGGGACAACCCTTTGATGGAAAAGCTCCGAAATTGAGCTCTACTTTGATTATTGCCAATTTTCATCATGTTCTCATCAAAATTATTAATTAATTTTTTCTAGTGACGGTAAATTTCAAATAAATTTCAACAATTTTTGACGCATTCGTATTGTTGGAAAAAAAAAGTTAAATATCTTGAGAATTGTGGACAAGCAGTGGAAAAGCTCAAGGACCATCGTAAAATCGCGGGTCCGGTCACGCATGAATGGCGCTCGAAACGAGAAGCACATGCTACATTTCGAAAGTCGTTCGCCAAAGTGCTTTGACCCAATAAATAATTTATTGTTAATAAGACACGACGACAACGTCTCGCAGGGTTACTGTAAGTGCTGATTTAGTTTTCTTTCTGGAAAGGACTATTTAACAAAATCATAATTGATTTGATATTTATTTAACAAGTCTATATATGGTTTCAATTAGGCCAACACCAAATAGGATAGAAGTGCTACGAAAATCATTGATTTCTCTGCGTTGTGCTGAATTGAACTTTTCACGCCGTTCAACGAATCTAGTGCGGATTTCTTCTGAACATTCAAAACATTTCCCTCGATGGGACAGACTCCAGAAAATCGGCAAATGTCCGCTAGATGATAATAAATTGGGGTGACCAAGTCGACGTTGTTCAACACACTTTCATCGAATACCAATCGATCCCTACAGTGGATTCCTGCAAAAAAAAACAGACAATCCGAATTTTTGTTGGGTACTTTTCTGGTCCCTGACTCAAAAACTATTAAATGATTCATAAATTGAAAACTTTTTTTTTCTTGTGTGAACAAATGAAACGATTTAATACGTATCAAATTTTTCAAAAAATCGGACCTCTGCTTACTGCACCAGTCAAATAAACTCTCGAGTTCGATTTATAGACAACTCCGCTTCCACTGTCGCCTTCGCACGCTAATTGCTTCTTCGTTTCAGAAGCAATGCAAAACCACACATGTTGTGGAAGATTGCAAGAAACTTGCTTAAAATGTTAACGATTAAAATAATTTTCGAAAAACAAGGCGGAATTGCGATGAGTGATGATCACCTTAGCTTTTTCTAATCCTAGTACTCCATACAAATCCTTTGCAAACAACGCTTAAAATTCAAATTGTTTTGTAATAAAATTGAAAATTAAATACGATTTAATCCGTATCCATAAAATCGAAGTTTTTCGTTGAAATGATTTTGTCGAGCTAAATTGTTTGTTTTTTTTTCGGCCAATCATTTTTTAGACATACTGCTCAAACATATTGGATAAATTTCTTTCGTAAATTCGACTTCTCTACTCAATTCGACAATCGCCAAATCATTAATATATCGGTCGTTTCGAAATGACACTGATGTATTGCAAAAGTTTGGAAGAAACACCTGATATTTTTATGTTGATCTCACATAACTTTTTTTTTTGCAATTTACCTGTCGAGCTCTTTTACTCACAAAATTCAAAGCTCTTCCAGTTTTACTGCAATCGTCGGCATGATTGCAAACTGATCCAAATCTTAGTTTCAGTCCGCGCAATGTGCGAAGTGGAACATAGACTCCGCTGAAATTAATTCATATTGATTTTTAAACCATTTTCGAAACACAAATCACTTGTTGTAACACTTTTTTGGATTTAAGGGTCGGGATTCGATGAATTGAACTTGCAAGTTTTTCTTGTCGAAGAAACAATGTGCTGCTGTTATGACATGTCTCGAAGAGATCAAAGTGCCGGAGCATGTGGTCCCTAAAATCTCCTATAATATCTTTTCACCGTCAAAAGTCTTCTACCTCTGCTGTACCTTAAGAATACAGTCCAAGGTGCTTGAGCGAGATTAACTGGTTCGGGATTGAAAACTTTCCGCACGACGTCATCCGACCCTAAGATTTTGATTCTCATTTTTCAAATTGATAATAACTTGTTATTACAGTCCATGTGGGTACCGCAAACATTTTGAAGCAACTTGTTCTCCTCTTCGTTTAAACGTTGACAATTCACCAAAAACGTTAACGAAAGAAATGTGGAAATTCTTATTAAACACATTTTGGATAGTAATGAATATTAGAATTTGAAAAGTTTAAGGTTACACGTTCATTTTTTGAAAAAATATTTTTTTAAACATTAACAATTCCGATTAATTTCTTTTTCAATGGTTTTTTTGATGACCGATTCTTAAGTTTTCTTCGTTTCAAGTTGTTGCTTCAACTACTTTCTCTGGTAATTCATTTCGAATCGAATACGACACATTTGAAACCGAATACGACAAATTTCGGCTCCGAACGTGACCTAATTAGGTTCGAAATTTCTCGTATTAGGTTGTGAAATTATCGTATTCGATTATCTTTGGAATACGTTTCGAATGCAGCCGTATTCGTTTTGAATGCAGCCGTATTCGTTTTGAATGCAGCCGTATTCGTTTTGAATGTAGTCGTATATTTTTCAAATGTAATCGTATTCGGTTTTGAATTGAATTCGATTTGAATCAATTATGGAAGAAAAAGAAAATCGATTAGACAAACAAAATTATTTATTGCAATAAACACAATAACAACCAACAGCAGGAATGAAACAAAAAATATGTATAGCAGGATGTGCGATTTTTTCAATTTATTTCTTCGGAAATACTATTTCGATTATTTGTTTTCGCCATTTTTTGACGAAAAATTTATAACTTGCTTCAATTTCGACATTTCCTTTTCTGGTAAATGAAAATCGATCGAGTTCGAAAATAATTTTCTTTTCAATCGAAATCGATAATACATTAATCTGTTTCGAATTATTTCAAAATTTAAATCGAATACGATTTCAAAATTGAGAATGAAGAATGAACCAATCGATTTCGAAGATTTTTGAATCGAAACAAGTTTTCAAAGCGAATCTAAACAATTTCTCAATCGAATTTCATTTCTTTTTCTATCGAATCAGATTAATTTATATTTTGTTTTTTTGATTTTCATTTAACTACGGAAATTCTAAGCCAACGCAAACCTGATAAACTGATATACAGAAAATTAACTATGGCGCGAGTTCGAGAGCTCCTCCTCAATTCGCAGCCTCCTTGCGCGATTACTAAAAATTTTCCAGTAAAAAAACTATAAAAATGAAATATTGACTAACCATAAGTATTCGATATAATTTTCCGTGATTACTGTAACGGCAATTCGCATCATCTTCTCTTCGGTGTCCGGGATTGATATACAATGTAAAAGTAATTCTGTAAAAATTAAATTATTGAAATATTATAGAATTATAGAAAACTGACCAATAAACGTATTGATTATGTGCGCTTCAATTGCAATATTACCTTTTTGAGGATTTCGGCGTGGCGTATACTTGCATCGAATGTTTTGAGGAATCACCTGTAACTATGAAAATAGTAAAAACATCGAAAATTATTTTTTACCTCGTTCATCCAAATCATAACTGCCTCGTGCACTATTGTTCGCAGATGACGCTTACAGGGACGCATCGACTGAATGATAAGTGAGAAGTTAACCAAATCTTTAAAAAAAAGTTATTTACTGTAACGAATTTCTTTTTACCATTTCCTTCAATGGCCGGCACAAGGGTGTCGTCATAAGAAGCAAGCTTCAGCGGGTCGAACATTGCAAATACCTTGTCCTAAAAATAGTAGGCAATTTATCTGTTTGACGCAATTAAATCACCAAATTCCCGCTATACGACGTCCTATTCGCTGGTTTATTACAAATCTTTTCCACCTAAAAAATTGAATTGATAGAAATTGAAGGAGTGTGTTTTAAACTGCACATAATTAAGTGATCTGAGAAGAATTTCAGAAGTGAATTGCAGTGATTAATTGATATTTGTAAAATATAGATTAACTAACCGAGTATGCGAGAGATTTAATGCAGCATAATGCCGCTTTCTCTGTATCCGTTCCTTTTTTGTATATAGCCTTCAGAAGAGAATCATCGAAGGATATGAGTCCTTGGGCGTGGTCATCGAACTTTTTCTGAATAATGATCATATATTTTTTATTGCTACACGCTTACTTCAGCAATTTCTTTTTCTTCTTTGTTTTCGCTCAGCAACAGGTGCCAACTTCTGTTGCAATTGATATCATCGAATTTGTTGAAACTATTAAAAAATATATTTACATTGAATCATACTGTGGAAAATTGATAAATATAAACGTGCGCGCACGCGAACCGCACGCGCCCGAACGCGAAAAAATCTTGTAAATAGCTGCATTTCGGTGTCTCGCGGCAACAAGGAGTAAGCAACACTACTGGGCATTCATTAGTATTAAATATACTCAGCTCGTCAGCTCGGATATCATACGATATCGTTAACTTTTCGAAACCGACAAAATATTTTTTAAATAGAAAATTTAGGATAAATATGTCGCCGAATCCGGTTAATTAATTTGCGTTCGATTGTAATTCGTATTCGTTTCGATTTTACTGCCAATTCGTATTCGATTCGAAATTTTACGTATACGTTTGTAATACGCGTTCAATTCGTATTCGATTCGAATCGAGTTACCAGTGTTTTTTCGAACGTATACGATTGTAATTCTATCGTATTCGTTTCGGTTTTACTGTCAATCGTATACGATTCGAAATTTTCCGTATACGTTTGTAATACGCGTTCAATTCGTATTCGATTCGAAATGAATTACCAGAGTTGCTCATGGATTTGTTTCATGGATATCAGATCCGTGCAGAATTTTTTTGGTTTGTTTTTTGTATCATTTTAAGAAGAAAAAAATAACACAAAAAGCAATCATATTCAATTTGGCTTATTTCTCCTTAAACAGATTGTGATGTGCCTCTATGTGTATTTATAATATTTAATAAAATATTTATCCACCATCAGTCGCTCTAATCAAATCGTAATATCTGGGAACGGATAGTAATAGTATTTCAAATAAACGCCACGAAAAAAAACACTAATAGAAGTATTTTATAATTATAAATATTAATTAGAGACGAACTTTGATGCAAAAGAACATAGAGGTTTCTGCAAATTACTTTTGAAACCACAACAGTTATCACATGAGGAAGTATGTTCATTTTATTATAGACCAAAAATGGTATATTCTGATAATTAAATTTTTGGATCAATACATTTTACGATGAGTTAAAGGCCCGAGAGTCGAAAAACCCGATTTTTCGGCATCAAAAATGCTCCAATCGGGACCAAAAAGAGTGTTTGGCACGAAAAAATTGGGAAAGAAAAAAGTCAAGATTTCAAATTGTGCGGTTCTTGTGTTGTTAGCCCGCAGCCACTTTTCATGAGATACTGTTTATGGTCCCTTTCGCGGTGGTTTCGCACGGACAAACTAGCTTCTGCTTATTTTGCATGCGATGGCTCATTCAAATATTTTTTACACAGTGATAAAAATACAATAAAATTATAAATTGGTCAAGAAAAAGTAAAAATTTCAAGTGAAAATAATAAAATCTACCCAAATAGTACAAATGATTGCGAAAAAATTCTGTTTGAAACGGGCGCATAAAAATATGGATGCAAAAGAAGATGATGAAAATGTAAAATTGCCGTATCGTAACCGTTTTCTGAATATTTCGTGATCCCGTTTGTATTATTTCGTATCCGATTGTCTTTTACCAGAACAAAGACTATAATCGATATTTTAAAAAAACGAAAGATGTGATGAGCAGGGCAAGCAGTGAGATCTGTTGATCGTTGGATGATTCAGAAATAATTTGCAGTTCAAAGACCTCTCAATAAGATGGACAGACTCGCTAAATAAAGAAGTTTCAATTCTCTTCAGGAAAAAGAGTGATCATCCCGTGGATTCATTTCTCAAGAAATACGCGCCATAGTGCAATGCAGAATTTCGTGGCGTCAACTATGATGCATTGTACGCAAAGGGTATTTTCGGTTAATGCACACTGCTCTTATAATGCGAATTTTTTCGACTGTTCTGTTTGTTCGTGCTTTTTCTCACTTTTGTGATGTAATTTCTTGCGAAATAGAAATCAACCACAATTTTGAAATGCGTTGGCATCTTATATCGTCATCATATTCTTGTGTTCTTGTTGTCATTGAAGAAATACATGCAAAGTTATATTTCATATTTCATCATTTTCAGAAATGTGGCGATTTTGCCGCAAATCGCCTCGTCAGATTCATTATTCTATAAATTCATGCATTAAAAATGCAAACCGTCGCCAATTTTCATTGTCTAGTTTTATTTCAGCAAAAGATGATGTAAGTAATCGCAATGATGCGATATTTAAATATCGTTGTTTTTTTTCAGAAAAACGCGGTACTGAAGCAAAACGAGGTTCTTTATCTTTTAAATAAGGATAAAAGATTTGAAGAGAAATTCATCAACCAAGTCCAGGAAACCATTCGACTGTTTGCACAAAAACCCGGAGACTTCAAAAAGTTTTTCAAGCCAAACAAGGACAAACCAAAAGAAAATTCGACGAAAAGTGAGTCTTCGGGTGGTAAAAAGGATGATCGGAATCCACTTAATTTGTAAGTATCCATGGATTCATTTTTATTAATTTTCCATTATATTTCAGTCCGGGTGGATGGCAACAGATTGCCGTTTCTGTTGGAGTTCTCATAGCATTGTATCTTTTCATGGATTATCAGTCATACAAGGAAATTTCGTGGAAGGAATTTTACAATGAATTTCTTGAGCCGGGAATAGTGGAACGTTTGGAAGTCGTCGATAAGCGATGGGTTCGAGTAATCAGCTCGTCGTCGAAATATCCTGGACAGACGTGCTATTTTAACATCGGAAGTGTAGATAGCTTTGAAAGAAGTCTCGGTGCTGCGCAACATCATTTAGGATATGAGACGGAACGTCAAATTCCGGTTTTGTATAAATCTGAGTTCAATTTGTAAGGAAAACAAGAATGGCATTTCAATATGATCGATTTTCAGCAAACGAGAAGTGCCGAACCTTATTAGCATTGCTTTTCCGCTTCTATTCGGTTATTACATTTATCGAATGCTAAAAGGAGGTGGTGCCGCAGGAGGTAAATCAAGTTTACCCTTGATTATCAAACAGAAAAATGATAACATTGAAGGTGCCGGACGCGCCGGTGGTGGAGGTCTAGGCGGAATGTTTGGCGGATTCGGTCAAAGTACGGCGAGGTTGATCAACAAAGAAGACATCAAAGTCAAATTCTCTGATGTTGCCGGTTGTGAGGAGGCGAAAATCGAGATTATGGAGTTTGTGAACTTCCTGAAGAATCCTCAACAGTACAAAGATCTCGGCGCAAAAATCCCAAAGGCAGCAATTTTAATTTGAAAACGTTTCGATTTTAATAATCTTCTTTTAGGGTGCTATCTTGACGGGACCACCAGGAACCGGCAAAACCCTATTGGCGAAGGCGACGGCTGGTGAAGCCAACGTTCCGTTCATTACGGTATCGGGATCAGAATTTTTGGAAATGTTCGTCGGTGTGGGACCTGCGAGAGTTCGTGATATGTTTGCGATGGCTCGCAAAAACTCGCCTTGTATTCTTTTCATCGACGAAATTGATGCCGTCGGTCGAAAACGTGGCGGAAAAGGAGGAATGGGTGGACATTCGGAGCAAGAGAACACACTCAACCAGCTCCTCGTCGAAATGGATGGTTTGTTTCGACTTCGTACTTAGCAAAAAAAAAACAATTTTGCTCAAGGATTTACCACGGATGAGTCGTCAGTTATCGTGATTGCTGCAACAAATCGCGTCGACATTCTCGATTCTGCTCTTCTTCGTCCTGGTCGTTTCGATCGACAAATCTACGTGCCTGTGCCTGATATCAAGGGACGGGCTTCCATTTTCCGTGTGCATTTGGGACCATTGAGAACATCGTTGGACAAGACGGAACTTTCGCGTAAACTTGCCGCCCATACTCCTGGATTTTCAGGTTTTTTTTTAAATTTTTTGTGAATATATTTTTCCAGTTCCCCTTTTCTCTAATCAATTCTGAATTTCTAGGTGCTGACATTTCGAATGTATGTAATGAAGCCGCTCTTATTGCTGCCCGAGACGCCAACAACGAAATTGGAGCCAAGCATTTTGAGCAAGCCATCGAACGTGTTGTAGCCGGAATGGAGAAGAAGACACAGGTCCTTCAGCAGGAGGAAAAGAAGACTGTCGCTTATCATGAAGCTGGACATGCGATCGCTGGATGGTTCTTGCAACACGCTGATCCGCTCTTGAAGGTTTACCGAAAATCATTTTTATTTTGATTTTTCAATTTCTAGGTGTCAATCATTCCACGCGGTAAAGGACTTGGATATGCGCAATATTTGCCAAAAGAACAATATTTGTATTCAAAAGAGCAACTTCTCGACAGGTTTTATTTGAATTTTTCAATAAAAAATGATTACGAAATGAAATTGAATAATATAAAAGAGTTTTATTACGTCAATATTGATCATCTTTGCAGAATGTGTATGACGATGGGCGGCCGAGTTTCCGAAGAAATCTTTTTTGGGCGAATCACAACGGGAGCACAGGATGATTTACAAAAAGTGACACAAATGGCGTATTCTCAGGTATATTTATTGCACAATTTGTAGGAAATCGATTTAAATTGCAATTGAATGGAGTTTTTTTTTTTAAGTATGTAAAGAATCGGGGGATTCTGAAAATTTCTTTCATTTTATTTGATCTAGTCGATGAAGGATACCTTTTAATCAAGAATTGGTGTCTTCTTGTCCATTGCTTCGGTGAGACCTTCGCAAAATGTTGAAGCGATTCCGGTGTCGGGATCGATTTGGCATTTGCACGGCACAGGCAGCGCAAATGTAGTAGCAATGAGAATAATAGCGATTAGGAGGACGTGAATCGCGAATCGCATTCTTGTGCGGAATCGAACGATATCAAATGCGAAACATAACCCCCAAGCAGCGATTTGTTGTGGTTTTCGTGGCGAGAAACGCAATCGAATTGAAGAAACGCAGGATGTTGCGGAAAACGCGGCATGTGCTCATCAGGGGAAGAGCCCGACTGCAAAAATGATCGTTTTTCGTTTATATTTGTGTTTTGTTTTTCGATTGGATGTGTCATCGCCTCTTTTTTTTTAATAGTCGAATGATGAGTGCAAAGTTCAATTTGTCATGAGATTTTCGAATGAAGAAGCGTTCTTATAGGAGTGAGTCACACTGAATCGTAAAGATTTTTAAAAATATACTTTAAAATTTTTCAAATAAAAAAAACCATTTCAAGCCTAAAATTCATTTGCCAATGTATAGTCGGCGTCCGGCGACTGATGTACGCGGGTAGATTTACGCGGATGCTCCTTGAAAAGGTCTCGCCACGCGTGAACGCTTATTTTGCTGTTTTCGAACTGCTTCAGTTTTCTTAATGAGTTTCGCATTTCCTTGAATTTCCAACGTCATTCTATTAAAAAATTTTTCGAATCGGTCCATAAAATTTGAAATAACCTGTTAGTCCTTGCGAGACCATTTCGAAAGACGCATTCCCGTAAATCTAACCGCGTACAGCAGTCGCCCTACTTTACTATTCCTTGAAAAGGATTGTTCTAGAATTCAAGTTTAATCACAATTTTGATTGATAGTATTATTGCTTGAAATGTTTGAAATTTGCTCGAATAATTTATTAAAATAACAAAACCATTAAAAAGAAAAATAAAATCCCACAAAGTTGGAATACAACTTATAAATTATGAAGAATACTAAACAATAACTTAAGAATTGCGAATTTACTTATTCGAAGTAACGTATCCTTGTTGTTGCGGCTGTGGCTGCGGCTGTGGTTGTTGTGGGACGGCGACATATCCTCCATTGCTGACGATCGGGCGAGTGTTGATCGGTTGCGGGTAGACCGTCTGACGTGGTTGTTGAGTTTGGAGAGGAATTTCAAATGTGTATTGAATTGGTGGAATTTGGTTCTAAAATGAATCTTCTTTTTTAGTAATTCGGCGAGTTTTCTTACGCGAATCGTCTCTCCGAAGATTGTTGGAACGAAGGTGGTTGAATCGATTGGGCTCAATTTGAAATTATTTCCGGTTCTCTCCTTGATTTGCTCCACAATTTTACTAATAAATTTATCGAGTTCGCTGGACGAGATTTCGGACTCCAATTTTCCTTTCTTAATAGCAAGAAGGAAGGCCTTGGCGATTTCTTCATCAGTCTTCGACGACGAAAATATGTTTTTGTGTCTCAGAGCATACTTTTCGAAATCGGTTAGCTGATGGTTATTTCCAAATATGTTGCTCACGCTGTTCGTCTTGCACGTCGCATGGCATTCCTTGTTAAGCTTCACAAGCTCGTCGTAGCTTCTGAAAATGTCCAGAAATTAGAATTGGATGTAAAAATGAACGTTATATCGCATACTTTTCGCAAGCCTTTTTCGTTTGCTCGAGAAGTTCGGTGTCGCTCTTTGCGGTAGTTGCAGCATTGGCAAAATAGGCGGCGAGAAGCGCTGAGACGGTGATGGTGGCGAACAAATGCATGTTGAAGTGAACGATGTTGTAACAAGTCGTCGTGAGCACCTTTTATAGTCTTGAACATATCAAAATGGGGAGGAGACTGTTTGGGTGGTACTTATTGTACAGAGTAGAACCATTGTGCTCGATGAGTCAGTTACGAATAACGTAGTACGACGAGTTAGGGTGTGACGGCCAGCACCATTGAAACAATTGTTGCCAGCATCCTGGTCAAGCGTGATTTCGATTTTAATACCGAACTCACAAAAGCCGTACGCTGTCCATTGTTAAGAAAAAAGTAATATTTTGTGAATAGCTGCAAATTCGATGGATGTTATTTAAATAATAATAAAGTAATAAACTAAATGAGCAATGCGCGATAAAAACGAAATTCAAAATTTGAAGATTTCCTCGTTCGAGCTACAACGTTTTTGACGAATTGGATTTTTTTCTGAAAAATATTAATATGAAGCACAACGCAATTATATCGATTGCCTATTTTTTTTAGTATTTCTTTAATGTGAAACAGTTTTTGGCTATTTCAGGTTGTTAAATATGGAATGAGCGAGAAAGTTGGACCATTGTCGTTTGATACACCTGCACCTGGTGAAATGTCATTCGACAAGCCATATTCTGAAGCTACCGCGCAGCTCATCGATCAGGAAGTTCGCGATATGGTCCAGAATGCGTTGAAACGTACGAGAGAGTTGCTATTGGAAAAGAGAAGCGATATCGAAAAGGTATACCGCGTTTAATAATTATAATTATAACCAGTTATTATTGAATTATCGCTTTAAAGGTAGCCCTTCGCCTACTGGAAAAGGAAGTTCTTTCACGAGAGGATTTAGTAGAATTGGTTGGAAAACGGCCGTTTGTTGAAAAGAACACGTATGAGGAAATGGTGACAGGAACTGGAGGTTGGATCCATCTGCATATGATCGTTGCTTGATCAATGGATTCCATTTTTGCAGGTCTTGATGAAGACACACAATTGCCAAAAGGTCTCGAAAGCTGGAATAAGGAAAAATCAACACCTGGAAAGATTGATGAGAAGAATTAGACGAATTTGTACAATTTAGTTTGTGTGTTGTTGGATGGATCTCGATTGACCATGCTGTTCGAACTTTATATCTTCCCCTTCCCCTAAAATCGTATATTATGTTCAATTCGCTTGTTTCTTTTAGGAATTTTATAGAATAGATTTTTAAACCACAGGTAAACACTTTTATTATTTTTTTTTCGTTCTTCTCGAGTTTTTGTTCATAATTTATCGGTTATTGCGAGAAACAATAAATTGATTTTTTTTCTCATTTGAATATTCATCGAAATTGTTTAATATGGCATTTCGTTTGTCTTTTTGTACCTTTATGCAATGCTTCTCATATGCAATCCCATTCTTTTTGTTTCAGAATGGGAGGTCGTGGACGAGGTGGTGGAGCCGCTGGCACAACGATGCGCAATGTGGCGAATGCTCTCGGTATTGCTCGGCACGAAATGTCACGAATGGCTCAACAGCAGCAGAAGCTCGAACCTCCTCCTCTTTATCCAGTACGCTCAATTTTATCTAGAACTCGTCTAATTTGTTGCTCATCAGAAAGTCCAACGCGATCCGATTCCATTGGAAATGACGTCTGATATGGTTTACGTGTCACGGCTGAAAATGGAATTGGACCAGCGATTGCGAGATTCGCCGTATTTCATTGAGGCCGAAAAGAAAAATGATGTGAAGCGATATCTCGACAAATATTCGATTGTGAAACGAGAAAAATTAGAATTAGGTGACAAAATATTTTTCGAAAATTATTTAAACATCGACGTCATCAGACATGTCTTGTATGCCAGCGGAACTTTCATGGAGGCGGAATCCGATGAAGAAATCTGAACCCAGTGCAAAACGGCGAAAAATCGATAATTCGGATGATACAGTGATTCGCGAGAAGCTGACGAAATTAGAAGAGAAAGAAGGACAAATCAATGAGGATGATGATGAAGAAAAACGGAATGATGATGATGATGATGGAAGCGAAAAATCGGCAGTTGACGATGCTGAAAATGCACTTTCCGATGATGATTATCAAGAAGAAGACAATGATTATATATCGAATTATTTCGATAATGGTGAAGGTTATGGTGATGCTGGAAGTGATGATAATATGGATGGAGACGAATATTAGAATTATTCCCTTTTGACCAATTACATTTGTAAATTCTAAATTCCATTAAAGGCCTTATGAGACCGGCACAACATTTTCAACAGTTGTCAATGTTTTAAATATAAATAAGAATTCATTCAGATTTTTTTGAACTTTCACTAATTATTTTTATAGGAGTCATTTTTAGCCTATTTCCTTTTTTTCTTCATACGGGCCCATTTTTTGTTATTCGCTTTTTGTTGGTTTTGTTGCATTGTTGAATAAATTGTTATACTATTTTACGGTTTATTTTAACCCATTATGGGTATGCGCCTTCCCCTTTTTTCTTTGGTGCAAACATGCTCTATTGCACATTACCGCCATGTTCAAATTTTCGCCAAATTTTCGCGCAAAATGGTGTTTTGCAAAAATATTTACAATTAAAATTTAAAACAATAATGTCTGTGATTATTCTTAATCTAATGCCTCTGGAATTGTGTTATTATTCGTTATTTCCAAAAAATAAGGAATTATTTGCGTATTCTTTGTAATATCTGGATTGTCATGAGAAAAATTTCAGATACCATATACTGACAAAACTATTAACAATTTCTTCGCATTATGGGAATTAAAGGACTTTCACAAGTTATTGCGGATAATGCACCAACTGCAATCAAAATTAATGAAATCAAGGCATTTTTTGGTCGAAAGGTAACTTGAGTGAGATGTAAATCGATTTGCTCTATTCACGGATCTGATTTATTTTCGATTTAAGGTCGCAATTGATGCATCAATGTGTCTTTACCAGTTTTTGATTGCTGTTCGTCAGGATGGATCTCAATTGCAAAGCGAAGATGGTGAGACGACGAGTCATTTGATGGGAATGTTTTATCGTACCATTCGAATGATTGATAATGGAATTAAAGTAGCGGTTTTTTGTATTCCATTATCATTAAATTTGTTTTTTTCAGCCAGTCTATGTTTTCGACGGAAAACCGCCAGATATGAAAAGTGGTGAGCTTGAAAAACGAACCGAACGACGTGCGGACGCTGAAAAGGCGTTGACGGAAGCGAAAGAAAAAGGCGATTCCAAGGAAGTTGAGAAATTCGAGCGGCGATTGGTGAAAGTGACGAAGCAGCAAAATGAGGAAGTTAAAAAATTGCTCTCGCTTATGGGGGTCCCTATTGTCGAAGCTCCATGTGAAGCTGAAGCTCAATGTGCAAGACTTGTTAAATCTGGAAAGGTTTGATTGAATTCTTCACGTTAATTGTATAATTGATCAAATAAGGTTTATGGTACTGCCACTGAAGATATGGATGCTCTCACATTTGGATCAACTGTCCTTCTTCGTCATATGCTCTACTCCGAAGCAAAAAAAATGCCAATAAAGGTAAAAGTAGTGATTTATTTTTAAATTAAGGTGTAGTAATTTCAAAAAGTTGCGTTTATATATAAACAAAATGACAAAAAAAATCAATAAGAGAAATTTTTATTCTTTTTAAGATAGTTGTTGTAATTATGACTTTTGAAGTTAATCGCCATTTAATTTATACATATATATTTGCACGTTGATAATTTTAATTAATTTTGAAACTATTCGCATAATTCAGGAGATCACTCTTTCCCGTGTTCTTGAAGAAATGCACCTCAGTGAAGATCAATTCATTGATATGTGTATATTGCTTGGATGCGATTATTGTGGAACAATTCGTGTAAAAATTGATTTTGTTTTTCAAACAGAGATTTCTTTTCTATTTTTTCAGGGAATTGGACCAAAAAAAGCTGTCGAATTAATCAAGCAACATCATGACATTGAAACAATTTTGGAAAATATTGATCAAACGGCAAGTTTTGCATTTCTGAGTTTAGATTGAAATAATTTTGTCTTTTTTAGAAATATCCCCCACCAGAAAATTGGCCGTATAAGCGTGCTCGTGAACTGTTCAAGGAACCTGAAGTAATGAATCCAGATGAAATTAATGTATGTTGCGGTTTTCGGTGACTTTTCACGAAATGAAATATATTTTCAGTTGGTTTGGAAAGAGCCTGATGTCGAAGGAGTTGTCGCATTCATGTGCGGAGAGAAGAACTTCAAGTAGAACAATTTTAATATACACAATAATTTTTGATTCTTACAGTGAGGAACGTATCCGATCTGCGCTGACACGAATGCAGAAAAGCCGAAATGCTGGAACACAGGTAGATCAAATAAATGGAATCCGATTGCATTCTCATATTCAGGGTCGTATTGATTCGTTCTTCAACGTCTCCGGACAGGTGAAATGCATTACCGCCGCGAAACGAAAGGCAATGGAGGAAGACAAGAAGGCGAAAGGCAAAAAGTCGGCTGGACCGCCAAAAAAACGTGCAAAATAATAAAACACGAAACGTTTTCATTATTTATTTATCATACAACGCATAAATCGAACCGGAAAAGAATAAATACAAAACAGTACGATCGAATTATTTATGGAGCAATTAAAAAAAAAACAGGAAACAACCATTTTTCTTCATTTATTTTCGATTTCGTTTTTTTTTTTCAACGAAACATGAATCTATATGATACATTTAAAAACAATTATGTGCAATTTTTTGAACGGAAGACAAGAAATCGAAAGACAAAAAAGTCGTCTGGAAACGTGCAAAATAATAACACACGAATCGATTTCATTATTTATTCATCACACAACACATAAATTGAACCGAAGAAAATAAAGAAAAAAAAAGATATAGAATAAATATATAAATGATAGACACTTTATACACAAATGTGGCAGAAATGAAATTAATTCCTGGACGCTAACAGGTTCAGTTAATTCAAGAAATGTATTAAAACAGTATCAGTGAGGAAGACAAATAATGAGTTTTTGTTTCTGCTTGTTGCGAAAGACTTGTTTCTGCACAAGCATCGATTTTTCAGAAACCAATTTCCGACGTGTTAATCGAGGAATGTGAATCACACATTGAAAAAGAAAACATTAAGGCCATGTTCCAAATTGGACACTATTTCTTGTTATTACTATCCCAATGATATTTCGGGTTCGAACACAAGAACTAAACAAAAAGGTAGTTGCTTTTGCATTTTCAATTTAAGGAACTGCACGGAACAAAGATTCGAATTCACATCGATTTAAAATCGATATTGTCGGCGTCGCGCGATTTCGCAAAAATGGCTAAATGCCAACAAATTATGGTATAGGTCTTGGTGCAAAACTGAATGTGTAGATTAACGGGCTAAACATAATAAAATGTTAAAGGCGCACCCGACTCACAAAGACCGATTCCATAGTTTTCTGGCATTTGGCCAATTTTCTGTAGTCGCCCGACGTCGACAATACATTACTTCAAAAAATTTTTAAGAAAATTGTAGTATTAATGACTTGCATAAAAAATAAGAAACGAATAATAGTTTGTTGGCTACCCGAGTGTTTCACTATCACCGAATTCTATTAGCCGTCTCCTTTTGGTGGCGTGTACCAGCCGGACTTATTGTGGATTTGAACGAGTGACTTGAACGATTGTTGAGCACGAAGAAGTGAATAAGGCGGCGCAGTCTGCTTAAAAAGAAGTTGATTTGATGCCGTTTACAATAAATACGGAAATCACCTTGTGATCGAAAGTGATACGCGCTTTTCCTTTGACTAACGTGGCCGCGATTTGAAGAATAATGCTTTCAACAGAATATGCCGAAGACCAGCCATTTTTTGTTAGTAATTCCATGCAAATGGCCCCGCCGCTAAGAACGAAACCATTGGTGATCTAAACTCAATATATCAAACCACAACTCAATCAGAAATCCCTTTAACTCACGATTGGAGCAACGAGGCGCACAAACGGTGGATCGAATGGGAATTGATCATTGAACATAAAATGAAACAGCAAATGGTCTTGTTTGTGCTCACTCTTGAGAACTTGCATATCTGCGTAAAGTAAGCTATCCTCGTCGACCTGTAACGAATACTTATTATGATAAATAATAATTACCTTTAAAAAAAGACCTTGTTCAATTTAATCCACCATTCATACAAATTATCCATTTCTCCAAGCTCAAACGAATAAATTCCCGATTTGAAATGTTCACTGCGATAAATATCGCGAATCTCTTTCATAAGACGATCAGTTGCCGTCACTGATCCTTTGACTTTGCCATCTAAATGCTGTTGGCGATTGACGCGCGAAACCTTATCGAGCATATCCAATCCTTCTTTTGGAACCCCTTCATCCTGACTACTTCGTGGCTCTTCCTCGGCCATTTGAACAAGCTAAAATCTCAAAAATAAATTACAGTGTGCTATAAAGTATTCCCACTTCATCTTCCTCGTTCTCGTCGCCAACACCCATTTCATCATCTTCCATTTCGCTATCACCATTATTAAAATCATCCAGCATCTGCTAAATCAGTTCAATTTATTCGATCGATTCATTCAACAGCAACCTCATCATCCTCAGTTTCGTCGCCAACATCGCTTCCTTGTCCCTCGTCGACATCTTCTCTTGGCGGTGGTGCAATGTGTGGCAGCTCAGCCGGTGTTGACACATTATAATAGGCGCAGAGTTCCGAAATGAGACGATGCACTTGATGAAGAATATTTGTAGATTCGGTTGTTTCTGTGAGACGCTGAAGTGCGGCACCGACTGCTGGAACATCGTCCGATTCCGAGAACCAAATTGGTGGTTGACGTGGATAGTTTTCCTGCAAAATTGATTTCAACTTTAATTAAAAGTAGAACTAATCCGACGTTTGAAAAATAAGTTATTTGAGGAGATAACAAAATGAATCTTCTTATTCACTAAAAAATATTCCAAGTCGATTGACAATTCGCTGAAGGAATCTCACAAATCCAATTTTCTTCTATATACTATTCGATTTAAGATTATATGAGTTCTAACTAAATTTAAGCGAACATTTTGTGGCGGCAGAGACAAAGCTCTACATTTAAGATTTTTTAATAACCAAATTCATATCCGATTTACCTGAATATTTGCATTAATAATAATGGATCTTCCATTAGAGTCTATAAACTTCATTGTGACTTCATCGACAGAAGCATTGATAACCTGTAGAGGATTGAAGCATATTTTGAAAGAGTTCGACGCTTCTACCTGGAATCTTTGATGCTGCTTCGGGAAGATGCTTTCGAGCACCACGAGGTCCTCTTTCAGCTTACGAAGACACGCCATCAAGTCCAAAAACCTAGAAAATGTGTTAAGATTTATAAATTTTCTTGAAAAATCGTCGAAGAAAATTGCGGCCAATTTTATTCATAAACGAGACAACGAGAGGCATCAAAAATGCGAGAGACACACAAAACGCAACGAAAATCGATGATGCGAAGGCTGTGCGCGCGCTTGTCATAGTGAGAGAAGAGCGAGCGAATAGGCGGAGAAATGAGAATGGAATACGAAAAAACACTGGCAATTGATGGTGAAAGAGAAAAAGATCGAAAAAAAAACTCGTCCTCGTTGCGATTTGCCGAGGCCGATGAATTGCCGCCCAGACAATACGGCTCAATTTTAAACGAGCATGATACGTCACGAGTACACGCGTACTGTGTCTCTTCGACGCGTAGCTCGAAAATGTGGGAAAAAAATCGAATGAAGGTCATAAAACATATAATAAAAATGTATCAAAACGTGAGCAATTTGGTATGTCTTTAGCATTTTCATAATAAAAGTACCGCTTATGACATACTGTTAACTATGCGCGTATTTTATTTAGTTTAAAAACCAACAATTTTACTTGTCAAAACTTGATTTTACGAAAGGTCAAAAATTACGTCTTTTCAAATCATATTAGCCATTTTAGGCCGAGAAACTTGTTTTTTTTTTTGCCTCCTGTCTGTCACGTATTGCGGAATGATAACCCTCAACTAATAATAATTTTTATTATTTCACATGACGTATTTCTTAATAGGATGTCTGTTAAATTCAGTTCCTTAAAAATATAAGTCAGCTGTTCAATGAAATGAACTAATAGTATAGTTTTGAAAACGTTTAGTTGGCGAATGTTTCGAGGAATTTTTTGATAACGTTTTGTATAGGAGCGATAAAAAAATCGTAAAACGAAAAAAACCATATTGCGAAAAACCGATTTGTATTCGAATTATTTCACCAAAACAATTATTTTTCAATTTAGATTTTTCTGAAACGCCTACAATAATGCATCCATGAAAATTGAAGAACGACAAACCTGAATTTACACTACTCCAGAAAACTATGATTTTCCAGAAATATAGTTTAGCAAGTGTATGAAACAAGAATTGCTAAGATGAAAATTGAAAAAGGCTGTTTGCACTGGCAGGCGGCTGCGACGCGGTCGCTCAATTGATTTTCTAAGTCGACAGTGCTACACGTGCCGGGGAATGCTGGTCTATGCCAATCGCGCATTCTTACGGGTTACAAAAAAGAATAAATGGACTGAAGTTGCGCATGAAATAATGGTTGGATTAAAATCTGGTTAGTCAATCGATAATATCGGATAGTGGGTCATTTCGAACCATTTGATATGGAATTTGATATCAACAGACCTGACGAATTAATGATGATTCGAAATAAGTGGTGACTGTCTTACGGAAAACCGGGGCATACTTGTCCTCAAGTCGTACTCTGCACAAGGAACGGAGTAGGCACCGTCGTGACCGTTTGTCATCGGACACGACGACTATCGCGGTCATAATCTTTGAACGCATTTGTTTTGAACGGTTCCAATATCTGATGAATGCGAAAGAACAACAAGCAATGAGAAAAGTAGGCATATCAAAAGTTATAATGACTTCCGAAGGGTTTGCGAATCGATTCGCAGACGAGCGTTGTTTTAGAAGTTAATAAAACCGCAAAAGAGGATTCTATCGAGTAATACCATGGAAACCGCGACGACATCAAGTCAAGCGCAACGTCGTTTTATGAAATAAGCAATCCAGCGTGCGTCGAAAAGCGAAAGACAACAAAAGCGAAAGAGATGGACGGAGGAAAAGAAATTGGGGCGTGAATTCAGCCGCATTTCCGCAATAGAAACTGTTCGGTGTTTGCAGAATTAGCAACCGTACCATTGGAAAGATTTGTTTAATTTATAGAAAAGAAAAATCACAATGTCACAAGCAAATAGGCGAATTAATAGAACAAAGACCGTGAGTGTAATGCAAATGGTAACAATATTCAAAAATCTGAAAGTCCAAATATGCTAACTACTCGTAACAAAATGGCTATAATGGCTTGTAAGTATTTTAGTACATAAATGACAAAAATCTTGATTATGCTCTTAATGGAATTGAATACTTTGGGAAATTTGGCTAAAAACTTCTTCTTGGTCCTTAATAAACTCAAATATACGAATATTTACATCAATTACTGTAGATATGAACGAATCCTTGTATCTCCAATTCAAGTGAGCTTCTGCAGTAGTACATTTTCCCATGTTAAACGGCGATTCGTAAACAATTGGTGAGTGCCAAGCAGCGAAAATTCTCTTGTCAAGTCGCCTAAAAGTATCGGAATTAATTATGGAGAGCAAACATTTCTTTCTCTCTTTACTTTTCTTGCCATCCATGCAATATGAAATCTTCTTGAGACCAAATTGAATTGGATAACCAACCGTCACGAGCCCAAGAGAATCTTCCCTGAATTCAAAAAAAAAAATTAATAACTACAGCGATATTAATACCTTTTCGAGAATTAAAATCTTCTTTAATCTTGCTGATTTCAATATTTTCTGAATACAAACTGTATAAATTGTCAATGATTTATAATCAATTGATGTTTTCCAATATTTTTCTTCGCAAAATTCTCTTTGTGATTTCCTTTCAGGAATGAAATATTCGACGATCACACTCTAAAAATGGAGCTATATTAGATGAAATATTTAAACGTTTACATGAATTGCTCCGTTATCGCTTCCGTGAAAACTATTCGGTAATTTGGACTCATAATTCGCCCAGAAATTGAGAAAATTCCTAGAGTTGACATTATTTCGCGCCAAATATGAACCGGCCATCACCTCTTGATTCATTATTCGATTATAAAAAACGAAATCTGTCTGGAAAGATTTTAATTCGAAAAATGGAAATTAGAATCGAATACGTACATAATTATCTTTGGGAATATATTTTTCAATAAGGTTGTTCGGATTGATGACCCCCATGTCAGCATCGAGAAACAGAATCCACGAATTCTTCGAAGATTCCATCAACTTCGCCAATGCGCAATGGCGGCGGAACATAAACTGGAATTTTTCATTTTTTTTTCAAAATCTAAAAATCTATTTCAACTATATTTATTTGTCAAACGCTTGATTCATCATTGCATTTTTTGTTTTCTAACAACATCAGCCACCATTCAAGAATTTTTTTTTGGTTAGATGTAACAAAATATGACAATATTTTTATAAATTTCAGAAAACTTACATCTTTTTGTGTGCACTTTTCCGCCAATTCTTTCGTATTTTTTACATGTGCGATCATTAAATCATAATCGAAATATTTCGCGTAACATTTGACTGAATCCAATGCCATTCGGTACTTCTCCTCATCTTCTCGTGTTTCCAAAATAATATAAATTCCAATATCGATTTGATTTTCTGAAATATCAAAAAAAAAACCAATTCATTTTTGTACCATTCAAAAACCTCTTTTTACAGTTATTGGAATAAAAACCTCATTTCGATACTGATTTGCAACAAAATTCGAAACTTTTCCAATATTAATTTCTTCGACGACTAGAAGAAAAATCAGAAAAACAGAAATAATGCAAGCACAAAAGTATCGTTGATTCGTTTTCATAAGAATATCATTCAAACTGAAATTTTTTTTTTAATTTTCCCAAACGGAAAACGATATTTTTATCAAGAAGAAACCTGCGTTGAAAAATGAAACAATTTACAATTAAATCGTAAAATTTTTTTATATTTGAACATAAAAAATCGAATAAAATTGAAAGAAAATCACAACCAAGACTACAAATTTTTTTATAAACACATTAGTTTTCTACATTCTGGATTAGTAAGCTTCGTTTCAAATGGAAAACCTTTTTTTAGGAATCTGATTTAAAATTTTCATTCGAAACAAAGACTAGTTGGGTAAATTTTACAAGAATACAAGTGTTGCTTCTGACACAGTCAAACTTATCAACAGGTATCGCATAATATACAACAGAAATTAATCAAGTGAGTAAAAATTTGGCGAAAATTCGTTGCTTAAATGCTTATTGGCTTATCTCTAACGTTTTTCTGCACAAATTCGGTGAATGTTCGCAAGAATTTCGGGTATTCCTTCTTGTAAACATGTCGAAGGGCAGATGTTGGAACCCAACCGCCAGGATGCACTGAAATCATCATATTTTTATGTTTTAGCATAATCGCATCGCTATTAGGCCACAATGTAGTCTACATCAATGCAAACAACTATTTATTTTGGCCGATTAAAAAAAGTGTCATAATCTTTTCTAACACACAAACATAAGGCTACAAAAAATGTTCGTTTCAAGACCATTGAATTTTCTTTGAAGTGTTTTGATGGGCCCAGAAAATTACCTTGCGAAACATAAATGACGTTACAAGTCACATCGTCTCTGCTAAGTGGCCGATCGACATGAGGATCCTTGACAATTGTCTCGCAAATCATAGAAACCGTAAGTCCTACTCGAACAGATGAAGAAGATGCAAGCTGAAACGGCGAAAATTAAGATACGGCCAATAAACATTACGAACCGGAACATCTGGCCTCTTCACATCGCGATTGCAAACGATGTACAAATCGTGGGCTCCGTCTCGTTTGTGCTCGTCGACACGTCGAATATGTGAAACGAACAGAGATTCTCTTGGAGCTGCAGGCCACACCTTCAAATCAATTTATATCATTCAATTATTATTTTCATACAATTCACACCGTTTTGTGTTTTTGATGAAGCACAACCGCATCGGGACTGATCTGCTCAACAACGCTCATCGATTCCAAAGTATGATCCCATTGCAATTTATATCGAGCATCGAAGAAGTAGTGCATAAACTCAAGAGCAGTGACACCCTGAAGAAATGCAATTCGAAAATAATAATTAAAAAAAAAAATAGTAGAATGAAACCTTCACACAGTGAACTGCTTTGAGTGGATCTACAGGAACGCCGCCTTCATCTTCAATTTGCCGAGTATACATACGCATCGGACCATCTTCAGCGAAGAGTGACCAAACGTTATCCTCAACTCCAGCGAGAGCATATCTAATGAGAATATTTCAAATATTCAATATGTTATTCCCAATCAATACCTTAACTGTTCCATTGCCAATTTATCGATGGTGTCGAAAAGATGATGATCTCTGCTGACTACCAAGTCATCATAATGTCCAGTATGAAGAGTTTCACTCTGAATTAATTTCATCATTTCAGTTTCAAACGATTGGATACCTTTCGGAACATATTTCGTTTTGGTAATTCTTGAACAGCCTTCTCTTCTTTACGTTTCTCATTCTCCACAACACTATTTGATCTACCAGCTTCGTCATATTCATCAGCATCAAAGAATTCATCACAATCACTAGTCTGAAGCACGTTTGAAAATGTTGTTTGTAATTGGAAAACCTACCACGTCAACATCAGGTCTTGAAGCGATGACAGTCGACGTTGTTGTCATAATCGAAGAGTTCCCATCTGAAGAATATCCGCCTCGAGAGATTGATTCACGCCGATTTTCGCATTGTGATACGCTTTTTGTCAAATGCAAAGGTTCTCGTGGTGGCGGAGAACTACGAGATGTTTCGGGAATTACAACCTGAACCCAATTACTCAGAGGATTTCCCAAATTCAAATCGTACCTTCGCAGATTTGACCATGTCAATAATATGATTGATATTAACTATTAATGCGAGGTGAGTGGCTTTAACGGAAAGAATTGTTGGTTGAGGAACAATGCAACTCGCACCGCCTTGCTCCAGAAGGCGCTCGACAGAAGTCATCTGAAGTATAAGCTTTGGTTGTGAAAAAATGAGAAATACGAAAAAAAACCAACTTGATCTTTACACATTGTTCTGTAAGCTTCGAGTTCGGAGAGTTTCGAAGCGAAAAGTTTCGTATCGTCCTAAAAATATCATTTTGGAGAATTGTTGCAAAAAAGCTTCTTTAACAAATGCAATTTTCGAGCTAATTCAAAGATTAATTTTTAAAGTGTGAATTTTTGACACCTACTCCGGGTAGTTTGCAAATTGAACCCACCCTAAAGCTATACAGGGCGTTCGTTTTGTATTTCTTTGCGGATGTAACATTTGTATCCGTGTAAAATCAAACAACGTGATCGTACCTCATTTTTTGCAATATTGACCGATGATTCTGAAGGGTTCCTCGAATGACTTTTAGTGCTGGTACTACTATAATCTGAGTCGTTTTGAACCTAAACACTTTGGTTACTGTCACACTACAAACAAACATGCAAACACGTACAGTTTCCCGAACAATCGACCGCATCCACAACAATTTCGAAGCCGCATTTTCCGCTTTTAGGTACCACGTCACATTTTCGCCCATCGATATTGAAAATTCGCATTCGTCGAATTCATGAGCCTACAAAGAAGGATGAAAACACCAAAATGATTATCATGAAAAATACCGTTATAATTGCATTTTTGAGATAAATGCTTCCTCTACATCCAACAGGTGCTTCAGACTTTGATTTGTAATACATTAAATTTCCTTCGCGAATCTCGAAATATCGATCTTGCCATCCGCCAACATAGTTCGTCCATTTTTTCAGAACACCATTCGTCGGTAATACACTGAAAGAAATATGTAAAATTCAAATTCAAAAAAAAAACATCGCAAATTCACCTTTTGCACATTTTTCAAAGAATTGAAATTATTTCCCCTAGCAACAAATGCTTTAAAATTAAATTGTCATGGTGAAGGAAAATTATTTCTCTCTGTTTTGTGATTAATAATAAGACAATGTTAATTTCGTATTTTTTGAAATCAACGAAAAAAATTGATCAAAGCGATTTGGTCTCGTAACAGTTTTCGATTTGATTGCCTATCAACCATATTCAAGACTACAGTATACATTAAAATGAGCATGCAATACTGAATTTGGCCTAAATTAATTGAATGTTCGATCGTTGTCTGTCATTGAAAATATCAAATTTCAAACTTTTTATAACCCACTTCGTTCCTAAAATGAATTAATTAGTCTGGAATGACGGTCTTGAGGGTCCACATCAAACAATGAAAAATGAAAGACAAAAAAGACAACTCACACATCATTGTCCATGTTCGCAAGTCGTACTGATAACGGCGGATCGACGGGTTTCGTTGGCAAATGAGCCGGGTTCGCCGTTTTACTAACACAGTTTTCGCTCTGCAAACATTGTGCCTCAATAGCAAATACTCGTTTGAACTTCGACGGCGAGAGCAATGAGCGAAATTCGCAACAAAAAACTCTTGTGGAGAGTTAAAAATTACTTGGCCAACGGGTATTTGTGCTATTCATAGACTTGCTACTGGTTTCGGCGGCGAGTACGATGTCGATGATGTTCCTGAAACAAACAAATATTTTACGCGAAAAAAGTGGAGGATGTTGAGAAAACAAATGGAAAAAATCAGACAATCAACCAAATTAAAGGTTAGAGATATTCAAAATCAGCAGTTAACTTAAAAATATTGAAATTTTCGATTTGCTATTAAATATTGAAATTTTCGATTTGCTATTCTCATATCAAACACATTCATATGATTTTTTTCCAATCAAAAATGCAAAAAATGGAAACGAAATCGATGAGAACCGGTATAATAACCAGGTGATGAGGAACGTGCGCGATTACAATGTGTAATGCGGTCTTTCGTTGATCTCATGAGGTCACATCTTTTACGGTGTGATTGATTTTGCATTTAATTATAAAAGAAAATAACAATTTTTCAATGGAATTAGTCAAAATTTTCTAAGGTTCAAATTATTTTTTAAATAAATTGTTTAAAAAAATAATATAATTTTCATTTTATATTGAAAATGAGTTTTAAATTATCACACGAATAATAATTTTAGTTTTTCCTACATTTTTTTTTTAAACTTAAGTTCATAAAATGTCTATAATATTTTTTAATGTGATTTTTTCGGGAAACAAAAAAAAAAAGAAAATTCTTGAAACAAACGCGCTCCATCGTAAGATAGTTTGGCCGTCGGCCAACTATTTCAAAAAATTGGGGCGTGGTTATATCTTGCCACGAATTTAACTACGGTGACGCAAGTTTGTGTGTGTTTTTCGAATGGGCTGCTGCCCGCTGATATTGCTCGCCACTTCACTTATCGTCTCCGTCGTCGCCGTTGACACTTGTTCAAAGTCGAATTGCCCCAAAATGAGCACCACCGAGAGAACTTTCATCGCTGTCAAGCCTGATGGAGTCCACCGGTATGTTTTACTAAATTTACAAATACACTGTTTCCATATTTTAGGACTAATTAAAAATTAAATTTTTTTTTTAATTGATTGACTTTTCTTTTTCAGCGGACTTGTCGGAAAGATCATCGCTCGTTTCGAGGAGCGCGGTTACAAGCTCATCGCTCTTAAGCAGATCACTGCTTCCAAGAGCCACCTCGAGGTTTGTTATCATGAAAAAAAAAAACAATTAAAATTATAAATTCTTCAGACCCACTACCAAGACCTCAAGGACAAGCCATTCTTCCCAGCTCTCATCGAGTACATGAGCTCTGGACCAGTCGTCGCCATGGTCTGGCAAGGACTCGACGTTGTCAAGCAGGGACGTGCCATGCTCGGAGCTACCAACCCGCTTGCTTCGGCCCCAGGAACCATCCGCGGAGACTTCGCCATCCAAACCGGACGCAACATCTGCCACGGATCCGACTCTGTTGACTCTGCCACCCGCGAGATCGCTCATTGGTTCAAGCCGGAGGAGATTAACGACTACGCCAGCCCATTCATCAACTCCTGGGTTTATGAATAAACTGCATAACGTTATTTTTGAATAACCTTGCTATGTTTTCGAAGATAAATTTATTGCTCTCCATATTATATTGTGTACACATTCTGGTTTCCAAGGAAACAATTTATTCAAAACAGGAAAACGAGTTATTCATCGCGCAACCCGAAAAGAAGGATTAGAATGAATTGAATGGGATGGGATTAGTAATAAAGAGATGCAATAAGTTAAGCTCTGAATTCGGAGACTTGCAAGATTTTCTTTCCCAAAATCGTATTGTAGAAATCGTTCTCCGGATTATCCAAATGGTTTTCGAAGTCGATAAGGTCTCGATAAAGCTTTGCATTTATTACCGCCTGCAGTCCTTCGAGAATATTCGATCCATTAAAAATGTTTCTGGAAAAAATTCTTGACACTGATTAAAAATTCATCACGAACTTCGCTGGCTTCCAGGTGTCGCCATCTTTTTCAAAAGGAATTAAACGATCTTCATAGCATTCCGAAGCGAGTCGCTCATTCATGACTTCGATAAGAATTGCAGGAGAATTTGTGACAACTGAAATGCGATCCGCCAATCGGGTCGCATACGGATTCAGCGATGGATCGCGACATCCAGGATTCGAAAAATAAACTCCCACAAGCGAATTTCCATGCTTCGCATGAACAATTGTGGTTGCAAGTTCCAGCGATGGCGCAAGAGGAGTCGATTCATGGCAAATTGGAACACACCCAGTTACCTAAAAATGAATGTTATTCAGAATTTCATAACGATAATAATTACCGTGATCATCGAATCCTTCTTATTGCCAATTAACAAACCCAAAACCCCCTTGGCGGGATATTTGAAACAATGCAAGACAATTGTCGCATATGGTAGTGGTTGAGTCTCGACTTGATATTTCATCTAAACAAACATTATAGCAATATTAAAATGAATATCTGAAAATATAAGCAAAGTAGGGACAACTTTGTTTGTGATAAATTAATATAGATTATATAAATTAGTGGGCACACTTTTATTAAAAAAAAAAATAATATATGAAATGAGATAAATTAAAGCCAAAATATTTATAAATCAATTATTCGACGCCAATATGGAACATTGGATCAAACATCCGTCGTGCAAAATATCTCATGTCTTCAATCTTCATTTTTTTGGCATTTTTGTTCCATTAATCATTACTGCAAATTGAATATTACAACTTTTAATAAATATCTTATAGAAAACCTGAAAATCGTTTTGTATTAAACATTCATTATTATTTAATAAATTAAATTCAATCCATTCCTCTCCTTTTCCTAGGGATCGAAATTCTACTCAGCTGAGAGAAAAACTAACGGCAACTCGTTCAAAAAATCACGTTTCTTCGAGTTTTCGATGTTTCATATTTTCGAAACCAAAGATAACCGAATTCAACGCCTTATCATTTACGCCAGAGTTTGTCAGCGAAAGCGAAAAACGATTTATAGTCAGTTTCCGCAAAAAACGGATGCCAGAAAAGGACGCTGCGAGGCTCGCATAAACTGCGTGCGTCTTTAATTACCGTATTCAATTTTTGATTTTCGACTATCAAGAAATTTCCATTAAAAATGTGAGTAAACACTGCAACTCATAAAGGAGAAAATATATTTTTATCACTTCCAAGTTGCAGTGTAAACTCAAAAAAATTGTGGAATTAAAATAATTGATTAAACATTGATATTGCAGAAAATGAGTTGTTCTTTTAACGACTACCATGGTAGCCGTTTTTTTAGGAAACGGATCCTAATAATTTTTCTTTGATATATTGATAGCAATTTTTTGTAGTTATTTTTTTATTATTTCTGAATTGCCGTTTAGAAATAGACGTGCTAACATGAAATGTTCCCTAGATGATTTTGTTGTCTTTGATTATCAAGATATTCTAGAATTTTGATGCGAAAGTGATTATATGGAATTTAAATTGTCCATAAACGATTTTTCTATATTAATGAGAAATTTCGTTGTTCGAAATTTGACGACTATCCACCACATAAAAAATTTTCGAAGAAGTGAACAAAATATATCAAATATTTTGTTCACTTCTTCGAAATTCGTGAATCTTTAAAAAAATTGTTCAATACTGTGAAAAAAAAGAAAACTGACCATGTTCAGTTGTTTTAAGTATATATCTTAAGTGAGTGCCATTTTGATATTCACAAAAAGAAGACACGTATTCAATTGGATTTCTTCAATTTAACGACGAGTATGTTGAGAATTGTTGGCAAAAATAGGTGAATCCTCCGTCTGAAATTTTTAGTGATGAGTATACAAAAAATCGATGCAACGTTTGGGGAAAACCTGTCAAATGTGCGCCTCATAGACAAAGGTAGCATTCAGTAATCTGTGCGACTATTTAGAATATTAATTAGGGTGATGATAATAGTTGAATCCAACCATTGTTGTATGCAAATTATTACAAGAAATACGTTTGGAATAAAACGAAGCACACATTTATTGTTGGCTATCTAACAGTCACGTCTCTCCGCGCTCAATGCACACTCTGTGCAGTTTCCCGGCACTCCTTTTCCTCTTTTCCCATTTATCGCTTAATCACGTCGCTTGAAAAACTACTTAAGTAGAAAAGCATAATCGAAATGACACGATTTTACGATATACAATATCGCGATTTCTATGTTGCAGCAAAAAGAACATTTCGAAATAAATCTAATATTGAAATTAATTTATTATGAACTTTTAAATTAATACACAAATCAAAAATCGAAAAAAAAAGAAAATCCGTTAAAGAAACTTTATTGCGCTCATTGTGTGCAATCACCGTGACGACAAATCACACCACAAATGGAGGAATTTATTCAACCAGTATAAACAAAAAACTGTCATCAAAACAGAACTGCGTATGTCGTGATTGGCTTACAAAGAAAATACATAAATTTGTATCGTCATGAAAAGGCTTGGCATATTAAGAAGGACGTCATTATGAATATTATTACTATTATTATTATTATTACTACCATTTGACAAAATCGCTTATTAATTACAAACATTTTACAAAAATGTTATGATGACCCGTATAAAAAACAAAAAAAAATTATGCAATGAAACGTGAATATGTTAGTCAATCCTATCTCGATGTTGTTCAAGAATACGCTTATCGAATTTTATCTGAAACATGTAATGAGACGGTTCCTGGCTTCTGTTGTGATACCTTTTCCGTTACGTTATCATTTGAATTAGTTGAATTGGAACTATTTTCCTCGTTTGACAAAGATGCTTCTGAATCAAATTGTTGTCGCCTAGACTCGGCTCCAATTTTCCATTCCGATACCATCTGATACTCAAATTGAACCTCGGCAAAACATTCGGCCATATATTCCGCCTGAAGAAGTTCACTATTTGGAAAGTTCCATTTGATAATCGCTTACAAATGGTGTCTCAAGATAAATCGTTTTAAGTTTTCGGGTTTCGACGTCTTTCTCGTAATCAAATGAAAACGATGCGCCGTCTTCGCAAACCCGAAAATCGACGACTCGCGCCCAATCGATGAGCAGACTTGTTTCCTAAATAATATCACATATAAAAACCAATCAAAAATGTCATTTTTGTGTGTTTCCGTTCTTCTTCTAGAGATTTAAGCATCAAATTCGCGAATTTCACAATAACTACAACGGTCTCGCGACGATTGCGGTGCGCGAAAATTGCTGGCGGAAATGTCACTTGATTATAACCTTCCATCGCTCGTGCAACTTCCAGAAGCTGAAAATTCATGCATATTGGTTAGACACGATTGTTTCCTACTTGATCCATATTTTCCTCGTTTTGAAGTGCTTTTAATTGATAATTCTTCTTATTCGAGACAACTTTGCCATGTTTGATATCGGCTAGAGCTTGACGATAGCAAAAATGTTTGAAGTGAACATCGCGACGACAAAGTGCTCGTTCGCGCTCGGTGTCGAAAATGAATTTGCGAAGGACAAGACACGATGAAGATGCCGACGAATAGTTGTGAGTGTAGATGTCGTGAACACTCTCGCTGTCCATTACTTTTCGCTCTGAAGTTTTACATATTTTTTCTGTTCGCCAAACTGTTGACTGGCATACCAAATGAGGTGTCGAGTACTTCGAATATCGCGATTGCCGATGAAACCTCTCGTGACATTTGCAATTTTCGCTGAATCAGCGAGAAGAAAAGCGATGCTGATACGCTACGTCTCGTCCGAATCGACATTGGCACCCCATCGGGAAACAAAGCGCGAATTTCGACTTCGCACATCGGATCGCAATCCATCAAAAAATGCTGAACAATATCGGATTCAGCGATGACACGAACCGAGCAGATTTTCTCCAAATACTGCTCCAATCCTCTAAACGAAATGGCTAGTAGTTTCAATCCGAAAAAGGAAACAATTATGTCGAAATACCTTCTTCTCGCATCCAATTGTTGATCGCTAAGTTTAAAAGGCCATTTTCCAGGTAGCGGCGGAAAACAAAAATCATAGAAATGCTTTTTGAGCATATTATGAAGCTCAACAAACTCCGAATAACGTCTCGAACCCAAATGTCGGCCGGCCATGTGAATGTTGAATACCTTCAAATATTGCCTCTCATCATACTTGCAAATTTCCGGGTCGACCCGGGTCGACCCGCCATCGACCCGCCCCGCCCCGCCCCACGGGGCGGGGCGGGTCAGTCAAAAAATTCGCGACCCGCCCCCGCCCCGCCGACCCGCAACGACACTCCAAGTTTACAGCGAGGCCTTTGTTTAGCGAAAAAAGAATTTCGAATTACATTATTTGAGTAGAATTAATTATTCTCGCAACAAAAATTGTTCAGAAGTCCTCAAACAAAATTGATTGAACCAACTTTCACTGTTTTTGTTTCGTTTTCGATTTTTTAAAATAAACTTTTCTTCAAAAAATCTATTAGCGGGTCGAGCGGGTCGGGGCGGGTCGGGGCGGGGCGGAGCGGGTCAGGGGCGGGTCGGGGCGGGTCGGTAGAATTTTCACTCTGACCCGCCCCGCCCCGCCCCGACCCGCCCCGTTGCAAGTATGCCTCTCATTATTTCGAAATTAAACTAAATATACACGTACCACAAATCGCTCAATGCCGTCATTTATAGTGTTGTAAGAAGGAACAGAAATCGGCAAAGATCGACTTTCCGAGTAATCATTCGCATAGGTTATTGAGCTCTCTTCACAGTAGTCGTATCTAAAATCAATATTCTCGTTCGGCTTTAATTCTTTGGCAGAGACGGAGAGGGAATTCGTTCTCTGCCTATCTTGTTTATTAGTTAACTATATTTCCATTCCTTTTTTTCGAAAATATTTTCCTTCATATCATCATTAAATAAATAATATCGTATATAGTTTACCTATCGGCATCAGCATCATTCACAGATATCACAATCATCGTCAGTGTGTCTCCACCGCTTTTTATCAGATCCACAACTTTTCGATGAGTTGACCCTTCGACACTTGTCCCATTCCTACAAAATGCTCAACCTATACATATGTATGATTTTAATAACGCTACTTACACTTCAAGTATCCGATCGCCTTTTCTCAAGCCGGCTACATCGGCGGCTCCTTTGTGCAATACGGCGCTTACGTGCTGAAGCGGCGCATAGAGTTTTCCATTGAGGCTTCGCAGTTGTCCGCCTTCACTAACTTGGCCTTTTACGTTGAATCCGAAACCCGTATTTGTTTTGATGATTTTTACAACGTGCGGATGCGGATTGAAAAGAATTGAGGATGATGGACTCGAACGCGCTGAAAATGGGGCATTTTCGAGAGGAAAAACATAATTTTTCGTTTATCAGTCATACAAATTTTGAAAAACATTTATTTCGACTGTAAATTTTAGACATTCTAATTATTTTTAATCATTGGATATATGCATTTTCCATCTGATTAAAGCGAAAATCTAACCTATTCTGTCAAAGTAAAATTCACAATTGTCACATACTACGTGTTTCTGATGAGCATCAGAACAATTCTTCCCATTGTCAAAATTGGTATTTGCTTATCGCATTTGCTGATAACAACATTTGCGACTCGTGTTCTTTTTGAAAATAGCCGCCAATAAAAAAAAAAACGAAACGTACAATTAGTCGACGAGGAGGCGCCTTGCTCGTCGGACATCGCCTGGGACTCGTCCGAATCGTAGTCATATGACTGCATCATTCTGTAATCAGACGAATTGTGAGCAAATTTGCAAATGAATTCGTGCGTAGGCAACGATTGTGCAGGTGTTCCAGATGGCGAGATAAACAATGAGAAAATGCGCTTGCAACAGCAGTAGCCGCTGTCGTCAGCGATTCTTCGCAGTCAGAAGAAAAGAGCAAAAGAGCAATGAATGAGTGAATGAAATATTGGGTGAAAACAACGCAGTTTCGCCTGATTGGAACAATCTGGTTACGGTAGAAAACCGGACAATCGAATTGATCCATCCAATATTGATTCATTCGTTGCCTGATTCACATTTAAATATTTGCCGTCGACTATGTGCATCTTGTTCGATAAAAAGAGAGAGAAGAGAAAAAAAAACTTCGGCGTAACACATAAAAACTGATGGTTTTTGGCGATGTAATAATAAAAACGAAAATTATATGAGCAATTCGATAAAGTCTTCACAATTGAAGTGTAAAGCTCATAGAATGAGCGCTTTCCGCCCAATTTTTTCAGTATCGGGCAGCCGAAAAAAATTGAACCGGCCGAATTGAAAGAGAATGACGGACGGGGTGGAGAGCGAGAACATATAAATCAACGTGGTGAATTCGTTCAACTGTTTGGTTATATTTCTTCCGTGCCTCATCGACAGCCACCGACGGCAATCGGCGAACGTGATTTGTTTTTTTTTTTGTTGGCCCTCTCAACACCACAATTATATGCGCTCGTTCGATTTGGCTGAATGCTCATCAAACATGGATTATGATGAGAATCGCCCAACCGATATGATGATGACGATTGAAGTTTAGAATGCAAACAAACTACGAGTTTTACGATGAAGCTCGTTGTTTTTATGTAATCGAATAGTAGAATTCTTGATTGATTTCATCTGTCACTTGTTTCGCGGTGAATAAAAGAATGAGTTTGGAAATTTCTTTGTTAGTAGCTTTATCATTTATTTTTAAGCAGCAGCTCTTATTTTCTTGTTTTCGCTGCCGACATTCCTCAGAAAAATACATGCGTTTTCCCTAGGAGTAAAAAATTAATTAATTTTTCAAATAATGTGTATAATCTGATACTAGAGGTATCGAAAAAGTGCTTAAACCAAAACTACGTTTCTTAAATTTAGCCTTTTATTAGAAAAATCGTGTTTTTTTTTGTGCTACCAAACGAAAATAAATCCAGATATGAGAGAAAAACCTCACTCAAGTTTCTACACATATTCAATGTTGAATGTCAAGTTTTATTAATCATTGCGACAGCAAAAAATAGTGCTATTTGAAAACTAAAGCACAAAAAAAAGACAATTGTCGTATGAAAACACAAATTAGTAATTGAAATGTTCAATGGAAAAGTTCAAGAAATGTTGATAAGAATTGATGCGAACCAAAAAAAAGAAACAGGTTTTGTTGCGAAATTTCAATTGAATCTGCTGCAAATTCTTTTGATTTTTCGATTAAAATGGTGCAATATTTAAATTGAAAACCCATTCAAAAGCAATATGAAATATTTATTTGTATGCTGAATTAAAAAAACCCGAGCTGTGGATTTACTAAAAGGCTTCTTCTCTAGTGAATGTATTTCCTCATTCAAAAATAATATTTAACCACAATTTAATATCATTCGAATACGTTTTCATATTAGGAATGAAAGGGCAATAGGCTATTAATAGCTAATAGCCGTAGGTCATTATTATGTACTATTGCGTTCGTTTGAACGTGGTAATTTGTGGTAGACATACACAACATATAATTAATTACACGTTGATTGCTCATATTTGGAAAAAGCTCGACGAACGAAACCATCAATTTCAAAGGTTTTTAATTTGTCTCTTCAAAAAGATGCGAAAAAAAAATGAAAAACGAATGTCCGCTGAGTTTCTCATCTGAGGGCAATAAACAATTTGTGACGAGGAAAAACGATTTTCTGGAGACGGCCAACGAGGGACGCAATCGTCCAGAAAAACACATTGAAAAGTTGTTTCGTCAACGCGCGCTAAAATGGCGAAGAAGGGGCGGGCAAAAAAATGCGGCATCTTTCCCGCTCGCTCTCTGTCACTCACAGGCTCTTCGAGAAAGCATAATGAAGAAGCGCCGAAAAAAAAGGAAGACAACCGAAATGGGACGCCAAAACGTTTGAAATTAAAAAAAAACGAAGCCAAAACGACACAAAAAGGAGTGGCTGGGGGAGAAAAAAAAACAAACGCGACGGACTTCTCAGTGACTCGGAAACCAGCGGCTAGTGACCAGTTATTCTCCGGTTGACGGGCTAGAGACGCAGAGTCTTATAGGAACCCCCCGGTGTGGTTTGTGTGATGTCGCGCGCGAGCGCTCACCGTCTCTCTCTCTCTCCGTCTCTCTCTCTCTCTCTCCCTCTTTGAGTCTCTCGAATTGTGCGAGTATCTTCGTACGCGGCCCGTATAAGGCGAGAACATAATACAACTCCGCGTATCTCTTTCATTTCGTTTATCGTTTTGATCTAATCACCAGTGAAATCATTGCTTTCAGATGCCTACTGAATCTGTTGAAGAACGTCGTCGTCAGGTATTCACAGTTCATGTGTTTCGTCATCAATCGGCAGTGTGTTTAGGTGTTGCTCGGCGAGCTTCCGTCGCACTTTTTGCGACTTGCCGTGCCAATTCAGTCTGGTGAACGAGTTGAGCAACTTGAGGTGAAAATTTTTTTTTGATTTTGCCGATTTTTGAGCTCTCAGCTTCTTACTGTAGTAGGAATTCTGCGGATTGCTCTTACGAAGCTAATGAAGTAGAAAAAAGACACACATCTCAGAATATGCGATGTGTACTTAATTTGTCTTCTTCTCGTGCTTCATCTTTTCATTTTCTTCTTCAATATAGCGGGATAGTTATTTTAGCGGCGTCAACTCGGATTTTTTCCGCCAAACACCCGCGGGCGACTCTCAATCACAATCCAAGATGCGAATTTGGTCAAAAATTATAGCATTGTGAGAATGGATCCATATTGCAGGTGCGAATTCTCACATATCAATTCTGTCTTTCTCTCAATTTCAAATCGATTCGCTTTCAGAATTCGCGTGGGAAATGTGATATTTGAAACGAATGTTGCTTCGAGCGGCGGACGAAATCCGAGTTGGAATCGAACATTGCACGCATGGCTTCCACACAACGTCGAAAGCGTTTATGTGCAGATTTTCGATGAAGTAGGTTTCGAATATTATTCTAAAACAATTAAACTAAATTATTAAACTAATAATTAATTAATTAAAGAAAACGTTTGGTCCTGACGAGGTGATCGCGTGGTCTCATATTATTCTCCCAACTACAATTTTCAATGGTGATGTTGTCGCTGACTATTTTCCACTAAGCGGCCCACAAGTAAGATGAGCTTAAGTTCAAACAGAGGCTAATACATATTATTGTGAAGGGGGAGAACAAGGAAGGTATGATCCATTTGACGTTTGCATTTGCTGCAATCGAACAACAACAACAACAACAAGAGCAAATGGATGTCCCACCGCCAAGACGTAATCGAATCGAAATCAATATTTAAAAAAAATATGATATCAAATAATTATAGCGGTCGAAATCACCGATGAAGATACGAAGGAACTCGAAGCAATGTTTCCGTCGGTCGACAAGGAAGTTATCAAATGTGTGTTGGAAGAACGCCGCGGCGACAAAGATGCCACTGTCAACGCGTTACTCGAAATGACGAATACCGAAGGTTCTTCGTAAATACATTTTCATTTTCAATTCTTCTCTAATATATTACTTAACAATACTACTTTCCATTTGAATCTCGTCTTCCTACGGTAGTCCGACTTCTCACTCAACTCTATCTTGCTTGTGATTTTCTCTGTCCAATTTACATATTAGATGAATTATTATTTATTTCGAATAACACACGCTGAAAATAAATCATTTCTATTTTTGTGATGATTGAAAAATGTGTTTTACTGATATTTTTGATAATAAGTGGTAAAACAATAAATTTACTCATTTTTTCAGCTTAAATGAAAATTCGTGGATTCACTAGCCACAGTTAAAATGCGACCGGCGTATAATGTGTCGCCAAGAATCGCATGTGTATCTTGGAGACAAAATTATTAATAAAAATAGCTTCCATATAATATTCATGCGAACCCACGAAGCTGGGAGAGACAAATAGAGCCAAATAATATATGGGCCAATGTCCCACGGTGGATATATTTTGTGTCCATCGCATTTTACCTGTGGCAAAATTATTCATTATATATTTATACGAAAATATTGCAGCAAATGAAACGACATTTACGTCAAAATTTTCGAATGTTTCTTTAAAATCTGACTGTTTATCTAGCCAAGAGTCGGACGAAATATTTGGTGTTCGATTCAATCATTATGTCGATATGCTTGGGAATGTTTATTGCTATCGGTATTCTGTCTTCTCTCCTTTCTTCGCAAACTCTGCTGAGACACGTCGAAGTCTGCCCAGGCCTTCAACAGACTTTGCGAAGTAAAACTCCGCACGACTGTTCTCAATTCGTTTTCTTCTTCTTTTTTGAATATATGTTCAAACTTGGATTCTAGAAAGTTTGAGGATGGAACATTTTTGGGGTCGACGTCAAAAAACTTCGACGATCCTCGAATTGTGTGCGCAAAAAGCGAAATGGAATGGTATCGAGGACGAAAAAATGTCGCATTTGAGTATAGTGAATGACAAAAAGAAATGCTTATATCAAAACCGTTTTTAGTGGATCTCGGTGTGTGTTTTGGAAAACAATTCCACACGATGTCTGGAATTCCACCAACTCGTCGTCATTTCCGTATTCTACGACATATTCGCTTCTACGAATTCTGCCAACCAACAGCGAAAATTTTTGTCGCAATCCGAATAAAAATACACTGGGACCATGGTGTTTTGTTCGTGAGAAAAAAGTGCGAAATTTGTTCCAAATTCATATATTTCGTGATTGTCGTATTCCAGAGATTTGTGCCAAAACCATGTTTCAAACAATGCAAAATAGCGAGCACGAGTTTCGCATGTCTCGACAAAAACGTGTTTCATCATATCGGAGAAAACGGCGTCATTGGTAAATTATTCACTGATTTTTGTTTGTTTGTTTTTTCCTCGCAAAACGCCGTTTTCAGATGTGAGCGATTTGCTCGATGTGCCACAATTAATCGCGACATTCCCAAATGTGCATTTGATGTTTGAATCACGAGTTTTGCTCGATGAAAATGTTGAACGAAAATTGAGAAAAACGTAAGTTATTGAGATTTATTAAAACTTAAAAAAAAACATTTTCCTGATTGTATTCACTTCTTTCCTTATTTAATCCCATTTTCAGATGCATTAGTAGTGGGAACGTTTCCAATTATTTTGGTCCGTGGATTGCTGTGCTCGATGAAGAAGCAAAAAAATTTATCAAAAATGTCGGCAGACGGTATATTGATATATTGTCGGCGTCAAACGACTGAAGGGAGGCGGAGTCTTCAAATTCGCGAAATCAGTGTAGAAAATTTATCGTTGACCATTAAATGCGCGTATGCTATAATGTAATGTACTCAGAATCGCGTACTTCTCACGGCCTCGAGACGCATTGGCACATAGCCAATATTTTTTCTTAAATTCGTCAAGTCGTTTGAATTCAACAATAATTATATATATATATATATATATAGTTTTGAATTCAATGATTTTAGAAAGCTCATATTGACGTGCGTACCGCTTCCTGAATGGATTGATCAACTTCAAATCGAATCATCGCATCAATCGAATATTCGCGATGTTCTTTCCGAAGACGAATTGACTGTTGGCGGATGCTCGTTCTGGCGATCGTGTTTCTCTTCGTGCCAAGACGATGCCCGACAGTATATTACTCAATTCGGAATTGAATGCAATAGTTTATTTTTTGATTTTCTTAGATGTTGGTCCGCTAACGAATCATCCTATTATGGCACAAAATCAAGCTCAAAAAACATGCAGGAATGTATTAGTTGGACTAGTGCTACTTCGGACATTTTTCAAGCAGTTTCTGCCGGAGGAATTTCCGAAAATGGAACCAATATTTATCATTTATATCATTTTTTATTGTTTGATAATGATGAGAGTTTCATGGCAAAATCGCGATTGTTCTTGAACACTGAGTCAGAGCAGAATGAAATTTTGATTGATAAATGGAAATTTCAGAAATCGCTGTATGCTTCTTCGCTCAAATAATCGAAGTCGAATGGATGAAGAGTTTGACATTTCGGATGTCTCTTTTTTTTCTTTTTTAATTGGGCTTCCTCAAACGACAAATTTAGGTTTCTAATTACACGAGTTTCGAGGAGTACAGGGAGGCGTATGAATCGTTGTTCCTGTCGGGACCCGGATGTTTCGTCAGAGAGGTTTTGTTGAGACATATCGTTTTAAGCGAAATTGGAATTTCCAGAAGAATATACTGCAATATGTGCCGTGCTATTTGCCTTGCTTGAACAACTACGTCCCTTCAGTGAATTTGACCAAGGAGTATTGTTTGGACGACGGCAAATACAAAGTGTGTCGATTGGTAAACTAGATGTGCATTAATTCGAAATCAAATGGAAATGTTCAGAATGACGACGGCGATTATTTGAGACGAGGAAGATTTTCGAGAAGCGCCTGCGCTTCATCACTCATTTTCCATTTAATTGCCTTTTTCGCATTTTTCAATTCAAGTTGATCAACAAGAAGGAATTCATTAAACAATATGTACAGAAAATGACATGATCCGAATGAATTAATGAAAAGAAAAAGGGTTTTTGGGTCGCATTGGGCTTTGAGAAGGCTGGAATTGTAAAATGGGAAGTGCCATTGGAAGCGGAACAATGGGAACTCCGCGAGCCGACACTTGCGCGGGCGATATTGGAAGAACAGCGTGTCGGGGCTCGTCGATATTGAACGACACTGGCGGCAGCGTGGCGATATTGGAATGACCGATTGGAGGCTGATACAGAAGTTTCTCGAGGGGCGAGATTTTAAGATTTTGAAGGGCTGTGAGACGAACTAAATTTCCCGGCTGTGGCTGGATAGGCGACGACAGCGATTCTGAAAATGATACATACGAATTTAGTTTTTTTTCTATTATTCAAATTTTTCGGCATTTTCGATTTGATTAAGTATGAAGATAGTATTAAAGGTGCATGCGAAAAAATTGAGATATTTTGGGATTAAAAGAAATGAAAGAATTTTTGAACCCAAAAATCGGTTACCACAATCAATTGGCTCTCCATTTTTGTCGACGAGATCAACGGAAGCGAAAGCAACGAAATCATCGGCAGCCGTTGATGAGACGATTTTAATGCTAACAGGCATCGGACTGAAATGACGTTCATTTCTTTTGCCTTCTTATTTCCAAAAATACCTCTCGATTGGAATTAGAATTCGATTCCAGCCTTGTGCTGATTTCGTTTCCAGCTCTTCAGTCTTTCTCCAGATTTCCTTCTCCGTCGTCATTCCAATGGTTTTCGCGAAAACTGTTGTCATCGATTTTGGACTATCGAAGAGTTGAATTAGCAAATGTGCTCCACTAGGAGCTCTGATTGTCGGAGACGTTAAAACGGATTCACCAGATGCTTCATTGACTATTTTTGTGGGCAGAAGCTGCATGTTCGAGGTCTTCCATTGACATGAAGTCGATCGAAACGGACATCGAATCGCCTTGCAGAATTTTGTGGTCTGAATTGGCTTTCGACGAATCTCTCTGTTGTTCAATTCGGTTTTATTGAACAAATTTGAATCAAGCCTAAATGAGGAAATTCGACAATTGTTTCGTAGCGTCAAAATGGTTACCCCGCCCAACTGGAAACGACATTCGATGGTGTGTATACTTCGACGTCATCGATTCCGAGAAGATCCCCAGCTGTTCGCACATTCGAGCATTCAAAAACTATTTTTGAGTTGCTCGACACTGGCGGCAACACCACACTTCGTCGACGCCACTCGCCAACAATCTCATCGGAATTGATTGAATCGAGTAGAAGCTCCGAACTCCCATTGACAAGAAGCACTCGAAGCCGTGCCGATCCATGTTTTTGGAATCGAAAAGCCAAGATTTGAAGAGATGATGCATTTTGAAGACGTTGGCTCGTACTACGAGATGAGCTCACACTTCCATACTTGCCTTGCGCCAATAGAAATGGTCCTTCTGAAATCACGAATTCACATATGTAGAAGACTATCGCATTCTCTTGCGGTCTATTTGACTTCAACAGCCGCGATCAGCGACTGTGTCGACCATAATCGTTTTTGGCACTCTGATTGGATACGAACAGACAAGTTGCACTTTGAAAATGCGAAGACAACTGTGTATTTAAAATCCGCGACAATTATTGACAATTTGCCGGCAACAAGACATTATTTGCTAATTGGACGCGTGAAGACTTAATGGCAAAAATCCGAACAAAGTGGATGCCGACAGCGAGTACAGTAATCGCGAATGAAAAGTGAAATGTAAACAAAATTATCCGGTTGAAAAGATCTTGAAAAGAAAAATTTGACATCATTCAGACTTAATAAAAGACATATTTTAATATTTCAATAGCTTTTAAAGAAAAAACCAATATTAATATGTATAATCACGAAGCTTTCGTAATATTTTAGATTTTTTGCCAGTTTAGAGTACTCAGTTAAATCGAATAAAATATTTTGAGATTCATTTTTAATTTTTTTTAAGTGTCTCTACAATATTTTAGAATTTTCTCAATGAACTTTAGAATTTCTCATAATTTTTTAGAATTTATTATTGAATATTTGATTCTCAAAAAAATCTATTTGATTTGCCTGAGGAGTATTGATTTCTCAGTTAAATCGAATAGAATATTTTGAGATTCTTTGAGAAACTAACGTGTCTCTATAATATTTTAGAATTTTCTCGATCAATTTCAGAAATTATTATAAGATTTTAGAATTTATTAAGATAATTTTGAAATTGCTCAATAAATTTTCGGAAATGTTATAAGACTTTAAAAAGTATTTTTAAGTTTAGCGATTCTCAAAAAGTTTTAGAAAGTATCAAGAAAATTCCGAATTTCTCATAATATTTTAGAGGTAATTTTTGAATATTTGATTCTCAAAATATTTTATTTGATTTGTGATTTGCCTGCGGTTCCAAATATTGATTTCAAAATTTTTATGTCTAAATTTTTCAATGAAAATATTTCGTGGAACATTTAGAATAGAAGCGATAATGAAATTCAGAAGAACTGCAAAAATCGCAATGAAATGGATAATAATAATAATAATGAATTTAGTTTTTATTCTGGGAGGTAAGAGCTCAAATGTTTCCATTCGGTCAATTAGAAACCACCCCGACTTTTTAACCCCCACCCCTGCTATTCCACCCCGACTTTTTGACCCATCCTTTTATTTATGATACCACCCCCAATTTTTAGGTTTCACCCCCCCCCCCACTTCTTCACCGCACTTCAAAATTTGCAGTTTCAAACAACAATGTTTAGCAGTTAAATTTTTAAAACTTTTTTTTTAAATTTGCAATAATTCAAGTTATCAAGAGGAGATTCGCAGGTCTAAATTAGATTTTTCAGAAACTATGTAGTGTTCCTATGAAATGCTGAAAATTTTAACAAGTAATGAACTATTCTCAAAAAAACCCAGTTCAGAAAGATTTCGTATTTCGTAAGATTTTCGTATTTTCCAACAATTGTCAATATTTCAAGTGTCCAATTGTGTATTTTGATATCAAGCTTCTTTGCAAGCCTACATAGTTTCTGAAAAATCTAATTTAGACATCAATTTTGCCAATTTCTTCTTGATAACTTGAATTATTGAAAATTAAAATATTTTTCTGTTAAAAATTACTGTTTGAAACTGCAAATTTTGAAGTGCGGTGAAGAAGTGGGGGGTGAAACCTAAAAATTGGGGGTGAAAAAGTGGGGGTGGTATCATAAATAAAAGAAGGGGTTAAAAAGTCGGGGTGGTTTCTAATAGACCTTTCCATTCATATGATTTTATAATAAAAAGGTTGATAATTGGATTGATTCTTTGATATTTTTATCAATTGCTTCGCTAGTTTCAACATCGTAAAAGATGATACAACTTGCCCGCGATGAATGAACCTTGTACGGTATCTCTCGCAAAGGAAACAATGCGTAAATATTTTGCACTAAGATGGCATACTGTAGATTGTTCTCATTTCAACGCCCTTCTTTTATTCTATCATTGATCAATTTGGTCTCATTTTTTGATGGCTATAAATAAATTCAACAATTATCAAAAGTCTGGGTGGGAATTTTCCAAAGCAAATAACGCATTCCAACTTGAATTGAATATTGAGGAAGTCGAAAAATGTCAAGAAATCCAACATTTTTCGGATATACAAAACCGATTTGTCTTTCTTTTTTGATTGATAGAAATAAAAAAAAAACTTAGAATGAAAACCTGCGCGTATCGGCTTCGTAACTCCTTGATCACTGGGAATCAATGCGAGACCGACAATATTCCACGGCGGATTAATAAGCCAGCCACAATCGCCTTGCTCAAACGAGCACAACATGGATGCATTAGCATAATTCGATAAGGCTAGGAATATTATGAAGTATCCATCGAAGTGATGCATATCGTCCAAATGTGCGCGTATGACCCGTCGGAACACCAGGACTGGTTGCTAGCCTAATTGCCGGTCGCAATTTCAAAGCTTTCAATCAGCCAACCATGAAACATTAATTGGTACGAAATACTAATAAAAATTTATTATTAATCAAAATCAAATTGTGCCTACATGAAAAATGCATTGGGATGATAAAGCTTGAACCGTTTTCACAAAATGTACATACACGTAGGAAATGGGGCGAAATTGAGCACGAAACGGACGGAGCCGTTAGCGGCGAAGTGCGCAGAGTTTGAATGATCTCGGTGCTCGCAGCGAGGATGTGATGACTTCCACTGGCGGCGGGCTGTTCGCTCGTTCAGGCTTCCATTCGAAGTGCTGAACGAGAGTGCAGAAATAGAGGAACACTTCCATTCTTGCCAAGTTCTCGCCGAGACACGATCGTTTTCCCAATGAGAATGGATTCACTCGATCGTCGCGCACATAGTCGCCGTTTTCCTGAAAGTTCGATTCACTGTGCTTTTTAAATGCTCGGAAACCCAGAAAATTGTGCTCTAAGGTTTGATAATCTTCGGTAGTTAATCAAAAAAAAACTCACATTCAAAAATCTCTCTGGCCGGAACACTTGCGGATCATCGAAGTGTTTCTTGTCGACGTGCACCGACTGGAATTGTGCGATGACTCGCGTGCCCGGCTGTAGGCTGTAGCCTGCAAAACTTGTCCAAATTGATTTGAAAATTTCGTTGACCTACTCACCTTCACAGTCGGGTACATGTTGTAGTGTCGATCGCAAAAAATTGACTGGCAACACATAGCCCAGACGGTAGACTTCTTGGAGGAATGCGCATGTGTAGGGTAGTCGTTTTTGATCGTCCATCACGATTTGCTGAACGCGGAAATGTTCGGTTCGAATCGCGAATAAGTCGACCTACTCTCTCTCTGCCAATCTCGCGATCGATTTCCTCGTGAATCCTCATCTGCATTTCGGGATTGTTGATCAAGTAGAGAAACGCGAATCGAATCACAATTATGATCGTCTCCATTCCGGCGCTGTACAAATCGTAAATTGCCACAATTAGTTGTTTTTCGGTGAATCCGTCTAGAAGAGTGCGATGTGTTGAACAATTCGAACGGACCTCGTCAAATTCTTACCAACTAGAGCATTTTCCGCCGCTCGGCTTTTGATTTCTTTTAGAAATGCGTCCATGTAACTCGATGGCTCTTCATCGTAGTTTATTGAGCTTTTGTGTTCTGCGAGTGCCTGAAACAAAAATAATATTAGAAACCTAAATATTGATTGCGCATCTATATCTCACCTGCTCCAATGTTAGAAGAATTGCGTCATTGGCTCTGGTGGCCGTCGGGATGCCCAAACTCAATGGCCGATCTAGATATGCCAGCCACGGCCACGCATCGAGAAGTTGGGTTTTTGGTGATGTGAAATTCTCCAGAACTTCATTGATCGCCACATGGAAATCGTGAATATCAGTCTCCTCCCACTCGCGAGTGAAACCGAACAAATGTTTGTGGATCACATTGCCGACGACATGCTGATAATTCGAAATAACTGGCTTCTATGTACGATGACAATTTACCACAAGGTACGGCCGCAACTCGAACGCATTTCCGTTTTCACTTTGAACTTTGTCGACGAGACTCGTCGCCAATGACGCAATCGTGTCCTGTGTTCCAGCCTGACCAACGCCCAATGAGCGAAAGATGTGGGTAGTGAATCGCCGCTGCGCTTTCCACCAGTAATTCTCCATGAAAAACAAACCGTAGTTTCCCTGGAATGGTTCGGTGCGGCTGATGATTGAAATGGATATCGGCGAGTTACCTGAACAAGCATGTCCATGATGAAAGTGTCAGGACGGCCGGAGAATGCCTCGCCATTCCGTACAATATTTCGCTTCAGCATCTGCAAAATTCAGTCATTAATTTAAAACAGAAATTAAAGCGACTCGGTCAAAATTGGAAAGTTATGTTTTAAAAAGTTCATCGGTATTTTTATCATTTTTTTGAGGTGAAAATCCCGCCCGAGAAAACACGAGAATCGCATGGTTATTATTTTCAGCTTCTGAATAACGAGATATTGCCACTAAATTCAACTGGATTAAATTATGCATCATATAGTTTTGCATTTTTGTGCACGTCATTCGATTGAATCGCTGGATTAGTATCGTTTTGAACGTTGAAAGACCACAAGTTCGCTTGCGCTCACATACTTCGTGGTCGGCGATGACAACCGTCGGATATGGAAGCCAGAGTGTGAAAATGCCGCCGTATTTTTTCTTGAATTCGTTCAGAACCAGATCGATGTTTTCCATTGGAGCTTGCCACACGTTTCCTGAAAACCGTTCCGAATTGGCGTCACGTCTTCTAGCTCGAAATGAACGTACCCACGAATGGCCACGGTGTTGGTCCGGCCGGAAGACCGCGCATTCGATTCGCGAATTTGCAGCATAATAGCATGACAATAATCACGAAAATGGCAATCTGCGCGAAAATCATGGTTAATTATGAAGACCACTCGAAAGTTTATTTGTTTATATACTCGTGTTTGTACCCAATCTGTTTGGCCTCCTTTGTGTTATCGAGACCACGCCCATCGTGATGTGTTTTGGCCGCTCCTCCTCCAACTCTTTGCTATTGGTTTGTTGTGTGTGACCTGCGTCGCTTTCAACAAATTGCTAGTTGTTGTTGGCGTGTGAATGAATGAGAGACTTCCAATTGGTGATTATTGTGAGCCGGTTGGTATGGCAACAACGGGACGTAGAAGCTGATGATTAGATATAAGAGAGCATTCGAATGCATGAGAGTTCCGACGTCGCCACTTTGAGCTGCCACTTTCCTTTCATTTCGCATTGTTTTAGTTTTGCGCGTTTGTACGTTAAAATGCTAGAATGTAGTTCGTTCGATAACATCTTCATAATTGTGATGCCAAATCCGAGAAACAATGATCTGTCGATCAAAAGATCGTAAAATCGCAATCATCTTCTCGAACACATTGGTCTCGAACATGATCCACTTTTGAATAATCAAGCGATATTCATTTTCTTATGATCAAATTCAAACCATTCGACGAACAATTGTTTATTTCCTTTTCATCTCTGGTTCGTGTTCAATGATTCTTAGATCCGAGCAAAGCATTCTGTTTAATCAGCCGTGAAATCAAAGGGCATCATTGATCCTCCCATATACGGTCTTGTCACAGTAAAACTAATATGTGTGTGTGTGGTATCTTTTTGATTTCGATTATTGTTAATCTCAAATCAATTTTTCAATTATTCATTGTGAAAAAAATTGGTGGATAAAAAAATGATTAGTAATAATTCGGATTGAATATTTCGAAGAAATTCAAAAGTGAATGGCAATCTTCAAATAATTTTGTGAATTCTCGAAATTACCCAAACAAAGTTTTCAAGAAACTTTGGCCGTTTTATCGCAAAAACGGGAATCGTTTATTTAAAACACGAAGATTAGTCAGTCGAATTCGCTTAAACACGAAACTTTAGATTAGATAAGCAAATAAATCGACAAAATAAATTGCCATTCGATTTATCACGTTTTAATGTGCCCATTATAGGAAAAATGGTAGAGCATATGTCACAAACGAATTGCTAAGTCGTCTGATTTCGTATTGCAATAAATACCTTTAAAGAAGCCACACAAACTCGAAAATTTCCAAGAGAGACGTTTGAATTGCCGCCAATAATAGAGGAAATGCGTGATTTGTGCATTTTCTCGCTCTTAATTTTTTTTTATAATTGGTCATGGTAATTGATTTTTTAATGTTTGAGATTTATAAGATTTTTTTACCAACTGAAATAAATGGTAGCGCGCGAGAATGTGTGCAAACACCGTGATAAAATATCACGGAAAAACCCCCCATCTTATTTTGAGTCGCTTCATTGCGTTGAATTTTTCGCAATCAATATTAATTTTTAAAACGTTTCTTCTGCTTCCATTCTATTGCGAATATAATCGAATAATCAGTTTTTATGAGGGTTTTAGGGTTCCTTTAAATTGGTTTGAAACTTTTCGAATAATTTGAACTCGGCTGATTTCATCACGTGATAGATTTTTGATAGTCTAGTGAAAATCTTGATAATGTTAACTATAGGGCTTCGCATTTCGTCGGCTTTCGTGTGTTTCTAGCGGCTCTCAGGAACTTCGATTCTGATTCACACAAGACGTTTTCGCGAAATTCAAAGTTCAACAAGCTATTTTTAGAAATGAACTGTTTTGCGTAGTACCGTAGACAGACAAGCTACAACTTGGAATTGTCTGATTGTCGGAATTTTGCGACACACCGTAGTCGATATCAATGCCTATACAAGGTGTAGTCGTCTAGGGTTTCATCCAATTAGATATCACCATTTACCGTAATCCCCACTGATCAAGGTTCAAAATAGAGATTCTTTGAATGAACGGTGGCGATGATGGTTTGATTCTGAATTGAGTTTCTACCTTCGATCAGCAATCTGGACTTTCGAACTATCGCAAAGAAACTGAAATGTTCCAAATCTGTGTGGCATCAGATTCCGAACTGATTTCCAGTGTTTCGCTATCGAAAACGCTTCCCGAAATACGCGTTGATTTGATTTTTGGCAAATTGCACTTGAATTGAGCACAACGAAATTCTGTTAGCTAATTAAGAACAAGAAGGTCATGGGCTCCAATGTCCGCAGCATGTTTCATCATAATACCGTCATTATTTAGTTGAGAGTTGTGATGGAATCGCGAACCATTTCGATTAAGCCCCGCAACCAATCATGGTGCATTTTCGGTGCAAAGACCGTTTTGAGATTCTCGAAACAAGAATTCGTCTGAATGAAATGGCGACGGTTTGCGAGAATCTTCGCGTGTTTTCGATGCGCGCCAACAATACATTATTGGCGCATTTCGCGATCGTCGTGAGATCTTAAAAAGAGACGTGCGTAAACGCGTCGGTTTATTTCGTTTTCGCGCGAAGCATGCGTTGATTTACTTCGTTCATATCGTCGAAAACATTCTTCTCAAACCGTAATCGACAAAAGAAAAAGTTAATCGGATGAACTTTCGAAAAGTCACGTACTCACTTCAAGACCAGATATGGGCGGAGTCTGGTGTGCGCACGCGACTGCGTGGGCACTACCATCGTTCAAGAGTTCAATACGTTTTGGTTATCATCATACGGATTATGCTGCTCGAACTGTTTAAATTATACCATATATATTTAAATGATAAGATGATTAATACACAAAGGGAATAGTACAGAATGTGATTCATCAGAATGCCGCCGAAAAAAAATATTTCGTGTGTTGCAGATTCAAAAAAAAAAGATGTTTTCTCATAATTAGATGTAATTATTAAATTATCCGCACTTTATAATGCTCAATTTCGAATTTTGGATTCTCTTTTGTCGAACTTTGATTTGATGTTCGAACTTTGATTTTTTAATTAGTGTTCTTAAGTTCGCTCACCAAAAAGTGTCAAGTCGATTAGGTTTCTTGTATTTCAATTACGAATGAAGTTCCTATATGGAATGGTCATGAATAATTGCAAAAGTCATGCAAACCGATTCATGTGAATAAGCGGACTGTGATAATTTTCACATGGTCCCATCTGTTAGGGGACGTGGACTAATGTAGATAAAGGGGCATGGCAATGCGGCCGAATGGGAAAAGGATCCCCGAGGTCCCCATCGATAAATATTCTATTAACATGACAATTTGATATCGCCTGAGTGATCGGAAGGAGGTGATGAATTCGGACCATCATGATCGAATGTAGTCGTTGCAAGAAACTGTTTTCCGAAAATCGTTGTCTGATGTGTAGTCGAATTATTTGTGATTTCGAGAGAATTTGTAGCTTGTATAGAGCGTTTTGCAAAAAATCGAACAAAGTTTGAAAAATAAGAAAGCGAAACCACTCTGAAATTGTTGAAATTACAAAAAAAAAGAAATTTGACAGGAATGGCTCCAAACGGAAAAATGCGAGAGATCGTTTCGATCCACATCGGACAAGCCGGTGTCCAAATCGGCAATGCCTGCTGGGAGCTCTACTGCCTCGAGCACGGCATCACTCCCGACGGAATGATGCCGCACGATGATTCGTTCGGTGTCGAGGATCAATCATTCAACACCTTCTTTTCCGAGACGCCCGCCGGTAATGCGCAATTCGGGCCTCAATTTCATTCACCAATCAATTTCAGGAAAACACGTGCCGCGTGCGATTTTTGTCGATCTCGAGCCAACGGTCGTCGATGAGGTATTGTTGTATAATCGCGAATATAATCCCCCTACAAGTCCGCTTGCGTGCATTTTTATTTGTTGTTATTTTTATTCTGCGTAATGCGTGGGCGGTTCGGTCGAATCGCCCGTTCACATATTCCATCAACATCGGTCAGTTTTGCTTTTGATTGTTTAGTACCTATCAAATTGTTTCGTTGGACTATTGGCGATTATCCGTCGTTTGATCCAAACCACCCACGTGTATGTATGAATGAATGAATGAGATTGATTGTTGAGGTTCGAACGGGAACGTATGCCAAATTGTTTCATCCCGAACAATTGATCAGCGGCAAAGAAGACGCCGCCAATAATTATGCTCGCGGTCATTATACCATCGGGAAGGAGCTGATTGATGTGGTCACCGATCGGATTCGACGGCTCACGGAACGATGCCAATCGCTTCAAGGATTCCTGATCTTCCACTCGTTCGGTGGCGGCACTGGATCGGGATTCACTTCGCTCATCATGGAGCGACTATCAATCGATTACGGCAAAAAGGCGAAACTCGAGTTTTCGATCTATCCTGCCCCGCAAATCAGCACCTGTAATCGGCTCAACAATTCGTGTCAAAGAGCAAAATAATGTTTCAGCAATGGTCGAGCCATACAACTCGCTGCTCACCACTCATACAACCTTGGAGCACTCGGATTGCTCATTCATAATGGACAACGAAGCAATCTACGAGATAACCAAGATTAATTTGGGAGTCAGAAGTCCGACTTACACCCATCTCAATCGCCTTCTTGCACAAGTCGTTTCCTCCATCACCGCTTCTTTAAGATTCGATGGAGCATTGAATGTTGATCTAACCGAATTCCAAGTAAGACGCAACAATACCTAGACGAAATATACATAGTGGAATTGTTCAGACCAACTTGGTCCCGTACCCGAGAATCCATTTCCCACTTGTCACTTATGCTCCAATCATCTCGGCGGAACGAGCCTATCACGAGCAGCTCTCCGTTTCCGAGATCACCAACGCGTGTTTCGAGCCGGGAAGTCAGATGGTTAAATGCGATCCGAGGAATGGAAAATACATGGCGTGCTGTCTGCTCTATCGTGGAGACGTTGTCCCGAAGGATATCAATTCGGCGATTTCTGTTATCAAGACAAAGAGGGCGATTCAATTTGTCGATTGGTAGAATTCATTATTGAAGCCAGGCTTGTCGTTCTGAAGCCGAGCCGCATTAAAGTTTTCATAGTATAACGATTTTGTTGAATTCAATTTTATTGAAGAGACTGGATATGGAAAGTATTTAATAATTGATTAAAGTTGATAATTTCGATTTGCTTGTTCGAATAAAAGAAAAATGCCTTGACGCGGCTTCGGCCGGCCGAAACGACAAGCCTGGTTGAACCGTCATTTCAAAATATTTTCAGGTGTCCAACGGGATTCAAAGTGGGAATCAACTACCAGCCACCAACGGTGGTTCCGGGTGGCGACTTGGCGAAACTGCAGCGAGCTGTCTGCATGCTCTCCAACACCACCGCCATTCAAGAAGCGTGGGCTCGATTGGACCACAAGTTCGATTTGATGTATGCCAAGCGCGCATTTGTTCATTGGTACGTCGGCGAGGGAATGGAAGAAGGCGAATTCTCCGAAGCAAGGGAGGACATGGCTGCATTGGAGAAAGACTACGAGGAAGTCGGAATCGATTCGTTCGATCCAAACGACGATGACGAATATTAAATGTTACATAGAATTCAATTTTTAATAATGATGATCTCAAAAAATAAATATTTATTTGGCTGCCAAGAAGGGATCGAATAAAAAACTATTTATGGAAACATTCGTAAAGAAAGGAATGCAAATTGTCGTCGATTCAGACAATCAATGGAATCACCATCATTTCGCGTTGAAGATCTTCGCGAGTAAATATTTCTCGAGGATTGTTCTCCCCGGTTGCCTTCACACAAAAATTGATATCACAAGGCAATCACAGAATTCCCAACCTTGGCAGTCAAAACACACAATTTGTCCATTTTTTTCTCACCGTTGTTTCTCAAAACGTCCACTTTGATAGTCTCACCAGGTTCAGCGAATCCATATACGGGATTGACTCGGTACAACGCATTGTCGGAACACTTGATCTGAAACAACCCAATTTTGGTCATCTCCGACTGATAACAAGTCACCTTATAGGCTTTGCGGTCTTGCGAGTTGTTGGTAATGTTGATGCAGCTGACACCTCCAATTGGTTGGTAGAGGAGACGATCGGGTTTGACTTGCACATCTTGAGTGTGTCCTTCAAACAAATATCACATTTGCTGCCTCGTTTCCAAAAACCCACTGATCGTCTTGACCTCGTCCTCGATGCTGACCTTCTTCGGCGTCGCTTGCTGCTTATCGCTTTTGAGTTTCTCCGAGCAATTTTGCTGCGGAGCAGGAATGCGCGATTTGTCGACGTGGCCGTCGGGCGCGGCATCCCAGCCGCCGTGGTGAGGCGGAGCATTCGCCGACGCTTGCTCTTGTTGCTTCTTCGAGTTTTGCAGAGCTGCCGCATGAGCGGCCGCCGCTTCGTTCGCTTCTTTGCGAATTCTCGCCGCCGATGATGACTTCGACGACTTCGAGCTTCCCTTCGAGCATTCCTTCTTATTCTTGGCGTCCTTTTTCTCTGGACTAAACCCAATGATTTTTGATTGTCAAATTTCGAAAACGAATTCAATCACCGCGACGATTTTTTCGATGATGATCTCTTCGAATTTTTCGATTTTCTCGAGCCACTCTTCGATGATTTATTGTTGCTCGATCTCTTTGATTTCTCGCTCTTCGAGCTCTTCGCGCTCTTCGACCTTAATCTCGTTTAATTATACCAAAATTCGCTATCATTTTCAATATACGCTCTTGACGACTTTTCGCGTTTTGAAACTTGCTTCTTGCTTCCACTTTTTGCGGATTTCGAGGCGTGTTTAGAACGGCTCTAAACAATATTTTTTAAAAATCGATTTCCACACAAAAAAATGAATAAACGAACCTTCGACTTTCCGCTTTTCGATGCACTTTTTGTCGACTTTCCGCGAATCGATTTCTGCGATTTTTTACTTGCATGAACCTTTAAATGTTCATCATCATTCGATACTTATACCTTATTTGATAACCTGCTTGCGATCCGACGAGCAGAGAACCATCGCAGCTGCTAGTGGAAGCGATGGAATCGCTATCGCAGTTAGAGGTACCAACATATTTGACTAACTAACAACTTCAGTACAACAATTAATGAGTGGCGACGTTCTTTCTTCTTTATCAGATCCAGAAAATGTCACGGCTATTTTCATCGTTCTTTGTTATTTTTTTTTCAATTGAATTACATTCCTGAAAATGAAATCAGTAGTGAATGATAATTCTTCTAAAAGTACTCAAACAGGTAGTTTTTAAAGTTTGTTTTTAACAATTTTTGTGATAGCTCGAACAACTTTTGCGTCGGCTAAGGACCAATTCCTTGGCAAAATGGGTGATGCGAATCAAGCCAGACGTGATCAAACTATCATCACAAGTAAGAGCAAAAACGTTTGCCGCCAGCAGGGGTCGAACCTGCGACCTTGGGCTTATTAGACCCACGCTCTAACCGACTGAGCTATGGCGGCCACACGCCGCTCGCACTCAATCGTATAGAAAAAAGGCGCTGCATACGCAAGGCAAGAAGAGTCCAAGGGCAAACTCTCAACTGGTAAGCGCAGCGCGTCCCCCGTGGGCCTCCTTAGCTCAGTTGGTAGAGCGTGAGACTCGGTAGAGAAAAATTGCTGCGATTTGGGCGTAAATTCGGCTCTAGTTCGACGGCGGAACTGCTACAAAATCACGCCCGAACGGGAGCAAAGCGTCTCCCGATTGGTAGCAGACTCGGCAATTTGTTGCAATTCGGTTAGCGATTTACACCAACACCGCTCTCAAATTTCGCCAGAATTTTTCCCAGATTTCTCCCAATTCGTAACAGTGAAATCTTTATTTAAAAAATATATAATACAAAAAAAATTTAATTTGAAATCAAATAACATTTTTTAAAATTTGCATTAGCCACTTAGTCGGTTCGTCCTTCGCTTATTAAGGCGCGCACCACAGCTTTCCAAGCTTTTCGGTCCTTGGCTATCCCATAGAACTATGAGTAACTTTTAAATTATCCATGTGTATTGAGCTCCTCGATGATACAACGTCTTCTTTTTTGACATCTAATTCAGGAACTCTTCTCTGAAATGTGCAGTATGTTATAAATTATGTATAATACTAATTAGTAATCTACAGTGCTCCACATAACTATATACCCACCCTAATTTTGTCGAATAACTCGAATACCTCCAGAAATGGTTTCAATTAGAAAATTATGCGCATTTATTATTAGTTTCATGTTACATTCACAAAATTCAACCAGAAACAACAATTTAAAAAATTTCGTCATTTTCACGAAAAAGTGAAAAAATTTTTCCACAAAACTATATACCCACTCAATTTTTTTTTTGCGTTTTTTCGATATTTTTTCGTATTTTCGAATTTTTTGCAATTTTATTGTTCTTTTTTAGACATGCCTTTTGAAAAGCCGCTCACCGACTTTGAAAAAGATAAAATTGTAGCAAAGCTGGCTCAAGTTCTCTCTTATCGACAGATTGGGAATGAACTGGAACGCAATTACTGGGGTTTATAGTAAAGAAGATTTACGATTGCAACAAGTATTTTCATTCAATTACGGATCTCAAAAAGGCAATCGTAGAAGCCTGGAAGCTTGTCGATCAACAGCTTCTTGACAACCTTTATTTATCAATGGACTGCCGAATTTTTGACGTAACACGACTCAATGGAGGTCCAGTTAATTACTAAATTATTTTTTGTTGAATTTTGTGACATGAAACTAATAATAAATGCGCATATTTTTCTAATTGAAACCATTTCTGTAGCTATTCGCGTTTTCGAGTTATTCGACAAAATTGGGGTGGGTATATAGTTATGTGGGGCACTGTATAAAACTTTCAAATTCAGTTGTGAGACAAAATAGCGTATAAAAAAATGAAATTCTAGAAGGTTTTTTTTAAAAATATTATCGGCGTTTTGATTTTGTTTACTTTTTTTACGCTGACATCACGTGACTACGAAAAAGACGTTAAAATTGCAACGCCGCATTAATACTAGTTTAACCTTAACGTTTAACCCAGAGCCCCATTGCGTCAAACAAAAAAGCTGAACGGATTAAATTCCCATTCATATTAATAATAATTTTGAGTGTTTGACCACAGGCAAACGAAAATAAACTCTACAAATGATCTTTAATATTCCGTGACTCTATTATGTTTTAGATCGTTTGCCTGAGTCAACTAGCCCAATTATAAATGAATAAATTTTACCTTCAAAAGAAACCGCAACCGAACGAAGTAGTGCTGCGTATTTCCATGGCGGGATAGTCATCTGAAACAACTATTCCTTATGGCAGAAGATTAACTGTGTGCGCACCTTCATGAGTATCTCTCTAATCAAGTGCCCTAATTGATTGAATATCGCCAACGGTGATTTTGTGACGAGCGTATATCTGATTCAAGGAAATGATCTAAATAGCATTAATTTTGTTGTACTCTATCAAGTGAATATCTTCAACCTCGAAGGGATCCGGTCCGTTCGCAACATATACAACCATACATATTTTGCCATATATTTAATACCTAATTCCTCGTTAAGCGATGACACAATTCGTTTCATTGTTCCGGAAGAATCTTTAAGAAAAAACATGTATTATTTATTTATAGACTAGTTTTATTAAAAACGAAAAGTAATAAAAAAAAATTGAAAAAAAATTTAAAAGAAAAAAAATTAAAAGTTCAGTTTAAATTTGCACTGCATTTGCGCTTTAGTAGAACTTCACTGACGTTTTCGGTAGGTGAATTGCCTGCGATTCTGCTATCAATTTATAGCAATTGGGCCCAAGTAAAAAAAGGTGTAAGAATTTCAAATGAATTGCTGTGGTTTGGGTGCTTGCGCCCGAATTGTACCGATTGCACATAGATGAGTGCTTACTTCTGCTCCCAATCGAGTGCAATTCGCCTCCAATTCGGGTTATGTGAATAATGGGAGCAAATCGGGAGCATCTCTGCACCAAATTTTGTGAATTTAGCCAAATTGCACCCGAACAAGTGTACTGCTCCCGTTCGGGAGTGTTTTTGCACCCGATCGGCCGCTTACGCCCGAATTGTAGCATTTCAATTCTACCGAGGACTTTTAATCTTAAGGTCAGGGGTTCGAGTCCCCTAGGTGGCTTGACTTTTTTGCAGTGTCAAATGGGGTGATTGCTCTTTGCAGTGTCTCATGCTGAATCAATGGACTATATTTTCCCTCAGTGGCTTCGGTTATGCTATAAAAAAGGTCCTCTGGATTATGAGCCCTGCGATATGAATATGCCAGCCACTCTCGTCCCGTTTGCGGATCAGTTTTTCACATGCTTTCACATTCGAATGTTTTCAGCCGTAAACGCGAACATTATCGCTTCGACGCCCCTCTAACTGAACGCGGACAAATCGTAGCGCAAACATATGGAAGAGGCTTAATCGCTGCGGGAATCCGGCCATACGAGATCTATTGTTCGCCGGATATGAAATCCATCCAAACCGCTTATTACTTGATCAAAGGAATGGACACTTCATTCACTTCGGTTGAATCGAAATCCGTTGAAATATGCAAATTCGAGGTTTTCAGATTTGCATTGAACCCGCGATTATGTCGTTTCGTCAATTGTATCCAAGAAATATTGATCAAATCCTATTAAGCCCTAAAATGGTTTATTTTGAGATATTCAAAGTGAGATCAATTCTTCAAATGTTTCAGTATTCCGGACTCGGATATCCGATCAATTTACAATACAAACCATTCAATGATATACCACAAAGTGAAACAATCGATGATTATATTCACAGAATTAACCGTTTTTATACGGAAGTAATTACAAAAATCGAGCAACCGTGAGATTTGAAGACATTTCGAAACGGAAATATAATAGAGAAAATTGGCAGAAGTGTTATTGTAATTGCTGATAATTGCATGGTCGAAATCACAAGAAATCGCGAAATTAGCACAATTAACGACATTTTGGACACGAAAATGTTGACGAGTATGCAAGTGAATACGATTCGAGTTACGTCGGATGATGTAAGCCTGATTGCATAGAAAATATTCAATTATTTAAAAACGGAACAAAAATGAAGAAAAACGGTGCTGGAAAACCAGCAATAAACGGAAAAATCGACGAATTTGGGGCAAATTTAAAAATAAAGAATTATCTGGTCCGCATACACGCAGGATGAAACATCACACAATTCATATACCGTATCACTCTCATTTAATTCCGCTCGTGTTCAGCCTATCTTTCTTTTTTTACCAATTTTATCTTTGAAATACTTCCAATTTGTTTTTCCTCTATTTTTGTAGGGCTTTAGTATTTCCTTTTTTTGGTCAAATTGTTAAGCACTTTTCCACAATTGGTCAAGTTTTCATCAATATCTTTTTTATTTTTTATTATTGTTTATTCGAGTACTAAAAAAGAATGATATATTCTGGACCCTACTTTTCAAAGTAATTTCTTCTATTTTAGGTGAAGCTAGTAAATCCTCCTATTCTTTCATTCACCCGCTGCCTATATGATGCCAAACCGTTTTTATGGAACAGTGCTCCGAAGAAGCTGTCGACTCCGAACCACCCCGTCAATGAATATTAATTCTTACATTCCTTTACCAATAAATGCGTCCCTATTCAATTCACTAGTTTTTTGTTTAGTATTTGTGCGATAAATGACTTCCGCGGGATTTGATATGCCCGCTTTCGATTCGCTTTCAACACGTTTCCCACTGATTCGTTTTCGCTTCTCAATTCGCCTTCATCCTATCGATTTTGTGAGAGTTTTTCGCATTTTTGTTCATGTTTCGTCTACGCGAGAGCAATTGTTGTGTTTCGACAGAGATCCTATTGGTCCCCCAATCAACCTGTAGAAACCAATCAACCTGTAGAACAAGCTGGGTTCCGCAAGGGCTTCTCGACAGTGGATCACATCCACTCTGACCAAAGACTGCTAGAAGTGGGACGAGAATATCAAATCCCACTCACACTTGTCTTCGTTGATTTCAAGAAGGCGTTCGACAGTGTTGAGCATTCAGCAGTGTGGCAGAGCCTAAGAGACCAAGGCGTTGAAGAAGCGTATATCCAGCTACTCCAAAGTTGTTACTCTGACTGTTCCACAAGCATCACGCCATTCCATCGACAGGTAGAGATACCTGTTCGAAGAGGAGTAAGGCAAGGTGACCCAATCTCGCCGAACCTTTTCTCCGCGTGCCTGGAGCAAGTTTTCCGCGAATTGTCTTGGAGTCAATTCAAAAACGACTCAGAAGACAATACGAACACTCCAGGATTACGAGTGAATGGCCGCAACCTTACACACCTGCGGTTTGCAGACGACGTCGTGCTCATAGCGCACAGTCCGCAAGCGGCATCCGAGATGTTAAGTGAGATGGTTGTGAGATGCGAACAAGTAGGGCTCCAGATTAACGCTGGAAAGACCAAAGTCCTACGTAACCCCTTCGCAGACTCCGCCAAGGTTACCCTAACACACCAGAATTCGGTCAGTATCATTGACGATGTTGACGAATACGTGTACCTTGGAAGACTACTCACCCCCAAAAACGAACCTGTAACAAAACCCGCGCACAGCTCTTCGATTCCATCGTTCTCCCAGCGCTGACTTACGGATCAGAGACTTGGACCTTCACCAAAGCTCTTGCCGAAAGAATCCGAATTAGTCACGCTGCGCTTGAGCGAAGGTTGGTTGGCCTCACGTTATCACAACAACGTGAACAAGATCTTCATCGAGAGGACATCCGCATCAAGTCGAAAGTTCGGGACCCCCTACACCACATCACGAAGAAGAATATGACCTGGGCTGGACACGTTGCTAGAAGAACAGATGGAATATGGACTACTCTTCTAACGGAGTGGCGGCCGTGGAATTGGACCCGGCCAAGAGGAAGGCCTCCCATGAGATGGTCAGACTCGCTTCGGAAGAAGATCACTACAAGAACAGCTGAAGACGGCCACTTTCATTTCATTTCGCATTGTTTTAGTTTTGCGCGTTTGTACGTTAAAATGCTAGAATGTAGTTCGTTCGATAACATCTTCATAATTGTGATGCCAAATCCGAGAAACAATGATCTGTCGATCAAAAGATCGTAAAATCGCAATCATCTTCTCGAACACATTGGTCTCGAACATGATCCACTTTTGAATAATCAAGCGATATTCATTTTCTTATGATCAAATTCGAACCATTCGACGAACAATTGTTTATTTCCTTTTTATCTCTGGTTCGTGTTCAATGATTCTTAGATCCGAGCAAAGCATTCTGTTTAATCAGCCGTGAAATCAGAGGGCATCATTGATCCTCCCATATATGGCCTTGTCACAGTAAAACTAATATGTGTGTGTGTGTGTGTGTGGTATCTTTTTGATTTCGATTATTGTTAATCTCAAATCAATTTTTCAATTATTCATTGTGAATAATATGTATTTTGCCGTTCTAGCGCACCTTTTCGACCATTCTCAATTTTCGCAATTTTAAGCCATTTTAAGGCTTAGTATCATTGATTTTGTGTCTCAACTCTTCGAAAATGTGTCATTTTAAGCAATTTTCAAAAATGGTAAAAAGGTCGAAGTGCGCTACCTTGAAAATGTGGTCGAAATGGTCGAGAAAAGTGCGCTAGAACGATGACTAAAAATAATCCCAAGGATCTGAGAATCTATGATTCGATAAAGCCCTAAAGCCTTTGACCAACCTATTACAAATATGTTTTATTCCACATTAGCAAATAAATTTTTAAAAATTTACAAACAAATTCAGTCGAAAAGAATACTTGGTCAAAAAATTTCCATTGCTCGGCGCTTTGCTCTCGGTTCGCTCAGATTCCTCTCCCGTCGAGGAACGCGTGAAAGACCATGCTTCACTTGATAATTCTGAAAAAATATTATATGTGAATATATAGACAATTAAAATAAAATACCTTATAGGCTTCATTGATTAAATTTCCTGGAGTGATCCAGGTATCAGCTGGATGTGAAGAAGCCTCGACAATTTCTTCTTCTATGCTGTCTCGATCATATTCCCTTCTGAGGATTGGATCTGTTGCTGTTGAAGCCACCATGATGCCAATGAGAGCGCGATCAGCAGCGTAGCATGGGCCTCCGGAGTCTCCGCCATCAATCGAAGAACTGGCCAAGAACCGTCCTCTGTAGTCCGTGGACTCGGAACATATCCGACCATGTCGATGAGTAATTTGCTGTCCATCTTTAGTCTCATGACTCAGACCGAACCCGATAAACGGCTCAAAATTCTTCGGTGGACGCATGATATAAGGATAGTCTTCGAAGATCTCCCTTCCGTCCACTGAGCGAAGAATCACAAAGTCGTGGTGAGTGTCGACAACAATGACCTACAATATATCGAATTAATTATTTTTTAAAATTTCTTTTAAGATACCTTCATTTTATGTCGAATACGGGGATTCTCCGCATGTCTTATTTCAACAAGACTGTGCTTATTGTCTTCATCATTCTTTGATTCGTCGTACTCTCGTAGTATTTTGTGTGACTTGTGTGCATATGTCACAACAGCCCTTGACGAAATAGGCGAAGCGCAACCACCATCAACGACAAGATCTCCTTTAAGTTCGACAGAAGTTTCCTCTTCGTCTTGAAGAGCTTTTTGTCCTCGAGGGATGAAAAACAGACGGTTGCGGAGCTCGTCTGCTAATTTTTCTGAAAAACCAGCAATAAATTGTTAGACCATTTAAAATATAATACCATTGAAGACGTAAGGCGACTCAGAACGCTCCCGATAGCCGGACAAATGCCCTAAAATGAATATTTTAAGTAAAAATCCCAAATGTTGTATAAAAACATAGAAATTAAAGATGGTTAATAAAAGAAAATAATTCAATCGTAAATCATACAAACCTTCGAAACTCAAGGAAGAATTAGGTCGAGAGGGTGCCTTGTCTGATTCCACAAAGAAATGAAGAGTTGGAAATTGCTCAGGAAGCAGGAAAGTCGTTGAAGAATCATTGACACTAAAAAATGAAATACAATCAGAAACAAATCAAACTGTAACTACCGACAGAATTTGCGGTGACCATTCACATCATAGGAAAGGGAAAGAATCGCATCGTCCGGAAGCAACAAGGCTGCTTTTATGGAGCTTTTAGTGAGCGTGTTATCCGGCAAATCCAATTCGATTTCTTTCTCCAACATCCTTATATTTATCGTTTGAGCCATTTTCGCGAAGAATAATCTGAAAACATAGAATTATTTGTTTACACGTAATCTGTAAACATGATTCAATTCGAGAGAGAGAGAGAGAGAGAGAGAGAGAAAGTAGGAATAGTTGTTAACTAAAAGTTAAAGAGAAAATAACAGTAGAGGCGGAATCTCTCCTTCCTCTGCATCTCTGGTCGCGCGTCACTCTCATCACCCTTCCACTCTAGCCCAACGCGTTTGCGTGTCGCGACGCGTGCGTCTAGTTCAACTACACAAATAGTTCATAATAATCTATTCCCTAAAGTCGAAAACGATATGAAAGATATGAAAAGAAAACCACAACAAAATTCAAAGTAGGAGACACTGTCAGAATTACAAAGTATAAAGCTATTTTTGATAAGGGATATCGTCCTAATTGGAGTACAGAACAATTTAAGATTTCTGAAGTTCTTCTTTCCCCAAAAGGACCAACAATGTATTCTATTAAAGATCTTGTAGATGAAGAAATCAAAGGAAAGTTTTATGAAGAAGAAATCACACTTTACAATAATGTTACTCAGGAGTACAAAATCGAGAAAGTATTGAAACATAGGACTAGAAATAAAGTAAAAAGAAATATTTGTTAAATGGTATGGATATCCTGATAAGTTCAATTCTTGGATTCCAGAGAAGGATCTTAGATGCTAACAACTTTAACTCTATTATTCTTCACTTCAACAATATTTTCACTCAGAATAAGACAATAACATTTAGTACTTTGAGGAATATTTTTATTAAATGAAGCTTTTATTGTAACATCAGGCCGAGATGCAATAATTCTATCATTCTGTTTTGATACATCAAATACTAAAAGTGGATAATAATAATAATAAACATCTTCTTCCATGAAAATGGAATCTTTCACTGATTCATAATAACTATTTCTGAATTCTTTAGCATAATTGTATTGTTGGACTGCATTGAATTTATCAAAGTCAAACTTCAGACATTCGTATGGATATCTTTCACTATTCATTTCAACATAGATTTCTTCAAGTCCACAATTATCAAATTTAGCAGCATTGAGATAATTGTTATCTCTTGCAGTCTGAAAAGAGAGAACAATATATTTTATTTTATCATATTTTGTTCCAAGTTTCCAAGTAAATTCACGATTACCATTAGGAATATTATAACTTTCAAATTGACGAGATATAAAAGGCATTTGAACTAATTTACTCCATTGAAGCTTATTAATAGTCATCTTGCAAGGGAGGTCATTTTGCTGTCCGTCTTAAAATTTTTTTATTTTTTGCATACAGATTCTTTAGCAAATTTCCAATCGAATGAACTCGGTCCCTACCTGCGCAAACTTCTAGTTATCGAGATATGGACCTTCAAAGTTTTAGCCCCTCCCCACGTGAATTTTGCATACAGATGTGCGGAAACTTGAAATGAAATAGTGGGATGTCTTATATCGCGCATATATCATGCTTCGGCAAGCAGTTGTGGTTTGGTGGTGTGTAGGTTATGTTGTCATGAGAATCTGTATGAAAAAAATTTTAAGACGGACAGCAAAATGACCTCCCTTGTTAGCAGTAAATTTAGTAGGATCTGTGGATGTAATAGAACTCTTGTTTCCTAGAGATCTATAAAGACTTAATTGGTGTTTTCTTCCGTAAACTATTTTATTATAACATTCAGCAAAGCCAAAAATATGAGTCAGTGGAATACAAAAAGTAAGGTTACCTTTTCTATTTTTTGTGTATTTATTTATTTTATAAGTCATGATATCCTTAGTCTCGAGGATCCAACCAAAAGTATTTTGTTTATTCAATGTGGAAGAATAAGTAAGAAGGTCTTTCATAAGTGAAGCTCTTCCAGGATCAATGATATTTTCAACTTGCATACCATCCATACTATAAGTTGCTCTATCAAATAAAAACATTGGAGCATTATTAGTCAATGTAACTTCATCACCTTCAGCTAAAGCTGTAGAATCTAATTTAGTCAAGGAAGCTTCTAAGTAGATGTAAGATTTATGTAGTAGAAGGTATTGATCACAAGTTTCTATGACAAAATTAATTTCTCCATGTTGATTTAAACTACTACCAGATGAAGGAAATATACTAACAAGATTTTCTTTTTGAATTGATGTATCTTGAATAATTGGAGCATCGATGTTGAGTATTCTATCGAAAGCTTCTATCAGTCCAGACATTTTATTTTAATTTATTTAAAATAAATTTTCTGAAGTAAATGAATCTATTGCAATCCTATTTCTTTTTAACATTTATTCATTATGATATTTTGGCGGCTATTATATGTTCTTCTGATGCTCCAGTTCAATACTTTAAATTACCAAAATTACACAAATGTAATTACCACAGACAATTGAATGAAAAATCAAAAGTAGTAAGTTATGAAGCCTTCAAACCGAACATTATCGAATATTCAAGTGAAGCTAAATTGCGTAAGAAATTAGTTAGTGAAGTATAAATGTATACAGATTTTTCCGGATATGAGCACTTAGTAGAAAAGGAATTGAATTATCGAAGTATAAGTGTTGCAGAATGTAGAGAATGGATTGCAAACAACAAATGTGAATATGGAAGTTTAAGGAAAGGTAAAGAAGGAATATATAGTACAAATAATAATGTGAATGAAGATTATCCAAATCGATTTACTAGTTTCTTTACAAGTAAAAGATATTACAAAGAAAATTGTGTAATTATTGAAACTAAAGTATATTCACACTTCAATCAAAGTGGGCCATCTAATGTTCTCTCCGACTTAAGTAATTGTAAATATCAGGATGGTTATTGTAGTTCAAAAACTAATGAAATTATGATTTGGGATGTCAATACTTCACAAAATTGTCAATATATTTCAATTGGAAAATTAAAAGGAATCATGAATAATGGTCTTTGGATTAATAGTCAAAATCAAATTGCTTTAAGTCTAAATAAGAGTAAAGTAATCAGAGATTGTAATCTTGACCTAACAATAAGTGAAGAAGGTTTTGCAGTACGTCAACACGTTGTTCGTTTATTTACAACTGAAGTAATGTGTGATATCTTTAATGAACATACTTCTCTTCTTGAAACACTAATAAGAGAAAATCCTAGAAGATACATTCAAAAACAACTAAATCATTCAGCAATACGGGTAAGATCAATGGATACTAATGACGATATTATTCAAGTGACATTTTGTAAAGAAATTGATGATTCTGACATTGAATTTGTTGATCTAACACATTTTGATGGATTCAAGACAAGTTTAGCTCTTACTCAAGGACAAATACCCATTAGAATTAAACAATTTAGAGACAAGATTTGGTATTACAAGAACGATCCAAGTGGGGGAATAATTTCTAGTAGCCTAGCACTACATCCTATGGCTAATAATGTTACTAATTTCAAAAACTTTGAAGAGTTCGATCTAAATTTCTTAGATGATAAAGTAATCTTTCATGAACATATTCTCCTTGATACAAAAACGCATATAGAGGAAGAATTAATTAATAAGATGCGAGAAAAAGCTGATAATAGCATTCAATTACACTCAAATAGTCAAGATGGTATGATTCCTCATGAAATATTAGATGAAGTTTCTAGCATTTTTGAAATGTATTACATTAGAATTTGGAGGATTTATGTAACTATCGGTGTTACTCTCTTTTACATATTTATAGGTAGATCTATTTGGATGGTCCTTTCTCCAAAAACATTCTTTGATTCAAGAAAAAATAGAAATCCGAGAAATAGGAATCCAATTTTTGTGAGAGCAAAAAATCATTTCCAAGGTGAAGATTACCAAGGTGTTAAACTGCAAGATTTCAGAAATGAACATAGAAAATCTCTTGTTGTAGACTAAATTTTTGTATCTTTAAATTATTTTAATTATTATTATTCTTTAATAAATTATAATCTTCTACAAAACGAAATGAGATTCTTCAATTCTGGTGATTCTTCAAAATGTGTTATCATAAGTCCAAAAGAGAAAGATAAAATAGAATTGTCTCAAGATATTAAACATGAACAAAAAATAGAAATCAATGAAAAAGTAAAAGTCAAGGAAGGATCTGCAAGACATTCACTTATTAGTGAAGGAGGAAGTATTACTCAAAAATCAATGAATACTACAAATGAAAAATTGAATACTAATAGATCAGAAGGATTGAATAAAAATAATGCAGCATTTCTTAGAGCTCTAAAGAAGGGATCTAAAATACCTAGTGAAGGATCAGGATTCAAAAGAATTTAATTTAAATTACTTTTTTTTACGTTTTTACATTCGTTTTTGCGTAGCAAAACCTTGAAACTACGTTTTGAAGTGTAATTCTATATAAAGATCACATTTGTTAAGTCAATAAGGTTATTTTTATCATCCACTAGTTTTAATGTTAAAGTATTACAATTATTAACACTTCGATGATAAATTAAGTTTATTGGTTCATATTTTACTGAAGACAAATCTAAAGGAAACTTGCAAATGATATTACTTTGTCGTTCATTAATGAAAGTATCACAAATAAGATTGCATGATAGATAAACGAAATCGGAGATTCCTAGATCTTTCGATCTGACAAAAGGCTTATCATTAGAACAATCCAAAATTCCATCAATCTTCACAACACTAATACTACTAATTTTTAATTCCTGTGGAAATTGAAATGTTTTTTCATTTGTTCGATATATATTTAAGAAGAGACTTGTCATTCTTAATTCTTATAATTTCCGAAGGAAATCAAGAAAGTATCGTAATTTAAATACTTTTATATTTTTCAAACATTTTAAATACCTAGGTATAAATTTAAAAATGAGCGATTTCAACAAACCAAAGGTTCAAGGAGTCTCCGACTTGGAAGCGATGGAATCGCTATCGCAGTTAGAGGTACCAACATATTTGACTAACTAACAACTTCAGTACAACAATTAATGAGTGGCGACGTTCTTTCTTCTTTATCAGATCCAGAAAATGTCACGGCTATTTTCATTGTTCTTTGTTATTTTTTTTTCCATTGAATTACATTCCTGAAAATGAAATCAGTAGTGAATGATAATTCTTCTAAAAGTACTCAAACAGGTAGTTTTTATAATTTGTCTTTAACAATTTTCGTGATATTTAGCTCGAACAACTTTTGCGTCGGCTAAGGACCAATTCCTTGGCAAAATGGGTGATGCGAATCAAGCCAGACGTGATCAAACTATCATCACAAGTAAGAGCAAAAATGTTTGCCGCCAGCAGGGGTCGAACCTGCGACCTTGGGCTTATTAGACCCACGCTCTAACCGACTGAGCTATGGCGGCTACGCACCGCCCGCTGTCAATTGTATAGAAAAAAGGCGCTGGATACGCGAGGCAAGAAGAGGCCCAGGGCGAACTCTCAACTGGTAAACGCAACGCGTCTCTCGCGGGCCTCCTTAGCTCAGTTGGTAGAGCGTGAGACTTTTAATCTTAAGGTCAGGGGTTCGAGTCCCCTAGGTGGCTTGACTTTTTGCAGTGTCAAATGGGGTGATTTCTCTTTGCAGTGTCTCATGCTGAATCAATGGACTATATTTTCCCTCTGTAAGAAATCGTTCGTTTCTTAGCGGCTTTATTGAATAGAATAATAGAATATGTAAACAATAACAGTAACAGCAACAGCAAGAATCACACCAAATACAGCCCCGAGCGACCCCTTTATATATGCGGCCGTTTTAATGTGCCAGACAGCTTAATTGGGCAAAAAGGAAAAAATCGTTATGATGTCATGGGAGAACAGAAAAAAATCGTTATGATGTCTAGGAAAACAAAAACGGTATGACGTCATTTATCATCGTTCGCGACGTCGCCATTCGCGGCGCCATGTGTGTCGCCGCGACACTCGGGGGAGCAACCGACAACGAGGCAGGAATCGTCGTTTCAGCAGGCCAAGAACCAGTAGGAGCAGTAAGAACGTGGCGATGGTGAGGGCGGTGGTTTTGAGAGCTTGGAGCGTGGCTTTCCAGGGGAGCAGGTTCAGAAGTTGATCGGTCAGCGTGTCGGAACTAGAGCGTTCGTGAAAGGTAGCAAACCCGGTTTTGTCAATCTGAAACAGAAAAGATTGTTCGAGGGTCCCGAACAAACCGATGAACGTGGTGGTGGAACCACATTGGCAAGAGCAGTTCAGTGTGACGTTTGGAAAATCGCTGTGAAACTCGAGCCGGTTGACGGTGCCTTCTGCGGAGCATCGCAGATAACCGAGCCAGTCATTGGGACATCGAAGAACAGCATTGATCGTACGGGGGGCCGTGCAACGGACTGCCAACTTTGCTCCCGGGAGGCAAGAATAGCATCCGGTTAGATTGAGGAAGGTAGCTTTGCAAATGGCATTGTCTTGTACAGCTCGGAAACGATGTTGGTCAGCGGTGAGGTGCAACGTGACGACACTCGAACTGGTCATCCTTGATCGTATGCGGTTTCCTTGGGTCTCGAATCGGAATCCGTGTGTATTGATTGGCAATCGGCGGTTATTCACTATTGCTTTCATCGAGAAGAAGCCACACGTGCATCTCACTTGAGTACCTGTGCTTCGGCAGTGGCATTGATCTTCGTTGAACCGACAATTGAAATTTCGGGCATCCGCAAGGGACGCGCACTGGAAGGTTCCAATGGTTCCAGCCATTGGCACTCCGGGCAACCCCAGAGCTGACTGCGTGAAGGCAAATGCTGGCGTTTCGTCGTGATGGGCCGGATGCGATCGAATGAAAGCTGCTCCGTGGAGAGGGATTGGTGGTATCGAGAAGCCAGTCCCCGTTATGGTAAGATTGGTCTGCGGGATCTTCAGCGGGAGTCCATCACGTAGTTCAACCCGCCATGGTTTTCCCTCATTAATTTGCACTTCTGCGTCGATAGCGGTAGACCAGGTTGGGCACCGAAAGACTTCGTAGCTTGTAGTCGATGTCGGTCGTGCATAGACTCGATGAAAAATGCATCCGGGAGAGCAGAAGAAACAGCCACAGGCAGGACATCCACAGGCTTCCTGACATCTCGTGAAACCGGGGGCCGCCTTCGCCTCGTTGCTCAATTCCGGCAAATCGTCATCAACTTTGGTCGTCTGGCACTTGTCTGCGGAACATGACCCTGCGTGGGCACAGCGATGACTCGATTCAGATGCGAGCGTATAATCGCGACTGTAGAACACCGTCTCTTGATTGCAGTAGGAAACGATGCTGATCGCCCGCACTTGAACTGTGTAGGCAAGGTTCCCACTAGCGTCGTGCAGCTCAAAACAAGCCATGGTTCCGTTCGGTCGGACGTGCGTGGTGGTCACATCCTTGATGGTGCAGATCGTGGTGTCATCCTGACGAATGCAGACGCTTTCATTGGCTTGCATGGTAGCGACTTGCGAACATCCTTCCATCAGTGGTACAATCAGCAACATAATTGTCAGAAAAATGGCATTCCGGTGACGAAGTCCGCGAAACCTTCGGACGTTGAATCTGCCTCGGCTTGGTCGTGGGCATCGTGAAAAGATCCACCGAATGGGAAGTGCGATAACAATCCATGCGACTCGAAGAAGCAAACGCACAGTGGTCCAGCATTTCTGTAGCAATGTGCATGTCGAGCAGAAAATGTTGAGAATGCACATCATGACGAGAATTCCGATGACTGATTGAAGCTGTTGAGACTGAGCTTGCAGCTGGCTGGTCACACTCCACAAGGGTTCCAGGTATGAGGTCCGGTCTTCGATCGTCGTATTCATCATTGTGGGACTGTTGATGAGCTGTTGTTCCGCATTAGACGTAGCAAAAAACGCTGCCACAAGCAGGACCAACCCGGTAGAGTTGATTGTGTTCCGAAGTGGTCGAGGGGATCTTCTGGTAGGCTTCGCCTCTTGTGACGTGCTATTGGTTACTTTCGGCGCTGAGCGTCCATCCTCTTCTACAGTAGCGTCTTCGAGCGGGAACATTTTCTTGAACGGGTGCTCTTGGGTTCGTCGAGTTCTTCCGTTTATCACTTTGGCAGAACGATCCTTGACTTCAACGATCCGGCCCATTGGCCACTTGTGAATGGGTACGTGCTCTTGTTCTATGAGTACCACATCGTCGATCGTCGGTTTGTGCTCCGTTGCTTTCGTCTGGCGGTGTCCGGTATCTCCACGATCTCGCAGAAGTTGTGTGTACCGTTTTGTCCAATCCTTGAGTAGAAACTGGACGATAGAGCACGAACTACTCCAGCTTTCAAGCAATTCCGTTTTTGTGTGCGGAAGATGATCGCAGTCCTCGTGTGGTTCCAAAGTGAACACAAAGGATTTCACGGAAAACGGTAGCACAATGTCGATTGGCCGCAAGGGTTGCATCTCATTGGCGTCGCTGGGAATGTAGGTCAGTGGACGCCGATTGATGATGGCCGTAGTCTCCGCTAACACCGTCCTTAAGTCATCTTCGTCCATGAGGAGTCTGCCCGTTCCTGACTTCAGCAGCGTATTCTTGAGGATTCCCACCATTCTCTCGTAAACTCCTCCGCTCCATGGCGAATGTGCCGGAATGAGTTTGAATTCGGGTAATGTCGTCGAGTTCAAAATCGAGTTTCGCTTCCCTTGTAGATTGACGTATTCACAGACTTCTTTGAGCATCACAAACTGTTTCGCGTTGTCGCAGATAATGGTGTGTGGTGTTCCAAAGGTCGCCGCAAGACGTCGCAAGGCGTTCAGTACCGTCGTTGTCTTCATGTCCGTCACCAATTCCGTTGATACATATCGTGATCCCAGACAGGTGAAGAGAAGTATCCAGGCATCCGCGGGTCCCGTTGAACCTTTGATCTTGACTGGTCCACAAAAATCCATTCCAGTATCCTTGAATGGTCGGATCGGTTGCGTTCGCGACTCCGGGAATTGAGGGAAGTCCGGCTGCCTGTATGGCTTCAATCGACGGCGTTCACATTGTCGGCACCGGGCGAGGATCTTCTTCACGTAGCTTCTCCCTTGAGTTATCCAAACAATTTCACGAATTGCCGCTAGCGTATATGACGTACTGGCGTGGCCGTGACGTTCGTGGATATCGAGGACGAAGAGTTCGCCAACTCTACCATGGGGAAGGTAGATCAAGGGCTTCTTGATTCGTCCATGAAATATCCATAAGTCATCTTGTCTCTGCAATCGGAGGTTGCGAATGATGTCGTCCGAAGGGGGATGTTCTTGTTGGGCCAGCTTGAACGCGGTTCTCCGACTCTTCGTGGCATAGGATTGCATTGAATGTTGTCGCCTTCCGAGGAAATAAAATATCGTCATCAGAACACGGATCAATCGGTGAAACGATCCGTATCGCGTGACGTCGATTATGGGTTCCTCCTTCGTTGTCGCACATGTGGTGTGAATGGGAAGCGTCTGAGGGTCTGGTAACGGTCCTTGCTCGCTGAGAAAAGGCGCTCCCGTGTTCCACAGTTTCGACGATTTCAGTTCTTCGAATGCCAACCCACGAGAGGCAAGGTCGGCCGGATTGTCAATGCCTGCGACGTGCCCGAAGAAGAATTCCTCGTCGATTTGATGGATTATTCGTGCACGATTCCTGACGAACTTCGAACCAGTGTTATTGAACAGCGAGTCCAACGTACACTTGCTATCCGACCACAAGTAGATGTGTCGAAGATCCATCTTCAGTTCTCTCTTGATGTTGACTGCGAGTTGGGTTCCAGTTTGAAGAGCCAGCATTTCCAATTGTGGGATTGTCAACTTCAATTTCAACGGTGCAACACGAGTCTTGGCCATGAGAAGAACAGTTTCGACCGAGTCTGCCGCTTTTCTTCGCAGATAAGCAACCGTGCCATAGGCGTCCATGCTGGCGTCTGAGAACACATGAAGTTCGATGCTTCCGTTGCCCGTAGTCGAAAAGTAGCGCCGAGGAATTTTCCATGCTTCTCCTTTCCACTGATCCGCGATTTTTTCCCATTGTCGTTGTTCATCGGCCAACAATGGACTGTCCCATGTATGCGACTTTGCCCAAAGCTTCTGATAAAAAAGCTTCGCGAGAAGAATTGTCGGTGCGAGCAGTCCCAGTGGATCGTAAGAACTTGCCGATTGCTCAAGTACCTTCCGCCGTGTCATCAGCGTGGTCGTCGTGATTTGTGGCGGTTGGAGTTCAAAGCAGTCAGTAGTGGTGTTCCATCGTACTCCGAGGATTTTTTGTTGCGGGTCTTCTGGGTCATTTCTTTCTTTCGCAGCGAAAATTGCGTTAGCCTCCGTGGAATTGCTAACGAATTGACAGAGATTCATGGCAGCATCTGCGAATACCTTCTTCGACGTCTCGTAGAATAGTTTTGCCTCCTCGACACCCGATACTTCGCCAAACACGTTGTCCACGTAGAGGTTCTCCACCATTGCACGAGCCATTGGATCAGGTTGCGATTCCAAGTGAAGTCGTAGAGTAGCGTTCAGCAAGTACGGTGAAGCCTTGAGTCCAAATGGTACTCTCGCGAACCGAAAACAGATTGGTGGTTTTGTTGGATCTGGTTGCCAGAGAAAACGCGTGGCATCTCGATCCTGGACATTCAGAGTCAGCTGCAGAAACGCCTTCTCGATATCGGCCGAAATCACGATCGCTGGACGTCGACACCGCATCAATACTCCGCAGATCTCCGGCAACAACTTCTGGCCACAATACATCACGTCGTTGAGCGAATTGTCTCCTTTCCTCATCTTGGCGGATCCATCAAACACGATTCTCACTTTGGTCGACTTGCTCTGTTGCTTGATGACAGGATGATGGGCCAAATAGTGCATGATCGGTCCATCCGTTTTGGATTCCTCTTCGACAACTTCAATGAAACCTCGATGGAGTTGTTCGTCGATAATTGCTTGGTATTTTTCCAACAGCTCTGGATTTTGGTTCAGCTTCTTGACGGCGGCCCTCATTCGATAAAACGCAAGCGCACGATTGACCGGTACTGCTAAACTGGTGTCAATGAACGGCAATCGAACTTCGTATCTTCCATCCGAACCCCGTGTGGTAGTTTCTCGAAAGAAGTCTTTAGCGATCTCTTCATCCTTTGTCAATAAGTGTCGCATAGTCCCCATTCCTTCAACTTCCCAGAATTTTTGAAGCGTACGTGTGATCGCGTCGTTGCTTTCCGTTTCAGCCGGTGTTTCGTTCAGTCCCAATAGCGTGGTGAAATGGTGCTCGTTGCCCGATAGAAGCGGTCCACATTCCGTTTGATGAAGTTGCAATCCATTCGGTAATCCTGTGGTGGAGACATTTCCCAACAGCTTGTGCATCCAATCCATTCCAATCAAGATATCCACTTTAACTCCAATCCGTGGTGCAATGAAGTCTGCTTGCTCGAGTAGCCGATGCCACTGATCTCGTGAGATTTCAGACGTGGTGATGTTCGACGAAATGAACTCGATTTCGCATAATCGGAGCGCAACTTCTTTCTCTGGCAGCTGACACGTGATGGTGTAGACATTCGATGTGAGGTGTTTGTTCTCCTTGCTTGCAAACGTCGCCACCGTCAAGCTTGTCCGCTCAGTAGGCGCAATCTTGAGTTTCCTCACGAATTCGGTAGTGACATAACTCAAATTGCTTCCCGAATCGAAGAAGATGGTGGCCTTGTGCTTTGCACCGCCGTCGTCGATGACTGGTAACTGCGCCGTCAGCATCAAGCATTTTCTGTTTCCAACCTTTGTCTCCTTCCGATCATCCTTTTCTTCCTCGGAATCTGACTCGACGGTCGGAGTCACATCAAACTGCTCGTCCTCTGGTGGTCGTCCTGGGGTATCGCTGTGACTCACCGTTGATTGAACGTCGGCCGCGCCCGCTGCTGCTTCGGCCACATAGGTGGTGTGGTCTTGTTCCTCTTCCAACGCAGGGATATCTTCTGCTTCAATCATATTTGTCTGGTATGACCGTTGTCCCGAGTTGTGGCCCTGTCGATCTTGTGCTTGCGGGGGACGAAACCCATTGTTCTGCTGTTGCCCTCCACGACGCCATGGTGGGATCGCGTGTGTCGGTAACGGAATCAGATTTGGGTTATCCGAATACTTGTCCCGCCGTTCGTTCCGTCGAAATCCGCCGGCTCCTTCCTCACGTCGACGATGGCACATCGACTGATGGTGTCTTCCCCGACAGGATTTGCATCGATCAGGACAAGCCGCTGCTCGATGGCCTCCGCGCAGACATTGATAGCACAAATTCAACTCCCTGCATCGATCCCGTCTGCTGACGTTGTCGGGATATGTCCTACACGATTCCGGTGCATGCATCATGTTGGTCCTGACGCAGAATGGGCATGGCTGCGGTTCTCTGCCAGTTGCTCTCGGTCCTTGACCATGTCGTCGCTGCTGCTCTGCGTCTCCTCGATGGTGACTGCGATGATGCTGTCCCGAACCTTGATGTTGCGTTGCCATGGTGGTCACTCGATCCTCCGCTCGATCGTTTACAATAGCCGACACCAAGCTCTCCGTTTGCGAGATGTCGCGAATCATCTCCAAAAGCCGTTCCGCATCCGGTGGCTGACTACGCGGGTTTGCGTACAACTTTTGAATGATTCTCTTGGGGAGCTTCGCCTCAATAAGAGATGCCGTTGTCATATTGTTCATATTGCATCCAAATGAGACCAGCTGCCGAATCGTGCTCACCGTTCGGATGTAGAAGTTGTGCAAATCCTTTGGCTGGTAGTTGTTCCCAAGAACTGGTAGCTCGCGGATCCTCTTGAAAAGGGTTTGCTGTAGTCTTGTCTGACCGCCGTACTGATCTTCCAGGATACTCCATGCGATCGGATAGTTGCTCGCCGTTGATCGCAATGTTTTCACCAAGTCCGCTGCCTCTCCGCGCAATGAGGACTTCAAGTAGTACATCTTCGTCGTATTGCACTGCACCTGGCTCCCGATAAGATTCTCGAATCCTTCCTTGAATTCGAAGTAATCTTCTTCTCTTCCGTCAAACGTAGGCAAGCGTATTGTGGGAAGAGGTATGCCACTCCCGATGATACCCGTATACTGTGGTTGTCGTTCTTCTGGTGTATTCCAATTTTGTCGATCTGCTCCGTCGCGGCCTCCCTGTCCGTCGCGACCTCCATGTGTGTCTCCCGCCAATTGTGGTCTTGCGTCGCCGAGCCGTTCCGAAGCTGCTCCCGTCGTACGGCCTCCAAAAATTCCCCATGTCGATCGCTGCCCAGCAGCTTCCCGGTTTCCCATCCTGTACTGTTCCCGATTGTTTGGTTTGATATCGTGTGTTTCTTTCGCGTCGTGTTCCGTCTTCTCCTCGCGCTGTGTTTGTTGTTCCTCCAGCTCTTCTTGAAGATGATCGTAGTCTGAGAATGTCGGATAGTCAGACTTCATCGGCTCCAACTTCATCGCTCGTTCAACTCCTTTGTGGTATAGCTGCTCCAATAAAACCACCTTCGCTGTACACCTTTCCATGGTGTCTCTGTAATTCCCATATAGCGCGACGTACCGCTCGAACTCCTTCGTCTCTGCGCTGTCTTGACGTTGCAATCGTCTCCAATCCGTGTCCAATTTCTTCAACCGCAAGACATCCATTGTGGTCTTGTCCGTAAGATCCAAGATGTCACTCATCAATTCCGTCAGCTCCTCGTAATCCATCTCTGCGAGGTCTTCTGCTGTCGGTAGCTCTCCAATATCCTCATGATAATGCTCCAAGCGTCGTTTGACGATTCCAATAGTTGAACGTATTCTTGAACTCATTGTTGATTGCGTGGGTCGTTCCAATGTTCCAGAAGATTGCCGATTCTCACCAATCACAGCTGGGTCACCATGTAAGAAATCGTTCGTTTCTTAGCGGCTTTATTGAATAGAATAATAGAATATGTAAACAATAACAGTAACAGCAACAGCAAGAATCACACCAAATACAGCCCCGAGCGACCCCTTTATATATGCGGCCGTTTTAATGTGCCAGACAGCTTAATTGGGCAAAAAGGAAAAAATCGTTATGATGTCATGGGAGAACAGAAAAAAATCGTTATGATGTCTAGGAAAACAAAAACGGTATGACGTCATTTATCATCGTTCGCGACGTCGCCATTCGCGGCGCCATGTGTGTCGCCGCGACACCTCAGTGGCTTCGGTTATGCTATAAAAAAGGTCCTCTGGATTATGAGCCCTGCGATATGAATATGCCAGCCACTCTCGTCCCGTTTGCGGATCAGTTTTTCACATGCTTTCACATTCGAATGTTTTCAGCCGTAAACGCGAACATTATCGCTTCGACGCCCCTCTAACTGAACGCGGACAAATCGTAGCGCAAACATATGGAAGAGGCTTAATCGCTGCGGGAATCCGGCCATACGAGATCTATTGTTCGCCGGATATGAAATCCATCCAAACCGCTTATTACTTGATCAAAGGAATGGACACTTCATTCACTTCGGTTGAATCGAAATCCGTTGAAATATGCAAATTCGAGGTTTTCAGATTTGCATTGAACCCGCGATCATGTCGTTTCGTCAATTGTATCCAAGAAATATTGATCAAATCCTATTAAGCCCTAAAATGGTTTATTTTGAGATATTCAAAGTGAGATCAATTCTTCAAATGTTTCAGTATTCCGGACTCGGATATCCTATCAATTTACAATACAAACCATTCAATGATATACCACAAAGTGAAACAATCGATGATTATATTCACAGAATTAACCGTTTTTATACGGAAGTACATAATTACAAAAATCGAGCAACCGTGAGATTTGAAAACATTTCGAAATGGAAATATAATAGAGAAAATTGGCAGAAGTGTTATCGTAATTGCCGATAATTGCATGGTCGAAATCACAAGAAATCGCGAAATTAGCACAATTGACGACATTTTGGACACGAAAATGTTGACAAGTATGCAAGTGAATACGATTCGAGTTACGTCGGATGATGTAAGCCTGATTGCATAGAAAATATTCAATTATTTAAAAACGAAACAAAAATGAAGAAAAACGGTGCTGGAAAACCAGCAATAAACGGAAAAATCGACGAATTTGGGGCAAATTTAAAAATAAAGAATTATCTGGTCCGCATACACGCAGCATGAAACATCACACAATCCATATACCGTATCACTCTCATTTAATTCCGCTCGTGTTCAGCCTATCTTTCGTTTTTACCTATTTTATCTTTGAAATACTTCCAATTTGTTTTTCCTCTATTTTTGTAGGGCTTTAGTATTTCCTTTTTTGGTCAAATTGTTAAGCACTTTTCCACAATTGGTCAAGTTTTCATCAATTCTGTCGTTGTTATTTATTCGAGTACTAAAAAGGAATGATATATTCTGGACCCTACTTTTCAAAGTAATTTCTTCCATTTTAGGTGAAGCTAGTAAATCCTCCTATTCTTTCATTCACCCGCTGCCTATATGATGCCAAACCGTTTTTATGGAACAGTGCTCCAAAGAAGCTGTCGACTCCGAACCACCCCGTCAATGAATATTAATTCTTACATTCCTTTACCAATAAATGCGTCCCTATTCAATTCACTAGTTTTTTGTTTAGTATTTGTGCGATAAATGACTTCCGCGGGATTTGATATGCCCGCTTTCGATTCGCTTTCAACACGTTTCCCACTGATTCGTTTTCGCTTCTCAATTCGCCTTCATCCTATCGATTTTGTGAGCGTTTTTCGCATTTTTTCCATTCTAAAAATCAGAATCCAGTTTTATTCTCATTTCAATTAAAAAAAAACTTAGAGAAGATGGTATCTTAATTGATTTTTGACGTTTTCATTATGAAATTAAAACTGAAAGTTTTTGGCATTTTTTTAAACAAAATATATTTCAAAGAAGCATTCCTTTTCATAATCTGGGATCTTTCACACACCATTTATTCAGCAGTTTCTTGTTTTTTTTTTAATTTTATGAAAATCCATTTGAAATTGAATGGTCCGTGAATGAAAAATCAACCTGAACAGAGTTTACAAAAAATTTTTTAAGCTTGAAATTTTGTGACGCGAATTTCGAACAAAAAGTAACACTATAATAAAAAACTGATCGAAATCATAGTGGTCCGTTGAAAAAAGGGGCTACCAGGCTCAGTTGCCACAAGACCCTGCATTATGTTCCTTTAATCGATTATTTTTTTTTTAAATTTTGTGCTTTCCTCAAAATTGCTATGTAAATTTCTTGATATTCGAATATTGTAAAATATTCTACAAAATTTGATTTGCCAATTTCGATGAAAATTTACCACCAAATTCGCACCAGCATTCTTTCTTTCATCGCCTCTAATTGAATGTGATTTTACGGGCCGAATGATTCGGACCCACGAGTAACTTTCACTAGAGAATCATCAAACAAGATAGTTGATTCACATAATAAAAATGTAAGCAACCACAATTAGGCCGTAAATGGAAAAAAACGAGATAAAAGCAAAGAGGGGCGATCGAAGCAAGCAACCGAATCAAAAAAACACGTTCTTCACGAATGCATTCTTTGGCAGTCATTTTCCAAATTGCACTCATCCGACGGCTTCTCAGAAAAAAAAAAATGATGAAGCCTTCTGCTTCTTCTTCTTCTTTTCGGTTTCTTACTATTCAACGCATACTTATATTTATGAGTTCACATTTATCCAGTCCCATTCATTTATAACTGTTCTTCGTCTCTCGCTAATTGTTTTTTGGCATCTTTGAAGAAACTTGATTCGCTTCAAAAACGAATCATCATAATCCCATTTGTATGTGAGATTTGCATCAACATTTCTTGATGCGTTTTCGTTTTTCATTTGATTTATTTCCACCAATACTGTGGCCAATCAAATAAATAATTCGTCTTATTCGATTCTCTTTGTTCGCGATTTGAGATATGAACACGGTTTTCTCAAATAAAATACATTTATTTTTTTCCCCGCCCGTGTTTTTTTCTAATAATTTATGGATCTGCTTTTTTTGAAAAATCCGATGGAAAAGGAATTTGATAGAACAAAAATTGACAAAAAAAAATTAATTTTCGAAAATTTCGAGAATCGGCTCTTTAAATAAATAGTAAATCATATTCAAATTATTTTTAGTCGAATAATTTTTTCTATATTTGAATTTCGCGCGCATTTATCAAAATTAGAGTCGGGATAAAAACGGAACCGGTTTGAGGATTTTCTTCATTTTCCGGTAACTCAAAAACCAAAATCCGATCCTACCAAATAATTCTACGGATCAGATTGTTAAAATGTCGGATCCAGCGGATTGTTGTCCGAATCCGAATTGCTTCGGACCTTGACTTGATCCATTTTTCGGATCTGTTCCAAAAAAAATTTGTTCAATTCGGATCCGATGGGCTTTGAGATATCAGTTTTTGGGCGAATTCGTCAATTTAAAATTTCCACAAAAAATTGAAAAAAGAAAAAAAAAGTTCTTAGGCAAATGATATGCAGTTTTGACGGCCCATTGAGTTTTTTTTTTTAATTATTTTTAAATAATCTCCTCTTTTTTTGCAGCAAATTTCAATGTTATGTGTAATTTTCATACATATCGTTCATTGTAATCAAACATTCTGCAAAAAAACCGATATTCTATTGAACTTCCGATTTTACAATGTTCGGATTCAATGCATCTTCTCTACATCCTGAATATCTCCTTATGAATCGCATTAAAAAAAGAACTCGATTACGATTCATATTTAATATATAAAAAAACAGTGGGAATTCGCCTACCGTACTACGGATTACCTGCGAATCAAAAAAACTCATTGTAATTCACACGAGATGCCTCGTTTTTTCGTTTGATATGTTTATAAAATTATAGTTTGAACGAGGTTTTCTCAAGAGAATCCAACGAAATCAAGGTCATACCGTTTATGGGAAAATCGGGAAAAAATTTTTGCCGGAATTGTCGAGTTTTTGTTTTGAAAAAAAAAACACCGAGAAAACTGAGAAGATGGCAAAAAAATTTAAATTAGATGAAATATCGAAAATGTTATAGTCTGAACCATTTTCAATCAATTTTTTGTCATTTTCCCAGTGGCATTGGGTTTCGAAAGAAATTGATCTCAAAATTCGAGCGGAAACCCACCAGAGAACCAAATAATCAGGGTGAAATCCGCAAAAATGTCGAGTACTATGCAGATTTCAAAAAAAAAACTAGTTTTAACGAGTTTTATGAGTTTTTTTTTTCAAAATCTGCTTGACACCACTACATAAAGATCGTTATCCATCAGAAACCGATGGTAATGATCCAATCTTCAAATATAATAATGATCCAATCTTCGAATTTTGAAAACCATTCTTTGATATTGATTAATTTCTGGGTTTCCCTCATGTACCTTTAAACATCTACAATTATTTTTTGCTCCAAATATTTCCTTCCAATTTATTCTGAAGATTTAGGTCCGACATCTCGGGAGAACCGAGAAGGTCCCTCTCATATTTGATCTTTTTGCAAATTTCTTTAAAATCCTTAATTTTCAATTCAATTCTAGGTATTTTCTTTCAATACTATCTCAAAATTCAACTATTTTCATTAGTTTTTCTCGCAAATATTTCTGCAGAATTCTCGACGTTGTAATTTTTACAAACAATTCGGATTCGCTCGCTGTTCGTTGCCTATCAAATCTCGATGCTAACAATAGAAATCATAATAATAATAATCTGATGACGTCGACGATTTTACACACTTCTTCGCGCGATTCTCGTCGTCGCTTTTTTGTAACATTCACTCAAAACGGGTCCAATTAGATGGTGAAGCTGAAGCAGAATCGATGAGGCGATTCTGGGCTTCGTTGAATTTCAGTGAGAAGCTTCTCCCCGTATTTTTGGTGTCACTCGTGTTAGCCACTTGAACGCCACCACCATTGACTGACTGACTTTCGCTTCTTCATCGATTGTAGGCCTCTTTCTCAATTCATCGCCGCACTTGTAAATCCGACCACTTTTGAGCGGCTAGGTGAATCTTTTGCCTAATGGGGTGTGGTGGCCTCGTTTAGCGTTTTTTTTTTCGTCTGCATATCAAATTTTATTGCCCCAAACTGTGTATTCTCGAAACCCTTCAGTTGGTGGTATTCTGCAAATATTCCAACCGCCTTTCTTTTTTTTTTTTGAAAATTCTTAAAATCAATTGGCTCAATTTGTAGCACAAAATTTCTAAAATTTCTATCAATCAATCGGATTCCGCTTCGGGCATCGCCTCAATTCTAAATTTCGATCATTCGTTGTTTTTTTTTCATATGATAACGAAAATCTCATTTCGGGCGGGCGGCGTGCATTCCTTAAAAGGAAACCAGCTAAATCCAATTTCATTCAACGATTATGTAATTCCGTCATATAAACCTACATAAAGCGAAACATTTGATCCGTTTTCAAGATAATCGCGCCGCCTCGTCGCAAGATTCGATCAAATCGAATTCAGTTCGTTTTGTAAAGCGGCTTCACCATTTTCAGCGGCTTCCCTCATTCGCCTAAACCTCTTTTTCAGTTTTTGTTAGCATTCTGAATTGTTGAACAATGATGTTTGCAGGAATGGTTATGATACACAACGGCGATTCTTCGATTCATGAGAAGAAGCGCTCGAATGAGCCGCCGCGATATTTCTTTGGCAAACTTCATATCACGGTACGCATCAATTAACATTTGAGTGTCCATAGAAGGGCAGGGGGGGTCTCATTGATTTTGGCCGACCGCGAATTATCGATCACACATCGGTTATCTCATCATTTGTCACTTTCCTCTTTCCAAATAATTGATGATAGGCTTTGTTTTGGAAGGGATGCCAAAAAAGGAAATTCAAGATATATGATTATTAATACAGTGTGTTGCACAATTACAAGACCACCCCCAAATTTAAGCGCTATTTTTTTTATTTTTCGACATTTTGAGACCAATCAGTGTGAAAATCGTGTTCAGCATGAAAAATTACCCATATTTAGTAATTTTTATGGCAACATCTTAAAAAGTAACCGCGTAGTGGTCAAAAAATGTTTATCGAGCGGTGCAGAATTGTTAGTAGATCAAAATGTTTAGATAAGTAGAAGAAAGGTTTCGAAAAGATTTTAGCAATGACTAAGAAAATCATGTCGAATTCCTGAATCGGAAACCAAATCTATAAGTTATTCTTTAGTATTAAATCCTGTACTGAAATGAATAAGCGAGAAATGCAAATGGAACACAACTCGTCGAAGAATACTGAAAGGAATTCACATTAAAACTAAGAATCCTGAACTGAATACTAAAGAATAACTTATAGATTTGGTTTCCGATTCGGGAATTCGACGTGATTTTCATAGTCATTGCTAAAAACTTTTTGAAACCTATCTTCTATTTATCTAAACATTTTGATCTACTAACATCCTTATATTATTATTATTCCAATTTTCAGAGCGCCATGAAAGGAATCGTCCTTTTGGGAATAATTGTAATCCTGATGCTCGTGGTCCTTCTCTATTTCAAATTCCGAAAAGCGATGTTCGTCCTGTTGGTCCCCACATCGATTTCCGTTCTTACCGTATTGGCAATCATCATGAAAAAACACATATTCGTCTATCCGGTCGTCGCTATTTCGGTATTCGTTGCCTGCTCGAATCATCGACTCATTCGAAACATTTCAGATGTTCCATGTGATCCTCTCAATTTATGCTCTAATTGTCTTCAGCTTTTACTTTTTCTTCAAGCCATTCTACATTCTAATGATCTCAAATTGGCTATTCGATAGTGAGAACATTTGAAGGAAGGAATTCCAAAAAATAAGCGACGATTTTCAGCGATGCACAGCGAGAAAAACGCGGCATTCTACACACAATCGGCGGCCGTTTACGCGTTTTTGTCCGGCTTTCTGGCATTCAATGCCTGGCAGGCACACGTCAGCATCCATTATATTGTAAGTGCCTCGAATTTCGAATCGAAATCAATCATTCCTACGCATATTATGAAAAGCATTCAATGGGTGATGCTAGCGCGCAGAAGCTTCTCACAGCCATTATTCCATATTCCAGGAACACCTCGCCTCGTTCGCTCAAATCCCACAAGCTCATCAGCCAACGGTTCTCGTCGTCAACAAGCCAACCTATTAATTTGACAATTAATTAATAACTCCTTAATTGTACAAGTTCATCTGTTTTGTTTTTTTTTTGATTACTAACCTAAGCTTTACATTCCGTACCATTAAGGTCAGCTTTATTCTGTCCGATGCAGTACCACAAATTGTCTTTCTCTTTCCACTAATTTATTAACAATAAATCAACAAATTTGTTTGTTTAAGCATCGCAAATAAAAATGCATCAAATAAAAAAAGGCGAATGGCGAAAAGGCAGCAAAAACTGAATGTTAAGTGCGCCGTTTTTGTCGACTGACCTTTCGTTTCGTTCCCTTATCAGTTTTATCAAACAAAACTGTTTGAAGCGACTCGATTCGCTGCTATTTTTGCCTATTTGAATTATTATTATTATTCGGCTCGGACGCTCCCCCCCCCCGTGGACGACGTCAGTTTTTTTTTCCATTCGTATTTCATTTATATTCGACGGGACACGTCGACTCGAATGCGGTGCGTCATTCGAAAACTATTCAAATATATTACAATTTATGCGATTATTTTTTATCTCTTCTATTGTTTATTCCAATATTGCACTTTATTCAAGGTATTTTTTTTTGACGATCAAATGTGCAATTTTGAGTTTTTCAGATGAATGCCAAATTAGGTTATCCGTTAGACGTCGGTGAAATCTTGTGGATGGATTATGCGAGAAAGGTGAGCATTTTCGACACCGGCGGTCTGTTACGATGTGAAATGGGTCACGTGGGCGTTCAATTTTTATTTTTAGCTTGATTTTAATCAATTTGGCCTTGATTTTCAAATTTCAAACAACAAAGCCCCCCCCCCCCCAATTTCAGACGTTGCAAGATTTCGAGCGGATATTAGCACAACCGGTAGACACAAATCAATTACGGGAAATTCACGAAATACTCGAAGAAAACGCTCGAATCGTAAGTGATATTTGAAATCGAAAATGCTCGAAAAACAATCAAAGAAGCTCAGATTCGAAACAGCCGCAAGTTTTTTATACGAAGTTCGATGAACAGATGAAGACGACAAATGGGTATAAATTATACATATATCATCAAATTTATCACATGCAAAACACAATAAACCCGTCTTTCGAATCAATCATCACATGAAAATGTTTGGTTTGGAAAAAAAATAATAAAAAGGAATGGACCAGATGGTACAAGGAATTTGTTAGTATGAATTGAGGGGACACGAGCATTGGCATTGTTGTTTCGTCAGCAGAAACACGTTGTTGGTGAACAAGGCCTGTAAAAATGAGCATGATTCCAAATCTCGGGGCCTTTTTTTTCTCTCGACTCACTCCTTCGACAGTGTTCACATAATTATGCTCCACATAAAACATTATGCGATTGTCAATGTCGGCTTCTCCGAGGTACTCATAGCCTTGATCCTGCAATATCGCCGGCGCCATTCGCGGATGGCAAAGTCCCACTTTCTTTTCCGACACCACTGTCGCGATGTCGACATCGATTGCCCGCGTCCATGCGAATCTACAATCAATTCTCAATTTCGACGCCTAATCGTCAAATGATCTACCGAAAATTATTCGAGCTCTCGCTTCCGACATACTGCAATAGGCGCACATTGGTGTTCTGGAGATTGGTGCTCGACAAATTGTAGATTCGGCGATCTTTGATGAACACGCCGTCGAGTTTTCCCATCGAATTCGTCGCGATGATTCCCCAATGCGGACTCTGGCCACGTGGCGCCCTTCAACCACAAATGTTCAACAAAAAACCACGACCCCATTAATCCGAATTCAAATTACCATAGCGCGATGTATTGCAACTGAGGAATATTGTTGCCGCGTTGCAACGGCCGTCCGAACGGGATGACGGCTGTTGGCGGAATTCGGGGCTTGTTGTAGGAGAATGGCGAAAAGAACTCCGGGTCCAATAGGCCGTTGTACTGTAAGCATTCAATTCTTTCCTATATGATCCTTTAAGATTCCTTACTCAGTAGGCAATTAATTATACGACGAAAAAAAAAACAATTCTCAAAAAATTTTTTTTTCAAAAATTTGCAAAATAATTCCTTCATTTTCTTACTGAGAGATGCATTTTTTAACTAAGAACATTTTTTTGACAAACTTACAAAAACTTTGGTAGATCTTTTTGAGACGGTCTTCGTCGTTGGCGACCGTAACACGTCGACATCATTCACGAGCGGCGGAGTGTCTCGATTCATCGACGAGACTGTCGTCGACAGCAGACGATCGTCATCGACGTCCACAATGCTGCCGCTCCCTTCACCTTCATTCTCTGTGCTCGATGTCACAACGATGACAATGAGCCACGTCGCTAAAAAAGCGACGAGCCATCGGCAGATCATGTGACGCCTATTTTGAACTGCAACATCACCGAAAATCTTAACATTTCGGCCAACATCAATAATCACAAAAGCAAATAGATCAAAACTGGAAAATTTCGGAACGAGAAAACATACGTACTCTCCAAATCTTGAGATAATGGTAAGTAATCGATTGTTATAATAATGCTTAAAAAACTGGGAATGACCATTGAAAAAAATAGGGCATTCATTTTTTTTAATGAGAAAAAAAAGAAAGTTGACGTTTACAAGTAAATATGTATATTAATAATATGTATAGACGAACATTTGAGCAAATAGAAGGCGGCGCATTTGGCAGACGAGATACAGAGAATGGCGGACAAAAAATCAATGCGGAATTCGACCGGAAAGATCGAACCGGGGCCAAATAACATATGTAAATGAATGGTGGTGTCATCGAGCGAATGATCGCGAGGGTGACGAACCGAATCGGCGAATTTGGCGGACGGAGATCGACACCAATGATAACGCCCGGGTGTACCACGGCTGATTGTAAATTGTTGGCTTTTACGGTTACGTCGATTTCAGTGTACAAATAATGTTCGCAATAATCCGGATTAGCCGATGAGAGTGTACAGAATGTGGAGAGACTATTGAGAGAAACATGCATCACGCACATATCTCGCCAATAGCAAGCAATTAAGTGGAGCTCGAATGGTATTCACCTTCCGCTTTTTGGGAGTTGTGCTCAAACCACCCGAGTTCGACACCGCCCTCGACCGTTTAAGGTTTTGCATAGTTAGAAAAAATGTATAAATGCATGAATGTTTGCTTTCCCATGAAGTCTAATTTTTTGGTTTGCCCGCTTGACAAACTGTACAATTTTTTTGATGACTAAACTGAAATGTGTTCATTCATTCAAGCGGAAGAAGTGTCAGTGTCAGGCATTGAAAAGAAATGCTTGCAATAATTGTACTTTAAGGCAACTATCAAGACCAAAGTTTTTAAGAGAGAGAGAAAAAAATGTGAATTCGATGGAAGATGGTTTATTGGAGAAAAAGTGAGTTCTCAGGGGCTGGGTGATTGTAAATCAATTATTCGGCGAACATCCATCAAATTGTTCACAAATTCCAATTATTTGAAGTTTGAAAAATTACATTTATCGTCCTTTAAAGAAATGGTCAAAATAAGTGACATTTAGGTTCGATTTTTTTGAATTGCGCACATTTTTTGAATTTTATGCCGATGCAAAAATAAACGGAACATTGATATAAATTGCAGGGTAACATTAAAATGAAAAGTGTGCAAAATTGCGTCTACGTGTTAACTCACAAAAATCGAAGATATAGTCGGCTGCCATTAAACAAAGTGGCTACTAGAATCAGCCGCCACAAGACCCAACTCATCTCCCCGCACTATGAGCCTTCAATCAATTATTTCATTTTTTTTTAATTGGATTGTTTTTACTCAAAATTTTCATTGGAATTTCTTGATGTTCGAATATTGAAAAAATTAAAACAATTGAAATTGTACCAAAAAAGACGTTCTAAAAATATTTGAGAAGCATTCGAAAATATGTATTTGTTGACTAAGGTAATTAAAGGCGCACGCCGTTTTTGTCCTGAGTCTCGCAGCAGCCGATTGTTGTGGCCGCTTTTTTTGTGAAACGAACTATAAAAACAGATGCTGCTTGCTTGAATTAGGTCTCGATATATTTTCAAAAATTTTTTGGCCGAATCAATGTTATTAAAAAGAATAAAAATGGGTAATACCAATTTTGGCACCTTGCCCAATAGAAGAACTACTCACAAAAAATCACATTTTTCACATTATGATGGTTAAATTAAATTAAACTCGCTTTTCCATACGAAACCTAACGCGGAAATTCAAATGCTAAATAAATGGCGTCCCAAATTCGTCAAAAATTCAGGAATTATTCGAATTTTGCTTTTGATAGATTCAATTATTCCGAAAAGTATCATAAAAATGTTTGCCGATTTCATTTTTTTATTCACTTTTCCTTCAATCGCATTGTTTTTCCATCAAGATAGTATGACGTCATGCACCCAAAAAAGGAGAATTCAAAAAAAAAACGAAATTAATCATAAATTTCGTCGTTTTCGCAATCCAAATTCCGCCTTTTCTTTAAATTTTGAACGTTTTGAAAATGGATCATATCCGACTCAAATACCGCATAGATTGCCTTCGAACTTTACCTTTTTTTCCGGAATTTGTTCAAAAATGGTGTCTGTTAAAAATATGACTAATTTTTGGGCAAGATCGTGGCCCTTTAATATTCACTTATCATTCCATAAATAGGAAATTGAAGAAAATATTCGAAAAAATTGATTATTCGATTTTTTTGTTCTGAATTTCCAATTTAAAGTGTACAAATAAGAACTCAAACTTGGATAATTAAAATCTATTATATCAGAAAGAAAAAAACGATATTCAAAATATAAAATAAAAATAAAAACATGCGTAATTTATCTCAAAACTTACGTTTAATGATAATACTTCTTATATCAATTGATTTTTATCAAATAATTCGGATTATTTTCGAAATTTTGCACAGAAATTGAACGCGAAATTCGAAAAAATGAACCCAAAAATGTACTGTGCCACATTCTGAAGAGATTTCAAAAAAATCAACAAAATCCAAAACCCTCTCCAAAAAATTCTTCCCTCGGACCATCGCAGTTTTTCGAGGCGGTAATTCAAATTCGAATTTTAAATCAATCGCAAATCGGTGCAATGTGCTCGATTTATTAGCGATTGCAACATTTTGAGTAGTTTATTCCAAATGTTACAATCTGAAATTCATTCAATTCTCCTCTCGTCATAAATATCACCTATTAAAACTTCTTGACCTCGGATGTTTGCTTTTTGATAAAAAACTCATAGGTGAGTCATTCGCGTCTATTTAAATAAACCCGACAGGAACCATTCAACACCTTTTTCCCCAACAAACCCACATATTCCTTATCTGCGATTTGAGAAGATGGCGACTGATTCCGATCAAGCTGACAAGATCGTCATGATCCTATTGATCATCTTTTTACCAGTAAGTCTATTTTTCGTATTAATTTATTATCGGCGTCAAACGACTGAAAAGAGGTTCGAATTTGCGAAACTTGTCAAGATTTGTATATATTAAATTGAACGGATATGAAATGCGCGTAGGCTATAATGCAATGTACGCAATCTCGTGACGCATTGGCACACAGCCAATCAATCATTTTTTTTAAATTTCGCTTTCAGTCGATTGTCGCCGACAATTTGCGAATTTTCATTTCATTTTTCAGCCGCTTGCTGTATGGTATAAAACAAAATCGTGTGGATGCTCGGTCTGCATTAATATTATTCTATTATGTTTCTTCGTTCTTCCAGCAATTATTCATGCGATTTATGTATGTTATATGAAAGATTAGCCCGATTTTTCACATTTCATATTTTAATTAATAAATAATTGTTGAAATTAACTATTGAAAATCGAATTTCTCATCATATTTCTACTGCTTAATTGGCCATTTTGATTTTTGATTATTCAGCGTTTTTTTTAAGAATTGCGTTCGGTTACTATAGTGATATTCTTGTTTCAATCATTGTCTTATTCACACCTCATTTAAATTTAACTCTTTTTTATTCTAAAAACGATGAATCATGATTAACAAATTTTTGAATACATACTCGGGGCAGAAGCTGCAATGGCTGTTATGCAATGAAACCCACCGATTTGTTGTGGTTTCGTATTAAATTTAAATTTAGAAAAAATCACGAATCTCTGACAAGAATTTTAATTGTTTCAATAAAGTTAGATTTTTTCATAATTTCGTTCGAGAACCCGGTAGTCTGTCGGCAGCTCGCACTATTATTATTATTTTTTTCACGTAGGACAGTGTGATGTCGGCACAGGCCGATGGTCAACTGATAACCAATTCAACTCTTAATTATTTATCAATTTTTTTGCATTCCTCCATTGATTGCAATGTTTTTTTTAAAGAAACGAATTGATTATGAAATTATTATGAAAAAAAAAAAAAAACAAAATATTTTGTGGTTTTTTATGTATTGCTTGATTTATTTCAATCTATTATTTCATAGTGAAAGGAAAATGACGAGGAACACGTGAACAGGTGATATTCGTGAGAAACAGAATACAATGCGATTGCTAATTTGAAAAAAAAGAGAATCGCAGAGCCGAGCACGGAACTCAATTTGAAAATCTCTTGCGAGTTTTATTGAGAAATATTGTCGGAGTCGAACGATTTGACGAAACGAAATTTAAAACATAATTGGCTGTGTGCCAATGATTTCGCGAATTTGAAGACTACCGTCTCATTTTCAGTCGTTTGACGCCGATATTATCTCGTTTTAAAGATTTTTTCATATTTCGCGATATATAAGTTTCTTAATTACATAATTGTTTCTGTGGATATATGTATATCAGGGCTGTGCGGCAATGGAAATGCCGAATTGCCGAAATTTCCTAATATATAGGTAGCATAGAAGGATCATTATTTACATTGTGTTTTAAATAACCATTGTTAATTCTTTATTCGACTTAAAACTGAGTTATTTGCTCACATTTGACAGCTGATATGTGTTTTCGATTAGCATTTTATTGCGGCGGCGAATCCTTGATGAAGCAGACGTAGAAGGCGTGAATCATCGACGGGAGAACGAAGAAGATGAGAAGGAGGATGTTGATGCACACGGAGCTGGTGCACTCCTTCTGTTTGAACCAAACCGCGACTGGCTGAAATTGTGCGAATATCGACATTTGTTTTTTTTGTTGACAACAAAAATTACCGGTAGAACGAGAATGAAAATCGCCATGATGATCTTATCGACATCCGAAGTTTCGCCCATTTTCGAATTGTCGATTGAAGCGAATGAGAGTTTTTAAATGAGAGCCAATGAATAGCTATGAATCCCCGCCCTGCTGTGTTGGCTATTGGTTGTCATGACGACAACATGTAAAGATCTACTTTGAGTTTTCCGAAAACGCCAAAATATATTCTATGAGAAGGACACCTGAAATGGCTTAAACTACAGAGTCTAGTTTAGAATCGACAATTTGCTGACGAATTGAGGCAGTTCAAGATCATCCGCTACAACACGATTTATTAAAAATAAACAAATAAATGTATATATAATAAAAACACAATAACAGATATCAAATTGAGAGATTCCCTGCTGAAAATCTAACAGTAATATTGAAGAAACACTCCTCCACCTCAACTGTGATCTTAATGCTTATACAAGATTATTTATGGGTTCAATAGTAGTAAAAAACTAGATGTTACATATGTATGTAGTCTGATCAGTTAATATTTAGTCATCGTCAGTTTTTTTTCAATTTTGAAGATCTATACCGATTTTGTGAAATTGAATTGAATTTTCCGCCACTGTTTTGTCGTTTGACGTCGTAAATCTCTTTCTTTCTTTCTTTCTCTTTCTCTCTCTTTCTCTCTCTCTTTCTCTCTCTCTCTTTCTCTCTTTCTCTCTCTCTTTCTCTCTTTTTCTCTCTCTTTCTCTTTCTCCTACTTTCTCTCTCTTTCTCCTATTTATAACAGAACAAAACATGGAATAAAATACGAGAATTGCTTTCATTAGAAGTTTCTTCTTCCATGTTTAACGCAATGCAAAAAATGAGCAATAATACACCAAATGCCAATCGATTCAGCTCTGCGTGTCTTTGCTGAAACAGACGAAAACGGCGTGGATGATGGCTGGAATGATGAAGAGGAAGAGAAGGAGCACGTTGATCCGAACAGTATTACTACATTTCTTGTGTTTGTAGCAGATAGCAAGCGGCTGAAACTGACGCATTTTCACTTTCGAAAACAAATCATCGAATTCTACCGGCATGAATATTATCAGCAGAATCATTACCGTCTTATCGACATCGCTAATTTCAGCCATTATTAATACATATATGAATTGATTCCTAGTGAAGAATTCGGCCGAAATTCGCATCATTTCTGTTTTTGTTCGATTATGTTTTCGAACGGTTGTCATGACAAATGTTGATAATAATTGTACAATGTGAAATGAAAAAAATGAGTGAAACATGACGGATTCAGGCAACATTATAATGCATCGAAAAATCGATATCGAATTCAACTTTTTGAGAAAATGAAAAGCTGAAAATAAATCATCAAGCACACTGCCACTTAATTTTAATGGTCCATAATCAGTGGCTCTTGAAAAGTGTCTTGACTCGTAATTTTCCCGTGCGGCTCATTCATTTTGAAAATTTAGGGTCTGTTAATTTTAAAATTTTTTTAAAAACATTTCCGACTGTAAATAATGTAATACCGTCCGATTGGCAGGATTTTGTTCGTTTGAAAAAAGCCGGAATCAAGCAGCCTTTGGTTCGGGTTTGATACAATAATTGAAGGCACATATTTGGAACCGAGTCTCACGGCAATCGATTCAGGTAGCCGGGCTTTTCTTCAGAAACCTTCAATTTCATTTAGTGAGATAGCTCAACTTCAACAAATCGATCTTTTATTGTTTTATCCATCGAGAAAAATTGAAATATTCCATTTCGGCCTGTGCCATTTGCTTCTCCCTCATTTTTAATATACATATATTATTGTATATATATATATATATATTTTTTTTTTTAAAATAAACGAGCAGCCTGTGTAAATTGAGCACACTATCGAATTTACAATGTGTCTCATCAAACACATTGTCACTAAATTCTGAAACTCTGTGAAAAAAAATCTGAAAATTTAGTAATTTGCATCCGGCTTGTTCTTCTGAAACCGACTCAATCAGAGAATCGTAACACTCCAATTTCAAACCGGCGGGTTCAGCTGTCTGCGCATTGCTGTGACTCTTCCACATCATTTAAACATTTTTAAAATTTAATTTTTCATTTTTGATAATAAATTAAATAAATTAATAAACCTAAAATAAATTTGCTTTACTATTTCGTTAAAGAAATGCATTTTCTATGGACAAGATCATTAATCTTTTTTTTTAAATTTTTTTTCTCAAAAATTGCACTTTTTTTTAATGGGAATTCCTTGAAAATGCAAACCTCGTGATAGCGGAATTCAGATTTTTTAAATATAAATTTATGTATGTATATTTAATTCAAAATATATGGCAACCTTTGTTCAAGATTGTTGATTGATTATATTGGTAACTTTTCGATCTTAAATGCAAGATCAACAATTTTCAATTTTTCAGTAGAACCTGTTCTGTTTTTTTTTGAAATTGATAGCATTCGTGATCATGGCGACCACAGATTAACTGGATGTTCAAAAGAAGACCTAATCGAAATACGGAAATGATATTCAAACCAGTTAAACGTAGACATTGCATCCGACCTCTTTTCTCTCTGAATTTGTCCGTCGCTGAATTGTTCGACGAAATGCGTTTCCTAGCCGAATTGGTCACTTGACGCGTATATAAAACGAGAATAGGATCGTCGAGAATTTCTAACTGACATGAAGCTTCTTAGCTTATTATTTCTTTTGATCATTTCCGTTTGCCTTCTTGGTAAGTAATACCTTCGAACAACATCATCTGGTTTCTCTAATGATTTCTGTGCGAATCATTATTTCATATTAAACTATTATTTCAGATTTTGCTATTGCTCAGCGAGGCGGAGGAAGAGGAGGAGGCGGAGGAAGAGGCGGTGGCGGAGGAAGAGGTGGTGGCGGCTGGGGCGGTCGAGGCGGCGGTGTTAGAAGTCGTGGCGGTGGTTGGGGCGGAAGTCGTGGAGGTTGGGGTGGACGAGGCGGCAGCTGGGGTGGACGAGGTGGCGGTGGATGGGCTGGACGTAGAAGCGATTGGGGTGGACGTGGTGGAGCCTGGGGAGTTCGCGGAGGAGGTTGGGGACGTGGCAGAGGAATCGGAGGTCGCGGACTCTATCGTGGAGGATACGGCGGCCGTGGATAGTGAGTTCATTTTTTTTAAATCTCATTAATATTTTAATATTTTTAGTCACGGTGGACTTGGCGGTCTCGGAGCTCTCGGAGCTATTGGAGCAATCGGAGCTCTCGGTCTGATGGGAATGCATCAACCATATTACTACGGAGGAAATCACATGTACGAACCCACCGGCTTCCAGAGTCAATGTTCGGCGCAATTCATCGATTATGTTGGAAATCAGCCAACATTCTATTGCGACTGTCCACCATATCCACCAAATTATCAATATTACCAATGCGTTCCAATGGTCCGCAAATGATTCTAGTATTAATTAATATTTTCAAATTGGTCGGAAATGTACATACCAGAAATAAATCAGTTAATCTTTGATTCTTTTACTCGAAAATTCGATCAAAATTGAGGAGAGAAGCAAATTCGTCAAACTTCTTCCGATCGAACCGTTTCTATTTCTCTCTCTCTCTCTCACTCTTTCTCGGTCTTTTCACATTCTCTCCTATACTATATTTAGCGAGCGAAACAAGAAGACGACGAAGAAATTTTTGATTTGAGGTCATGAGGAAATTCCTATTTCTACTATTTTGCTTACTGACGTCATTCGGTAAGCTTTTGATCTTGTTGGAATTTGCGGGTTCTCGAAAATTCGATGGATGCCGCAAACCGAAAACGCAATTTGTTGATAGGGCACTTTTGAGAAAAAATTGGAATCAAATGATTTAGAGTTTGAAAGAAAAAAATTTTTGTGAATCGTATGCTCTTCAGATTGGATTTGCGCTCGTGGCGGAGATCATGGTGGTGGTGGTGGTCATGATGGTGGACATGGCGGTGGTCATGATCATGGTGGACACGATCATGGAGGACACGATCATGGATGGGGTGGACATGATCACGGATGGGGTGGGCATGATCACGGATGGGGTGGGCATGATCACGGATGGGGTGGACATGATCACGGATGGGGTGGACATGATCACGGATGGCATGGTTGGAGAGGAGATCATGGAGGTGGCGGGGATGGCAGAGACTATTCTAACAATTACTAGTGAGTTCCGCTTCAAGCACAAACATCCGACATTGCTGATTTCAGTGGAAGACGACGACACGGATTCGGACTACTTGGTGCCCTATTCGGACTGAATCGTCAATACTATGGATATCCGAATACCAATTATGGCTGCTCGGCGCAGTTCATCGACTATGTTGGAAATATGCCACGATACTACTGCAATTGTCCACCGTATCCGCCAAACTATCAGTACAATCAGTGCGTTGTGATGGGAAAACGATGAGAGAAGAACAAACCGTCCCACGAGATTGTTTTTTTTTTCTGTTCGGGTAATTCAACGTCTTGTCTCGAATAAAGTTGTTCGACCATTTTCGTTCTTATCATGAAGGTTTTTGCGCTGATATTGTTGTTTACTGGTGAGTTTGTTTGAATGTGTTTTATTTTTTAAATTTCCAAATTCATTGGTTTGAATTTTTTAAAGAAAAGAGCACTGTCTACGATATTCGGAATTTCGGAATCGGTTTTTTTGTGGTGCAGTGATAAATGAATGGGTGCAAATCTATCTATAAATCGAGCGGAAAAAATATAATATATCCATTAAAACTTAAAATATTCATATGAAATCGAATTTTCCTTGATTCAGAATTTTCCTTGATTCATTGAAAATTGAATGAAACTGATTGTGAGAGTGCAACAAAATTTGAAGAGCAATCAACGAAAAATCTCGCCTATCTCAAAATTATTATGATTTTCAAATTCATTCTTCTCTTAAAAAACTATTATAAATCGTTAACCGCCAACGAAACTTGATTCAAAATTGAAAATAATTCAAAACTTGTTCTGCATAATGGCTACGCATTTCATTTTTGTTCGAAAATTTAATAGTCTTCGATATTTGTTATAGTTCTCATTTAAAAAAACAAGAATTTTGTCGGTTTTTTTTTCAATTTCTCTTGATTTGATGAATCTCGTTTAATGTTTGATTCTTCTGCTTCGTCGCATCAGCTTTCGATTAGAATTTGTATTGGATCCTCGATTTTCTTTTCAACAACTCATTTTCGAACGAAAATAGCTATGAGGGATAGAAAGTCTGAAATTTATTCTGTTTAATTCGAGCAAAATAAATTCTGAAAATTGTTCAATATTTGAGGATTTGATGTTTGTTTTTCAACCATTCTAAAACGATTATGTTGATTTTAGTGCTGATTGCGAACAGCTTCGCAAGCCACGACAGTTTCATTCATTCACACCATTATCATGATCATTCATATGGGCATTTCCACTCGTACGACCGTAGCTACGGATACTATCGATGTGAGCTTTCATTAAAAATGTCTCGAGGATTATCTAAACCTTATTTGTAGATCGATGGTCTCGACCAAGATATTATTACAACGATTATAGAGGATACAAGTGAGTTGACGATGCGTCGAGAATCAGCGAGATTCAGAATATTTTTTCAGTCGTTGGGGTCGTCCTCGTGGAGGCCTTTTAGGACGAATATTCCGTGGTCTGTTTGGTGGCGGAGGTGGTGGATATTATGACGGATATCCAAATTACTACTATAACGGATACGGCTATTCGAACTATGGGAACGCGCAATGCACCGCGCAATTCATCGACTACGTTGGCAACAGGCCAAGATATTACTGTAATTGTCCACCGTACCCACCGAATTATCAATACTTCCAGTGTGTGCCAATGGCAGGCAAAAAATAATTCCAATAATAAATCATTTATTTTCCCCAATAGAATGAGCTGAATCCATACGAAGGTTCGGCAACTTGTGTGCCATATCCCATTGTATAGCTGAATGAATGCGGAGCAGGCGTCGGAGCACAAATAACCACTGAACATGCACAAGTAATTGAGGGAGAAAAAAAGACAACGAACCGTAAATGGTGATAATGAAAAGAAGGAAGACTCGATTAAGCGATGACGACATTTTTGTGTGTTGAAATATATATATTTTTTTGTGATTTTTTGTGTTCATCACACCCTCCTTTTATAGTAATAATAACGGCCGACGGTCATTATTTGTTGACATCACGATATTATAGAGATCATTTTTGATGAAACGATGCACTTTTGCGTATTTTTTTAAAGATTTGTCGTCAGAAGGGGGGATTCCCCCGACGCGAGAACTTCGAAAACACGCACTGATGTCATATCGAATGAAACTTATCTCAAACAATCACCCATTTTTAGGCACCCCCTGCTAAAAACAACTAATTTGAGTTCAACAATTTTTTTTAATTAAAAATTTTGATTTTAGTGCATTTTTAAAAACGTGACTAAAATGCTGAAAAGAAATCAAGGGTTCAGAAAATGTCTTGAGAAAAAAATACACAAAAGCCTGCTGAAACAAACTTTTATGCAAAATAAACGAGCAGTTTTGGTTTTTTTTTTTCGACGTATCGAATCGCACGAATCACTCGAATTTCAATCATTCCTGTTCGACGGTTTCTCAAACTCCATGAAATCCTGAAACGTGATGTTGAAATTCGAAAAATTGCCAACATTTTTACAATTAAAAATGTTGCGCCAAGAAGCACTGCCTTCAACTTCACATCGAGATCACCCGGAACTGAAACGTTGTGTATCAAAGATGGTTTATCTCGAATTGCAAGCATACAGTTCACCGCGAACGTGTCGGCATCCGTCAGCGCTTCTCGACAAAATCCTCCCCATTTCTTAGTAATCGCTCCAATCACTGTCCCATTCAACGTTTTGATCTAAACAATTCGAATGGCTCGTACGCAATTGTTGTGCGTTTCGTCTCGCTTACCGGAAATTCCTTGTCTTGACATCCAATCATTAGACAAGAGCAGGGACCATCAATCTGAATCGCCCAATGTTAACCGATCAACGGGTGAACGAAATTTACTTTGAATATGACATCTCCGTTCGAATCGAGAACATCGAAGGCGGACGAGCAGCATGCGCATCGCTGACGAATCGATCCAAGCAGTCCGGCGGTCGGCGATTCGACGGTGCATTCTTGTTGGCAGCATCCGCAGAATGCCAGACACGACATGCCGCCGGCGCAGCACTTAAAATCGCGCTTGATTGTGATCACTTCCTGAAAATGCGATGAATTCGAAAAAAAAATCAAGAAAATATCGAAGACCTTTTTGAAATTGTCGACAATATGCATTATGAATCCCCTGTTTTCGGCGCAACATTGCCGAACACAGCATCCGGATTCTTCGAATGCGTAGTACGTCTGCTCGCCGTTCGCATTCTTCAGAACGTATTTGTTGCGAGTCTCCCAATCAGTTACAATCTCGATCAATTCTTTTAGCTGAATTTAATTAATTAATCAATTTTGCATTATTGATATTGTAAAGGAAAAGCCTGTCGGGTTCTATCACAAAAACAATAAAACCACATCAGCTCCACCGGAAGCCGTGGGCAACCGGAAGCTGATCCAATCCAGGCCCTTTTCCTTTCCTTTCTGAGTCGAATATGTCGGATCTGTTTTTACCAACTCTCATTCTTATGATCCACCGTTTTACTTATTTGTAATTTTCTCATTTCATAGAAGAAATGAATCAGTTTTTCTTCGAAACTTTATCAATTCCTAAGGTATATTAATGTGAGAGAAATAAAGGGAGCGCTGCCCTACCACTATTCGGTAGGACGGCAGCTTAACCCTCTTTACTATATATGTAATACCTGATAAACCATCAAGTGGTCGAGATATGTGAGATATTCCAATCCAGATGGAACCCCTTGCATTATTTCTGGCATTGGCATCCATACTGCTGAAAACATTCAATATTAGCCGTGTCTACTGGAGAAGTGCTCAAACTTCCAGTTGGCTGTACAACAACTCCCGGCTGAGTAGAAATCACGGTTTGACTCATTCTGAAACAAGAAGGGAGTCGGCTGAAATAATATAAAAAGAAGGCTTAATAGAAACAAGGATAATCCAAAATTTCGTTGATGATTCTTGAAACAATCAATTTCTGAATTTCGCCGAATCACTCAACGAATATGCATACCGAACCAATTATCATGAAAATTTGAGAGATAGTAAAAAAAACATTGCTAATTAAAAAAATTTAAAAAAAAAAAACATTGCGCTGAAAAAACACCAGTGCGCCTCACGAAGGCTCGAATTTTAGTCCGGGTAATTTTCAGCCACCCTGTACATATTGTGGAAATCGATTGGGAAACGTCGACATTGAATTCGAATTTCATTTTCCATCGTAGTTTGAAAATACTTGATTTTCCTCAATTACTCTTTTTTTTTCAACTCTCTGCTATAGGAAAAACGACTGTGACAAGTTGCCCAAAAAGACCGGAAGGGTCTCGAGACGATCTTTGGGCCCAAGCACAATCGCCAGAAATTCCCGAGAAACTCGCGAAAAATTTGCTGTGACAACACAAAAAATAATCAGAAGAAAATGAAAATCGCGAAAAAAAAGTGGCGGTATTCATCGTCAACATGTAATAATAATTTTAAAATTTCCACCGACATGTGATTTGTTTCCCCCAAACATTTTCAGCTGTTCGGTCGCCGTAGCAACCAAAAAAACAATTATAGATTTCGATTGAATTGCACAAATCACGATTAAAAAAAATACAAATGATTTATTCCTAAAATGTTCGCTGAAATTCCATGAAATCAAAAACAATATATTTTTTTGAGCATTTTTTAATTCGAAAAATGTTTTCTGAATTCAATCTTCGTAATACAGGAAATCCTAAAAAGGCGATTAATTAATTGGAGAAATCATTAGATAAATGATTACAATCAAAAATGAGGCTCCAAGTAGAACAGCTTTGATTTTACAATCCAAATCAATTGGAACTGGAAACTAAACAATTGCAAATCGAATTTGAGTATCTGTTACAAGAAATCGAAAATGTGTCAGCGTCGGTGAACATTTCTTTCGCCAATCCACCCCAATTTTTATGAATTTTTCCAATTGCAACCCCTCTCAAATCGGTCACTAGAAACGTGTTATTACAACAACAGCAGCCCGTTCGAGTAATCTGAATGAATGGGCGATGATGGATGAAATTAGAGGCGAGAAACGACAACTGACATAGAGGACCGTTCGTCCGGTCATATCCCGAATCTGCAGATCCGACGAGCAACATCCTATTGTAACGAATCCAATCTTAAATGGCATTTTATTCGAATCAGAGCCAACATTCGAAAAAACCTCTCCCATAAATGGACTTGATATTATAAGGGAATCCCTGCAGCAATTCTTTCGAGCGATCAAAAGAACCTCTTGATTAAAACTATTAATAATGTGCATTATGAAGCTCCTTTTGTTCGCTTTAACTTCTCTGTCAGCGAAATTTGATTGCTCGAATGCGAAATAAACCTAGCCGGGGAGGTGATTTTGATGAAAATTCAAAACCAATATCAAATAAGCAACCTGTTGGCCATATTTGTTCAAAATCGCATATCGATTCGCGGTTTCGAATCCGAGCAACACTTCAACCGGCTCGACGAGCTGCTTCAGAATCAATGCCTCGATTTGGGCAATGTATTCGAGACCTGGCGGGATGCCAGGGATCTCGGTCATCGGCTCCATCCAATGAACTGTAACTCTACTACATTCAGCATGAACGCAGCTTCCAAGGATTCTCATATTATAGCATACATCCTCTAGCCGACGCCAGTTGAGGTCCGTCGTGGTGTTGCTGTCGTGGGGGCGATCGCGAACGAGATCGCGAACCAGGTTGATGCTTGCGAACCATTTTCAAAAATTATGTATAAATAATCAATCGTTCTCATGATTCTTATCGAACGTGTTTTTTGGAAATAAAAAATAGGAACCACGTAATCTAGAATATCGGAATGATTTTCGAAATGATTGCCTAGTTTCCAATCAATTTTTTTTAAATAAATTCTTCGTACGACTCCTCTGGTAACGCAAAACCAATCGGATCCGACAATTTTCCAATGTTATCCGTAGAATTGTCAATCGGATAAGGTTGATTTCGGAGTCGAATTTTGTCGGATCCAATTGGTTTTGAGTTACCAGAGCCGTCAAATATTCAAATTGATTTCTTTTTGTTCAATGTTGAAGGTTTCCCTTTTTTTCGGAAACTGAGATGACTTTTCTTTGAAATGCTTTAAATTTTTCAGATGGCAAACAAAGAATGTGCAAAAAAGGAAAAAAAGGAAAAAGCAAAAATATTTCGGGTTTCTCCTTCGACGACTCAACAATGAGAGGGCCAGAGATAAATACAAATGTGCGTTTTATGTTCACCTCGATTATCCCCAAATAAGCTTCGTCGAAATGACTGACATTCAAGCCATTTTTGATCGAATAATTCCCATCAGGTTACGATATCGGAAACGAATAGTTGCATAACAGCTGCCTTACATAATAAATTTATTAGAGTTGCGGGTTTATGACACCTCGCGATGTATTCGAATTTTACGATTTATGAATGCTCAACCAACAGTTGTTACAAATGGTCCGTAACGATAGGTACCATTTTTAAATTAAGTGAAAACGAAGGGAAAACATGAAAGTGATATTTCTTGAAATGGTCCGTCCAGGGGTTGGCACCTTGATCATCGCGACCTGATTATGATGAAAAATAATGTCACCCAGTTTACACTTTTCCATTTATAGACCAGCTTGGTGGAAAATACAGTTTCGAAACTATTGAAGACAGAAATCAGGAATACTTTTTTCAGAGATTCAAAGCCGAAAAAAATTCTATTAAAAATATATTCAATATACCCTCATAGCTTCAGAAAATGTTTTTTATTGTCGAACAAGTATCAATCAAAAGAGTTCACCAATTAGTTGTTAATCCAATAGGCGCGGTATGTATCAACAGCGGATAAGCAAACAAAACTCACCATCGCCGACACAAACGGGTGACGCAATCGTTTGAATAATTGGATTATGGTTTATTGAGTTCTCTTGCGCGATGCCGCATCCACAGACATCCTTGATTCCGGTTCAAGTATACTTTGATGAGCAAGTGTGTGAATCGAAAACGACGCGAAACAAAAAGGATTCACATGCGTATGAAATGCAGTTGTTTCGAACCTTTAAAATTAGAGTTAATTTGTTTGAAAAGAAATAATATTTGCAAAATATCAGTAAATTCTTCTAGCTGATTCCAATAATCTTCCTAAATCAATGTGCAATTTAAACTGCTTAATTATATGTCCAAAAATAGTGAGAAACTGATAAAAATGTTTTTAAAAATTTCGACTTTGTTCGAAAAAAAATTCAAATTCGTGTTTCTTCTGTAACTTTTGCGTCACGGTGTTTGCACCCATTTTCGTGTGCTACCATTTATTTCATTTCTTCTGACATTTTAAGCTTCGAATGTTAATAAATCAAGATCAAAAACCAAAAATAGAAACATATTTGCGAGAAGACGCAAAAATTGCTGTTTTGGCGGCAATTTTCCCATTCTTCAACTTTCTAATTTTTTGAAAATGTTTGAATTTTGGTGGTATCTTCAAATACCCCCAAAAATGTTGTATTAATATTCAAAAATATATTTTTTTATTGTATTGCCTATAGGATGACTGTAAAACGGCAAGTCGGTACGTCGAATACTAGGTATTGCCTATAATATAATAACTTTGAAAGTACCATAAATAAGTTGCGGCGTGCTTTGGTGTCGACACGCGGTCTGGCCGACTCTTGGACCGATTGACACCACATGCTCACACATCCGGACCATCTCGTTCATTTCTTGATAGTTAACACATTGTCATTGTTATCGAAGAACTGATAAGCGTGCCTTGTGCCGATGTTCGCATTTTCTTTGTTGTCCAAGTGTGCCGATAATCCGTTTAGTTTAAACTTTGGCGAACTCGATTCCTGGCGCGACAAATGAGCAGGTATTGCACAACTTGGCTCGTGTGTAATGTGACCCGCAAAAAAAGCTTGCGCTTCTCTTTTTTTTTTGCTTTTACAGTTGCCGCATTTGCGGATACCTCTCTTCTTCCTCGCTAGCCAGTAGTATTATATGTCGCCTACCTGAGCCTTTTCGGTATATCGCAGATATAATTTTGTATTTCTTATATTATCTTTTTTTGCGAATACGGTTGTCGGCATTGCTTTCGAGATTATTTTGAAGTTTCTCCTGCAAAAACTATTGTTCGCACATTCAATATTTTCGCAGTTTTGGCAAAACGATAAATGATTAAAACAAAGAATTGTGCCAATCATTCTAATTTTCACATCTGGCTCATCCATTTTATCAATTTAATGTTTCTATTATGGACCTATTTATAAAAGTTAATGATGTTTTAAAATAAATGCACACATTCTTTCCAATGAGGGAATGCAAAAAATGCGAATTCAAGTTTTTTTTTCATTTTCTGAAGAAAATTATATCTAATGAATAGGCTCATTACGAATCAATTATTTTAATGGATTTTCTCTCATAATTTTTTTCTTTTGAATTTCTCTCAAACACGTGAAGAAAATCGAGATACAGAGCCAAAAATGAATACTGTAGTTTCCAATTTTTCACATTTGCACGAAAGCGAATAACACAATAATTTCGGGCTTTTAAAGATTTAATAAATACGAATTTTTTAATTTATTAGAGTTAATAATGTGCGAAAAATTTGAATTTTCTTCCAATCAGTTCGTCTCGCTTTCCAACTGTTGTCGCCTCATAAACAGGGGGGGGCACTGAAGCCCCGCCCACCTCCCGACTCGGGATCTCTCATCCAACACCACACCACACTTGTTACCGCTACTCAACCTCATCGGTGTCAAACTTTAGATCGGCTACGGTACAAATGGCTCCGCGAAGGACTGACGAATTCAAGAAGGAGCGCAGTCGGTCGAAAGAGGCGAAACGAGCTCAGCAACTGAATGGAGCATTCCGCAAACTGCTTGGGTAACACAATCATTTATTTTTATTTGTTTGCAATTTTCGCTTTTATTTTTCAGAACAATTCCATATATTCCCGAAAAGCAAAGAGAAGTGATCCCAAAAATCAAAACCCTTCGACTAGCAATGCGATATATTGAGCATTTGAATCGAATATTGGATGGCAATTGGGTACTCAATATTTGTGGAATTTATGCAAATTCAATAATGCATATTTTATAGGGTGTGCGCACTGAAATGGAGCCAACACGTCCGTTACAATTCGACGATTTTCGTTTTATCGCTGATGAGGAGATTAAAGTTCGAAATAGCTATCGGGATCGAGCATTGAACGACGAATTGGCAGCGAATTTGGCGAAAAATGCGCAAACATTGAAAAATCAAAGAAATCGAATTTCGATTAGCGGTGAGTAATCACAATGTAATTATATGATTTTTAATTTTTAAATTGGTTGCAATTGATTCGGAATGTCGAAATTGCAGAAAACGAGGATCCGAGTCTGAACTCATCGTCAGCAGCTGGTTCGCCGCCATATCCCGAGTATTTGGAGCCAACCTCATTCTCGATTCCACCCAACACCACATTACCAAATGTGTACTCAATTTACGGGAATATTTCGCCTCCTTCCTATATTGCGTCCGATGACAAATGGGTTCATCATTCGCAATAAACACTACGCCAACGGCTTCCTTCGCTGTTTATCTTCGTTATTGTTGTTCAGCTATGATCTCTTGCCACTATAATAATTTCCCATACCAAAAAAAACTTTTATAACGCCTCTGTACCATTTAATATATTTCTATTGCATAATTTTAATATCGTTATAATGTTTAGTTGAGTTTGTTTTTATTGTTTCGTGTACCATTGCGCAATATCTGGTAGTTGCCGTAATTCGATCTCGCCACTTTCTCGGTAATCCGAGTTTATCGTTCCTTTTTTCCTGTATATTTGTTTGTATTTGACACTTTTTGGCCCCCACTCGACCTTACTTATACGGTCATTGTTTATGTTTTTCAAAGGTTCCAATAACAGAGATTTATTTATATAAAATAGTTATATGGTAAACGACGAGAAGCAGCGAAGGAATAAACACAAAATGAATAATCGAAAACGGAAATGTGTATACATACAAGACTGTCATGTCATGGATGGATAATGCATTGGCGGCATTCATCAAAGTCGCCGGAGCAATATTGCGTCTCTTTTTTCTGAAGGAGAACATGAAGCCTTACAACAAGCGCTTCTTTTTGAAGGAACTGAACGACTGTTTTGAGGTCAGAATTAATTAGAAAAATTCTTCCATTCGAATTTTCCAAATCGAAATTCGATATTCCACTAGGAAGTCAAATGTAAACTCTTGAATTTTCCAACCCTCGCCTTCTTTTTTTCATTGGTCCACGAAAATCAAACATAATCCAAAAGGAAGATATGTGATATTCTTCGTGACTTCTTTAGGTATTATAGCAGTGGTCTATATTCGCATATTATACATATATTTTTTGGGTTGATAGGAAATGTAATATTAGTGGCTCGGATGTTTCTTTTTGTCTAATTTTTCCTCTTTTTTTTTTTCGCTCCATGTTTGGTCCGGTCAGACATGTGAATTGAGTCCCTCCGTTTCGCTGTCTCTCGACGCCTCTAACTTCTCTCCTTTATGAGCTTTTTCGTCGAGAAGGCGATGAAATAGTGCGCCAAACGGTGATACGCAAAGACACGAGTCTTCAGAATCAATATGCTCGCGAAAATATCTCTCAATATATATATATATATATTTTTTTTTTGCATTACATATTGTTGCATAATTTTGGTTTTCTGATTTTGTTGCCTTCTGCAATGCATTTTTTTTTAAATATCTTTTCGCCTCAAAATTCTCTAAAGATTCCATATATTCATTAATAAGCTGCAATTAAATTCATCTAAAATTGTTTTTCAACTTCCGTTCCAAGTTCATTCCTAATCCAATCAAGCACATCCCTTCCGATTAACCGAACTGCATTCAAATTGAAATTATGATTTCATTGAATAAGCTTAATTCTTTATTGAATTTTTCGCTCAAAAATGCGCACTTACCGTATAATTTCCCATTTAGGGAAACTCTTCAGAAACATTATTCTTTGATAAAATTGATTTTAATAGAAGTTTAAGTAACATATCTCTCTTTTTTTTTGAAAAACATTTAATCACTTTTTTTTTTCATCTATCATTTCTATACGACTTCAATTTCTAATTGATTCTGAATTTCAATCTATTTTAAATTTCCCAACTCAAACATTCACTTAATTTATATTTTTTTTGGTTTCATCTTTTCTATTTTCCATCAATAATATTTTGATAAAACATTTTTCGACTAATTACCAGATATCACCAAAAATCAAATTCTCAATTTTCCAATAATTTCAAGACTTAATTAAGTATTCGGATAATTGTTGATAATTTTCAATTTGTACTTCGTTCTCATATTGTTAACAAAGCCTACTAGTTATTGGATATTGAGCATACCTCATAGTCATTCCAGAAGCCTCGATTTTTTTTCTTCCGAATCGTCCCCACATGTCGGTTTTTCAATTTTTCGAATAATCCATCATGAATACTTTGTTTTGTTGTAGTTAGATTTTTTGCGATCAAACAAAAATCCGCTAATCCATTTTCACCTATTTCGTTTTTTTTCTCATTCAGAAGGCTTCTTCCAGCCATCCTCTTGACATGTTGCGTTCATTTAGTCGCTTATATAGATATATCGTGTCGACATTTTAGTGAAATGCCAGCATTCATTCAGTTTGGAATGGCTCTTCTTTTTCCATCAATGCCTACTGCCGTTGTTGTGCCACCAAGTGATCGTCTTGCACTAATTATTCATTCTAAACGCAAAATTTCCTCTTTTTTATACGAAACGGAAGAGCACCAAATGTGAAAAAAATGCGAAATTCAAATTGACATGGGCATTGTGCATTTTTGTTACGTCGTGCTTACAGATACTTAAAACACACAGTATCACTCACATATTTTTTATTTATTTTTCTCGCAAATTTTGTTGTTTTGTCTTGCTTCTCGGCATGCCCCATCGATCGAAACAGTCGTTTTTTTTCTTATTCGGCGAAATATTGAAAAGGAAGAAACGGCTGCAAAAAATGAAGCAAAGTTATTTTTTCCCATTAACAATAACCTTCATGTTTCGCCCGATGAGTTTACCGAGTAATTTTAAAATTAAGGTTTTCTCTCAATCCCCTTGTACTTTTAAATTCTGTCAGTTTTTTTTCGATTTTCTTGCCGATATTTTATGTAAAAAGAACCAAGATGAAAAACATGAAATGGAGACATATAAATTTTGTGCCCGGCTGCCGATTAAATTGATTTCATTTTCTATTTAAATGCCAATTCTATATACGTTTTCGTGTTATTCGACAAATTGATTGATAGCGGTAATGTGTTTTTTTTTTTTGCGAATTCCTTCTTCTCATCAAAAACAATTCTTTTTTTCTCGTTTCGCGTTTTCTTTGATTTTTTTCTTTTCACTGTGACCTCAAAGTTCAAAGCGGTTTACGGAAGAGAATTTTTTCCAGTTCACCGAACTGAGAAAAGCTGTATCCCATTTTGAAGATGGAAAAGCGGAAATGTTGCAATTTTTGGAAGAATAAGCGCAAATATGCTCGGCATTTTCGCCCGAAAAATTATTGGCTCGTGACTCAAGAAAGTACGGTAATGTGTTCAATTTCTCTTTTCGCGACATCCCTTTAAAAATGTGACTACTAAAACCTCGTTCTTCCCATTTAAAAGTTGATTCAAAAAGCTCAATTTTTTCTCGCCAAATTTCGAAAAGCCAACCAAACACCAACCCCAATTACAAAACTCTCCCACATCTACTTCGATTTAATCATTGTGACAATGGCGAATCAGAGATGTGAGGAAAAAAAACGAAAGAAATTCGATATTGTTCCCGAGGTCTCAGGATATTGGAGCGCGTGGTGCGCAAGTCGAAAAAACACAAGACGAAAAAGAAGAAGAAGAAGAAGCGGAAAACGTCTTGCATTTCAAATTCAAATCACCGGCCTCCTTCTACTAGACCGCCGCGCGCCATAATTCTCGTCATCTTCAAATTTTGCTCTGCAAATTGCCAATGGGGGGGGGGGTTTGATTTGCAATCCAGTTGCTTTCATTTTTTTCTTTCTCCTTAAGAGTGATCACAAAACATGAAATATTAATCATTTCAAGCGATTACTCATTTTGTGATTTTCGTCAAGTTTTAGAAGTGTGGAAGATTTTCTAACAGGGGCTTCCGATGATAAGAGGCACTTCATTCAACCAGATTATCCTATTCCAACAATGAAAGCATTTCATTGAACATTGTGGTCACATATTTTCTATTTTAGATTATTCTTCACTATTCTCGGTTTAATCCATTCTCTGTAATCTCAATCACATCAAGAACTTCTCAACCACAAATTATTATCAAGAAAATACGCGAATTTTTTTCAATTTCGCTGCTAACTTTTAGCGTTTCTAGCATAGTAAATTTGTAAGATCAACCAAAATTAAAGACGTGACTAAATGGATTATAGGTTCCAAACGACTTCGTCTTAGAGTAATTTGTTGAAAAAACTCCAAACAATCGCTCAAGATTCGCCATTCTCGAAGGTTTTTTTTTATTTTGATCGTAAAAGGTTTCGAATAATGGCATTAGTAGTAGTAGTATTAGCGGGTTCTCCCATCAGCCTTCGAAACCGCTAGGAAATACGCCAAAGGGTCTCCATTTAAGTATAATCGAACTCAATTAACGACAATAGATGTTTATGACGCAAACGCGTTTATTTTCTGGAAATTCGTCCCAAATTCATCGGTTTTTTTTCGGAATCTTGTGACAATCGAAGAAATCTGAAAGTCTAGCCAATTGAATTTTGGAATTTTGGCAAATATTTCATTTCAACGCCATCGATCCTCTGAGGAATTGATCGTTTCGTCGTGAAACTCAAAGCGTGTTTAGCATGGACTCGGAAAACACACCAATCATTTCCTAGACAACGCCTCCATTCATATCTTCTATATCGCGCGTCTTTTCGACACCCGCAAAAACCCTACCTGTTTTCATCAACAATAAAGCTTTTCGACCCCCATTCACAATTTTTTTGCGTTAAATTGCAGTCAATTCAAGTATGTCTCCCATGAGTGGTAAATTGTGACTATTATATTGTGCAAGAGTATAATTGCCGAAAAATGCTGCCGTTTCTGCGAATGAAGTGTTCGCTCACAACAATTTTTGATAATAGAGTTGGAGTTGCCGCAAAAGAAGAATTTCATGCGACGAAAAATCTATTCGAAAATAGGCTGCTTTTGGAGGCTGAAATGTGCTTGACGAGACCGACGGAATTCGTTTTTCGTTGTGGTCATGACACGTGTTATTTTGCAATTTTGCAATTTCAATTTTTCGTATATTCTTCTTGACGAGTTTTCCGTGTTTGGTAGTGTCATGGGCGGGGAGATTTTGACGATTGCAAAGTAACGATTCCGTAGATTTAAAAAAAAACTACTGCGGTCCCATCTCCGAAGCCTGTAGCGACTTTGATGGGCGGAGTCGGTTCGGCTGGCTCAAGGTTGTCGCATTTTTGATGTCATGAGAAATTCCACTTTTTTGCAAATTTTCTTAGTAAGAAACACTGCAAAAAAATTTATTTTTTAATGATATGAATATATCAATAATTGCCGTATTATACTAGTTTTATTTTTCGTGATTCCACTTTTTTCTATACAAGGAAGCTGATGGAATACTCTCCTTTTTCCTTTTTTTCAAGCCTATGAGGTTGTAATTCCATAAACATCGTTATCCTACTGTATGTATATGACTAACCCTTGTTTATGGATTTTTCAATTCTTTTCGCGATGATATTTCTTTAATTATCACCATATTTCTATTTTTTTTTTCGAAAATTGAGCCGCGCATGAGTATGCGACTCTAATTGAGAATATTCTCTCTTTTTTTGCCTCGAGATGAATCATTAGAATATATATATATATATATATATATATACAGTTTTTTTTATCGCAACAGATTAATTGGCTCAATCAACGTGCTTGAGACGAAGAAAAAAAACGTGAAACGGTGTTGTTTTTCGACATATAAATTGTCGAAAAAAGCCGCATTGCGCGGTCGGTTTGTACTCCCCACGGGGGATTTGCCCGCCTCCTCCATCGCCTCCAGATGTCCGTCTTATTCATTTAGAAATTGATTTTTGTTTGCATTTTTTTTCTATGTTTTTTTTTTTGGGAAGACCGGCATGTTGGTTCATGACAAAACTTGCCAACAATGACGTCAAAAATTTTAAAGGCAAGTAGAAAAATATGTACATGAATAGGTGAGTATTGCGTGTTTTGCAAAGCAGTTTTTTCCTGCTTCGTCGTTTTGTGTGTGTGTGTGTGTGTGTGTGTGCTTCTTCCTCCCCTTCTCCTTGTTCTTCGTTTTCCCCTCTCCTAATTCCTATAAATGAGTTTTGCGAGTCAAAAGTGGTGTCGCATCCTGCCATTGACTCCTTTCCCTTTTCGCCTCCAACAGCTCACCGGGGGGATTTTCGAAAAATTGTTGTGGTCCTTATGCGCGTCACTGCCGTCGCCCCAAATTGGGTCCCTTAATAATGTCTGAAAATCGGCGCCGAGTTGTAAGCTGACATTGCGGGAAACACCGGAAGGAAACGCACATCAACTCGCACATTCAATTTTATTTCGTTTCGGTTTTTTGTGCGTTTCGTTTCTTTTTTTTTCAATAATTTTTTTCTGTGGCTTCACGCGCGCTCGTGTGCGCACACTTGCGGAATCCCTTTATGCGACGCCGTCCATCGTTTTTTTTTTCCTCGCACCAGAGCACTTTGTGAGCACTTCAAAATCAATTTTTCCTCATTAATCGACTCGACACATCCACACATTGGCCGGATTGCTTCATTCCATATTTTAGGGATCGTCGCTGAACTTGCGCGCTTTATAAATCTTGTGATTTTGGCCCGATGTGTCTTCATTCGTCTTGAAACGCAATTTTCCAAGCATATTTTATGGAATATGAATAATTCAGAGCGAACAACGCATACAAAGATTTTTCTCGCCCATTGGCGTGGGTGTCGCTTCATTGTCCTGATGTTGTCGCCATCATCACGTTTATTCGGAAATTTCTGTCCAAATTCTGTGTCATGTCTGAAAAATTCTCAGATTTTTATTTTGCACAAAAGTCTCGGTTGAAGGAAAAAATTTTGAAAATTGAGAAATTCTAGGCTCAAATTCCCATATGAAACATGAATGCTCATTCGTATTAAATCTCGAATTTTCTTGAATATTTCAACATAACGATCACCCTCATTTCGAGAATTTTTGATAAAATATTTTTTCAAAATTTTTTTATATTCCATCGTTGATGTGTGAATATCAAATCTTTGAAATACCCCTACTTCCAAAAATTTTCATTCGAGAATTCGTCATTTCTTTGCAATCCTCATTCCACCAGATATGATGCTTTTTACCTCTTCCGTTTTTAGATTAATCGTCATATTATTTCAAAAATAAACACTCAAAAATTGCGGAAAACTTTGTGTCTCTTTCTAACCTTTTCTACATCGGAAGTCGTCAAGAATGCCGTCTTCGGTTTGTCATGCTGCAAATTCAAATTTCCTCTTTCCGCTTCAAGTTCCTGTCCTTCGGCTGTTTATTTTTCAAAAAAATTTCGAATGTCTGATTTTTTGCCGCAAAAGTATCCCGCAGTCCTCAGTTCGGTTTTTTTTTTGTTATTTGTCGACCCTCTCCGTTTATTCGATGTCTAATTCCTCCACATTTCCTGTCATATTTCCGGTCGACAGTCGCCAATCTCCGCGATTCGACACAGTCTCTTCGCGTCTCTCGGCCTCCTCCCTTTTTCGACTATTTTCATCACAATGCTTCGAAATTTTTTGTCTGTGTTGTTATCGATCATTTCGCGATTTTACAGTGCAAAACTTGCGTTTTTTTTTGTTTTGTTTTTATTTCTCGCCTCTTCGCCGACGTTCGTTTCTTCTCCAGCTTCTTCGTCATTGTTTACAAAACATTCTTGACCATCGCTAAATGGTTTTTTTTGGTTTTCAGTCAAAATCAGAAGCGCTGAAACGAATGAGGCGACAATTATAAGATTTGCTTGTGGTCATTTGAAGTTTGAAAGGACGAAAGAAGAAGCCAAAGAAAGAAAGAAGAAGAAGTAGTAGAAGAAGCTCAACAGAATGGATCGAGCAAAGAAAAAGTGAGCCTGAAATGAAATGTTTCTTCACTAAATTTTCTCCCACTATGTCACCTTTTTTGGCTCTTATGTCACGTGAAATAATCATTCCATAAAAAATACCATTTGTGTAATCCGTTGATTACTGTTATAAGACGTTTATCATTTAGAAAATGTCTAAATACTGCAAAAAAAAAAAACAATGGTATTGTCGTGATGCAAAACATTTGACGGGCGACACATTAAATGGGCCCATCAAGACCTCATCTTAATTTTTTGGCAGTTAGCCAATTTTCCGCAAATCTCGAAAAATTCTTAATAAAATCATAATCATTTAAAATCATTGTGATTATTACCCCGAGTTTTTCGATAAAATTTTCTAATGTCGTTTTCTTTGAGAAAAATGAATTATTAAATAACTCGAAATGTATTCTCAAAATTTGATCCAAAATTTTCGTGGTTCCTTTGGCAACGTTCTGTTGACTCTGTTCCAATGTTGTTTTTCGTTTTTTATTCTTTTTTTTTTGAAATGTGAAAATTGAACCACAAAATGCGTCCATAACATTGGCATCATTTATTGCCTTCATATTTCGAGAAAAAAAGCAAGCTGAATACGCACTAAAATTGAAAATAATGCGAGAACGATATTTACGACTTTCGACGAGATTTCGAATGGCGCTATTTCATGGCATTTTGTTGAGATTTCTCAAAAACAAAACTCTTTTGGATGTTGCAACAAAGAGTACATAGTTGTTTGGTGAACAACGCCAATTTCAAAGATCGTGACAAAAATGTTGTTTGCTATACGAACGGCAAACAAGTGTTGATCCAAATTGAGAAATTTTCGACCCAAAAAGAAGTACAAGCGGTTTAAGGTTCGCGTCGGCCATCGACGGTCTACGCTCATTGCACAATCGCACAGAAATCAATGTTGATGAGAAAATCCAACCGGAGCATTGTTGTCTGACTACAGTAGGCCATAAAACGGCTATTGAAACCAATCCAAAATTTTTATAGATTGTTCGACATGGTCTGCCAGACGACGCAAGATGTTTGGCATATGATCCTGTCCAAAGACTTCTCGCCATCGGAACAGGACGTGGTCATATTCGGATTATTGGCGATGCTGGCGTTGATTACCATCTGCGCCATGAAACTGATCACGCGGTTGTTCAAATGCAGTTTTTGGTTAATGAAGGTGGACTGATATCGGCATGTGCGAATGAAATGATTCATTTGTGGAATTATCGCCAAAAAGTTTGAGCAAAATCTGAAAACAAATGAAATTTTAAAAAACTCTCAAATAGGTTCCCGAAGTGGTTCATTCAATGCAATTCAATAAGGAAGGCGTCTCAACCATTCACCTTCCAGTTAGCGGAAAATGGTTATACGTTGGAACTGACAAGGTATTCGCTTGCTCAGGTTGATTCACATAATTTCGACTTGTAGGGAAACATTTACTTCCTTTCGGTAGCCACGTTCCAATTAAGTCCTTATGTAATCAATTGGAATAAGGCTATTGATCTTGGGTGTCGTGTTCACCCAGGCCCTGTCCGCCAACTCGCGGTTTCACCAACTGATCCAACCAAATTACTTATTGTCTATGACAAAGGTGTATTGGTTCAATGGAATTTGACAACCAAAGAGGTCGATCGATTCCCGCTGGATCCACCCATCAAAACAGTCTCGTGAGTCTAAATAACATCATCCGTGTTTGGGGCACGATAAACGATTTCAGATGGCATTTTGATGGGAAGCAATTGCTCACCGGAAATGTCGATGGCTCGGTGAGCGTGTACAACGTTCGCAAAACGTCCGAATGTGTGCAACGGACGACGCCGCACGGAACGGGACCCTGCAGGTAGAGAAGACGGGATCTAGCCTAGAGCAAAACACGCACACTCACAAATGATTAATACACAACCACACAGCATAGATAGTATTCAATAGGAATACTGAGAATCATTTTTTAGAACGAACACACACTCGGAATAAATTTTCAGAACAACAGAATCTTGTAACGGAGAGGGCGCGTCGAACAAGAAAACTTGCAGACCAATCAATCAGATTGAATGGAAGCATGTCTCGGAAGGCGAGCAGATTATTGTGTTCTCTGGCGGAATGCCAACCGACGACGGGTTGCCGGTTCCCGCGCTAACCATCCTTCGCGGCGGCAAGTCGGTCACGGTTCTCGAAATGGACCATCCAATTGCTTCATTCATCACATTGCCGCAAATTGCATACAATTCATGTCCTCAGCAGCCGCATTCGGTTGCTGTTCTGCTCAAAAACGACTTCATGGTGCTTGATCTTCAACAGCAAGGGTTTCAATTAGCACTTAATTTGTCTTACATTGCTCATTTTTTGTAGACATCCTATGATTGAATCACCTCATGCGATGAATATTCATGAGAGTCCCGTCACTTGCCTCGTCTATTATTCTGATTGTCCTTTGGATCTGATCGGAGCCCTTACGCTAGTGGGGACAAAGCAGAGAAAAAAGGATTACAGCCAGCGGGTGAGAATGAATTCAAAACCAGCATTTATTATTTAAAAACAACCAAAAAACAAATAAATAAAAAAATGGAAATGAAGGGGAAAGTGAAAAAAGATTAACAACAATAATTTAGACTATACCGACTTTGGCCAAATACTCGTTGAATATAAAACGTAATCCGAGAAAAAATTTAAAAGCCCTTTTCTTTATGATTTTCGAGTTTAATCAGTTTTGGTCCTAAAAATTTAAAATTTTCGAATATTTTTCATAGCTGAGTTTTAAAATACTTACTTGTCAGTAGCGAGTGCTCTGAGAACGCGGTTTCCAGCGACAAATGTAATGAACCCGAGTACCGAAAGATATTTGAGAGTTTCGAACATGTCGATCTTGATCCAGAAGTAAAGGTAGAGCGCAAGAATTCCTTTAAACTTCCTATTAGTGAGAGAGGACATATTTTTTGACTTGCCAGCAAGTCCACCGTGGAAAATTATGACCCATGGAGATGCTGGGGCATTGTCGAAATTGATTCCAATCTTGAACCAAACAGCAAGAAGAAATGCGAGTGGAAGAAGGCAGATGATGGTAAAGGCGTCAGAAATGACTGCTGGAGGTCTCTTTTCTGGTTGACGGAATTGGTGAACGATTTCTGGCAAAACGTCGTAGCTGATTTTTTGAGATTTTGGCACGATTGGTGGATTTGATGGCAATGCTAGTTCAAGATCAGCCTAAAATGTATTTTTTTCCCCAATGAAATATGAAAAATAGCCTACAAAGGTCCAGTTGATTGGATTCTTGACAGTTTTTCCTCCAACAATGAGGCTGGCTTTGAATGAACCAGTGAGATGGTTGAACTTCTTAGCAGCTACTCGAAGAGACTTTAAATTCATGAATATTTTAAATTAAAAGGAATAAAAACATACCGTATCGTATAAATATCCACCAGTGGATTGTGATTCAAGCGCCAGAATCACATCTTCGCCGGTAGAATGCTCGAATCGCAAGAAAACTTGTTCAGGAGCAACTTTAGATTTATCCGACTTCTTTTGAATGTCAAACTTTACGTACAATCGCTGGTTAGCGTCCCCACTCAACACTCCAGATGCTTTGGAAAAAACCGCCATTCTAAAGCAGTTATTGTAGTGGAAAGCATTTGTAAAAGGCTTACTTTTTTAAATGCTCATCCTTTGCATCTTGGTCTTTAGCGAGAAATCCGATTTTGAAACTTTCTACAGTAATGTCGTCTACGGCGGCATACGCGAGAGTGATTAAAGCGAGAATCGCAATAATAGGCCGCATTTTTACCTTAAAATGAAACGTATCGATTGGTGAGCAAAGACGGAGAGGGAACTGCGGTGACGCCGCGCTAGAGAAGAAAAGGCGCTGCAAGCAGAAAATGTAAGCACGTGTCGCAAGCATGTCTATTCAAATCCATCGACTTGAATTTCAAATAAATTTTTGGAAAATGAACAAAAAATGTGTTTCAAAAAGCGAAAAGAGCACAACCTCGGAAAACCACGTCAAACATAAAAATGCGAATGAAAAGTGTTTACACACAATGCGCGCTATTTAGTGTACCACTGCGGAACATGCGCCACGTTTGACGACACCCGCAATATAATTCTTTTTTTGCAGTCATGGCCCATTTCGGGAGGTCTTGGAAGGGAATGCGCAACCGGTCATCAAGAATTAGTCATTACTGGGTATTACATATGAGAGATTATTTAAAATTTATTTGAAATATTCAGGCACAAAGATGGAACAGTGAGATTTTGGCAGGAAACGGGTGAACATCTACAAATTTTGTATCGGCTCAAAACTGCATCTCATTTTGAGCGACTTGAAGAAATGGAGGGATGCGATAAAGTGTCACATGCTGTTAAGGATATTGAATTATGTCTTGAGGTTCAAAAATTAAACGAAAATCGGCATATAGTTTAAATACTGCAGTCTCGGCAACTTCTTGTCGCAGGAATGTGTGGCCAGGTCACTCTATTCCGTTTCGTGAAAACTGAAAGCATGAATACAATCGCCGTTGTGAATATTCCACTACTGGGCAACCCGTCAACGTCGACAGCGGAATTCGAGAAGCCGCCACTTGCGAATGGGCCAGGTGGAAAAGAAATGCGACGACAACGGAAGGTATGTGGTGTTGTGCGTCGAGTTTTGTCGATTAAACAATGCTCGTTCTCCCCCTAACAGAGAAAATGCAAAAAGCTCGAAAATTAACAGCTTTTAATTGACCTAATAAGTCAACATCTAACAGCACTCAAAGCTTTCCGATCCGAAATTGATTGCAGAAACTTCGTCATATCGGTCGACGGCAGTTGTCTTTTCAACTTATGCCAACTCAACGGCTAGAGTTATGAATAGAAATTCATAAAAAAGAATGGGCCGAACCGGGGATTGAACCCGGGACCTCTCGCACCCAAAGCGAGAATCATGCCACTAGACCATTCGGCCACGTTCACTGTGATTAGCTTTTCCATATAAGGGATAGGTATTCAAAGATGAATATCTCTCTTATGGTTTCCTCGCGGTCGGTAGAAATGCGAAAGGCGATGCGGAAAAACCTGATCTATTATAGAAACAACCATCAAATGTCTCTATCTCTTATATGGAAAAGCTCAAGAATCGGATCGTGGCCGAATGGTCTAGTGGTATGATTCTCGCTTTGGGTGCGAGAGCACAGATAAACGGCGGCATAGGCACAATGGAAGCATAGTGGAACGGCTGTGGATATCATAGGAATCTTATATGCAAGTTATATGGAAGCATAATGGAAGCATTTTTTTGCGGAACCGCGTGTTTCGTATATGGAATGAGCCGTATGCCTTCCATATGGGCAAATAAGAAAACAATTTGATTGCTGTATTCAAAATTTATTTCATATTAACACATTTATTTAATTTAAAATAAAAAAAAACAACAATGAAATGAATTTCAATTAAGATATAATCAAACCATTAGTTACTGGCAACTGCCGAACTATTCGAATCATTGTCAGTACTGACATCGAGCGGGACGCTGTAATAAGTAGATTATAATGGGCCTATTAATTTGAAAAACTTGTAAACCATTGTTACGTAAACTAAATTTTTCGAGAAAATACAATCAGTTTTTTTACATCAATAATTTTCTTAAAAATAAAAATAATTTATTTTTATTGCATTTTTGGAAACCCTTTAGTGCACAAAATAAAAAGTGAATTGGCGGAAGAAAGAACAACTCCAAAATTTGAAGCAAAAAGGCATTTTGGTTAAAATTTCAAAGACATATGAATACTCACATCTGAGGGTTGCTGGTAGAATCAAGCAGCTTCCTTAATTGCGCCGCGAGCGCTTCCGGCGCTACACCAAATTTCCTTTGAAGTCGTTGGCGCATTCTATCGCTTAATCAAATAAATAAATTAATAGTCATAGTTCAAAATCTTACAGAAGATTATCCATGACTTCTCGAACCATGCGTAATGCTTTCGCTTTGAAGTCATTTGTCGGTTGTTGCCCAAAGCCATGGACAAGAGCATCTGTAATATAGATATTTGCAATAAAGTATAGGATCTTTATATAGTCGGCGTCTGGCGACTTCTGTACTAGAGCCCCACTTAAAAAGATAAATGCCACTGAATGATATTGGTACGAAGGCTGTACGGCAATCGGAAATTTCGGCGATTCGGCTAATGGCAAATTACCGATCGAAATTTTCTTCGGCAATTTGAAAAACCGGCAATTTCGGCAATCGGCAATTCCATTGCCGCACAGCCCTGATTGGAACCAAATAATCAACAAGCTTTAAACTTAGGAAGTACTTTATAAAGACTTCATTGCGCATATTTTTCTAATTGAAACCATTTCTGGAGTCGAACAGGCCAATTTTTGATGATAACAACTTACAAATTGGGCGTACGAAGGTTTAGGAATTGGCGTTGATTTTGTTGTTTGTGAGGACTGTGGAGAAAAATTTTTTTGCTGAGTTGGCGAGTAAATTGGACTATCTGGATCTGAAGTGTCGAGCGAATTTGGTTCCATGTTAGGGACTTCTGGTTCTTTGTTATTGACTTCTAGAGCAGTTTCAGTTATATCTGACAACACTCTCGATCTTGTCTTCATCTGTAAAAAATTTCAAAACATTATGTTTTATTAAAAGAAAAAAGCGAGCGATAATAAAAAATGTTAAAGTAAATAAAAATAAAACGGATTCGATGAGAAATTAAACACAATTCGATTGAGAAAATATTTAAATTCGATTTTAAAAGTGTCGGAAACGATTTGAAAACATCGTATCGATTTTAAAATTTTCGAATGCTATCAATTTATTTTTGGTTTCGATTTTGATGATAAATATGAAAATTTTTCCTTTATTTTTTAAAAACATTTTTCCTTTAATTTTGAAAAGAATTCTTTAATTTTTGACAAAAAAAAAACACAAAAAATCTTGAAAATTCATTGAGAAAAAGCAAAAGGACAAAAATTTTGAAAACGAATTTCGAAAATGTGAGGCGTGGCCGCATTGTGCAAAGCGGCGCACGGTTTTGCAATGCTGCGGCACGCCTCTTCTACGCGCGTCTGCTACCAGTTTGGAGCAAATTGTGAGTAGTTTGCGATGCCAATTTCGGAAAAACCGGCAAAAATATATTAATACGACTAAATTGTAGTTGGCAATCTTTAAACAAAGTGAGGAACAGTTGACTGAATTAACATAAATCTGAGTAACATAAGTCATTAAATGGTAGAAGATAATTTCGTCCGTTGTGTATCATGTAATTTTCAAATTTTCATTGTTTATATGATAGCATAAGTTTTTTGTATTGATTTTTCTAGAAATTGTCTTGGTCTGCCGTCCAGACGCCAATTGTATAATGTTTATTGACATATGATTATTTTATCCATATTCCATCCATATTTGTTCCACGGCTCGCAAACACCGGAAGCATATTCATCCCGTTTTCATTCCATCCATATTCGTCCCATAATTCTTCCACAGCCACTAAGAATTACATTATGCTTCCTATATGGAAGCATTATGCTTCCGTTCCACAGATTTCCCACAATGCTTCCATTATGCTTGCGTCGCGCTTAATCAGTGAGGTCCCGGGTTCAATCCCCGGTTCGGCCCATCGTCTTTTTGTTTTTTTTTTTTAAAGTAAATTAATTCATTAAACAAAAGCTGGGAACTTTTTTTAATAATATGTAAAAATCCCTTAAATAAGCACTTTAACTAAACACTACATTAAGTTCTTTTTATTTTTATTTGTTTTCCATGTTTTAATATTTAATTTTTACAGATTGTTTCTCGTGAGTCTACGAACTCATTGGATACGAGCGATTCCGGTGAAGAGAGAATTGTGCCATTCAAAGTTCGCGGAGCTCCCGTCAAACGGCCGCCCGGACTTCAACCAGAACTCGCCTGTTTCGTTCCTTGGCCTACAATAAATAAAGTGGATCATGTGACTTCGATTGCGCTCAATTCGCTTTATGGTGTTCTAGCCATAGGTTAGTCGAAAAGCGTAACTCGATATGAGACCCAATTCATTCATCGCTTTAAAGGGACAGCATCGGGTCTCGCTCTCGTTGATACAACACAATGTGCCTTGATATATGCATGGACTACTAGTGAATTATATGGATCAGAGCCGACACCAGCTATTCAGTTGAGTATGCAAAATAGCGAAGGAGCAAGTCCATTGGAGGTTAGTTGCATTTAAAATTCGGCAGTTCGTGCAGGAGAAACGGCGGAGTTTTTCTTTTCCAACCTTTAACTGGAGAGAAATATCCGCAGTTTTTTCTACATGGATTGCCAAGATATAAAATTTATGTGAAGTTATTTTTTCCAAAAAGTGGTCAAATTTTACTAACGAAATTAAGTTTTGATAGCATCAAAAGCCACTTATAAATTGAAATATATGTATGTATTGTGCACGATTTCCGCATAAAGTGTCGTAATTCTGTCGCGGGCCGTTTTGAAACTACTTTTTTTTCCATTTATTTACTTGATATTTGGCGTGTTGTGTCGTTGTCTATTCCATGTGTGTTTTGGTTACAGTCCGACGAGGTGTTCAATGAGGACGTGCTCGTCTACAATGTCGCAACCGGTCAGTACAATATGCAGCATCGCGAGAATGGCTTTTTGCACACTGGCGAGCAGCCATTAAGGCCGAAATCGGCGAATTCGTCGAGCAAACCGAGCGGAGTGATGGGAATTTTGCGGCGAAACACCGCTGAATTGGCTGCGACAATTCGCGACAAATACCAGAATCGCGATCGGAATGATTCGACTGATCGGCCTGACGCGGAACGAACCGTAACCCCGCCACCAACGCCTAGCGAATCGATTACAAAATCAGGAAGGAGTCATTCCGTTAAAGGAAGTTTCATGCGAAGATTCGCTAAGGCATCGACGAAGGAGAAACGAGCTACGACGCCGACTGTGGAGAGGTCGAAGAGTTTTCACTCGCATATTTCTGAAGAAGGTTTGAATTGAATGTTTTCTTAGTTTTTTTTTTCGTTTTTCAAACTTTTCTATCGCATTTGGCAGGCGGGTTTCTTTGCTTCAATCAATCGGGCATCTGTTGTGTCAGCTTATGTTTTTTTTTTCGCTATTTTTCATTTCATAATCATGTACTATCATCGTCATTTTTTTAATTTACTGCTTGCCTATCATGGTAATTTTATTTTTCGTACTTTTATATTTATTTTTCTGGGTTCCATTAATTGCTTGGTTTGCTAAACATGCATTTTTTTTCGAAATATTTTATTCAAATTGACCCAAACTAACTGATTCTAATATTTTGATATCGATTTTAGTCGCCGGTTACACTCGATGCGCCAAAACGAATAAACAACGAATTGAAGCAACGGTCGTTCGACGCACGTCGACCGCAATTGTTCAAAACGCAATCGGTGGTTGAAAATGGATCAATTCAAAGAGGTTTTTTTTCATTTTCAAAATTTAGCAATTTGAATGCTCGAATGTTTGTTTTAATACGAACATTTCGATTGGATGCATGCTTTAAATCGCTATTTTGAAAATATTTCTTTTTATACGAATGATTTTTGTTCACTCAATCTTGTTAACATTATTTCCATATTTGAATTTTCTAACTCTGATAACTCAAAACACGAAATTCGGCCCCGACATCCACCTAATCCGATTGGAAATTCTACAGATAACATTGAAAATTAAAAAATCAAATCCGATTCGAATTGAAAAAAATTAAAACGAAACGGATTCAAATAATAACCAATCGGATAAGGTTGATACCGGTGCCGAATTTTGTCGGATCCGATTGGTTTTGAGTTACCAGAGAAAAAAATGCATTCGTTTACGAATCGTGATCCTTTTATGATTAATAGAGTATGAAAACGTTTCAATATTCCGTTTTTCGTATTTCACCTGAAGAGTTTTCTTTATTATTTTTTTTCTTTTCTTATCATTTGCATAGCTTATTCGGCTAGAATGTTTGTTTTGTATATTTGCTGCATGTTTTCACTAGATAATTCAAACTTTTATCCTTATTTTGTCAATTGTTTCCCATTTCTACATATATTTTCTCCTGCCTGCCAGCTGTTGTATGAGTATTTCAGTCGTCCAATGTGGAATCAAACCATTTTAGGAGAATCGACAGCTCCTTCGCCATCGTTGACACGTCAAGCGAATGCGTCACCATCGACGTCGGTGCATTCGCTGGATCGATCATTGTCGTCGCAACCGCAGGAAGCGATCACATCGCTCAAGTTCATTCATTCGCATTCCAAACGAAATGGTAGGTAATTGGAATTATTAAGAAAAATGTTTTGATTCAAAATTTCGTTAAAATGCTTTAGCTATTACTTTCAGATCAAAAAATGGCGCCATGCTTATGGGTAGGAACATCAGCTGGAGCTTGTTTGGCGTTGAATCTGATTCTTCCTGAAGATCGATTCACGTCAACTGTAGTCGTCGCACCGTCAGGTATGTCAATTTCGAGTGTTTATTAGTTGATTAATAGAATTCCAATATTGTCTTTACCAAAAAAAAAGAACTCTTTTGAGTGGCATTCATCTATCAATTTTATACGCACTTTAATGCGCTACAAACACTCACAAATTGTACTCTTTCGCTTTTTTGTCAACTATTAACTTCTGTCGTGTGAATATCTCTCGCAATCCCGTCAAATTTATTAATATTATTTCAGCCGTCGAAGATTGTAAGTTTTTCAAGTTGTCCTCTTTTTTTTTCGAGTCAATATATGTGTCTTTTTTCTTGTCGGTCGACGCTATATTTTCTATACTCTTGTCCATAGTTTTTTTTTTCGCACTGTTGTTGGGTTTCGCTTCTTTTTCGATCGGGTTATTAGCAGACTTGTTGGTTTTTGTCTTTCATTTTTGGGTGTTGCAAAAAGTGAATTAGAAACCTTCGATTTTGGCCAAAATCAACAAGCCTTTTCGCTTTTTCACTGAAGCACATGCACTTGAATTATGAGTTTTTCGCTTTTTTTTTAATGCTCAGTGTTTCTATTTCGATTTACGTACTGAATTAGAGAGTAGCAATACATATAATTAAGCATAGTAATTAACACACACGTGAACATTCTATAATTGAGTTTAGTCCGTGGCCGCAAACACTGCTATCATGGTAGGTTTTACACGAGATTTCGGTTCGATTCGTTTTTTCATCTCTCAACCGTTTATGAGATATTTTAATATTTATCCGAACCTAATACGAATAACCAGAGACTCCAATCAACACTAATAATGCATGGCTTGCGGTGTTCGAAATGAGAATTGCGTTGTGCAATTCAATTAAATATTGAAATTGGTGGTTTCCCTGATTTTTTTGTGGGTAGTTTGATCCTTTAGTAATTGTTTTTTTTTAATCAAATTTTCTAATCATCAACTTCGTATTGTTTTAGGCACTGTTGTTAAAACGAAAGGACAAGTCTTGTATCAGGGTTTCATGGATTCCCAGTTTTGTTTGATGAGTGCCGCCGCCGAGTCGTATAAGGATTCGAATAGAGAATCTTCGGCGACGAGTCCGGAACGAACTCTCAATAATCGAGTATGCGTTGCTTACTATTCTGTATATGATTTATATTTTCCAGATTTTGACAAAATCTAGTTTGGCTCCACATTACTCAAACTCTGTTGATGTAAATGAAGAAATTTCGCAAATTTTGATAGTTGCTGCTGAAATGGAGGTCAAAGTGATCGCGCTTCCGACATTCAGTCAGTTGTTCGTTCACAAATGCGATGATATTCCTCTGGTTAAGGTAAGCGAATATTTTAATTTAAAAAATTGCAATGATTTATGTTAATTTATTTTGTAGGTCAATGCAACTCATATTCGAGGTCATCCTGTTCTGATGTGTATATCCGCAGCCGGCCAGATGGTGCTTTTGTCGCTTCCAAGTCTACGACTTCTTCACACTTCACCACTTTTCCCACATTCTGTCGAAATCGAAGATGCGTGAGTTGACATTTATTATCATTTTATTATTTCTATAATGTTTTTCTAACTCATTTTCTCAAAAGAAATGACATTTTATCACATTATTCTCTCGCCATTTATTGATTGTTTGGGGTTTAAACACGTCCTTCCGATTTCGAAGCGTTATGTTTCATTTTTCTCAGAATCTGCCAGAAAACGTCGTTCTCTGATCATGGTCTTGGGGTCTACATGGCGAGCCCAAGTGAGGTGAGGAGTATTTGCGTTTTGAATACTTGAGCAACTCGCATGTTTCCAGATGGAAAAGTACACAGTGTGTGCGGAGCTCGCCGAGCAGACGAGCGACTCGTTGGGCGAGCTGTTTGTGCCGTGTGAAATGCCAGAACCACCGAAAAACACGTCGTTCTTGAAGGTTTTTCCACAAAAAAACAATTATTGAATTTTTGCGAATCGAAATTTTAGGGAGTCTCGTCGATTTTCAGCGCCACACCTCGACAGGATTCTGCGGATCTTGACAGGATTTGTGAGTTGGATTGGTTTTAATGAAATAACAATAATAGTAAATGATATTCAGTGAGTGACAACAGCAAGGATCCGAAAGCCGCTGGAGCGCCGACAACTATGCGAAGTATTGGCCGAACGATTCCGGGGCCTTCGATGTCAATGGATAGAGCTCATGCTGGTGGAGTTTCAGCTGGACAAGCAGCAGCTATGGCTATTCAGGTAAGAATTGTTTTTTTTTCAATAATCACTACTGAATAATTGAATAATTATAGAATTTGAACGAACGAACTGAAAAATTGAATGCGACTGTCGACGCAACGGAAAATTTGAAAAATAACGCGATGAGCTTGTCTTCCCGAACCGGAAAACTCGTCGAAAAGTATGAGAAGAAGAAATGGTACAACTTTTAGCCAGAGCCATTTGTTATCATTATGGAGTATGTGATTTGCTTTATTTATTCAACAATAACACTAACTAATAGCAATATCAGATAAAGAGTTACCCCATGTAACAATGTATTCCCTCTGATATTTGGTGTCTTGTTCGCTCCTAGTCAAGATTCGTTGTTTTCCAGATGTACAAATTGAAAGTAGTTAATTATTTCGAATCGTCCTCTATTTTGATTTAATATTATAAATTCTGTTCGAATATTCAACAGGTAGTTTTGTAGAGTTTTGTTTGAGCCGAAATTTCGCTTCGATTCTTATTTATGCATTGGGTTAGCATTTTCTTTTTCTTTTTACCTTCTACCATTAATACTTTATTGTATTGTATGCAATTTTTTTGTAACACATCACTTTTTGTTCGTAGATTTTAATAGAACCATGGAAAAATTTAAATCGAAAATTATATGTCTATAAAATATGCGGCTGTTGTCTTTGTTTTTGTAGAGATTTGTTGTAATGATTAGAAGAAGAAAGAGTCGTTGAAATCGGTAGATCGTCGACTGAAATTGAATGAAATTGGAAAATGCAAAAAGAAACGTGAAGTATTACACTTTTGAGCGTTTGCGGAGTGGAATTCCTCGAGCTGAAAGAAAAATGTATTTTATTCGAAAAAAGAGTATGTGCATAAAATTTGATTCAAGCTGCTTTATGCTGCTGCACGGTGCGAGATTACAAGGAAAAATGAAATTCGTGCATTTCAGGGCTGTGCGGCAATGGAATTGCCGATTGCCGAAATTGCCGAAATTGCCGATTTTTCAAATTGCCGAATTGCCGAAGAGAACGTTCGATCGGCAATTTGCCGAATTGCCGATTTGCCGAAATTTTGATTTTCGGCAATTTGATATCAAAAAAAAAATCGGCGAAACCAAAATCAATGTCCATTGAATAATTTGGGATACCGTGAAAATTCGGTATTTATATTTCGAATTATCGTTGAAAACATTTAATAGCCGAAATTTTGATTTTCGGCAAATTGCCGAATTGCCGGATTGCCGAAATTTTGATTTTCGGCAATTTGCCGAATTGCCGAATTGCCGAAATTTCCGATTGCCGCACAGCCCTGGTGCATTTGTTTAAAAGGATATTCGGTTTTCGTGTGGAATTGAATGTGCTGAATTTTAGTGTTTTCGCTTACCGACTTCCGCGGCTGTTTTCAAAGGAATATCTACTGAAACGGCAGAGTCTCGTTTCACTTGATTCAAAATTACCTGGTTTTTTCTGTGAAATCAGTTCTTTCATTCCTCTCTCCAATCGGCGACGCTCTTCTAGTTCTCTCTCAATTTTTTGGTCGAGTTCCGGAATTCTGAAATTGATCATTAAAAAATTGCAACATAATTCAATTAGACTTACTCAATTTTTTTGCGGTCTGGATCGTTTGGCGAATAGAAATAAGTGCGGCCATTTTCTTCATGACGGACATATGTATTACCATCTTTGTCGCGAACAATTGTCGCTGGACGGAAGCGAGCCAATTTGACGTTTTTCAAATTCATGCGTTTCTCGTCTTCGGCCGTTGGAATGTAAATAGTTTGACCGTCTGGTTGAGCTCCTTCTCCAATGTTGTAAGTGGAGGAATCATCATCATCAACGTTTGATCCTGATTCAACTCCATCTCCGATTCGATGTGTCGGACGCGCTCCGTCGCCAATGTCATAGGCTGGAATTTCTCGATTTCCGGATGGTTCCACTCCATCTCCGATTCGATGCGCCGAACGCGCTCCGTCGCCAATGTCATAGGCTGGAATTTCTCGATTTCCGGATGTCTCCACCCCACTTCCAATTCGATGTGCCGGTTGAGCTCCATTTCCGATGCTGTTCGAAAACTCAACACCTCGTCCAATGTTACGATTTTCAGAAGGGTCTACACCTTGTCCAATTTGATGTTCTGATTGTGCTCCATCGCCCACTTGATAGGCATTTCCATGAGTTCTTGCTCCAGGACGATGGCGCCCAGCAAATTTGCGTTCTTCATTTGTGGTTCCATAGTTAACAGATGGTTGGTTTTCGGGGGCCTGAACATTTGCATACTGACTGACGTTTTTCGTTGGATTTGAATCGTTCCCATCTACATATTTTCTACGCAGATTTCGAGCATCAATTATTTTAACGAAAAAAATCATCCGATGTTTTTTTTGTTTTTTTTTATTGATCCAATTTCAAAGAAAATTTAAAAAGTAATATTATGTCAACCATTTTTTAATACCTCTAGATTTCTGCCGTGCTGGCGTTCCCAGTTTTGTCGAGCATTCTGCAATCAATTATTTCAAGCATGCATTTCAAATTCAAACTCTCACCGAAATTCTATCAACATAGATATCATATCCAGGCTCGCCAACAGCTGGAACCTCTTCGGGAGTGATATAACCGGATCGCAATCGTTCAATATAATCGTTGTATCGTTCATCTCCAGGTTGAGGAACAATTCGACGTCTCTGCTCATTATAGGCTTGTTGTTCTGGAGAAATTTGATTAGAGACAATATTCGAAGCCGGAATAATTTTTTGCGAAACTATTCTTGACGATGGAAAGCTTTCGCGACTATTTTGAATCTCCTGAAGCACTCAAAAATAACCATTTTTCCAGTTGAACTTTTTAAACCCAATATCTCTTTTCGTATTCGTCGAAGCCCGGTTCTCCCGGTTTATACGGATTTCCATTATCAGACACATATCGTGTTTCATAGTTCTGCAATATTGAACTGAAATTTCTCAAATGATTTTTGCAATTACGCTGAATTGTATTTGAACTCCGCGTGAATCGAAAGCCGGCCGAGCCGCATCCGAAGGGTTGTTGCTTGGGAATCCGCTCACCTTCAACATTCAATATTTTTCTAAGTTCTATTTTCTAAATCTGTTCCATACATCATAATATGGGTAATTTTTCGGATGGTTGATTTTTCCTTGATAATGTGGATCACTGTAAATGGTTAGATCCTGAAAAAAGTGCACCGAAAAATAACAAAACTAAATAGCAATGTTCACGTACGTCGCGACGGATTTCCTGAACCGGTTTCCTCTGAAAAAAATTGGTTCCGTTCAATTTTCCTTGAAATTTCAGTGGGTTTTCGAAAGGGAACAGAGGGAGAAATCAATTTTGCTTTGCTTATTTTCGTTATATAACCGAGCATACGGCTTCTTGAAAACGACATTCTTTTATTGTGTGAAATAAGCATTTGGGTTCAAAGCAATTTATCGAAATTCGAGCGCATAATTATTGTATAAAGAAATTAAGAAAGAGACAGGATTCGCAGTTTTCGCACAAAGGATTAAGGGGGGAAAGCACAATTTAATTCAAATTACAAGAGTAAAACAATGTTGAATTCAACAATATATCAGCACATAGATAACAAAACAGTTGGTGAAGAAGATGCGAAACAACATGACATTGAAGCTATTCGTTCGCGAAAGAATTCGATGGGGGAATAGATATTCAATTGAGGGTTGTACTAGGATAAAAATGAAATTTTGGTATAAAATCGCAAGCTAAAATGTACAAGAGGCGTGGAGAAGTGGGTATTTCTTAAATGCGTCTTGGGTGATGATATACCGGACGTACATCGATTGAGAGATTCTTCTTCTTGAGAAGCCACACTTTGCGGACGAACTCATCCGGTGATTTGACCTAGGAATCTGTGGATAAAACGGAAAGAGGTAACGGAGATAATACCTCGATGAACTCGTTGGAGTTAGGTGAGATTCCTTGGAAAATCTTGGCCGAGGCTTGAGCGTCTCCAAAGAAAATTTCATCGGGATTCGTTTCGATTTTGGCGATGCGGTGCTTGTGGAACCCAATAGTGTCGCGAGTGCGCAGATGGGAACCTTGGACCCATTCGAATCTGTATATAAAAGGTAAGGCCATTTGAAATGGAGGCAAACTCATAAAACGCACGGAATTGCCTCATTCGGGTTGCGACGATTTTTGCTGAGCACACGGAAGCCACCGCACACCTCGACCGACTCCTTTTCATAACCGACGAACCATCCGCAGACTCGACCGTTTGGCTTTACGAACACGTGTCCGAACGATTCGTGATGACGCCCATTTCCGTACTTTGTACGAGTAATCCTGAAAGTGTCAATTATTTTCTCGAATTATCTGCGTAAAAATCATTGAACCAAAGTTAGTTAAAATCACACATTGAAAACTGAAATGACATGCCAGATTATATTTTGATTTCATTCCAAACATTAAGATAACATATGCACTGCACTCTGGTTTGAATTCAAAATTTTGAAATTAACTGAAAACATCACTCGAAACGAACATTTCTAAATCGTCCGGTCCTTCCCTAAAAGGTTTCATTTTAGCTTTGAACTTTAATTTTTCTCTTTTTTTTTTAAATCGCCCCGAGCTAATCAAATACGTACCAATATCCGATGAACGCGTTTCTTTGTTGGTGTCCGTTGTTCTCCTCGTAAGGGAACACAAGGAAGTCATCGGTGGTCCGTCCATCCCTCAATTGTCCGTCATAGCCAACAGTGGTCCAATATTCTTCCCCGACCAAAGTGTCGAGTCCTCGGCAGCCTCTTCTTGGGATGAAGCCATCGCGCTGAAAAAACACCGTTAAGATCAAAAGGGAAATTCGTGAGACTTACCCCTCTGAGCTCTCTATAAGTTCCACGGCATTTTGCAGCCTCGCTAGTGCATGCCAACACTAGTAAGAGAGTCGCCAAGGCGGTCCAGCTACTCATCCTGCAGAATGGAAAATGAGACGGTTGGCCTCGGGTAAAGGAGCGAGGGCGGGAGGGGTGTCTGAAGATGGGCGGAGCTGTGCAGCACCGCACAATAATTGGCCTAGTTTTTTTTCCGACGATGCGGCTCCGTTCAGCTGTCACTTTTTAGAGAGAATTATACTTGAGTTTGATAATAGAGAACATCGCCATTTTATATGATAAAGTACGCGAAGAGAGATGATTTATGAAGAAACAACCCGGAAAATGTGCAACAACACATCATGGACCACATTTATCAATGTCACAGCAGATGGTTGCGCCATACGGATCATCTTGTTCTCTTCTTTTATACTTGTCGAAATTAGTCGAAATTTTTGAAAATTGCCACCGCTTGAACAATAGGAGTACGCGCAAATTGAACCTATTTTACCAGCGGAAAATCCCGAAAAAGTTTTGATTCGTATAGTTTGAGCACGCGTCAAACAACAATCATAAAACGAGAGTGCATGAGACTATAAAACGTTGAGTGGGCGCTCAGTTCAGTTTTTTTTCGGTGTCTAAAGGTTGGAACCAACCTTGTCATCACTCACAGAGTTAAATAAAATTCGTCAGAAATGTGACTAACGCTCGCTATTCGCATTTTCAACAAAAATTTGTTGGGAAAACGCAAGGAAAATATTTTATCGTAATTTAATATCATGTGAAAATTGTTTGTCATGTGTTTCTGGTGATTAATAAAAATAATAAAAATTGTGGGGGTAATTTAATTAATTTATTTAATAAAAAACCAAATTCCAAACTAATTGCATCATCGAGGTGTTTATTGAAAAGAAAAATAGGCCCGAATGAAAAATACATTAATTAAATCGGTCGTGTGTGCACACTGGACGCGAAACTACAGAATTTTAAAAATACAGTACCAATAAAAAGGGAAGCTCCTAATCGAAAATTACAATGCGCCAAGTGGAATTTTTGATAAGGCCACAAAAAATTTCGATAATTTTATACTATATTTCTACGTCACTGTCAACGCCTTGAATTCCGGCGATCGAAAAAAAGGGCATCGCCCCAAGACCAATGACTAATCCAAATTCAAAATTTGCGTTCTCATTTCCCACTGTTAACACGATTTTTGATGTACGAGTATTGGCAATGTGAATGCGTTTAATGTAAAAGCACACGATGAATTGTTTTATGTCCTCATGGGACTGCCGGGCACCCAACCGCTCCATTATTTGAATGCGCGCGTCTTATACAGCAACCACAAAATGCGAACCGACCAATTTTTGTATAGTGAACGAGGTGAGCCATCCCAAGGGATTCAAACATTTATCATATTATTCAAGTGCATTCAGAAATGTCAGAGAACGGAACTTGGAAGATTATTCCAACCAAAAAAGTTTCTTTTTAGAATATGATAAGGGAATTTAATAGGATTAGTTGGTGATACACTTCAAAGGAACTAGAAATCGCATGAAAACGTTGGAAAAAATATTTCTGGGGAAATTGAAGCAATTCTTCAAAGACGGGGGCTTTTTAATAGAGGTTGAAGACCCTGGATCGATTTACAGGCACACTCCTTTAAATGTGGCCTCGTGACGAATTCATAAAATTGAAACTGTTCACGCCAATCAAATTTTACATTCATCAATTGTATAAAAATGAATAATTGGGTCCTCCGATTAATTAAGAAGCATTAATAAAAATAAAAATAAAAAAAGAAACGAAGTGAATAACTATTATTTTTCTTTTTTTTGTTGCATTAATCGAGCGTTGCAAGACCTGCATCGTTTGATGCGTTGCGGTTCGCGTGCAGACACGTGTTTTTTTTTCGTTATTTTCTAAAGTTTAAAAAACAAATTTACGCAAAATGGAGATCACAAAGTATACAGGTTTTTGCGAATGATATAATTTAACCGCGCGCGAGCCGCAACGCGTCTGACGACATTGAGAGCGCCGGGTTTTTTTAGAAGCCGACTACACACAGCAAAGGCATTATATTCGGGCACCAACGTTGTGCTCGGCTTTATTTCCCATATTTCAACATTTGATTTTAATCGGTTTATCGAAAAAATCCCGCAAAAAAACGGAGCTGATAAATAAAATGTAGTGCACATTTCCACGTAGGACTCGGAACGAGTGTCCAACTATTCCTTCGTGCCGTCTTCAGTTCACTCAGATGTCAATCGGTGTGTGTGTGTGAGTGTGTTGTTTTAATGATTAAATAATTGGCGTGCCGTTTGATAAGAAAACTCGAATGAATGGCGGATGAGCAGGAGAATGACATTTTTAAAAATTCTTCCGCTTTGAAATTGAAATGAAAAATGCCGGAAGAAATGTTTCAAAATATTTGATTTAGAAAAAAGCAAATGAAAAATGAGTTGCTCGAATCAAAACAATTTTTTCTTTTCTGACCTCGAACGAACGAATCATTGAAATTTTGGAGGAATTGAAAGCAAACTAAATGCTCTAGTATTATTTGAATCAAATTAGAAGACTTCCCCTTTTACGAAGATCTTCAAGCGTTCGCTTTCTAGATTTTTTGAAAGAAACTTTCAAAATTGTGTTAATCATATAGTCGGCATCCGGCGACTGATATACGCGGGTAGATTTACGAGCATGCGCCTTGAAAAGGTCTCGCCACGTGTGAATGCTTATTTTTCTGTTTTCGCGTGAACGATTTATTTTTTCTTGGCGAGTTTCGCATTTTCTTGAATTTCCAACGTCATTCGATTGAAAAATTATCGAACCGGTCCATAAAATACAAAATAAGCGGCTAGTCCGCGCGAGACCACGGAAAAGAAGCATCCCCGTAAATCTACCCGCGTACAGCAGTTGCCGGACGCCGACTATAAAGCAAAATAAGTGGTGGAGCTTGTATTTTTGCTCAACTCCTTCAGAACTCCAATTAAAATGGATTCATCATTACAAAATGTTTTTTCTAATAACTAATTCATTGGTCTCACAGCGAATCCTTCGCAATGACATATGGGTTTTGTTATTTTGCTCGTCCGGCACGTGTCATTGCAGAAAAAAAGAATAACGAAATAGACTTAATTATTAAAGGAAAGCCGAAAAAAAATTGAATGAATTATCGTTGGGAGAAAAAACTGTACAGATTGCATTTTTTGTTTGCATCAAACTCCGCCTTCTCCCTCAATTTGTATAGTCGAGATGATTGGATTCGAAGTTTGCCCAATACGCACAATATTTCCGAGTGTCGTCGATAAAAAAGCTGATAAACAAAAAACGTTGATTTTGTTATCTCGTCGAAGGCAACCGTCTTCTTTATGCATTTTTGAGGCACAAAAATCGAATTGATTATACAGAATAACAAAAAGAATTCTTTTTTTTTTCAAAACACAAATATATTGTCGGAATCAGTAGTATACAAAAGGTCGACGCTGGCGCACATTTTTTGCACAAATTTTAGATTTTCAACTATTTAAAGGCATTTTTTCATTGAAAATCATACTTAATTCCCCCAAAATGTGTCATTGTTGAAAAATGACCAAAAAATGTCTGGCACATCGCTTACCCGTTTTGCCGACTGTTAATTTTTTGAGAATTCTCAATGTTTTTAAAATGAGCTTTTCCGAAAATCTTAAACCTCTGGCAAATTATGATCTCTTAGAACTAGTAGACATACTAAAGATCAAGAATTTCCGTGGTGTTTTCATGCAAGACACTTCACCGAGTGAAGGAATTAAAGAAAAAAGAAGTTGGTATTGTCAATCTAGATTCTTCTAATAATAAAGGAACTCATTGGGTTTTCTACTCCAAGAATAAAGAAAATATTTATTACCATCGTCAGGTGACTATCTTTAATAATATAGCGTTTATGTTCACTAGAGTCATTACTCAGAGCTACTTTATTCTGACATTGTGTGAAAATAGTGTGTTTAACACTCCTAATAGTACAGATATTTTGAGGTCTTTCTTACAACAGTCTTATTAAAAGGATGTGCTTATAATCATCGACAGTCAAGTCATTCTTGACAACATTCTTTAACACATTTACTATTCTTTTCTTGAAATCTACAAGAACATCTTTTTTAAATTGGATCTAAATGAGCTGCCTAGTGCAATAAATAAGGTTATTGTTATAACAATACGTATAATAGTTTATAATTTATATATTTATAGCGAGCGAAATCAGGAGAAGTGGGCTTACTTTTACAAATTTTAGACATGCAGAAGCATTCAGTAAGTTGTATTCCTTTTATTCATTTTAATAAACTCAATTTTAGCGTGCGAAATTGTATGATATCTACAAGAAGACTTATAGTGAAGATTTCTTTGATGTTTTGACCAAACACAAGAACGGATTCGAACAACATTTTTCTCTGTGAAAAGTGTATTACTTTGTATTTATAAATTAATATTGATCCAAAATCAAATTGAATTTAAATGAACTATTCCTACTTCTCTAGACAATATCTGGTCTGGTAAAGTGTCTCGCATAAAAACACCACGGAAATTCTTGATCAGCGAAAAGTACGCAAGCCTGCGTACATTGCATTATAGCGTACGCGCATTTAATATTCAGTCAACGATAAATTTAAACCTACACTGATTTTGCGATTTTGAAGACTCCCGTCTCCCTTCAATCGTTTGACGTTTATTTTTAAAGACAATTAACGGAAAAACTATCAGAAATTATTGTTTCTAGACTATTAGACAATATTTTGGATACGATAATTAAGTGCTCACACGCAGTTTTCGTCGAACTCCCGAAGTGACCGATTTTGGAAGCCGCTATTTTTCATAAACACACTGCATATATGTTATATGTATGTAAATTGATTAACAAAAACAATTTGAATGGTTTATAAAAATAATTGCAACAAACAAATGTTTTCTGAATTCGATTATGATTCGTTTACCTGTCATGTGCTTTCAAAATTTGATACTTTTCCGCGTGTCTCATTTCAAAGTTCAACGCGAAACGTCAGTTCACAAAACGAACTGAAAAGTTTATGTTGCAAAGAGCGGAAAGAGATAGCCACCATAGTGTAAAACCGGTTCAATATAACGGGTTAAGGAGGTTAACTGGATAATTCGATCTAATACTTATTAAGAATTAACTGGTTAATCGAAAAAACCAGTTAACCAGTTTATTGCTAACAATGGTGTACTAGTTAAACAGTTAACTGGTTTCGAAATTAACCAATTAACCCTTTGATTGAAATAACCGATTTCGGGAATTAACCCACAATGACCGGCAGAAATCGAATACTGGTTGGGGACGAGTCGATGAATCATGTTATCACTATGCATATCGACACCGAGAAAGTAGTTCTAGCCGTCTTTGGCGATCGCTGAAAACAAAAAAAATCGGTGATGAAGAGTAATTGGTCATCCGAGTAAAATGTGTTAAAAAATGTGTTATCTGATCATCATTAATCGAAAATACCAATTTATTTCGGATGGGTCCTAACTAAGCAGTTTTTCAAAAATTGTGGAAAATTGTTTCACTAGAAATCCTTACAGCCAAATAGACTTCCGCACTTTGAGGTTGGCTTAAAATTCCGGATAAATCTTGGCAATGTCTACAGTTACTTTTCCCTATATAACGCCCCTATTCCATATTCGTCGTCATCTTGTGAATTATCAGATTTATGAATATTTTCATTAAAAATTCCCGCGACGACTAATTTTTTTACATTTCTCAATTATTCATCACGACTTTTCAGCGATTTCCCCCGATTCCCCCATCTACCTTTTGTCTTTTGGACAAAATGTATTCTTGTGCAATATTCAAAAATTACGTGTATTTTTAAAAATTTTTTAAATGAAATTTTGTTGATTTCTTCGTTTAAACTCGATGATTGTATTTGGAAAATTAAGTACGATTTTCAATATTTATTTATATTGAATATTTCAGGAATTTTAATTCACATTAACATTATATTTCTACTAAAAACCGAAGCGGAAAAATATTACGATTTTGATGATTCGTTTTTTCGTAGTTATTGCCGAAGAAGTGGAGAAAAAAGCACAAATCGAACTGATTTGGTTTGTGATTTTTTTGGCTTAAATTCTGAAATGGTTATAGTTTCAAGGGATTGGAACGGCTTGTAAAAATTCCAGTTTCCAGCCAATGAATTTGTTTGGTCGGAAAGCACGTTAGTTAAACCGAAAAAAAGCTGCAGATTGGATCATTCGAGGCTTGTAGACGACTTTTGCCTTATACGGTGAATGCTGGAAGAATGATTGACGAGTATGTCATCGAATGTGATTTCGATTTGAGTTTGATTTAATTGCATCATTATAATTGCATTTATTTTCTAATTTTTTTGCATTTTCCTTTTTTTCTAGCGTGTCATAATATTTGTAGAATTGCTCGAAAACATGGTTAGACCGACCATCTGGCAAGAAGAATCATTCAAAAAATATCCAAGAAGACCTCAGCCGAGGGAAAAACGGCAGGATTGTCATGCTCCCAGAGTAGAAATTTCAGTGTTCGATTGATTAATAAGTATTTAAATGTTATTTTTCAAATTCAAGAGTTTAAAATCATCTCTATATGTATGTTAACACTTGAAAAAAAGTGATAGGTGTCTACCCCGGAAGACTGGTTTCTACCTTGAGAAACATAGATCGTAATTATGTTCGCGCGTCTAGAAGACCATCGCCGGGCGTCATCTGATTTTCACACCTTTGTAACTTCTCCAAACGATGGACCATCTCGGAGAACAATCGGAAGACGGCGGAAACAAAATGGGATTCATGGACGACGTCCCGTGAAGAAACCATTCATCAACTCCACGAACCGTTTGGCTCGTGTGAGGTGGGGCACAGAGAATGGTCCAAACGCATCTGGTCCGACGAGAGCAAGTTCAATCTGTATGGTTTTGTATAGAATTATGGCTAGCGCTGTACATACAAATATATATTTCATAACAAGAGCCACTTCAATGGTTGACACTAGCAGTGTTGATAGCAATGCTAACTGTTCTCGATGTAGTATTTATGTTCTTTGGCATTAAGGAACCCGATATCCGATTCCTCCTGAAACATTCGAATGTTCGTAGTATTCGGAAATCAATCATACCGTAACGCGTCAAAAATAATTCGCCGATGTCTCGGATTCGCAAAAATCATTACAATCGAGCTGCAAAGTGAATGTGATCCAATTAAAAATGTCATATTTGTAGCTAATTCTTAAAAAAAGATATGAAGATTTATATTTACCCATTTGCAGATTCTTCAAACCTTGAAATTCGTGTAAATCATTGTATGCAATAACAGCGTCCACGTATAATGGAGCAATCAAAAGAGTCACGGGGATAACACACTGAAATGCTCAGATTATGATTGAAATTATTAATTTTTTAATTAGACAAACCTGCATAATTAAGCTGATCATAGCAGTTTTGTGCATCACAAATGTCGCTTGTGACATGTGTTTCTTCAAATTAATTAGAACTATAATTGATACACTCGCCAAGTAAATCATATATAAAGCAGAAATGAAGACGAACAGAAAAGCGCTCAAACAAATTCCGGCAATCCATGGATTCACCCGATAATCGTAAAACTCATATTCTCTTGAAAGCATTATATGCTTGCAATTCGGATAGTACTGAAATTCAACTTTCATTCTGAGAATCCAATGAAGATCGATTGCCTTTACTAAAACCATATATTTTTCTTGGTAAGTAATTTCAGATTTGAAGACGCACGTTGCGGTTACGAACGGAAAAATGTGTGTGAAGACCAAAAATCCATATTTCAGAATTTTGTTAACTTTTCGCTTCTGAAATTTCATTTTAAATATCTGGTTGACCGCCAAAAGTTTTCAGCGCTTTATGAGTACCTTGTCCATTTCGATTGTACTCTCATATCGATATAGGAAGCAAATCAAATACGCGGGGAGTTCCCAACAAAGCAGAAAAAAGTAAAGACACTGCAATTTCATTTTTACAGATTTTTTAGTTGAAAAACTCAACAGTTGCCAAATGACTAGAAACGTATTCGGAAAGCCACGAGTTGTTGTAACTTCCGAGCATTGGAAAAAAATAATACCCAGGATTCATAATTGTCATATCGATTTCGGCAATAAGTGTCGTCAACTAAAATCGAAAAATTATGCTAAATTGTTCAATTACCATCATCACAAAAAAACGAACATCCTGGATACATTTTTAAATATAGACGTAGAATAAAACGCGTTAGGTGTACACACGAGACATCCTTTATGGAAATTCGTATTTAAATTATTGATGGTTACCCCTCCCCATTTAAACAATGCAAAATCATATACCGTACTACAAACCACTTGCTAATCGAATTCATCATAAATCCATCCAGGGTTTTCGTTTTTTGCGATTTTCATATTTTATTGAAAAATACCTGCAGATAAAAAAGGCAATATCGATAATTTGAGGCTTTCGGGGAACGATACCAAACAAGGTAAAACGCGAGGAGATTGAATGGGAAAGAGACGCATGCTATTGAATGAAGGACATTCAAATAATAATCCGGAGCAATTGGAGGACATACTAATTGTGACGGCATCTTGTGCGAAATAACAGATCAATTCGAACCAACAGCCAGCTGAAAATTTTTCGAAATGTTTGGAACCCGTGAATTTCAACATCTGACTAATGTTGAACATTAAAGATCACGAAAAGGCAGTTTTGTATGTTTTTATATTGACGTAACCAGGAATAAAATCAAGGCACCATATGGCCTTTTATAGTCATACATACATACAGTGTATATAAAAATATCCAAATAGATTTTACGCTTTCTTATGGTTAAAATTTAAAAAAAAAATTCATTTTTTTAACGAATTTTGATGTCATTATTGCTATCAAAAATATGAAATGGAAAGTCATTGATTAGGCGAGCTATTGAATAACAGCCACTACATTGCAAATATTCAAAATCATTTGTTCTCATATTGTTACATGCGGATCGATAGACTCCGCCCATCGACGGCGCAACTGGTCGGAGATGAGACCAACATTCATTCTACCATTCCCTTTACATATGTAGTAGATAGTTTATCTGCTCCAGGGTCGTCATCTGCAATCACATTCATATGCTATCCTAATAAAGTATTCTATGTATGGCTTTACGAGAAGCCATAGACTACATTTTGTGGTCTATTAGAAACCACCCCCAATTTTTAGGTTTCAACCCTACTTTTTCACTGCACTTCAAAATTTGCAGTTTCTAACAGTAATGTTTAGCTCTAAAATTTTTTTTTATTTAAAAAAATTGTTATTTAAAAAGCGTAACACTTCATAGTTTCTGAAAAATCTAATTTAGACATCAGTTCTGCGAATCTCCTGTTGATAACTTGAATTATTGCAAAAAAAAATTAGAGCTAAACATTACTGTTAGGAACTGTAAATTTTGAAGTGCAGTAAAAAAGTAGAAGTGAAACCTAAAAATTGGGGGATGGTATCATAAATAAAAGGAGGGGTTAGAAAGTCGGGGTGGAATAGCATGGGTGGGGGTGGTTTCTAATGGACCCATTTTGTTAATTTCAAAGCGGCGAGGTAAAGTCAGCATGATTCAGGGTAGCACGGAAGTGAAATGTTTACTTCCGTAAAACAATGGAAACGGAAAAATTGAAAAAAAAAATCGCAGGCGCAAGCGAAAACGGTTAAGCAATTTTCATGAGAAACCAAATAATATATCTAAGAATTATTTCGATTTTGTTACCATCCCACAAATTCATTTCGATTTTCATTTGTTGAACCGCAAATTCACATTATTATCAAGATTTGAGGCACTCTAAATTGTACCACTTTTTCAGGATTTGCTGATCTAGACGAACTGGAGAAATTCAGAATCACTCGATTGGCAGCCATCGATCCAGGAACAATTGGCTATTATGTGTATTACTGACCATCGAAATAACGGATAGGAATTGGAAACGGATGGTGCCGATCACTAAGGAACATGTAATGGTCCGACACACCTTGGCACAATCTATCGGAAAAGTGAGTGAGAAAGAGAGAGAGAGAGAGCGAGGCAAGGTTGATTTGGCTAAATTTTAAACAAAAATTCAGTAAATGATTTATTAATTTATTTTTGTTCGAGTTCTCACTTAAATTGCAATAACTTTGAAACTGATTTGATCGAATCCGATTTCCTTTTTTGAGCTAAAATCATTTTGATTCACTCCATCCTCGATGCTGAACGTTTTTTCGCTCGAAACTTCCTGCAAAAAAATCGAAATGTCAACTAAATTGAATCGATAATAATCGTACAATTCCTTTTGCTTCAACTTTGTGTTTTTTGTCAGTAACAACGTTCAAGTTTATCTTCGACTTTCCAGAATCGATATATGGAATCACAGAGTGTGCCGCCTCCTTAAATTACCTCTATAATTATGTCGAGCCCACATATAAATTACCTTCAAATTTCCAATAATTTCACCTTTTTTTGTCACATAAATTGCTCCATTTTTAGAATCGTCAGCCATTTTTCCTTTGCATCGAATCAAAAAGTATGAGCCTTCGGACGATGATTTTTTGGTAACTTCAGCGTTATTAAGATTCAACGTCAGAATTTCAGTTTTCTTATTATAGCTCAAATCCTTCTTTTCAAAAGTATATTGCGAATCTAAATATTTCAATGAGAAACTCGATGAATGGAAATTAGCAAATTACAAAGTGGATTTCCTCGTAAAGTGTATTCAGCAGCTGACACAGAGATGTCCTCAATGTCCAAATTCTTTCCAATTTTCAACTTTATCTCTTTGACTTCGTCAATCACTTCGAAATTAATGGTTTCCTCGATATTGTAGGTATTTCTAGAGAAAAATTAAACTATTGACAACACAAAATTGATTGACTCACTCTTCGACATTTGGACGAATTTTGACGTAATAAGAAACAATTTTGTAATTGTTGGTAGATGCGGAAAAAGCGACAAAAAACGCAAAAGGAAAAAGAAGAAGAAAAACGGAATTCATTGTTGATTGAAATTTAATGAACACTGCCTTTTATATTGAGAAAACTGATAGCAAATCGGCGGTGGGATAAGGAAAAAGGAAGTTGACGAATTGAAGGATGAAAGATCAGTTGACGTAAAGATAAGGACAGTAGGATTTATTGAAAGAAGGAATTTGAGTTTGAAGTGAAATAAAATAATATATGTTTCGTATTTCTCACTTATTGGAGAATAAATCTAGAAACTTCAAATCGTCGTTTCCAAATAAGGCATTCTCGCTGATTTTTGGTGCGTTACTCTCCTAATTTCTCTGCAAACTTTTTTGACAAGATCTATAATTAATAATGAAAGTTTCTTTATTGGAAAAATTCCATTTTGTATGTTTCGTAAAATGATGTCATTTTCAAAAGAATTTGGTCTCATTTGTCATTAGGCTTCTTCTTGGCTTCTCTTTTTCTTAAATTTAAAACTTGTTCTTATAATAAAATATTCAAAATCATTAAACACATTTCGGCTTCTTTTCAGTCAAGGGATCATTAGTTTTTCTCAAAGTCGGTGTCGTACACACACACACACAAAAAATAAATCACAATTGGGAAATTTCTTTTATTGAATTTTATGCGAATATGATTAAGGTATCAAACAACACACATTCGGCAATTCTTCCTTTTTTGGTTCGCCTGCAAAATTCCCCCCGCGATGGTCTCTCAACTCGTTTGCCCACCAAAACCACCGGATTACTATGTGATAGTGCTAAGAATAATAGCGAGTATCTCGATTCCTGTTAGCTGTTTCGCCTTTTATCTCGTATGGTTTCGGTCTCAAAAACGAGCCAAATATCGCTACTGTCTTTTTTATGTTCAAGTATAATTATTTTTTGAAATCGATCAAATCACAATTCGAATAGATTTCGACATTTCTCTCCGAAATATTCATTTCAATTCTACCTGCTTATTATTATTTTCCAATGCTCGGCGGATTCAATACCTCGTCGATTGCTCAATACGTCTCAGGACACTCGTGCATGGTATATACATATATATATATATATTATAATATTACGTATATAGTCGGTGTCCGGTGACTGATGTACGCGGGTAGATTTACGCGCATGCGCCTTGAAAAAGTCTCGCCACGCGTGAATGCTTATTTTGCTGTTTTCACGTGAAGTGCTTCATTTTTCTTGATTAGTTTCGCATTTCCTTGAATTTCCAACGTCATTCGATTAAAAAATTATCGAAACGGTCCATAAAATTTGAAATAACCTGCTAGTCCTTGCGAGACCAAGAGAAAGACGCATTCCCGTAAATTTACACGCGTACAGTAGTCGCCGGACGCCAACTATATGTACCAGGGCTGTGCGGCAATGGAATTGCCGATTGCTGAAATTGCCGAAATTGCCGATTTTTCAAATTTCCGAATTGCCGAATTGCCGAAGAGAACGTTCGATCGGCAAATTGCCGAATTGCCGGATTGCCGAAATCTTGATTTTCGGCAATTTGATATCAAAAAAAAAATCGGCGAAACAAAAATCAATGTCCATTGAATTATTTGGGATACCGTGAAAATTCGGTATTTATATTTCGAATTATCGTTGAAAACATTTAATAACCGAAATATTTATTTTCGGCAAATTGCCGAATTGCCGAATTGCCGAAATTGCCGATTTTCGGCAAATTGCCGAATTGCCGAATTGCCGAAATTGCCGATTTTCGGCAAATTGCCGAATTGCCGAATTGCCGAAATTTTGATTTTCGACAATTTGCCGAATTGCCGAATTGCCGAAATTTCCGATTGCCGCACAGCCCTGATATGTACATAGTAATCACCATCAGCGGCACTTCTCACAACTCTTCATTAATTCCTAAAATGCCAATTTCCAGCTATTTCTTCTTTTCACGTTTTGCTTAGAAACACCTTCATATCTAATCTGTTTCTTATATCGATTTGAACGCACAATTGAGTTGGATGCGAAAAAAAGAAAATCGGTGAAATGGTTGAAATATGCATTCATAGTTGGCGCCCATCTTTTCCCATTTCTTTGCGCTTTCGGTTTGCAGATTTCAAAAATGACATACCAACAAGAATATATAGCATTGCACGAAGTGAGTTTGGCAATGAAAACCCTAATTTCACAAGTATTTTCAGTATTATCCGAATTGCAAACATGTGATAATGATTCGAGGATTTCAAATGTACGATTTCCATGTAACGAATCGAGTCAAGGTGGTTGCCTCCATTGCACTGGTCTTCTTGTTTTTAAGTATTATGTACCCAGATGTATCTGTTTCCTTTTTCGAAATTCATTTAAAGGTACATGGCATATACAGCAACGGTTACTGTATCGATTTTGAATGATCTGAAGGTGAAGATGTCGCGACAAACCTACGCAACGCACGCTAGCGCTCTGTTCGGTTTGATAATGCAGGTTTCCGAGTGAAAACAACATTCGAAAACGATTATTGCCATATATTTCAGTGTACAATTCCGATGGGTTTTCTAGTCATTCCATTTTATATTATTTGTTTGATAATTGTCAAAGATATGCATTAATATCAGCGTATGACTCAAGAGGCTTCAATGTTTCGTTAAATATTCAGAAGTTGCAACGAATACCACATTTGTGATAGGATCGCATTCATTGTGCACAGCGACTGTCGTAATATTGGCGAATCCGAGACATCGACGAATCATTCTTAATATGATGAGGTACTCAATTATTTACCTTCTAACCATTCCAATTGTTTTCAGGAAAATTAACAAGACCCAAACAAGAACAATTACAACTAGCTTATTTTAATTCAATCCCAATCATTTGTTTATCATTTCTAGTATACACCTCAAATGGAATGTTCATTCACCTACATTCATATATTATTTTATTGCACCTCAACCTCAAATGTTTTTTCTTCAATAAATACATATTGATGACGTCAAACGACTGAACATGAGACGGGGCCTTCAAAGTCGCGAAATCAGTGTAGGTTTAAATTTATCGTTGACTGAATATTAAATGCGCGTACGCTATAATGCAATGTACGCAGTCTTGCGTACTTTGCATGCCTCGAGACGCATTGGCACAGAGCCAATCATTTTTTTATTTCGTCAAGTCGTTTGACTTCGACAATACATACATACATACGCCAATGTAAAAAAAAAACGAAAAGGCCAACTCCATCAATAATCTATTTATAATGTTCAATGTTTGCTGGATATTCATAAAACTCACACCAGTGAATAAAAAAGACAATTTTCAGCTGGCTGTTGGTTCGATTAAATTTTTTATTTCGCACAAGATGCCGTCACAATTAGTATGTCCGACAAATATTCCGGATTATTACTTGAATGTCCTTCATTCAATAGCATGCGTCTCTTTCCCATTCAATCTCCTCGCGTTTTACCTTGTATGGTATCGTTCCCCGAAAGCCTCAAATTATCGATATTGCCTTTTTTATCTGCAGGTATTTTTCAATAAAATATGAAAATCGCAAAAAAAACGAAAACCCTGTGTGGATTTCTGATGAATTCGATTAGCAAGTGGTTTGTAGTACGGTATACGATTTTAAATTGCTTAAATTCAAATTTCTCCAAAAAAATTATGCATAGGTGGTTTGGAGTTGTAACCAGAATCATCATAGCATGCCTGACACATTTATATAGGATGGATATATAAGGAACTCTCTCTTTCATGCTTTCTTTTAATTTTTTAGTTTGTGTCTAAATAAACATTCATAAGTTGGCTCGTTCACCAAAGGACACAACACTTACCTTGCCCAAACGGTTGCTGAAAATGGAAAAACACCTTGAATTTTCAGATGACCTTAACTCGCCTGTAAACCCCCAGTGCAGGCTGGAATTTTGTGAACACACTCAAAAGACCTTCTACTTAGTTTAAGGGTGCAAAATTACAAAAAAATCCTATGACGGGAGGTAAAATGACTTCCCTTGTTAGTTGCTTAGGCGCGCGTGTTCGATCATACCCGATCTTGTAGATTCCGGAGTAGCGTTGTGGTATAATCTTCGTCAATACTGACGACCAATAGAAGACTTACTTAAAAAGGGAAAGCTAATATTCGTTGAACAGTTTTTGCAACTTTCAAAGTTTAACAAAAACTGATATGTATCGGTGGTCTGCTACAAGCAAGACTGAATTTTCTCTACATCCCAAGCCAACCTAAATTTCGAAACAGATTAGCAAATGTAGTTCTAAACAATGCGAAATGTTTTTGAAAATCAATCAAAAACTCTACTTTACCTGATTTTTCTGAAAATGACCAATTAATTTGCACTATGAGAAAAGAATAGTAATTTTAAAAAAATTGGCTGGGAAGATTATCTTCAAAATGGCAAAGTCGAGAGTACTGACATGAGATGGCGATATCAAATTTAATGACCGAATCGAATCTTCCCTTGGCCAGGGTGGGACGGTGTACTGATTAGCCTGAACATAATCAACTAGGAACACGAAATCCCCAGCTGTGTATGTAGATGCACATGACCGTTAAGGTTATTCCCATCGAATGAAAGTTCACGGGGGGAAACAAGGTCGTTTTTTGTGATGATGGTAATTGAACAATTTAGCATAATTTTGTGGTTTTAGTTAACGACACTTATTGCCGAAATCGATATGACAATTATGAATCCTCGATATTATTTTTTTCCGATGCTCGGAAGTTACAACAACTCGTGGCTTTCCGAATACGTTTCTAGTCATTTGGCAACTGTTGAGTTTTTCAACTAAAAAATTTGTAAAAATGAAATTGCAGTGTCTTTACTTTTTTCTGCTTTGTTGGGAACTCCCCGCGTATTTGATTTGCTTCCTATATCGATATGAGAGTACAATCAAAATGGACAAGGTATTCATAAAGCGCTGAAAACTTTTGGCGGTCAACCAGATATTTAAAATGAAATTTCAGAAGCGAAAAGTTAACAAAATTCTGAAATATGGATTTTTGGTCTTCACACACATTTTTCCGTTCGTAACCGCAACGTGCGTCTTCAAATCTGAAATTACTTACCAAGAAAAATATATGGTTTTAGTAAAGGCAATCGATCTTCATTGGATTCTCAGAATGAAAGTTGAATTTCAGTACTATCCGAATTGCAAGCATATAATGCTTTCAAGAGAATATGAGTTTTACGATTATCGGGTGAATCCATGGATTGCCGGAATTTGTTTGAGCGCTTTTCTGTTCGTCTTCATTTCTGCTTTATATATGATTTACTTGGCGAGTGTATCAATTAGAGTTCTAATTAATTTGAAGAAACACATGTCACAAGCGACATTTGTGATGCACAAAACTGCTATGATCAGCTTAATTATGCAGGTTTGTCTAATTAAAAAATTAATAATTTCAACCATAATCTGAGCATTTCAGTGTGTTATCCCCGTGACTCTTTTGATTGTTCCATTATACGTGGACGCTGTTATTGTATACAATGATTTACACGAATTTCATGGTTTGAAGAAATTGAAAACTAGAATAAATTTCAAGCGGAATATCTTTTTTAAGAATTAGCTACAAATATGACATTTTTAATTGGATCACATTCACTTTGCAGCTCGATTGTAATGATTTTTGCGAATCCGAGACATCGGCGAATTATTTTTGACGCGTTACGGTATGATTGATTTCCGAATACTACAAACATTCGAATGTTTCAGGAGGAATCGGATATCGGGTTCCTTAATGCCAAAGAACATAAATACTACATCGAGAACAGTTAGCATTGCTATCAACACTGCTAGTGTCAACCATTGAAGTGTCAACCATTCAATAATTGTACTCCTTCTTTTCCAAACTTTTTTCGATGACTCTTGTGGAGCAGTGTAATTGGTTTATAAAATTTAATAGTCATGAAATTTTTCGTTTCCAAAATTTCCTCAATTTTTCTTTTCGTTTAATAATTCCCACTCTTATTTTATATTATTTTTGTTCTTCCTCGTTTTTTATCCTGTTGGTAATGTTCGTTTTCTCGTTCTAATTAATGTATTTGGTTTTCTATTACGGGGAAAAAAATATATAAATGTATAGAATGAACTTTATTGACATTTTTTCTGAATAGAGCTGGTTCGAAACGAAATAATGGATGCAATGCTTTCATTAAAATTGTGCAGCCGGTAGAAATTAAAAATTTGCGCTTTTTAAAGCGTATTCAAGAATTATTTTAATTGCATATAAATTTAAAGATCGTTCGATCCCGCTCGATCGAGCTTTTCGATCGAGCGGGCCAATTAGTAATGGCTCGTGAAAAGTGGCTTGGCTCGTGATTTTTGGCTCGCAATAAGTGGCTCGTACTTACTATATTCTTTGGTTCGCGAATTTTGGCTCGTGATTTTTGGCTTCTGATCTTTGGCTGCCATTACCAAAAAAAAGACAATTGCCAATAATCAAGACTTGTAAGACCAACTTATTACACAACATGTGTATAGATTCTTAGGATTGGGCCGATCCATCCAAGGAGTCCACTGTAAGATCGAACGAATATTCGTAGTGGATCAAATATCTATATTGTTAGATATTTTTAGTAGTTTCAGTAAGTTTAATGTAAACAATTAAACAGAATTTTTATTCGGTAACATATTTATTTAAAACAATTTTTAAAAATTAATAAAACATTAATTTGCAAAAAAAATAATAATTCACTTCTCGCGTTACTCAACCCCTTTCCCTTCCTTATTCGAACTATCTGTGGCTTTTACTTCTTATGACTTGTTCTCTCTTCCTACAAATAATTCCATTTTAACATAATCTTTAAAATTCAAAAAAAATTTTTTAAAAATATTTTGTGAAAACACGCAGTCCGTAAACACTCTCCGACTAATTGCACAGATATACCGTAGGGTGAACATTTATTATTTTTTTTTTTTAGTTACTTATAATACATTTTACAGATTGAGCGATTCGAGGACTTTACTAGATGCGTATTGGATTCTTTTACAAAATTTGACGTTTCCAAAGGTAAATTTTAACTTTAATCTATAAGCACACCCTTTCAAAAAATAATTTTACGTACGGAATTTTTTTTTGAAATTTAATGATTATGTTAAACTGGAATTATTTGCAGGAAGAGAGAACAAGTCATAAGAAGTAAAAGCCACAGATCGTTCGAATAAGGAAGGGAAAGGGATTGAGTAACGTGATAAGTGAATTATTATTTTTTTTTGCAAATTAATGCTTTATTACTTTTAAAAATTGTTTTAAATAAATATGTTACCGAATAAAAATTCTGTTTAATTGTTTACATTAAACTTACTGAAACTACTAAAAATATCTAACAATATAGATATTTGATCCACTACGAATATTCGTTCGATCTTACAGTGGACTCCTTGGATGGATCGGCCCAATCCTAAGAATCTATACACATGTTGTGCAATAAGTTGGTCTTACAAGTCTTGATTATTGGCAATTGTCTTTTTTTTTGGTAATGGCAGCCAAAGATCAGAAGCCAAAAATTACGAGCCAAAATTCGCGAACCAAAGAATATAGTAAGTACGAGCCACTTTTTGCAAGCCAAAAATCACGAGCCAAACCACTTGTCACGAGCCACTACTAACTGGCCTAAGGCGTACGATAGTCTAAAACAGCTGAAACTGGCGATTAACGAGGCTTGGAAGAAAGACGACCAACAACTGATTGACAATCCACATTTCTCGATCAACACTGACTCTTCCAAGTAGCACGCAATCGGGAAATGCCATCCGAATATTAAACCAATTTTCTGTTATGTTTGTCACGAATGACGTGAAGAGGAGAAAAGATGGAATGTGGGAATAAATTTATGAATAAGAAACCGATTTCTTACAACTGTTGTTATTTTCTGTTTTTAAGCGTTTTTTGCTAGTGAGGCTATACTTTTGTGGATCGAAAAAAAAAAACGCAATTTTCGAAAAAAAAAAACTTCTTTAAATGACTCAGTAAGTGTCAATCTTATATGGGATTCTAAAAAGAACCGTTTTTTAACCATATTTTAATCATACAAGCGTTTTTTGAAATTTCGTGAAAATGTAATTTTTTCAAAAAATATGGGTGAGGCTATCAATTTCTAAAATTTAAAATCAATTTTTTCCTTAATTTTTTCATTTACTCTCTCGCGAGAACAGCAGTCAATAATATATTGGATACTGTCTCCGATTTCATTCGATTGCGTTTTTTGTTTCGTAAAATGTCACAACATCTTCCGTAATAGACACCGATAATAGTTATAAATAATTTCAAAATAACTTACGAAAAAAGTCGCTCCGCTGAAGAACTAGAAGCTGGGCAACTCAATTACACCTTAGCGAAATTTCCTAATATGGGAAAATGAGCAGATTGACCGGCCCAAAAAGAAAGCAGATTTGGCCGATGGCCGATTTGTTGAGAGTATTGCTTTGTAATGCAATATTTCTAACTGAAATTAAGCTTTTACCAAAGTAGCACTCTATTATTAAAATTACTTTTATTGTTTTCTCAGATGACCGCACCTCACGCCTTCTTTTCAAAAATGAGTTTATTTTTTTGCCTTTTATATCATCTAAGTAAATCTGAGATGTCTTCTCAACGTGATGTGCAATCATTTTAGGAGTGGGCACGACAGCAGATTGTGACGCATCCTCCCCGGCGCCAAACGGGAAGGGACCGTCACCCTGTCAGTGCCCTGACAAGCTGACCAAAATATCCACAATGTGAATAGTATGGTTTATTATGGATAAATATGGGCCGGTGCCCGAAGGCAACCGGCCAGCAAAGCAGCAATGTTCCCAACTCCCAGAAAAAGGGGACGGTCCTCCTTCTCCTAGAAAGAAGGAGGCACGAGATAGAAGGGAATGTGGGCAATAGGCGCTAGCTAGATTGTATGGCTGTCTGCGTCTATTCTTTTCGTCACATCCCCCCTCTAACAGGAAAGATGGCAACTCCTGGTTCCGTGATTTTCTAAAGCTACTTGTTTACAATAACAACATGGCAACAATGAAGATCGGAGAAGAGATCCACGTTAAGTCGTCCCGCGTTACGAATAGGTAGTCTACATCGATCGCTTCAACGTTTCATTCCGAAACGGACCAGATTGATCTAAGGCAGATTGATCTTATAAGTTCTGATGAAATTTTGATTGGCTGCGAAACGAAAAGGGATTCCTCCTGTGCAAAAGCTCTGGAATGCGTTATATTATAGTTTAAAAAAAAATGAAAATATTCAAACTTCGTGATTTCCAATTTCCATTCCTTATATATTGGTGCTCCGATAGTTTCTTTTTCAATGATTCAATGACCCGTTTACTCTAAATTAAAAAATGTTTTATTTAGAAAAATTAAAAAAAACCTTGGGATTTAAAATGTTCTCTAACTTCTCGAAATGCAGCGACTTCGCGCGTGTCGGATGAGATTGGTTGTATTTTTATTATAACTTATATTCACTTTGCCAACTGGACACTTAATATACTGAGTAGTGGGATCAGTAGGTTTTCGAAAAAAATCCCACGCAATGGATGTCCTTCTGAAAAATAATGATAAATAATGTTTCCAATTTTAAAAAATTTGAAAACGATCAAACACATGAAAAAAGTTGCATAAACTGCCATTGAATTACGGAGTTTAATGCGAAAGCAGCCTTTTAAAGTGAGAAAAATTTGCCATTTATATAAAGTTTTCGAAAATTATTTCAAATTCGCGATTCGAAACGCGCTACGCGTCGCGTTTTCGAGGTGCATTAGGGCGTGTTTGCAGCGGGACTCGTTTTTTTCGCAATGTAGTATTTAGCCAATTAGGGACTACAATAAGGGGGCGGAGTCAGGACAAAACGTATGACAAGTATCATGCAATGTCTATGAAAAAATTTCATTCTCGGCTCTTTCGCCTATTTTCAGATCACTTACGGTAACTTTCTAAACAGATTTTACTACATTCGGGTCTGCTGAATTCATTCGTAACGTTAATTTCCAACAGGTTTTTTACCCAAAAATTTCAGACTTTTTAACTCTAAGAAAATTTTTTAAACATTTTCAGCGATAACCTATATATTTTTTTCATTCACCGTTTAGGAAAAGCTCTCGAGAGACTACGGTTCAAATTGCATTAAAATTTGTGTATGCGGCATACACTTTGCAGCGTGTTTTGCGCAGCGTGTTTTTGGGCGCGTTATTTTTTGAGAATTTTTCTGTGTCTTTTTTTTTATTAGCCAATTTCTTTTATTTTTACGGTTTATCTTACATTTTTATAATCGCTGATTTATAGGCCTTATAGTTTAAAATTTTCATATATTTCATGGCATTTTTTAATTAATTTGACATTGTAAAAACTTATTCTTCATCATTTCCCGTTTCTTAATTTTTAGTACATTTTAGGAAACACAATCATATTGAACTGGAGCCGAAGGACTTTGAAAACTACTGAAGTTAGCAAGACGGGTATTTATTTAAGACATTCGATAAATGTACGATTCTCTCGCTTGTTTAAGTAAATGCCGTTAGTTGCGCGCACTTTTACATATATATTGTCGGCGTCAAACGACTTGACGAAATTTTAAAAAATATTGGCTAATTGCCAGATGTCTCGAGGCGAAGAGAAGTGTATGTGGCATACACTCCGCAGCGTGTTTTGCGCAGCGTGTTTTTGGGCGCGTTATTTTTTGAGAATTTTTCTGTGTCTCTTTTTTTATTAGCCAATTTCTTTTATTTTTACGGTTTATCTTACATTTTTATAATCGCTGATTGATAGTTTAAAATTTTCATATATTTAAAGGCATTTTTTAATTAATTTGACATTGTAAAAACTTATTCTTCATCATTTTCCGTTTCTTAATTTTTAGTACATTTTAGGAAACACAATCATATTGAACTGGAGCCGAAGGACTTTGAAAACTACTGAAGTTAACAAGACGGGTATTATTTTATTTTTATTTAAAATGCTCATTGTTTCATCATAGTTGCAGCGACTACAATGGCATCATATATTGAATCCTTCGCGCAACCTCGAAGACAACCTCTAACGGACACAAAATTCTGAATTATATGCTCGCCTTGGTACTTCACAGCTTCATCAATACTAGGGAAAAGAAAAAAAATATACTCAACGACTTCAAGCTTCTTCCAAAAAGTACGTTATCATTTTTTTAATCTTTGTAGACTCATTTTTCTTTTTAATTTTGTATTCCATGTGAAGTTATTACTAGTTTTAGGCGATTGGAATCAACGCTCGTTTGGCTTTCGGTTATAAGTTTCAATTGTGCGGCGTCTTGGTGCATTTCGAGAATTCTCAATTAATCGGATGACTTTCCCCTTTGAACAATAATTTTCATACTATTTTTACGGTAAATAAAACATTGTTGTGGTGCTCTTAAAATATTCAATAAATGTTCTTTCGCTTGTTTATGTAAATGCCGTTAGTTCCGTGAACTTTTACGTATATATGGAGGTCGACTCATTATAAGAATGCAAATGACAATGGGAATCAGGATTAAAACGCGCATAACATTTTTTAATATTAAAAAATCGAGAAAAAAAACCATTTAATATTTGGTCAGCGCGTAAATCTACCCGCTCGTAAATCTACACTGGTTACGATATACTGAATGCCACGCCCCCATCAAGTCGTTTGACGCCGACAATATTTATGAATCACTGCCGCTTTTTTCACTATCTATTAAAAAAAAATTGAAACAATTTTTTAATTGAAAGATGATTTTAAAAAATTAGGTTTGTTTTAAAATCGGGTAAAATGTATGCGAACATCCTGATTTCATTTGTCCTCTTTGCTCACATCAGTCATTCGTGGAATTCAATCTGTTTAACGAATTTTTTTGATGAAATACAATCATTTTTAATTTTAATTGAATTTTTGAAAACCCACTTGTGCACTAGGGCTGTGCGGCAATTCCATTGCCGCACAGCCCTATCCAAAATTGGGGAAATTTTGATTTTCGGCAATTTGATATAAAAAAAATCGGCGAAACAAAAAACAATGACCATTGAATTATTTGGGATACCGTGAAAATTCGGTATTTATATTTCGAATTATCGTTGAAAACATTTAATAGCCGAAATTTTGATTTTCGGCAAATTGCCGAATTGCCGAAATTTCCGATTGCTGCACAGCCCTGTTGTGCACACACATACGTATATATATATATGGTATATGGAGCCATAGTGAATTGTAAAAAATATAAATATGAGAAAATAAGTCACAGGTAAAATGCGGCGAAGATGGGACATTGGGCATATGGGCGCTATTCGTTTCCTCAGCTTCGTTGGTTCGCATGAATATTATATGGCAGCTAATATCACTAATGATCCCCAAGATGGAAGCGTATACGATTCTCGTGGACACATTATGCGTCCGGCGCATTTTTCCGATGCGTAAGAAATCGATAGTGGAAAATTATTAGTAGCGATGAACCTTTGGCCACCCAAAACCAAGTAAAACAACAAGAAATGATGGTGCTTTGGCCAGAATTTAATAGAAGAGAAAAATTAGAATATATCGGTGATTTTGGATTAAAGAACAGGTGTATATGAACACATCACGATCAAAATCTAATTAATTAGGAAATCAAAATTAAACGGTATAAACAGTATTATGTAATAATAATAATAATGTAGTATAATGCTATTGTTGGCGGCGGCAAATGAATGAAAAGAGGCGGGGCCTTCAAATTCGCGAAGTCAGTTTAGATTTTAATTAATCGTTGACTGAATATTAAATGCGCGTACGCTATAACGCAATGTACGCAATCTCACGAGCTCATTGGCACCGGAGCTGCACGGACCATAAATTTTCTAAAAACGGAAGACGGAACAAATTTATTTTTGACAGATCACGGAACGACTTTTTGGTGATATAAAAAATAATTTATTAAAACATAATCCAACCCTAATACTTTAAAATAAACAGTAGAGAATGTGAGAGTTACCGCTACCGTAACACACAAAAATCGATAAAAAATTTTGTTGCGAATCTTTTTCGTTTTTTATACTGAAATTCGCTTTTTTGCGGAACACGGAATTCCGTTCAGCTCTGATTGCCACATTGCCAATACTTTTAAACTAAAACAATAATTATAAAAAAGGAAAAAAAAACTTTCTCGATTCTCGTTTAACGAACAGGCAGCTAGTCGAAACAGTAAAATAAACATATTTTTCTTCCTGGACTTTTCTTCATGAATTTTAAACATGATAGAAATAATCGCCATCAAAATACACTTGTTCTAATCTCAATAAATAATTCATTCGCACATGAGTGACTGATCCGGTAGCGCATGTTAACAGCAAGGTGCAATCCGAAAAACTGTGGAAACGATATCAGCGACAGGTGCGAAAATGAGAAGAGTTCAACGGATAGAATGTCGTCATGGATGATGTGATAAGGAAAAAAAATGTGTGATGCAAGCCAAGAGAAGACAAGATCCGGACAAATTGAAGAGGATTGGGAGAGCTCCTTTTTCATTAAAAAAAAACTGAAGACAAATGTAAACTGGGATCAAAATAAGCGGAATCATTCTTTCAAAACAAATATAAAATAACTCTATAGTGAAATTGAAATTTGAATTACTATTGAAAAAGAAAACGAGTTTCGATGGATTTTAATTTGCAATTGTAATCTTTTAAAAGGTTATTTCGTGATTTTTTATTCACTATAATTCACATTCGAATGAAATTTAACGCTGGGTTTCTCCTTAAAAAAATGATCCACTTTTTCAAACGGTACGAACACTTTCAAACGATGAAGCAGGAGTCTTCCTAGAGGCACATAGTGAAGGTGCTAAAGTCAGGAGAGAGTGAATGATAGAGAAAAGGTGCGACCTAGAGTAGCTTGTAAGTGAGCAATAAATCTCAAGTTCACACATTTGTACAGATGCATCAAATGGTACACGCCCATTTTGACACCTTCGACGACTATATAAGACTGGTATGGGTTAATATTCATTACTGTTTACTTCATATTCCCTCACGTGCTTGCACCAATCGCCCAAGACGGCCATTCATTACCAGACCTCCACAACCTCTGGTCATGACAGCCTTTTTGGGAGGTTGGGGCTGTGCCTCTATTTTGATTCTTTCGTGATCAGGTTCATTACAGATCACCTGGTGCTTGCACCAATCGCCCAAAACGGCCATTCATTCCCAGACCTCCACAACCTCTGGTCATGACAGCCTTTTTGGGAGGTTGGGGCTGTGCCTCTATTTTGATTCTTTCGTGATCAGGTTCATTACAGATCACCTGGTGCTTGCACCAATCGCCCAAAACGGCCATTCATTACCAGACTCCGAACACCTTCTGGTCATGACAGCCTTTTTGGGAGGTTGGGGCTGTGCCTCCATTTGATTCTTTCGTGATCAGGTTCATTACAGATCACCTGGTGCTTGCACCAATCGCCCAAAACGGCCATTCATTACCAGACTCCGAACACCTTCTGGTCATGACAGCCTTTTTGGGAGGTTGGGGCTGTGCCTCCATTTGATTCTTTCGTGATCAGGTTCATTACAGATCACCTGGTGCTTGCACCAATCGCCCAAAACGGCCATTCATTACCATACTCCGAACACCTTCTGGTCATGACAGCCTTTTTGGGAGGTTGGGGCTGTGTCTCCATTTGATTCTTTCGTGATCAGGTTCATTACAGATCACCTGGTGCTTCCCCCCCCCCCCAAAACCCCCCTTCTTAAACACCCCCCCCCCCCCCTTTTTTTAACACACCTTTTTGGGGTTTGGTGGTTTTGTTCTTTTATCAGTCATTATCACCAATCGCCCAAAACGGCCATTCATTACCAGACTCCGAACACCTTCTGGTCATGACAGCCTTTTTGGGAGGTTGGGGCTGTGCCTCCATTTGATTCTTTCGTGATCAGGTTCATTACAGATCACCTGGTGCTTGCACCAATCGCCCAAAACGGCCATTCATTACCAGACCTCCGAACACCTTCTGGTCATGACAGCCTTTTTGGGAGGTTGGGGCTGTGCCTCTATTTATTTTGATTCTTTCGTGATCAGGTTCATTACAGATCACCTGGTGCTTGCACCAATCGCCCAAAACGGCCATTCATTACCAGACCTCCGAACACCTTCTGGTCATGACAGCCTTTTTGGGAGGTTGGGGCTGTGCCTCTATTTTGATTCTTTCGTGATCAGGTTCATTACAGATCACCTGGTGCTTGCACCAATCGCCCAAAACGGCCATTCATTACCAGACTCCGAACACCTTCTGGTCATGACAGCCTTTTTTGGGAGGTTGGGGCTGTGCCTCTATTTTGATTCTTTCGTGATCAGGTTCATTACAGATCACCTGGTGCTTGCACCAATCGCCCAAAACGGCCATTCATTACCAGACTCCGAACACCTTCTGGTCATGACAGCCTTTTTGGGAGGTTGGGGCTGTGCCTCTATTTTGATTCTTTCGTGATCAGGTTCATTACAGATCACCTGGTGCTTGCACCAATCGCCCAAAACGGCCATTCATTACCAGACTCCGAACACCTTCTGGTCATGACAGCCTTTTTGGGAGGTTGGGGCTGTGCCTCTATTTTGATTCTTTCGTGATCAGGTTCATTACAGATCACCTGGTGCTTGCACCAATCGCCCAAAACGGCCATTCATTACCAGACTCCGAACACCTTCTGGTCATGACAGCCTTTTTGGGAGGTTGGGGCTGTGCCTCCATTTTGATTCTTTCGTGATCAGGTTCATTACAGATCACCTGGTGCTTGCACCAATCGCCCAAAACGGCCATTCATTACCAGACTCCGAACACCTTCTGGTCATGACAGCCTTTTTGGGAGGTTGGGGCTGTGCCTCCATTTTGATTCTTTCGTGATCAGGTTCATTACAGATCACCTGGTGCTTGCACCAATCGCCCAAAACGGCCATTCATTACCAGACCTCCGAACACCTTCTGGTCATGACAGCCTTTTTGGGAGGTTGGGGCTGTGCCTCTATTTTGATTCTTTCGTGATCAGGTTCATTACAGATCACCTGGTGCTTGCACCAATCGCCCAAAACGGCCATTCATTACCAGACTCCGAACACCTTCTGGTCATGACAGCCTTTTTGGGAGGTTGGGGCTGTGCCTCTATTTTGATTCTTTCGTGATCAGGTTCATTACAGATCACCTGGTGCTTGCACCAATCGCCCAAAACGGCCATTCATTACCAGACTCCGAACACCTTCTGGTCATGACAGCCTTTTTGGGAGGTTGGGGCTGTGCCTCTATTTTGATTCTTTCGTGATCAGGTTCATTACAGATCACCTGGTGCTTGCACCAATCGCCCAAAACGGCCATTCATTACCAGACTCCGAACACCTTCTGGTCATGACAGCCTTTTTGGGAGGTTGGGGCTGTGCCTCTATTTTGATTCTTTCGTGATCAGGTTCATTACAGATCACCTGGTGCTTGCACCAATCGCCCAAAACGGCCATTCATTACCAGACTCCGAACACCTTCTGGTCATGACAGCCTTTTTGGGAGGTTGGGGCTGTGCCTCTATTTTGATTCTTTCGTGATCAGGTTCATTACAGATCACCTGGTGCTTGCACCAATCGCCCAAAACGGCCATTCATTACCAGACTCCGAACACCTTCTGGTCATGACAGCCTTTTTGGGAGGTTGGGGCTGTGCCTCCATTTGATTCTTTCGTGATCAGGTTCATTACAGATCACCTGGTGCTTGCACCAATCGCCCAAAACGGCCATTCATTACCAGACCTCCGAACACCTTCTGGTCATGACAGCCTTTTTGGGAGGTTGGGGCTGTGCCTCCATTTTGATTCTTTCGTGATCAGGTTCATTACAGATCACCTGGTGCTTGCACCAATCGCCCAAAACGGCCATTCATTACCAGACCTCCGAACACCTTCTGGTCATGACAGCCTTTTTGGGAGGTTGGGGCTGTGCCTCTATTTTGATTCTTTCGTGATCAGGTTCATTACAGATCACCTGGTGCTTGCACCAATCGCCCAAAACGGCCATTCATTACCAGACTCCGAACACCTTCTGGTCATGACAGCCTTTTTGGGAGGTTGGGGCTGTGCCTCTATTTTGATTCTTTCGTGATCAGGTTCATTACAGATCACCTGGTGCTTGCACCAATCGCCCAAAACGGCCATTCATTACCAGACTCCGAACACCTTCTGGTCATGACAGCCTTTTTGGGAGGTTGGGGCTGTGCCTCTATTTTGATTCTTTCGTGATCAGGTTCATTACAGATCACCTGGTGCTTGCACCAATCGCCCAAAACGGCCATTCATTACCAGACTCCGAACACCTTCTGGTCATGACAGCCTTTTTGGGAGGTTGGGGCTGTGCCTCTATTTTGATTCTTTCGTGATCAGGTTCATTACAGATCACCTGGTGCTTGCACCAATCGCCCAAAACGGCCATTCATTACCAGACTCCGAACACCTTCTGGTCATGACAGCCTTTTTGGGAGGTTGGGGCTGTGCCTCTATTTTGATTCTTTCGTGATCAGGTTCATTACAGATCACCTGGTGCTTGCACCAATCGCCCAAAACGGCCATTCATTACCAGACCTCCAACAACCTCTGGTCATGACAGCCTTTTTGGGAGGTTGGGGCTGTGCCTCTATTTTGATTCTTTCGTGATCAGGTTCATTACAGATCACCTGGTGCCCAATCGCCCAATCGCTCCAAAACGGCCATTCATTACCAGACTCCGAACACCTTCTGGTCATGACAGCCTTTTTGGGAGGTTGGGGCTGTGCCTCTATTTTGATTCTTTCGTGATCAGGTTCATTACAGATCACCTGGTGCTTGCACCAATCGCCCAAAACGGCCATTCATTACCAGACTCCGAACACCTTCTGGTCATGACAGCCTTTTTGGGAGGTTGGGGCTGTGCCTCTATTTTGATTCTTTCGTGATCAGGTTCATTACAGATCACCTGGTGCTTGCACCAATCGCCCAAAACGGCCATTCATTACCAGACTCCGAACACCTTCTGGTCATGACAGCCTTTTTGGGAGGTTGGGGCTGTGCCTCCATTTGATTCTTTCGTGATCAGGTTCATTACAGATCACCTGGTGCTTGCACCAATCGCCCAAAACGGCCATTCATTACCAGACTCCGAACACCTTCTGGTCATGACAGCCTTTTTGGGAGGTTGGGGCTGTGCCTCCATTTGATTCTTTCGTGATCAGGTTCATTACAGATCACCTGGTGCTTGCACCAATCGCCCAAAACGGCCATTCATTACCAGACCTCCACAACCTCTGGTCATGACAGCCTTTTTGGGAGGTTGGGGCTGTGCCTCTATTTTGATTCTTTCGTGATCAGGTTCATTACAGATCACCTGGTGCTTGCACCAATCGCCCAAAACGGCCATTCATTACCAGACTCCGAACACCTTCTGGTCATGACAGCCTTTTTGGGAGGTTGGGGCTGTGCCTCTATTTTGATTCTTTCGTGATCAGGTTCATTACAGATCACCTGGTGCTTGCACCAATCGCCCAAAACGGCCATTCATTACCAGACTCCGAACACCTTCTGGTCATGACAGCCTTTTTGGGAGGTTGGGGCTGTGCCTCTATTTTGATTCTTTCGTGATCAGGTTCATTCCAGATCACCTGGTGCTTGCACCAATCGCCCAAAACGGCCATTCATTACCAGACTCCGAACACCTTCTGGTCATGACAGCCTTTTTGGGAGGTTGGGGCTGTGCCTCTATTTTGATTCTTTCGTGATCAGGTTCATTACAGATCACCTGGTGCTTGCACCAATCGCCCAAAACGGCCATTCATTACCAGACTCCGAACACCTTCTGGTCATGACAGCCTTTTTGGGAGGTTGGGGCTGTGCCTCTATTTTGATTCTTTCGTGATCAGGTTCATTCCAGATCACCTGGTGCTTGCACCAATCGCCCAAAACGGCCATTCATTACCAGACCTCCACAACCTCTGGTCATGACAGCCTTTTTGGGAGGTTGGGGCTGTGCCTCTATTTTGATTCTTTCGTGATCAGGTTCATTACAGATCACCTGGTGCTTGCACCAATCGCCCAAAACGGCCATTCATTACCAGACTCCGAACACCTTCTGGTCATGACAGCCTTTTTGGCATGTTTAATAGACCTATTCATGCAATGAAAAAAATAGAAAATTTTTGCGGAACGGATTGCAAAAAAAAAAACGCACAACGCGAGAAAGTACGGTGCGGACATAGGCGGGCGAGAGAAATAAGGAAACATCGTCATTACGTGTGCGGTTTTAGCTAGCGAACGACGATGGAGGAAACCGCCAAGGAAGTGCCGGTTGCAAGGGAAGTTTTGCTGTCAACGGAGGATGTTAATGCCCTGGTTCAACACGTAGCAGCACGAATCCCAGCATCCGCGCAATTGGACGAAGGAGACTTGGTGGAAAGAATCGCTTTACGACTCCCACAGCTCCAAGGGGGCCAAGAAGAAGGAAGGCCGAAGCAAAGAACATTCACGAAGAAAGGATTTGAGGAGCAGGCAAAATTCAACGACGGAATCATCGCGCTACTCGAGAGAGCCAAAAAGGAGCCGGCGGGAGAGCATTTTGAAAAGGTTATGTTGTTGGATAAGATAGACGGAGATTATATTATGCAGGCAATTACCGAGCTCAAAAACCGGAATGACGTGTTGGCCATAGCGGACAAGGACCCGTCGGTATTTGAGTTTATCGAAAACAAAAGAAAGGCGGAGGAGATGAAGACAGTGAATCCGTTGCTGGCAGAATATCCGTTGCTGGCAGAATACCAATAGAAAGCAAGAAGAAGGAGCAGAAGCAAGAAAGGATTCGAATGATCACACTCACAAAATTCAATAAAAAATAATAATTTAAAAAATTCCGTCATTTTCACGAAAAACTGGAAAAAATTTATTCCATAAAACTATAAATCCACTTGAAAAAAAGGTTGTCAAGAAGAGCTGTTGATCGATAAGCTTCCGGGCTTCCACGATTGCCTTTTTGAGATCCGAAATCGAATTAAAAGACTTGTTACAGTGAAAGATATCCCCGATCCGGAGATCGAGGTCTTTCTTTTCCTTTCGTATTCCATGTAACAAGGCACGATTTCAATGCAAACATGTTTATTCACGTGTACGTGGTGATATTAAGAGGTTTGTAATGATCTCTCTTCCGTCTTCCGTTTTTAGAAAAAAAAAATTGAGTCCTCATTTTTGAGAGTTAAATAAATTTCATTTTCAAATTAAGAAAATGCTTCAACGTTGAACGCAGCAGCGCGTGAACGCAGTATCTCAGTAAAGTTTTGGGTTCATTTTTAAATTTTTTTTCTGAATGGTCAATCACAACAATAATATCGTTTCTTTAATTAAAACAATCATTGCATTTCTCACAGTTCGAATTTCGGTCGCAACGGAAACCGAGGGTGACATTCATCATTGAATCATCGAAATAACGAACGTTTTCAGTGTGTCCGATAAAATTCGATCGGGGCGATACAGACTGCGCTGTTAAATCATCTTGCCCGCTCAATTTTATCTGTTACCGAAACAATTTTGGCAGCCAGGATTGTTGTTGTATGCTGATATATGTATTTAAAAATATTGTCGAAGTCAAACGACTTGACAAAATAAAAAATAATGATTGGCTATGTGCCAATGCGTCTCGAGGCAGCGAGAAGTACACGAGATTGCGGACATTGGCATTATAGTGTACGCGCATTTAATATTCAATCAACGAAAAGTTTAAAACTAAATTCATTGATTTTGAAGGTCCCGCATTCATTTAGTCGTTTGACGCCGACAATATTTATTCATACTTGATAATAGTTTATTTTTTCTTCAGATATGTATAACATCACTTGTTCGACGGGTATGATAACATTCCATTCGAGAATCGGTCATTCTTTCCTCTTCGAATCTATAAATAATGAATGCCCTGAGGGTTACTATAGGGAATCTTCCCATTTAACAGTCAATGATTTGTGTTGTCGTAAGTTCTAATAGTTTACCAATATAATCGCACTTTTCAGCGATTCCCTATTCTTCGCAGCTCTATCTCGCAAAGAATATAACTCCAATAGGTAAAAAGATATCAATTTAATTATTTGAAACGGCCAGAATTACATTGTTCAAAGGTTGGCCAAGTTTCACCAAATGTAAGGAAAATAGTGATTGCAAAGGCGGATTCTGTGATGACGTTGTGAATCCGTCATTTCAAAATGTAAATTATGTGTTCGCCATTGACAACGTCGATCGCAGTTTCTTCACAACATCGTTAAAGTTCTGCTTCGAAAGTAAGCATTGCAAATATGCAATAATGGTCTGAAGTTATGGCTCAATTCAACGAAATTTAAAATAGTCGGGACCATGTCTAATGACGAAAGGGGCCGAGTGATACACAAGGGACCCGGGTGTGAAATTGGTGCAATTTTGTAGAAAATCTTCTTATCCAAAATTTCAAGTTTCTGAGTCACCAAATATGTCAATCTTTTCGTGATTGCTATTTACTTCATATTTATCAGTCAGCTTTACTCAGAGCACCTACACATTTGTCTGTTTTGATATGTGATTTTGCCAAAAAGGTCCGTACTGTTTTTCGAAGTAGGCCCCATTTGTCACTTCGATGTGTTTCAATCAGTGCTTTGCGTCAATTGGATTGATGATTTGAAAAAAAAACTTGTTTTCCGAATTGTCAAAACATTTTTTATGCAAATTGTTATGAAGAACCATCAATTTATTAATTAATTCTCAAATTTCAAAAGAAAAAAACCTGATGCCGTGAATTTCAGAAATAGTCGACGTCCGGCGACTGATGTAGTGAGGGTAGATCTACGCGTGCGCTTTTCGAAATGGTCCCGCCACGATTGAACGCTTATTTAGAGACCATAACGAAAGACGCATGTCCCGTAAATCTACAAGCTTACAGCAATTGCCCGGACACCGAATATATTTAGCATTCAAATTGAAAAAAAAAATATTGCCGAAGGCGGACCGTAACATGCTCATAATACAGACATTGTTGCGATATTTCAGTTCCTAATGAAATTAAAGGCACACTCGATATACAGCTTAATCCTGATAGCGGTTTGAAACTGTGTAGCTCATCACGAGATTGCAATGACAAAACCGAATTCTGCCATGAGCCATTCCTGGCCGATTTTCGAGAAATTGATGAAGTGTTTATTAATCTTCGCAAAGGTGTTTGTGCGAAAAAACGCGATTTGTGCAAACCTTCGCAAGGCGGAATTGTTGGTCCTTTCGGACAGCTGACTGCTGGCTACACATTCTGCGACACCGATGCTGATTGTGTAAGCGACGGACGCGATCCGAATTTGGCGAAACATAATGCAGTGTATGCTCAGTCTTATTAGACATATGAACACCAAAACGAAAATTTTTATAGCGGAAAATGCACAAAACTCGATGAGTCTAAGGTAGATGGTAATTTATGCTGCTTCGGTAAGCATTGGTTATATGCATTGGGTTACGTAAAAAATTAAACGAATCAAATTTTCATGGAATTATTTCTGCAATGAAAAAAAAATATATCAATTTTTTCATTTTAATTCCCCATGCACCATACTTGTAAATTTCCGGGTCGACCCGCCTACCCGCAACGACACTCCAAGCTTACAGCGAGGCCTTTGTTTAGCGTAAAAAGAATTTCGAGTTGCATCAAGTTAATTATTCTTGGAACAAAAATTGCTCAGAAGTCAAAAAACAAAATTGATTGAACCAGCTTTCACTGTTTTTGTTTCATTTTTAAATTTTTTATAATAACCTTCAGATTAAAAAATTCCATTTCTTGTGTAAAAGCGAGAGATCTTGGATAAAGTCACTATTTATTAATATAAAATAAATAAATAATTCAATATGATAGAAAAAATAATAATAAAGAGAGGGTATTATTTGACGTCTTATACACGGCGCAAAAACACATACACGCAAGTAAATCGAACTATGTATTATAACATCGTTTTGTTTTCTGAATTCAGAGGAGCCGGTCAACCTATGCCAACATGGATTTATGAAGATTCCACAACAACATTGTAAATCTTTTAATGATTGCAACAGAGATGTTGCTTACGGTGAACGGAAGACTTCATGGTGCGACGAAACTCATAATGTCTGTTGCGATGGTAAGAAAATTGATTAATGATTGCGAAAGGACCACAATACGATTTTTCAAACGGAACTCTGCATTTTTTTTTGTATTGAAATCAGTTAATATAAGACTAAATTTGAGAGAAAAAAATTATGCAGATTGTAAAAAAAAAACTAGTTTAGTTTTTCGAGTTTTCTTTCCAAAATCGGCATAGCAAGCTTAGAGGAGAAAGGTAACGTTCAACAGTATAAAACATACGTTGAAAATAGATAAGAATGGGTTAAAAATGTTTTTTGTTTTGAATTTTTAGTCAGCACGAGGCGAGAGGGTGAGAGACGTCGGCAATATTTCATTAACAATCGTTAAAAAACAACGAAATTTCAGGTAAAGACGACTTCGAAATTTGGAGGTGCCCAGATAAACAGACACCAAAATTTAATGAACCCAAATGTGTGGATTTCAATGCAACCAGCGAAATGTGCGTGAAGCAGGCCTCTGCAATTTGCCATCTGGGCAGATGCTGCCCACCACTCAATATAACCGCTATTATGACAGCGAACAGTTTGCCTAAATTGGGGCCAGAATCGTATGTGACAGCACTCGCGTGTGATCCGACAAAAGCTTTGCCATCGTATTCGCGCTTTTTGTTTTGCGATCCTTCGAGACGCAAATTTGTCATAATTGGAGAGAATCAAATGGATGGGAGTCCAATTGTGAGAGTAGACATCGAATGCGTTGTTAATGGGTAGCTTATGCCTCTTAATAGGTAGCTTATGCCTTTTTTAGGGATTGTCTCGGTAAAAATCAAGTTTGTGTGTCAACGTTGGAAAATTCAGTATGTTATGAAAATCCACTAGCGAGACTAGAAAACGACTCAATAATGAAGGATTATTGGCCGACAATTCTTATTATTTCAATTGTCATGACCATATTATTTTCAATACTTGCCTTTCTGTGCTATTGGTTCCACAGATGCTATTTGGCGATCGTAGTGGCAGAGGATGAACTGGAATCAAAAGAAAATGACGCTGAATCGGAAATGGCGAAGGCAGCAACAACTAGTTGAAGTTTTGTGTAATTTCCAATAATTTTTTAAATAAATACATATTGTTTCAAAAACAAACCATTTTTTCATTGATTTAAAAACATTGTATTCTATTTTTTTGCAAAGCTTTGATTTTTCATTATTTGTATTGTCTGTTTGTTGCTGCTAAAATGGCAATTTCGATTTTTTAAAATAAACCAGCGAGATTCCGACGAAATTGAAAGTTTACGCGCGGGTTGAAAATTAAATGCGCGTACGATCTCAAATTCTCGCATTCAAAACGGCAGGATGGTCGAACCGTCGGATTGCGAAAATTTTAAACCGGTGGAAAACATGCGTTGACAACTTTGTGAAGGATCCAACACGTGTCAACAAGCCACAAAAGTCAGGCGCCAAAGAAAAACTGGACTTTCGAGCTAAACGAGCTATCATTCGAGCAGCTTCAAACAGAATGAAGTCTACAAACGACATCAAGAAAGAGCTGAACCTTGATGTAAACAAGTGGACGGTTTGGCGAACCATCAAGAATAACCCCAACATCGCTAGAGAAAAAATGAAGCCGGCTCCGCGACTCACAGAGGATCATAAAACTCGACGCCTTGAGTTCGCACGCAGAAACATGAATACGGATTGGAACAAGGTACTTACTTTCGAGAATATTGCGAATAATAACCATTCGAACTTCAACAGATTATTTTTTCCGATGAAAAAAAATTTGATTTGGACGGCCCAGATGGCTATAACAGTTACTGGCACGATTTAAGGAAGGATCGCCTCGTGTTTTCAAAACGCAATTTTGGAGGAGGAAGCGTGATGTTATGGGGAGCGTTTTCGGCGGCCGGATTTCTAGAATTGGCTTTCGTGACGAATAGGATGGACTCTTCGGATTATCAGAATGTTCTTGAGAGCCATCTTCTTCCATTCCGACGTCGTTTTTGTCGGCGCCGCTTCATTTTTCAACAAGACAATGCGGCCATTCATGTGAGTCGGTCTACTATAAACTGGCTCCAGACTCACAATGTGGAAGTTCTCGACTGGCCAGCATGCTCTCCTGATTTGAATCCTATGGAGAACGTCTGGGGAGAGTTAGTACGGCGTCTCAATGGCCATGAAAGGAAATTCGGGACCGTTGTAGAGCTCAAAACCGCCATTGAGATCGAGTGAAAGATGTTAGAGCAGGAATTCAAATCTAAATCGACCCAATATGTTTCAAACCTTCTCAAATCTATGCCAGTTGTTATCTTTGAGTTTATAAATTGTTTCTTAAGGTGGCTTTATAATTCTGCACCGCTCGAAAAAACGGTTTTGGACCACTGATTTTCACACTGGTTGGTCTCAAAATAGCGAAATCATTGCGCGAAATAGCGAAATCATTGATAATTATTTAGATTAGAAGGTTGAAACATGTAAAAAGTGGGCTATGCTTAGCAATGCCAATCAAAAAAGGATCTAGTGGAAATGATGATGAATTTAATTCTCCGATTGTTGAATCATGTAATGGATCAAATGAGCGTCAGGTAAAATTTACTTGAATGGTGCAATTCGCAACAATCGATATTTGTAGAAGTGGAAGATTGCCGAAGTCGAATGGTTGAATGATTCTATATAGTCAATCAATTAATTCGATCACATCGTAAAATATTCATTATCAATTGAGTATTCTTGTTTACCTCACATTTATCATTTAAAATGTGTCAATATTCTTTCCGCGTTTTAATTCCGAAAGCATTAATTGTGTCGCCTTGCCATTAAGCCTGCCCTAACCTTAAACCGTTTTTTTTTAACCAAAAGCCATGATGTTAACATTTTCATTTTTTCTTGCTTATTCCTTTTGTGGGGTGATTTGATTTAACTATCGGTGTCCATTCATTCATTTTCACTCTAATTTTGTCGTGTCTTCGAGGAACCCATCTTGATATTTTCAATAATTTCTTGTTGAGTTCTGATCATTTTGAGCTCCTTCAGACACATCAGCCATAACACATTTCTCTTGTCGCTAAAATTGTTGCCTGAAAATAGCGATGTTTACAGCACAAAATCTACAATTTCAAATTGTTTCAGTGATCTTTCTACTGCTAACATGCAGATTTGCTTTATAAACAACAATATAAGCATTTATACATTCAATCAATTGATTACCATATCATCGAATATTTATTTTTTGGCTCTAATTCATGTCCTATAGATATTGCTGTTACATCTTTCGATTCGGATGTTGGCGGTGATGTTTTCTCTCGTGATCTTAGCGCTGATGCTTTGGATTGAGGTTTTGACTGACACTTTGGTGCTGGTGGTTTTAATTCAGATTTTGAAGCTCCTTCTTGTCGTAAACATAACAAGATCGATAACACATATAAGAGATAACGTGTTGGGATTTTGTCCCGCGCACTTGGCAAAACCGTAGTGGCCGCGGCCGACAAAGGCGCGCGCCGACTAGGGCCGGTGTAGTCCACCCGGAGAAGCTCTCACTTCTTGCGCCGCCCATCCTGGTTTTCTTATTATTCTACCTTCATTTTATCATTTCTACTTTATCTAAGTGTCGCCACGTCATCCCACGCGCAGTTACACGTGTGAGAGTCGCGCATTCATGATTATACAGGGTGCGGCAAAATTACGGGTGCATAACTTTGGCGCAAGCTCATAGTGCACGGTCGCATTTTTTGTGCAGTTTTATGTTTTTATTTTATTTTCTATGACGTTTTAATCATTTTCTGAAAGTTTCATGAAAATCCGTTTCGTTTTACAAAAATGACAGCTGATTCTATTCATCGTGCGGCCATCATCGACTTGAAAAAAATAGAACATCGGTCAAAATGATTTCTAAAATCCTTGGAGTTCACCACAACGCCGTACAAACAACTTGAAAACGCTTTGATAAGATAGGAGGACTCTCTAGCTGTCCTAGAAGAGAAAGATAACATTCTTTAATAACACCGGAGCGAGTCAAGGTCATCAGGGAACGAGTTCGTCGAAATCCAGATCGTAGCATCAGAAAGATGGCGTCAGAAGTCCATGTGAGTCCGAGATGGTGGGAAAAATTGCCAAAGATGAGCTGAACCTGATACCTTATCGTGTTAGAAAGGCCGCCATTCTAACCGAAAAAAATAAAGAAGGTCGAATGAAAAATTGCAAATCGCTCCTAGCTGGCACGCGGCAAGGAATACGCCTAACGACTTTCGTCATGGATGAGAAGCTGTTTACGGTAGAAGCTGCTTTCAATCTCCAAAACCACAGAGTGATCGCCAGAAGGTCTGAGGAAGCTATGAACAAAGGCAGAACCATTCATCGTGTTTTCCATTCTCAGCAGATCAAGGTATTCGGTGGGATCTGTGCGGACGGCAAGACACCACTGATTTTTGTTGATCCCGGAGTGAAGATTGATCAAAATGACTATCTTAATGAGATCCTGAAGAAGAATTTTTTTCCTTGGTCCCAATCTCACTTCGGAAATCGATCTTGGACTTTTCAACAGTACGGAGGGCCTGCACATCGAGCCAAAACCATTCAAGACGGCTGCGGCAGTCATTTTCCATCATTCATCAAGTCAACGGATTGGCCCGCTTCGTCGCCCGACCTGAACCCCATGGGCTATTCTGTCTGGGGGTCTTGCAAGAGAAGGTGTCAGCTTTCCCACACCCAAATATGAACTCATTGAAAGCTGCCCTTCTGAAGGAATGGGACAAATTGGACCCCAAATACCTGCGTGCCACCGTCGACGCCTATCCGAAGCGTCTGAAGAAAGTTATCAAGAATCGAGAAGGAAGAATCGAACAACGATAATTAATTTGTGATTGTTATGTGTTGAATAAATTTTGGTATTAATTTGAAAGAGTTTTGTTGATTTTTAAAAAAGTTATTTCGTTTTATCGATGCACCCGTAATTTTGCCGCACCCTGTAGTGCGTTGTTTATGGATGCAAAGAGTTTTCATTGTTTAAATTAAGTTAAGCTATTTTAAGTGTTCTGACTGATCGTCCCTATTGTTTATTGCCGTTATACTCTTTTGTCATTCGTTGCGTTGTTTATTTTCGGGGTTTAATTACCCAAGTTTGAGGTTATCCAATAAAGCTTGGTAAAGTATTCTGTGCACGCGTGCAACAACCTAACAACCTTCCAACCATACAACTTGGCGACCACGGCAATCCGGACCAGGAGGGATCTAAGAAGCAATAGCAAACTATTGTGAGTTTTTATTCTCTCCCGGTATCCATTTCAGACACTCGGTTAATTTCGGTGGGAGCTGCACACAGATACCCCGGAATTGCACTACACTTTGCGAAATCCTTTGGAACGACAGCAGACGAACGGAAAGAAATTGCGGAGTCTACAGATTAGCAGCATTTCAGCTTTTAGATTTGCAGGTGTCATCGTTTTCAGGTGCTGCAGATTTTTTTTCAGCTTTTCAGCATTTTTTAGGTGATTGCGAACAGCATAAGCGTTTCTTATTACAGCGTCAACGACAACATGGAGCAACTCACGGAATGCCAGGCAGCAATCGTGGAATTTACGCAGTGGATGCGTTCGGCCGGAGTTGTCGACGATGAAGCGGAGAGGAAGCTCGTACGACTGGAAACTTCGGTGGGTCGTTTAGATTCATTGAGTCAGAATCTACGGACATTTGGAAAAAAACTGAAGGCGCATGAAGTGTGCGAGGAGAAAATGCGAAAGATCATGCGCGAAGCAACTTTCCAAGCCACGGAAAGGCAACGAGATCGGGTAGTTGCGGAGTGCGTTAATGATTGGCAGAAGATCATTGGATGTTGGAGTGGGGTAGAGGGGCTAGCGCAGATAGGGTGTGACGAAGAATCAGACATAGGAGTAGGAGGAAGGAAGGATGAGTTGAGGAGCTATTTAGAAAAACTAGGAGTGAACACCATTGAAGACATTGATGAGATGATAAAATTCAATGCCGACCAAGTGAAACAAATCTCATCGCTTAACTGTCAGATCAATCAATTGGAAGAGGCCATCCAGAGGAAAAATGAGGTGATTGGCGAAGCGCAAAAAGGGCACGAAGACCAAGTACGGAAACTCAAGGAGACGATCGAACAATTAAAAAGGACCAGTAAGGAGTATACCCACAAAAACCATGAGGAACAGAAATTGTTTCAGACGCCATACGCCCACGAAAACCAAGACAGGCCACAGCAGAAGGAAACAACAACGCCGGCGAGCCAAAACGGTGAGTACTTTGGTTCGAATAACTGGAAGCGGGAGGAGAGAGCGTATATGAACGAGGAAATGTTAGGGATTAGGGAAGCGTTGGAATGTCTGGCGAAAGCGAATTTGGTACCCGATCCAGAACCTTTTGATGGCCATGCGGAGAGAAACCTGCATTCATTCGCTGAGATGTTCCTGTCGAAGTATGAAAATACGTGCAAGGAAGATCGAAAGTTAACAGCGCTCATGAGGGAAAAATTCTTGAAGGGTCGCGCGAAAACTGTATTTAACGGGTTGGGCGAGCGAGTTTGGAGGATGACGTTTCGAGAGGTAATTCAGGAGTTGGGAAAAGCGTTGAACGAACTCGGTCACGATAGCATTCAAGCGTCGTGGAGCCGATGGAATGCCTTGAAGAAGCGCGAAGACCAAAAACTTAGCGACTTTTGCGCCTCATTGAAGGAGATATCAGCGGTGGTGTTCCAAGGGAGTCAGCCGGAAACAATTGCGCAGGCACGGTTAAACAAGTTGATGGAGAGTATGAAGGATTCCGCACAGCGAAACCTTCTGGCAATGCGAAAGTTGGAAATCGAGCCAGCCGAGCAATACCACGTATTGAAGAGGATCGCGATCCAGTTCGAGTGGGAGAGGCAAGAATGGAGGAAAAATACTGGCGACGCGCGTCGAGTGCTGCACCACGGAGCAGGTAGAGCCAACCCAGCGGAAAAATTGTGCTACAGATGTGGAGGACGAGGGCACCTCAGCAGGGAGTGCATACCAATTCGTCTACAATTTCAACGGAGGAATGAGTCTGGAGGGCAAGGTGGAACACAAAGTCATGGAGGACAAGGAATGAGGTGGAATGGAGGCCGTGGGCCAGGGGCTGAACAGCCACGACAAGTGAATCAGGTGGAAGGAATCAGCGAAAAGGAAGAAAAGAATGAAGTTGGAGCGAGTATCGTGGAAAAGGGGGTCATTCTAGGACAGGAGGTAGAATTTCTAGTGGATTCTGGAGCAGTGGTTTCGTTGCTGAGTTCAAAGACGTGGGAAAAACTGACGATGAATGGAGGGGATTGGAAAAAAGAGGCGATTCGGTTGGTCGGAGTTCCCGATTACGCTGTGGTAACGGCAGATAAAAAACCGATGGAGGTGTTGGGACAGGTGGAATGTAGCGTAACGATGAGAGGGCGAACGAGAGGAGTGCGATTTCAGATTGTGAAGAACGACAGCGAGATTGCGTTGATTGGTACAAATGCATTCCCGGCATTGGGAATATACTTGATGTGGAGCGGAGAGGAGGATTTGGTGAGGTGTGGGAGAAAGATTCGAGTGCCGCCGAAATCGCACGCGCGAATAGAAGTGTCTTCTGGGCTGCCAGAGAATATAACCAGAGTATTGGAATCGCACAAAGCAGAAATACCAGATGCAGTCGTTACTCTGCGAGACGGAAAAGCGTCGGTCGCAATCGAAAATTTGACCGAACAAACGGTAGTTGTTGCGAAGGGGGAGGTGATTGGAAAATGGGCAGCGGACGAATGCGAGATATGGGAGGCGGATGAGTGGCACAAATGAGGTGAGAAGAACGAAGAATCGAGCAAGATTGCATCGATCGGAATTTGTAAAGGGAGTACAGCGTCGACCGCGAGGCAGGAGATCTTAGTGGAGCAAGTGGAGAAGAATGGAAAGATTCAAGACCAGGAAATCCGAGAGATTGTGAAGAAATGGGAGAAAGTTTTCGCATTGGAGGATTCGGAGTTGGTGCAAACCAATATGAACGAATGCCGCATTGGACTCGAGCAAGACAAACCGATAAGACAGCGCACGAGACAAGTTCCCCTGGCTTTGATGCCGCAATTGAAGGAACTATAGCGGATATGTTGCGGAAGAACGTCATCAGGGAGAGCAACTCACCCTGGTCGTCACCAATCGTGTTGGTGAAGAAGAAAGATGGCACAATACGGATGTGTGTCGATTACAGAAAGGTGAACGAGGTCGTGAAGCAAGATGCTTTTCCGTTGCCAAATATTGAGAAAACAATACAGTCGTTGGAGAAGAAGAAAATATTCTCGACATTGGATTTCGTAGCCGGTTATTGGCAGGTGCCATTGGAAGAAAGCAGCAAGAAAATCACAGCGTTTGCAGCCCTGGACAAATTGTATGAATTCAATGTTCTTCCGTTTGGACTATGCACAAGCCCTGCGCTCTTTCAGAGGCTGATGGAAGAAATCTTCGAAGAAAGATTGGGGGATAGCATATTCGTATATATCGACGATGTTTTGATCGCAACGGAGACGGTGGAACAACATAAAATGAATCTGGAATGGGTATTGAGCAGAGTCGAGCAGTGTGGAATGAAGGTTAAGGCGAAAAAGTGTGCTATTGGACAGGATGCGGTAAAATACCTGGGACATAGAATTGATGGAGGAGGTGTGCAGGTAGACGACGAGAAAATTATAGCGATTCGGAATTTTCCTCGTCCAACATGTCGATCGGAATTACAGTCGTTTTTGGGAATGGCAGGGTATTATCGGCGATTTATCTACAAATACAGCAAAATTGCGGCACCGCTGCACCCACTAACAGCGGCGAAGACGCCATGGCGTTGGCAACGCGAACAAGAGGGGGCGTTTATAACAATTAAAGAATTGTTGGTACAGGCGCCAGTTCTGAAACAACCGGACGTCGAAGCCGCTAGATCGTACGTGAGACCATTTCTGATCTTCACGGACGCATCAGAAAAAGGAGTCGGAGCCGTACTTGCACAAGAAGGAGAAGATGGAGAGATTCACCCGGTAGCATTTGCATCTAAAGCACTGACGGGCTCTGAGCGGAGATATCATGTGACAGATCAGGAGGCATTGGCCATAGTGTTTGCAGTAAAGCGTTTTCGTATGTTTATTTACGGAACCAGAATCAAGGTCTACACCGATCATCAGCCACTCACCTGCCTCTTTCAAAAGAAGAACTTAGCAGATCGATTGCTTCGATGGTCTCTCGAATTAAGCGAATACAGTATCGAGTATATTTACATTAAAGGAAAAGCTAATGTGGTAGCAGATGCATTGAGTAGGGGAGGAGTAAAGGCTACGACGCTGAACGAGGAGGAGGAGCAGGAAGAAATACCGGTGGAGATTGAACGAATAGTGGGCGAAGTCTCGACGAAAGTTCGAGCATGGGATGAGTGGGTTGAGGAGGGAGAATTATGGTCGATATTGAAGGAAAAGGTGGAGAATGGAGAGGATTCTGGAGAAACGGTGAAGGAAGATAAGCGAGGACGTGGGGTTAAGGTGACAGATTTTGAGCTCGATGAAGACAAGATAGTACGAAGGAAGAAGGGGCAACAGAAGGTGGTGCCAAAGGCAATCAGGAGAAAATTGTTCCAGGAATTACATAGTGGAGAATTGGGAGGACATTGGGGAATAGGAAAGACGTCGAGGTGGCTGGCGGAAAGGTATTGGTGGCCAGGATTGCATCAGGACGTTGAAAAATGGTGTAGAGAATGCAAGAACTGTGTGATGGTGAATGCGCAAGGGAAGTTGACGGCGCCATTGCATCCGTACGAAACCAGTCGACCCCTTGAAATTGTCGCCGTTGATCTAATCGAAATGGGGATTGCAGAAAGTGGCAATAAGCACATATTGTGCATTATCGACCTATTTACCAAATTCGCAAGTGCTATTCCAATTGCTAGCAAATCTGCTGAAGTTGTGGCGAAAGCATTCTTGGAAGAGTGGGTGTTGAAAGAAGGACGTGTTCCAGAGAAAATTCTGACGGATCAAGGACGAGAATTCATGAATGAGACGTTCACCAGAGTAGTAGAATTGGTGAAAGCTGAGCATATCACTACGAAAGGTTACGATTCTCGCGCGAACGGAGCTGTTGAGCGATTCAATAGAACCCTAGAAGAAGGATTACGGAAGACGACACTGATGATGTCTAGGTGGGACGAAAGAGTGGCTTTCGTGGTGTTCGCTTACAATGCATGCGTACATACGACTACAGGGGAGACACCGTTGTATCTAATGACCGGACGAGATCCACGAATACCATTGCAGATGGATCCTCATCTTGAGGTGAGACCCCACCATGTCGACGTAGATAGTTACAAGTGGAAACTGACAGAGGAGTTACAGAGAGCATATGATTTAGTGAGGGAGAGAGCGAAGAAAGAGAGGGAACGAGCCAAACGAGAATTTGATGAACGGAATAAGGTGGAAAGTAAGGATTACCCGAATGTTGGAGATAGGGTATTGATGAAAGTGCCATCAGAAAAAGAAGGAGCGAAATATCCAAAGTTGACCAATGAGTGGCAGGGTCCATACCGAGTGGTGGAGAAAACAGAGACAGCGGTCGTATTGGAGCCAACTGTAGGAAAAGGGAAAGGGTCGTCTATTAGAGTGGCAATGCACAGATTTTTCAGAACAGGGATAAACAGATATATTGCAGAGACATCGTGGACGGATGCGGGAGTAGAGATTGTACGGGAACAGTCACCTGGAATGGTCTCAAAGTGACACCGCAATCAATACTGGAGGCCGCAAGAGCATTGGCAGCCATACGACACCTGCAGAAACCATCAGAACTCTTGGTAGCATCGTTAATGCAGGAGGAAGAATCCGACAGATGGATCCAACGAAAGGATTGGAGTGCAGCGGTCACCATGTTTGCAAGATGTCCCCGTATCATCGCGGAGGTTTTAGCACCCCGTGCCATGTTGCAGAGCCGTTACGCGACACAACTAGCCGATGTGAAGCTGGATATCCGCAATGAGCTTCACCAGCTCGAATCGCAATCCCGAACAGTTATCGTGCCGAAAGAGTTTGGAAGGAATGGACCAAGAAATTGGAGGACGTACCACAATGGTCGGGAGTTGCAGGCTGAAGCAGCAAGGAGAGCCACGCTGACGATTATCATCCTTCGTCTAGATACAGAATTGGTCGAAGCAGTAAAGTCGTCAACAACACCGCAGGAAAATTGGTTCTCCTCCCAGCGGGATTCCCGGAGCTCCAAAAGTTGAGCGAAGTACTCTCGAACATGGAGGAGTGGAAAGACAGATTTCAGAAGTGGACGCGGACGGGAGTAATTACTCTTGGACCCATGGACAAAACACCGTCCGCCAATGAGTATTTAGGCGAACAAATTAAGCCAAGACTGGGAGCGGATGGTGAGTATACGACGGCAGAGATCGAGGAGGTGGTTGCGACGTATGTACAGATGCAACCGGAAGTTGTATCGCTGAGCAAGGACGTGCAGGAAGCAATAGCTCGGATGAATGGAGGAGCACGACGCGGCGACGGGTCAGAAGCGAAGCGATCGCGTTGGGCATGAACCGATTGGTTGCCTCGTATGTTAAATGTTTAGGTTAATTTTTATTATTCGTTTGTTCCCTAGCACTTTTATACCCTACCCACATCATGTATCTCTAGCGCGTGTTATAGTAGGAATTAGGATATTAGGAGATGAGGCGTAAAAACAAAAGTAAAATTTATTGTGTGGTTATGAGTAGGTGTTGAGAACACGTGCGCAATAGTGGTGTTGAGGGCAACACTTACGGGATGCGGGGGGATGTTGGGATTTTGTCCCGCGCACTTGGCAAAACCGTAGTGGCCGCGGCCGACAAAGGCGCGCGCCGACTAGGGCCGGTGTAGTCCACCCGGAGAAGTTCTCACTTCTTGCGCCGCCCATCCTGGTTTTCATATTATTCTACCTTCATTTTATCATTTCTACTTTATCTAAGTGTCGCCACGTCATCCCACGCGCAGTTACACGTGTGAGAGTCGCGCATTCATGATTATAGTGCGTTGTTTATGGATGCAAAGAGTTTTCATTGTTTAAATTAAGTTAAGCTATTTTAAGTGTTCTGACTGATCGTCCCTATTGTTTATTGCCGTTATACTCTTTTGTCATTCGTTGCGTTGTTTATTTTCGGGGTTTAATTACCCAAGTTTGAGGTTATCCAATAAAGCTTGGTAAAGTATTCTGTGCACGCGTGCAACAACCTAACAACCTTCCAACCATACAACTAACGGAAAGCATAGAAAACACAAAGGATAGCACAATTGAGGTTGTTAGAATAAACTTCAACGAGTTGTCGACAGCAACTCGATAATCTTTCAGAGGATTGTAGTAGCATTTTGCACGAGTGGTCCAATTGAGGTGAAATTTTTAGCACATATTTTTCATACATTTAAATGTTTAAAAGCACGTTCATATTATGGAAATTAATATTTTTCAAGTATAAATCGCAAAAAATCGAATTTTCAAAAAATCATGAAAATCGGTGAATAATTTCAAATGGCTGTAGAAACAAAATTAGATCGTCAAACACCAAATAACTTTTTTTTTTCAAGGATTAATAGGCCTAATACTTAGTCGTCATACTATTTGCTTCAATAGAAGCATAACATCTTTCAGGCATGAAAGGTACTAAGTGGTTTAGAGTCGCAGCCGGCAGGGCATCTCAAACTTGCTCTAATTTTGAGAATTTTTCACTACAATTTTGAACAGTTTTTCCATTTAAACAACATTCGAATCCTTCTCAACGGTGTTCGATATGATTTGGGTCGGGAGATTGGCTCGGCCAGGTCATAGAAGCTGCGCGATCCAATTCCTGACCAAGTGTGATAAACGTTTTGGATCGTTGTCCTGTTGAAAAATCCTACCAGGCCCAAGTTTCGAACGTCCAAACGGTAGCATATGGTCCTCTCTGATGTATTTGTACAAATTCTTGTTCATAATACCTTCTATTCAGCGCAGAGGACCAACGCTGATAGAAGAAAAACATCCCCATACCAATACAGTTCCACCCCAATGCTTAACAGGTGGAACATGGTACTCGGGATGAAATATTTTTCCTGATCGATGTTGTACATGGGTTTTACCACCATTTCCAACCATCATATACTTTGATTCGTCACTTCATAGGATGTTGGACCGATGTTACATTGTCCATCTGAGATGATCTCATTGTAATCGTGCCTTCTTAATTTGGCCGGGATTATTGGATTTTTACACCGGACGACGACCAAACAATCCAACTTCTAACAGTCTCACTGCAAACCTATATCGGTTGTATCGTTCCAATTAACGAAAAAAGTGGCTTCAACTCCATAATGTTGCATAAATCATCTGGTGATGTCAGTACTTGCCAGCCTCGGATTTTTTCTGCTCATCCCAATAATGACACAACCAATAGCTGGAGATTTTTTGGTGGTCTTCCTATTGGTTTTGATCGGTTTTGAGTATTATTTGAAGCCAAGATGATCGAAATACTCGTTGCGAACCGTTTGGACAGACCGAAAATCGACACCCCACATTCTCGGCCTCTATTAATCGCAATGCTACCAGCTTTAGATAATGTCTTAGACCCTTTTGGTAGACTTATCGTTAAAAATAATTAATATGATCACAAAGTATTGAAAACTAAAAAATATATTGAAAAAAATATAGGAAAACTAAAATTTTCGATTTTTCCACTTTTTGCAGATTTCAAAAAAATGTCCGCTAGCACGTATTTTTGCGAACTAGTGTAATTAACTTTACAATTTGTTTAAAATAGTGTTTTTTACTTTCAGTAAAAATTTCACCCCGATCGGACAACTCGTTCAAAAGTTATGAAGAAAATTAATTATTTCGTATCTTTTTCTGCGGTACTGTATGGTTTCTCGCCCAATTTCAACGCCGGCATGGTAACCAACGGCGGACAACATCTGCCATAAGAGCAAATTCCGGCCGGCTGTGCCTTGCAAATTCCCGAATTCCGATCATTCGCGACGACATTTTCACACCTCGGCTCATTGAATTTCGGAGTTTGGTAATCAGGGCAGGGCCACAGTAATTTATCGAATCTTCCTGAAAGTATTAATTGTTTATCAATTGCAATTAGACGACTCACCGTTGCAACAAACTCCACTTTTTTCGTCGCACCACGAAGTCTTTAGTTCATAAAATTCCTCATTGCAATCATCAAAAGTTGAACATTTTCTGAATGGAATAGCAGCATTTCCATGTTCGCACATCCCAGTTGTATCTTCTTAAAAATGGAGAGATTTATTCAAGTTCTTGACTATAACTTCATACGGTAACAGCATAGTCGTACTTCCTCATTTCCAAGAGCTTCATTCATTTTTGTGCATTTTCCACTGAATTTAATAAAGTTTTAGATTGTTCGAATATAATTTCTAGCACTTTGTTTAAACCATCGCGTCCTTGGTACCTTCCACCTTCTATACAGTCATGATCTTCATTGCAGAATTTTTTTAATGCCGAGATTTGTCCGACGGGATCGAATTTAGCAGTTATTCCTTGGTTCGATGAATCACCAACTAACGTATTTTGCTCCGTGACTTTACACAAATCTGCTTTCTTGGCGCAAAAACCAAGCTGCTCTATAGATTTGTTTTCGACAATCCGTTGAAAACCATTAATGAATGGATAGTAACAGAAATATTCGGGGTTTTTGCAATTCTCTGACTCTTTGCACAATTTCAGACCGACATCATCGTCTAAGATCACTTGGACGTGAGAAAGTTCTTCAGGAACTGAAAACGTGAATATTGGAATAACTGAGTTTATACTCGACTTACTTTTATAGCAGAATCTTCTAGACTTATGATTATTGCTTCGGTCAACATTTTTAACCGAATACCGCATGGCATCGTTGAAAGATGTGTTGACTGCGTCGTCACAGAAATCATTTTTATCGCAGTCCGAATTTTTATTACATGACTTTGGAGTGCCTTAAAACACACTGAAATCGTTCCCGCTGAAAATAATTACCGGAAGGTAGAACTTTCATCGATTGGAAAAATTGAAATGAATAGGCACTGCAACTGCGCTAACAGACGAAAAATAGTTAAAAAATAGTTGAAAAATAGTGCAGACTTTGGATGAAAGAGGGATCTGTAACAGATCTATTTTCAAGTCTATTTTTCATCAGCGCTTCATCTATTTCTCAGCCATTCTCTATCTATTTAGCATCTTGGATTCATCTATTTTTCATCCATTTTATGTCTTGTCTCTGTCCCTCGTTCTTGCATTTTTCATCAGTTTTCTATCTATTTCTCATCCATGATTCATCCTTTTTTTAACCCATTTTTGTCTACTTCTTGTCTCTTATTCATCTATTTTGCGTCTATTTTTCTTCTGGATGGTTTTTATGAAAAAACAACAGTAAACGGAAAACAACAAAAAAAAAAAAGAAAAATACAATAAATTGTTTAACATTAGAAATATCAAATTTCAATTAAATAGAAAAATGCTGATTGAAATATTCAGCGGCATCGGGCTTCAGTTTTTTGAGTTGGTGCTCTTTTCCAATTTTGATAGCCAAACTATGCGCCATAACTTTGCTAGCGTGGTGAGATCCTTTCTGATCGTTATAATTTGAACGAAGGCGATCGCTAAAAGTACATGGTGTTATTTAGTGAAACATTCGCATAACTACATGAAAGTAATCGCAGACTCTTTGATTTGCACAGCAACTGAAGTAGCTTGATCCGTCGTTGGAGCAATATCTAATCCAATGAACAATGCTTCTTAATTTTTTTTAACATTGTTCACATATGTATGTATTATCAGAATTACCAGATATCATTTGATTAACAGCAGAATCCATGTGGAGATATTCCAGACGAGCACCAGGCGTTCCTAACAAGGTATAAGCTATCAGGTAGTTATCCTTATCGTAAATCTGCAAAATATATATGAGCTCTATCTAAGACAACTTTAAACCTCGGCAAATACATGACGCACCAGTTTCGATGCCGATGTCAGAAGGTTTTGACCAATACTTCCGACAAATTTTGAGCAGATTTCTGCGATATCGACAACTACACCCGACGGCAGTGTGTATTTACAGTGTTGGTGATTCAATAAGCAGCCTTGGAATAGGTAGATGGTCTCATCGATATCAACTTTATTCTGAAAAAGTTCACTGCACATATCATTATGCATTCAATACCTTTTTCCAGATGCGCGTTCGATATTCGTCTAGTCTATTAAACTGAAAAAAAAACTGTATAGTCCATTGTCCGAGCAGATTAAAATTTTCATACCATAATGGCCATCCCGCACATACTCATCCACATTTCTTTCACGCCCTCATCTTTCTCTGCTTCGGCTTTTCTTGCAAAAACGTCCACGTCAATTCCATTTGTTGCGTTTTTTACAAAGTTATTTACTGAACTCTGGAATGAATTTATCTTTAACAGCAAATCTATGTTCATTAATTGTTACCTTGACTTCATCGTAAGATTTCGCTATGTCGCCACCAGAGAAAATTACACGGCGTGCAAGCTGTGATGCGTTGAGGTATCCATCTTTAACCA